AATAGAACAAATATATCACGCGAGAGCCGCAAGATTGAATTTTTATTTCAACTCCTCAAAAATATGTTCAAAAAAGAGTTTTTGCATTTTTTATTTTGACTTTCTCTGCTAGGATTTTTGCGAGCAGCTAGTGCTTTCAATTTGATTAATAACCAAAACAATGAATGTCAGTTTTTGTGCTTAAACGGTATTTATTTCGACAACGCACGCCGTTACCAAGCACTTAAGAGGACTTCAATTTGGCAGTCAATATTGAATTACGGCGCCTTAAAAATCCTCCATACAGTAGAAAATCATATTTATCCTCAAGGAGAAATGCTCTTGAAATTAATACCATTGATGCATCTATAATCTTAGTACCAAACTACCTGATTAAATAGCTAATACATCGTATTAAATGTCTTAGCTTTTAACCTTGGGCGAAGCCACGTACATAAGTAATATTAAAACATGAGAGTTTTATGAAAGAGGAAATGTATCTCGTTTTGTTCTTGTTTGTGATAGGCCTAAATGATGTTTCACATATTTCACTTTCTTGTATTCAGTTCTCTAATAATGCAGTGACGTCATATCGATAATATGACGTCATACGGCATAATTTACATGGTCGGTAATAAAGTCCAATTGCAATTTACTAGAATATTTCATTTCTTTGCCGTATGAATTATCCTTTTTTAAACAACATCACTGTTTCGGAAAACGCCCACTAGATTCCTTGCATCCCAAATCTTTAAAAAGACCAAACTTGCAAGGTTCCGAGTAAATCTTCAGATTAATAGATTACAAACACAGAAACATTGTTTCTCAACAATGCACAAATGGATTTAATGCTGTGTTTACAGTCAATCAAGATCGTATCGAGGTTGAAACGTAGTACTAATATACCTAAATCAAGCTTGAAATTGGATTATTATATACTGTTTTTATGGTGGCGTCACAATGAATTCCCTTATTTATTTACTGCATCCCAATCCGCTTCTAATCAGATTTTACGTCGCATGGAATTCGCCCCCAGGGAAGATCTGGAAAATTTACGCATTTTCTATATTTCCACTAAAAATGAGGATTAAGGATCTTAATGCACTTTAAGTTGTCTGTCGTTCTAACACACAAATAAAATATAATTTAAAAGCGTGCTATATTTGCCTGGTATTGACTAAGATTTTTATTACTCGGAATTTCTGGTAATTTTTACACGATTTTCTGACAAGTGGGGTCATAAATTAGTTTAAGCTCCTGAGTAAGCCCATGTTTTTTGCGAAATCTAATCTTAGTTTAAAGCAAGCTCCGAAATCTGATCGGATTACATATGGGAAGTCGAGTCATTACAAAATATTTAAACCTTGTTTGTACTTGAGAATTTTTGATTTTGATCCAAACAAGCTTGAGCAGTGAATTTGGCATCGGCGAATCCAAACTGTGTGGTATGAATAACACATTAGGAACCTAAGGATGGTAACCCCGCTACTGAAGAAGCACGCTGATTGGTGCCTTTGTCCTGATTCTATGGAATATCATAAAAACTGTAAGAATAAGTTTAAACGATACCTCGCTAAATACTGAAATTACGTATATATACTGCAATTATATCTCGTAAATTGTCAATAAAATATAAAAATTCAAATTTAGCCAACATTAATCTATATTAAATAATTAAATCAAATATTAAAATTACCCCAATAATGTATACTGACCTCTAAATACGTCACATCCATACTAAATTTGAGTTAAACGTCTTAAATGTAACTAATTAATTTTATTTTAGCATTATAGATCATTTAGAATATTTTCCCACACTGTCGGACATCATTAAACCTATTTAATGATTGTAACTGAAGGGATTATTTCGTTTCATAGTTATCGAAATGTAATTGTGAGATTTTATGTTATTAAACGAAATGTGTAATCTTGTATCAATAAATGGGATAAAGTTTTCTAGCGTTTTAGAGTATCTAGAGAAGTGTACCTAGAATTAGTACTTTTCGATAACACGCTGGTCAAGTTAAAGATTATTTACCACGCTTGGCCAAAAAAGATCATTATTTATACTAGACATTATCATTCTGATGTATACTAAATCCCACATGATCAGTTTTTTCTTTAAATTCATTCTGTTTTTCAGGGAGACGGTTTTGTTATACAAATCAGAATGAATTGAATTACTTGTCAATGTTTGCATATACCTCTGGGAACATTTTTGGAATTGAGTATGTCGATGTAAAAATTTAACTTAAAAAATAGTACAACATGTCAGTTTTAGTTTAATCTTCTTGACGCTGAAAATGATTCTCTGGGTTGAATGATATACCATAGTCCTAACAATCATTCAAGAGTTTCTCCTTGAGTTTTGAATTTGCAAGTAACAAACTCTTAGAACTGCTTTCTTCCTGACAATTAGTTATAAGTATCTTCCTTTGAAAAAATTTGAACCACTTAAAGAAATTGCAATACACTTCCTAGAGTCTTATCTGATCCCGGAAACAAATTGATGAAATACAAATATTTTTATAGGCGTTGTCAATCACATCAATCAACCGATTCCCATTATCAAAACTCCGCCCACTTATATTGTTTACAATCATCTTGAGAATCGTCAACAAGGGTTGATAGCCATTAAAACGATGATAGTTTCGAAGTTTTCAGATTTAAAATATTTTTAAATGTAGATAATTTTCAATTTAATTTTTAAAACTGTAATTGTCATTAGTTTTTTTTAGCAAAATTGATTAAATATCGGTTTCAGTAAAAATCATAAATTAAAATTGTCTAAATTTCAGTTTCGTTTTCTGCCGTTTGTTTCAAAATTCTTTTTAAATAACACATGACTAGAATTATTTAATATCTGAATTACAAAATTGGTGAGAATTCCAACAATTGCTTTATTTTTGAATCATGTATGAGTATCTTTATAATAATCACGAGCCCACCAAATCATTTTCCATATTATTTATCTGGAATATTGAATACAAATTCTAAAATGCCGGGTTATTAATATAATAATGTCGTTTGACACTATTAAATGAAGAAAAATTGATCAAGTTGTCCGAAAATATTCAAAGTTTAAAATATTTATTATAATTAGGTGGCCACGCAATTATGACCTATAACTGAGACAACAATGGATAATATTCAATGAACGAACATATAATTAATATAATTTAATTAACAGACTTATTGTAAGAATTATTAAAAAAACTTTTAAACGGGTTTATTTAATCACCAACTCTGTGGCTGGCACAAGTGTTCAGCACCTTTTCAGCACGATATATCGTATGTATAAGTAATACCAGAGTCATTCTTAAGCAACAGTAAATTAGCGACGTTCGACCCATTGTTATCAATTGTGTGGTAATAATGACCATGTAATTATGAGTATCTGTGACGTGACACAGTAGGAAATCGAATAATGAATAAATAATAGTTCCAATATTGAAATGATTGGAGTAATAAGGGTGAAAGAGGATTTTCAATTTCAATTTTCCTGATTATAGATGGACATATTATTACCATGTGCACTTTATGAGATTTATCACAAACTATATATACGTACAAGAGATTGTGTCAGCGTTGAGTAAGGCTACCTTCTCGTTTTACATCAACAACTACGAAGAAAAAAGTCCGAAAAAGTTCATAAACTCAAAACATAAATAAAACTTTGATTAACCCTCGTGCACTGAAGTACAATACACAATTGTTCAAGCCATAAAAGCATCACGATATATCAAACGTTGAAACGCATTGCTAATTTACAATATATACCAAGAGCTGTTCCATCTTGCAAATTGTGCAAATGAACTTCTTTATTTACTTAAAAGACAGTACTTATTGTTGAATTGTCCAAAATCAAGTTATACTGGCGCCACACCAGGATTACATAAAAGATTTAGTACGAATCCGTAATTTCCCCTTTAAAAGCAATAAAGGAAAGTGGTAGGCCGAATCTGATACTATTGTTTAAACTGTATGCCCAAGTTCAGTGCTTGATCAAGTGTGATATAAGAATAAGCATCACTCCCCATATTTGATTCTATCAAATATTCCATTGAAGATGAAAGTGTAAAAAGTAAAACCTATAAAACTATTACTAATCGGCAAATCAATCATGGTAGCGTCTTTTTACGAGTTTTATTGCTAATTTTATTGTTGCCGACCAAAAAAGGCAAAATGAAGACTTCGCGCTTTGTACGAATCACGTGCACAAACGTGGGCTAGTTTAAAAAATAAATTTATCGACTGAATCAAATTATAAAAAAACTTCTTCGGGCGATGTTACAGTTTTATGTTGCAATTGTAATATTCATCCATGTGGTCTATGACTCATTTATTTTATGGATATATTTATGACCTGTTTCATTTTTAATTGTCAATTTATAGTCATGACCAATATAATAATAAACTACTAGATACAAAGTTACTTATTTTATATTAAAACTAAATCGCAGTTAAATTTCGCCTCGATTTTTAATCCTATAAGTTGCTTTCACTTTACCTTCTAAATTTAAATGAACGTTAGGTATATGTGCCTAATTCGCCATAATTCAAGGAAATTCGACGACCACAAGACCGGTCGTACCTGGTGCAAAACGCGGCAATCGAAGATGATTTTCGCCGCAAAAATAATGATCTATGATTGGTAGATAAACTTGGCGCAATACTAAAACAGACGGAATAATTTACAATTGTAAATTACTAGGCTATGTTCAGGAAGTAAAGAATAAAAAACATAGGATTAATAACAAAGGAATTTTCCAAAACAATTCAAGACAAAGCATGAGAACTACGTTAATTATTATTGAGGTCTTGTTTCCGACGGTAATAATGGTTCACTATACGCTTAATTAAAATGTGATAAGGATGTTCATAACACCAAATTCAACTTTCAAGTAACGTGAAAACATGATCGTGTAGGTTTGACATTAGATCAGAAATATACCCGATCCGAAATACAATATACTCCGTTTTTTAATTCACCTGGTATGAAATAATTTAAATTTACTTACGATGGAATTTGTACTCTGTCCCAGTATACAACATGACGAGCTGCAGATGATAAATGTACCAAAGCAAGCAATATCAACATAACTTTGTAGGCTTCCATGTTCATGACTCTTCTATATCAATAAATTCTTACTCTCAACTAAATTTGATAAACTTTTATGCAAGCTAAACAAGTACAGCAAACACTAATCGAACGTATATTGTCGCTAAGTGAAGCTAAAATATAAAAACATAATGTAGGTTGCTATGCGATGATACTCGCATGATACTAAAGATATTCTTGACAATACAAATTTATAGGTATTAATTCTGTATAATATGAACAAGTCAAATTACAATTTTTGGTATTTATATCTTCTTTCTTCGTATTAACCCCTAACTTTTGTTAATGTTAGCTACTACATTATAATACAACATAAAAACACTTTGTTCAAATCTATATACTTCAAATATATACACTAATTGTCTTTCCCACTCGTCTGTTATTTAAATCCACTGTTGATATTTTGAAGTGAAATATTATATAAGTATCTCGCATCTCTTTACTCCTCATAGTATCGGCGTACATGTACATGCACTCGATACTGGTCATCCAATTAGTTAATGGTTTGATTGCTAAAATTTGATAACCAGTCAAGTGTTTTGTTAATAAGTACTGACCGACAATCATGTTTCTGTTATCTTTCTATCCTGTCTTTGTAAAAATTCAAAATAACACGACGCAATAAGGTGTGTTATTTTCCTCAAACTTGTTATTCTATAAAATAAATAATATAGTATAATAATATTAATAATAATATCCAAAATTGTCTAAAAGTTACAAGTATATGTGAATTCCATGCTTAACGAACGTCGTCTCGCCCACTGAGTATAACTAGTACATACAGCGTTTCTTTCGTTAACGCGAACTCGGAAAATATAATCTCCCCTTTTTCGCTGAAGATTGGCGGCTTACAGAGATTATCTCCGTTGCCCACTAGCGGCGTGTAAAAGGCTTTAAAATCCAACAATAGAAGCGTTATGACAAGATTTACTATGTAGATTATGCTTCTTCTCATATCTCATCAAGCATGAAACGTAGTTCATTTGTATATAAAGAACGTTTTGAATGACAAGCCATGTGTAGAACGAGTAATCGTTATATATCGTTATACAAAAACATATAAAGGATGTGTTTGCCGAGGGGAGGTGATAATTTGTTAAAGGAAGCACCTGCTTATTATAATAAATAGGCAACGATTTGCTTAATCAAGACTATGTACCTGGATCATGAAAGCATAGTTAAATTGCCACGCGCTCCATATTGTGTTTTATATCTCCGATTTTACAGACATGTCAACCACTGGAATTTTAGCAATCTAATTTTGAATGGGATTCGCCACGACATGTTTAATTACCCAAAACTTGAATATTGGCAGATCGTAAGATCGCAGTTGCTCATATGAATGAACCGTCCTATCTATTTTAATCTAACCAGAGTTAATAAAGGAAAACTCTATGATATCTTAGTTCTCTTCGATGCCTAATTAAAATAAATGATGCATAAATAAAGTCACGGTAATCAAATAAATTATTGCATATTTCCAAATTGTTTATTTCAATCAGACACTTCAGTATTTTAAGTTCATTATACGAGAGTTATGCATTGGAAAATTTCAAAAACAATTTCTTCTTTCTTCAAGCCATATCACAACGTCTCTAAACATCAATCAATCTATGGAAAAGGTATTATCAACATTTTACCAAAGGGAACTCCCACCCGGTGCGCAATTCCTAATATTGATGACGTCATCACACAAAACTTCAGAGTGAGAAACGAGAGCCATAGAATTCACAGAATTTTTTTGAAATATATGTAATCGATGTTTCCCCAATAATCGATTACCTTGTTTATGTCCGTAACACTGCTGTTCAATCCGTAAAGAGTCTATAGTTTATACGATGACGTAAGAAGAAGAATTTATGCAGTCGCTCAGACACTTCTTTCGCTCAGCTTAGTCACAATAATCAAAAATTAGTCCCGAATAAGCTGCGATAGATTACGTGGGCCAGGGAAACATCCATAGCCTTCTAGCGAATCTTTTCACAATAACAACAAGAAGACCAACAGCAACGACAATTTAACAAAACGACCCATAAGAGCATTTCGTGTCCAGTAATAAATAATATTTGTGCAATATAATGAAATGTTTGGGCATAGACTATATATCTGCAAAAAAACACAAACCACTCTATACATATTTACGCTTTTTGTTTTACGAATTCTTTTATTTGCCATTTTATTAACATAACACTAATGTGTAAATTACCAAGAATAGCGAGAATTGGCAAAACATCTTTGCAACAGACCATAACGTGAAAATTGACGGTCTTGACTTTGAGCGTTGCTCTTTTGTATTTTCAAAATCCCGTTCGGAAATTTATGAAAGTTTGAATGCATATGTGGCCAATCATTTTTTATTGTGTGGGCAAAACTTGTGACTGTCGAATTGTTTTTTGTTGGTCGCTCTAAAATTGATTTAATCACAACCGCCGTTTCTGTGGGGGATATAAGTTCAGTGAAGAGCGGGATGTCCCTTAATCAAAATGTGGGATTTTCTTAATTGGAAATTGCCACATATACTTGGATGTTACAATTCACCACCATCATTGAATTGCACGGTTCCAGTCCGATTAACTATAGCCGCCCACGACAGACATCGGATAAAAGCCATAAACAAAGAAAAGCTTATGGTATCGTATTGTTTCCTCCGTCGATCTCTATACCTATACTATGAGGTAATAAGGACAATGAGCTGAATCGGCGGCCAGGAAAGGTGCCGTGAGAATTACATCAGCTTCTCCACAGAATCATCTCGGATTTAAATATGTCTGAGAAGATTTCAATCTATTTCTCATATCTGACAATACTATTTCTGATGAGAGGAATCCGATTCGGTCGAAGTGACAATATTCCAAACAACGATGGTATGTATTTATGCCTGAATAAAGAGCTAAGACAAACATAAATAGCCAAGACTAACATAGCCTAACAGAATTTGTTTGGCAGATTTAAGTAAATTCGTATCAGCGGATGTAACCGCTGTTTTTCTTCCGTCGCTTTGGTTTCCCACTTGATTTCGATCTTTGGTCCATCACAGACCAACAGCTAAAGTTACTACCAAAAACCTTCATAAAAAGTGGGTACCGTACGCGCTCTTCTGATGGTTAACCCGTCGCCAATTTAGCAACTGTATAGAAATTAAATTTTTCCATATAGAGAGAGAAACGCTTACAAGATAGACTTGGTGAAGCAGACTTGGTGTAAGTTTTCTGAAGTTTAGTTAAGTTTTCCTATTTATGTAATCCCTTTCGACTCTGCCACGACCACAAGTTTTTCAAGTATTTACACAATATATATACATACAGTAACATATACACTTGATTTAATCTACCTTACAAGACTTTAACTCTGCAAAAATGTTATACTATTCAAAAAATGCGAGACATGACCAGCTCATGAAATCAGTGGTCTCCAGTCGTTACAACAAAGAAGAATCAAATGAAAATTGACCCAGCGATCGATTACAATGAAATGAATGAACGCAACGATATGTTAGAAAGGGGTTTACGCCACACATTGCAAGAGTATGAATGTCCAGTGCACAATTAATGCTGGAAACGCTACACAAATTTCCTAGTAAGTTAGTGGAATACTCATGTCTATAATTTGAAACGGTCGGTTAATTACTCCCACTATTAAGAGTAGGCGGAATTTGAACCTCGCGAGTCGCGTACTTTCTATTGTTGTGGGTGAATGAGTTGGGCTATCATAACTAGCTGTGTTTTGTGACTGAGAGACACTCTCCGCAGATTTCCGCACTGGGTTTATAATATTTGTTCGTTCATTTATTTACTTTTATTGTAGTTTCATAGAAATGTAACGTAGTGCGGTATTTCTTTCATTCACGCTCCTCCAGTCTTGAATGAATATTTTCCCGTCGCTCATTGTTTCTTTGCTTTCAGAGTGAATCCCGTTAAGATTCATGTGACTACAATATCCAAACCACCACCCGCCTCTTTGAGATTTAACACATGCTTCACTTCTTAGTCGATCGTTATTATGATCGTATGTGCTAAATGGCGAAGAAATGCTGAAGCCTAAGTGCCGTTTAATGCTATTTGTTCCAGCGAATCTTCCTAAGCCAGATAACTCAAAGTCGAATTCTTCTGATGACAGCCTGAAATCGTTGTACTCAATAAACCCCGTAATACCATCCCAGTCTTCCACGTCAATTCGTAGGGCCAGGTTTTTATTATCATATTTCCCAGTTCTTTTTTGTTCTGTTAATCTCAATATATTTTGTAATCCTATCCAATGTTCCTTATCTGGAAGTCCAAAGCCATGCAAATAATCGTGCCAACTTCGATCAAAATTGACTTCTCCATTTATTCTTCTTTGAATTGTCATCCAGCCTCGTTTTCCTGAAAACACTCCGGGTGAACTCATGTCACAATAGATAGAAATTGGATAAAAACCGTGGAAAATCTGAATCATATAAACTCCGGATTTCAAATGGCCCCTCTTGAATATCTCGCTGCAATCTAAATACATAGCCATAATTAGCAGAACAGTACACTAAAATCATATATCATTTTATTTTCAGTAGCATTTAGGCATTCGAAGCTTCAAGTTTATCTAAAAAACATGTTCAACCTACCTCGAAATACATCTACACTCGGGTGCTTTATTGGTATTTTAAATTGTCCTGTCCCATTGATTTCTTGCTTCGCCGATTGTATTATGTTTTCTAATTCTAACACACGTTGAAGCATCAGTGCTATCTGATCTTTAAATACAGTCATTGTGAACTGGAGAGGAGCATCTGCAAGCGCTTCATGTTTCCGTAGGAATGAAGTCGATAAAATTCCGATAAATATAGTTATTAAGACTGCTTTTCTTTTCATCATTTAACTGAAAACAATCAATTTTGAGATTATTTTCGTTTCTTGTTTTGATATACAGGACACAGTATATCTGTTGGTTCTGGGTCTCTTCATTCGCCAGATTACCCACAGTGCAAAGGACCAAATTCGACTACATGGAAATTCAATGCTACGAACGAGTCACCTGTGATACTGAAATTCATGGATCTAAATATACCGTTGTGAGTATAATGTTTATATCCACTTAATTCAACTTGAACTAAATATGAAATGACAGTTTCAATATTATCGAAGATGTACACGAGCTGAATTAGTTGTAGAAGAGCGTGGATCTAAATCTAGAAGATTTTGCGAGGGTGAAACTACTTCAATTTTGTACTCAACTAAGCAACTCTCTCTGACTTTCGAAAGTTCGGAAAAGAACTGTGGGCGGGGAGTTGCTTTTGTGTATGTTTTTCCTGGTAAGCGGAACCTTTTTTATATAAGAAAATTGTACTTTCACCGTATATTTTGAGTATTGATATATTTAAAATACCAACACATTCAGAAACTATGAGAAGGCCTACAATACTCGTATGACTACTTGGGGTATATGATTGGTGAGTTCAATAGCATTGCATTGCCTGCACCTAATTGCCTTTTAGTGCCTCATATGATTCATGAGTTAAGACATAAGCTATACTAACTTTTCATGAAGGGAAATCTACCATTGTCGGTTGAATAGATCAATAGGCCATTCAAAATATGGACACAATTCTGAAAAAATCTTATCTCAATATTTGCAACATGAAGTGTTTTTAAACTAGAGGTAAGATCGGGCCCAAAAATTCCAGCCCGGCCCGACCCTGGCCCGAGGGTATTTCATATTTTATTTAGGGTTCTTTGAATTGCCACTGCAAGAGTTTAGTACAGTGCATGTCGTGGCCAAAACACGGCCGAAACGCCTCATTTATAAAAAAAAAAGTCAGCGATAGAGAAACCCGACCCGACCCAAACGTGATGATTGGCATTTCCGGCCCAAATTTTAGGTCGGGCTCGGGCTTCAGATCTTAGCTCTATTTCAAAACACCTCTTAAACTTATCTGTGGTGTTGTTGCAACGGACTGATTCCGCATCATGGCGCAAATATAAATTATACCCATGGCGAATGCCACGACTCACAAATAGGCCTACATAGCCTGACTCGGAAAAAATCCAATTTCATTTATCAATCGTATCTAGTGCATCAACAGTAGCTGATGTTGTAAAAAACAATGCAGTATACAATACACCCATTAAAGCTCGAATAATTATACCTGGACGTTTCGAAAATGGGAATTTGAGAAGCGATATTGTGCTAGAACACATTTTCGTATTTGGGCATTGTGAATAATTAGGGATTGCAGTTCTGGGAAGATTCAATATTAGACAAATATAACAAAAGAACAATTCCACTGAATGATTTGCACTTGCAAATCCTAATCTATTAATCTCAATACTCAGGCAGTGACTTTATATGCTTAATTAATCCCTCATGATCAATCATGTTGAAATGGACAGTAAGGCGAAAGTATGTTTTATTCAAAATATACGTAGTCGTAGATGGAACGTTTATATCAAAAATAATGAAATGTAAATATCCAAAATAAAGCGGACAAGATCAAATCTAACAAATATTTTTAATTAGCTTCACGTCCCCTCGAAAAATTGTCTACGCCCCCCTAGTGGGGCACGCCCAACCGTTTGAGAACCACTGTGCTAGAGTAATTTCCTGTTTTGTTCTGCCTAACGCATATAATCTGTTCATTGGCTATTTTTGTTAATGTTAGAAATGAACGGTTTACCAAAATTGTTTATTTCTCGTTCTCTTTTGAGTTCTGGATTTGTATAATCTTGCTATTCAAATTTTGTTCAAGATATCAGGTCGGATGTACAGAAATATGGAATCGTTGGAAAAAAACACACCATAAAAATATACATCCCAAATGTTCCAGAGGATATCATTTTTGATTGCCTTTTTCACGTAGACCAGCAAAAAAAAAACTTCCAATTATTCGGGGAACCGCATGTCATCGAATTTGTTTTTGAGGAGTCGGGAATAAAGCATTTCAGCATTCAATGTCAATTGACTTATTTGATTATGAATAAAATTATTGGATTCATTAAAAGTTATCGGAACATTGAAATACATGACAATTTGAAGAATATCAACGTTTCAGAAATTGGGCAAGAAGAAAATTTACAAATTTGCATGTCGCTAGGGGGGAGCACCGATTTAATTATTGAACTGCCTTTTATTTACACTGTCACTTGTCACTTATCTTTCACTGAACACATGGAAGCAGTAGTCAGCAAAAATGTTAATTACACTGAAACCCTCATGAATCTCCGTCCGCATATATCTATGATGTTTCCTTTTCCAAGTGAATTTAGACAAAAACTTGGACCGGGCTCGCATTGGGCAATTCTCGTCCTCGAAAATGCTGTCTCTGTTGCGAAGCATATCTTCAATATATCGCTTTGTGAAAAATTAAAGAACCTTCACATTCAAGTAATTCACTATATTGACCTTGAACCAGCGACGTTCTCAGTATCAATTAAGATTCCGGAAGGGAGTCCTGCATTTCTTGAAGCAAATTCAAAAAATAAACAAGATAACAGAAATGTGGTGACTACTTCAACGTTTTGTAGCAATCCTCAAGAATGTCGGGAGATTGTTTTGGAAATGTCTGTTCCATTTGAAGGAATGTTTGACATTTTCGTGAAAGCGAATAACAGTTTGGGGGAAGTGACATCAAAGATGGGACCTGTAGAAAGTTTTCATTTGGTACACGACGTTTATGTGACGTCATCACTACCAATTTTCACCACAAAACCCGCGATGGTATTTGTGTTTTATAGAATTATTAGCATTGGAACGTTTGGAATACAAATTTCAACTGATGACAACGTAATCGCAAAAGAAAAAGTGACATCACATATTACATTCAAAAAGATTGAAAGCAAATTGTCGGAATTAAAAATTCCATTCGATCCAACTGAATATAAAATATTCAGCACTTCACACCTTTTTATCAAGCCTGGGTCATACAATATAACTGCCAAAGTAACAACTGAGAACCATAAACAAAGTTTAAGCGATGAAATATCAGTTATTGTAAAAAGCGCGGTCGCGACTGTGTGCTTGACGAAAGTAAAGATTAGAGATGGATGTTCTCGATCATTTGTGAGATCAAGTTTGCAGGAAAACTCACCGATTATATTGAGCGCTGATGTTCATATTGAATGTGAGATCACTGATAACGATGAAATAAAATATAAGTGGAGAATATATAAAGTAAGTTATTTTATGCTGAGGTACCGTATTTAATACACGTATACCATACACGGTATGTGTATAATAAATACACATCATTCATTTCATGAATATCGCAGCAAACACTTCTTTCATTAGGTAACTTGTGATTCTTAAATATTGAACCCAATCTTATGCTACGTGTCCTGCAACCTTTTATTACAGGTAAAATCTCTGACAGCAAAACCAAAAAATGAAATCCATCTTGAAAACTTGGTGAAAGAAACAAATGAACTTCATATCAAACCATGGATGATGGATCCTGGTCTTTATATTATTCGTGTTATTGTTACTCAAGTTGGCAACAGTGGAATTCTTATTCAGCAAGTTGAAGATTTTACATCAATTAAAATACCTAGGATGAAATTAAATGCACAAATATGTGGGGGAACACTAATGGAAATTGGTATGAGAACCATTGAATTATTTTTTGTATTGCCATTTGTCACTGAATGAATTGTTTTGAGATTTTGATGATATTCCTAACAATGAAGTCAAATTGTCATGTGGAAAGAATTTCTTACTTCGACTAAACTTATTTCATTCCAAATTTTATTGCATATCAACTTTTAATGTTCGGTGTGGCGCATGGCTCGGCGGCGTGGCGCAACGTGCTAAGCGTTAGGAATACGCTCGCCATCACATCTCTGAAAACCCTTCGTGGGATCGCAGGTTCGAATCTCATGCGGGGATGATCATGTGCGAGAGGATTGCTGGACTCCACGCCACCGTAGGGTGTTTCACGTAACCGCTGGTCGTTTACGGCTTCTTCCACCATCAAGTCCATGCTTCGAAAACAAATAACTGCCTAACTAATCCCATACCCGACCTGGACCGGTAACCGAACGAGAAGCAGTGGTTCGCCATATGATTAATTCGTCTTATCAGCTTTTCTTTCCCTGTGATAAATATGTCAATCCTATCCTATTTCATATTTTCCAGGTCACAACAAATCTCAAATATCATTTGATGGATCTTGTTCATTGAATCCACACATTCAAGATCAACAATATGACTGGTTTTGTTCTTTAAATATTGAAGATTTACCTGTTGATAAACATATTGGAAAGTTTCAACATAAGGGATCGTGTTTTGGTTGGAATCCATCATTTGTAGGAAATCAAACAAAAGTTGAAATCAATGTTAATGAAACTAAAATAAAAGATAAATTTTACATCAGATTATTTGTTAGTTTATCTGGATATGAAGATGTTTTTACTGATCAAGAAGTTTTCATTTTATCACAACCTGCTCCAAGTTTGAATATTTTGTGAGTATCGTGGATCAATGTTCCCTCTAATTTGTTGTAGTATGTGTGCGCAGAAATTGTGGTGTGTGCGCACTTTTTTGGAAATAACTAATATTTGTGCAAAAACCAATGAAGAAATTTTGGCGTTCTAACCAGGTAATAAGTGGGCCAACAACAAACTTTCTCAACCTGCCAACCGAGAACATTGTTACATTACATCGAAATACGTCTGTGCGCAGTAAATCTATGTGTGTGCGCAGCCTCTGAAAGCTGTGTGCGCGCGCACACTTTAGAGGGAACACTGTTGTGGATATCTATGATTTATTATTATGAGTTGATTCCTCTAAATTAATATCTTATTACAGATGTTGGGTAAATTGTGGAAAATCATTAAAACCTCAAGAACCTTTCATTCTACAAATCCAATGTGATTCATGTGTGAGATATGAATGGAAAACATTATTTGGAAAGTTAAATAGTTGTGATTTAAAAGAGTTTTGTAAAATCGAATCTACTATGTTAGAACAAATCAATTCAACAAAAGCTTTTCTTATCACTGCTACAGGTTAGTAGTTTGAACCTAATGCTTCCTATGTTATCATTAGTAACTACTCTTCTTCCACTATTTTAAATCTCTAATATTTAGATATACAAGTAATTTTTAGAAATTGTGGAATAGGGATGGTGCTACAGTGAAAGTTGAATAATTCTGACGAAACTTTTATGCATTTGGATATTAATAACTTTAACTTATTTCAGGTTATGATGTAGTTGACCAAAATGCATCCATCACTTTCAAAACCCACATTATTCAACCTCCATTTGCAATAAAATGTTCATATCAACCTAATACTGGATTTGGATTCATCACCAGATTTAATTTAACATGCACAACTTATGAAAGACTCATAATCAAGTTTTCTTTGATTGATGGAGGTAATTCTCATATATTGTAATATTTGATGGATATTGAAGAATATTTACCTAGTCATGAGATAAATATGTGGTGGTGACCTCCTACTTTACACTCCCAGATAATATGAATAATGTGATAATGTGGGTGTTTTCTCTTTTTGACAAAATCGGATAACAAACTAAAAGTAGCGTAGTTTTTTTATTTGTTGATTTATAGATTCATGTATTTTTCAGATTCCACATCTCTTCTACAATATGGTTATGAAACTCAAGTCACATATTTAATTCTTCCACCTGGTTACATTCAAATACAAACAGAAACATGTAATTCTGCTGGTTCGTGTTCACATCATGTATTTCCAATTCAAGTAGAAAAAAGTAAAATTCCAGCAGAATCTCAGAGCTTAAAACAAGAACTTGAAAATGCAATAAAATCTGAAAATTCACAAAAAGTTGCTCAATTTGTTTCATCATTATCAAAGAATCCTGATTTTTCTATGAACTTGGTAAGTTAGATAGCAGTTCTAGAGTACATAGAAATAATTTCTTACGTGATTTCAGCTTCCAACCAAAACACATCTATTGTGTAGAATATTTAGTAATGATATAAGGATATAAATTGAGCTTAAAGTTTTTCTCAATCAAACATATTATTCATGTTCCAGAGAAAGAAAATATTGAATTTTGCATTGAATTCAATTTTTACATCAACTGAATCAGTGAAACAAACTACAGATGTTCTGCAAGTTGCAACAGAGGATTTCAAGAGCTTGGATGACACTATTCAGGTAAATCTAAACAAAATTTAATTGATAAAATACTACTAATGTGGCTCTGTAATGTACTCTAAATCTTCAAAGGCAATACGATAATTATAAGTGCATGTATGGCTCATCATCTGATGTTGGCAACTACTCAAAATATGAGTTTTGTTTTAAATTTCAAATGCTTTCAAATTCAACATGTTGATATATTTTTCATTTTTCTAGGCAAACCTCATAAATAAACTTTCTGATGTGTCTACCTGGATGCATAAGGATATTGATTCATCAATTGATTCTATTTCATCAGTTGTTAGAACATCATTGCTTGTTTCATCCAATATTATGCAGAGAATGAGTGAAAGTGAGGTGAGATCTAAGAATTTTAAAACTACACAATTATTTGGTTATTTATTGGAATGTTGAAAATTGTTGTAGTATTTCCTATTTTTTTTATGCTTAAAAAGAGTTCCAGGCAAAGATTCAGACTCCATGAATACCCAATTTTTACTGCACTATGTTTCGTGTCAAGATTTACTGATTCAGGGATAATTGAAACATAGCCCTAGTTCTACATTCCAGGTTACTACAACATCCAACCATCGAACTCTCACAACAATAGTTGATGATTTAAGTCGTGAAATGCTTGAAGCAATTCTACCTGGAGATGAAATATTGAAAATTAAAACAAGATCTGTGGATACTAGTATTGTGCGATATAAACAAAGTGAAAGTGAGTTATTCTTTTTTATGTTATATTGTGTTGAGTGTTGTAAAATATATAGAATATGGTAATTTTTCTTGCCGCGAATATTACTAAATCAATTAATTAAGAGGTGTCTCAACGATGACGTGTCCCAATTGTATGAATCTAATTTCATACGATTACTTTAAACTTGTACCAAAATAATATATATATATATACTAAACCAGAACATGGCACAAATCCCACTATGTATGCTTACTTCAACCATTTGCGCTGATATATATGTCCACCCTAATTTAGAACCAAGTGTGAACCAAATGTGGTAAAGTGGGACAAATATGTTAAAATGGCGATAAGTGGGAAACAACATTTTTGAGACACAACAATTTATTTGCATTTCAAATACATTTTGAAATTTGTCTATTTCGATTCAATAGATTTGACTTTAGCTGATGATGAAGTACAAATCAAAGTTGGAGATTTGGAAGGGACAGACATTGATGATAATGAATTCATGAATTTACAGGTAACAAAAATATGTTTAGATGGTTGAGGATAATGGTGTATTATAGATGGAAAATTTAGTAAACTAATTCAATATATTTGCCAGGTTTTCAGATTCAACTCTTCAAACACGAAATTTAATACAAAATCAAACAAAGCAGATGAAGTAGTTGGAATAACTTTGTCAAAATCTCACAAAATTCCAGGAAAAATAAAATCAGAGACAAAAACATTTTCTTTGACAAAACCAATAAAATATGGTTTGTTAAATCATCAACCTGAACCTGAATATTTTAATGTAAAATTGAACGAAACAAAACAAGGTTTACGGAGCGGATTTTCACCGATTGTTGTGGAAGGTTCTCATGAAAATGTAGCTTTGAAAATAAGGATAATTTCAAATGAAGTTTTGGAAGCTGCAAAAGTGAAATTAACTTTACAAGAAAGTAACATTTTGGAAATGGATCGGTTCAAACTTGAAAAAATCGTCAATAGAACAGGTAGACATATTTTGTTTCATGAAGCTCTGTTAAGTCAACAGTTTTATGTTACTTTCCTATGTTGTGAACAAAATCTTTTGATTTGCCATTGAATAGGATAGTATTTATATATTTTTATCCCTGGATAACGAAATGTCAATAATATGGATTAAAAAATAATATGAATCAGCTTTATTTGCTTACCAGTTAAATATTTCAAATACATAGACATGGTTAGCAGAGGAAGTCATCACCTAATTTATCATCTCACAGAATTTGAATCTGAAGGTGGATTTACTTGGACAATACCTATCCTGAAAGGTCATACAATTTTCAATTTAACAATAGAGACTAAATCTACCCAACCAGTGAGTTTCAAAATATTGACATATGCCACCAAGTGTACATTCTGGGATGACATGATTAATGATTGGAATAGTGATGGTTGTAAGGTTTGTAATTGTAAAACATTTTGGTTTGGGAGTTAGAACAATTTTTCTCAGCTGATTACATTTTTCTATTCCTAGGCCACTCTTACTTCAACACTAGACAAATGGACTTGGTGTGAATGTGATTCTCAAACATTTTCAAGAACAAGAAAAATTTCCTCACCAAATTTATTTTCATCAAGATTAATTGTTTATCCAAATAAAATTGATTTTACCAAGGTAAGTTGTTTGGTTTTTTTAACTTCTGCTATGTTTCTTCCATAGATCCTATCTATACATCAGAAACATTTTACTGTAATAGTTGTCCTGCTCTGGAAATTGAACAAAAAGGTCTCTAATAAATCTTTTGATTTTAACTAAAGTATTTTTTGCTATTTAATTCACATAATGTTACTCATATCAACCACGATTGACCTGTGGCAATTTTTTAAATATTTTCGTTTAATCCAGTTACATATAGTTTTTCCAGAAAATTATGACCATGGAATCGTTGATATAAACCTATGCTCTCCACATTAGATTACTTTGTTGTTAAGGTATCCTGGAATTTATGGGAGGAATTTTATGACAATCCAATCATATTTCTAACAGTATTTGGAATGTATTTAGTATTTGGATCGGTTTTGTTTTGGGCAAGATGGAGAGATAAAACTGATATGGATTTTGTGAGTATATTTTACTGAGGTGTGACTTTGATTTGGCCAAACATTTTGTATCTTCAAAGGAATCAATCTATGTCATGGTTTCCCAAACTGGGGTCTGCGGACCCCTGTGGGTCCGTGATGAATGCACAGGGGTCTGCAACGATATTAAATAAGTCTAATGGATCTCTAATGATTGATTTAAAGCCATTGGTTATTTTCATTGGAACGTTGTTTGCAGACAAAAGTTGCTGACAAAATTGATGTCAGAAAGGGCAATTAAAAAAATCTACATGTGTGAGGCAGCATTTTCATCTTTTACCAATTTGATGTAAAAATATAGGTTGAGACTTGCCGTAGAGTTGGACCTACGAGTTTGCTTGTCACAAATTGCTATGACAATTGATAAATAGTGCAGTCGAAAGCAATCTCATTCAACACATTAATATCGTTCGTAATATTGTGATGTAAATGAAACATTACTCTTTCTCGATTGTTAGGCATAGAATGTGGGTCCGTCAAAAACAAGATTATAAAGCAGGGGTCAGCGGCCGAAAACATTTGGGAAAAACTGATCTATGTGATCATACACTTGTCTCATGCCTATCATCTGTTTATGTTTAAACAGCATTCTTACATAGAAGTGAGTGACAATCTTCCAAATGAACACTACAGATATTTACTTACAATATTTACTGGGAATCGTCGTAGATCTGGACCTTCATCTACTGTTGTTGTTAAAATTAATGGATCAAATAATAAAAGTGTTGTTCATATATTACAGGTATGTTAGTGATATTTTTAAGATACAAAAAGAATCATTAAAGAAAAAAATATTGGTAATTTGAATGACGAACTATTTAGGAGTCTATATAGAGTTTCGTTTTTAAAATTCTGTTGAACATGTCATATTGTTTATTATTGGGGAGTTGCATGTGTGTTCTTGATATTTTGAAAATTACTGTTTGGTTTCAGTTTCCCAAGTAATGTAAAGAGAGCAATAATCATATTTATGTATTTGTGGTTTTGTTATCATAAATTATCACTATGTTTGTTCACATTCACACGGTTTTTCATTGTAACCATTAAATTGTAATACTTATTATTCTCCTAGAAATGTGAAGAAGAAAGAATTTTATTACAAGGAAGTGTTATTACATTTCTTATTACAACACCTGGGTGTCTTGGTGATATTACTACGGTTAGATTATGGCATGGTAATGAAGGTACAAGTCCTGAATGGTATGATATTTTCAATATTGACAAGTGGCTGGAAAAATTATTCATCAAATTATACAGCACTTGTACTAGAGAAACATGAATTCATGGGTACCAACACTGTAAGAATGTAAATATTATTTAGGCCAAGTTCCACGAACAATGCTCTCCTAAATTTCATTTACATCTTACATCCCAAGCTTGGTCCTTGGTTTGAACACATTAGCTAGCATAATTACCGCATAAATCAGTTCTTTTTGAACTTCCAAATTCACTGTTAAATATCAGCTTTGTAGTATGAAATAGGTGTCCAGTTGCCAATACCTTATTAGCCGACATATGAGACAGCAATATGTGAACAGGTAAGAAATTTTTGAGATACTCTTTTCAGGTACATTGATCGTCTTGTTGTTCGAGATTATGAAACAAATGAATGTTGGTTTTTTCTCGTAAATACCTGGTTATCAGATTATCATATGGGAGAATGTCAAATTGATATTGAAGTTCATGCGGCCACTATTAAACATCTTCATTCATTTAAAAGTTTGTTCACAATTAAAAGTGAAAATTATTTAAAAGACAGGTGAGTTCATGTGTTGATATTACATCACTAAATTGTGTCAATTTATCTGGCCTTATGTTATTTTTCAGACATCTCTGGTATTCATTATTTGCGATGCGTCCATGGTCACAACATGACATGTCTCGTACTCAACGTGTTGCTTGTTGTTCAATCCTTATATTTATGTTAATGTTGACTTCTCTCATGTTTTATGGACTTGAAGCCTCTCTTAGTATTGATCTGGGATATTATTCATTCAAATGGTCAAATATTGCTATTGGTGAGTTGATGATTTATACAGACTGACATTGATGATTTCCATTCATCATGTGAACTGCTATAAAATAAGCCTATATCTAACACTGGAGGTTTTGTCCAATTTAACAAGTTTTACAAAATATACTTTATTCAAATATTATTTGATTTACTAATATTCCTTTTGTTTTCAGGATTGGAAAGTAGTATTTTATGTTTTCCTGCGACCTACATTGTGTCTGTGATATTTCGACAATCACGACAACATCATAGAAATCACCATTGCAACACAAGTAACTATAACACTATTACATCATCAATATCAGATTTTGATCTTCAAAGTAGAATTTCATCTCGAAGGTTTAGTCATAGAACGTTGACATCATCACGACATCTTTTGAGACATCGAGAGCTGAACAACATGGATTTAAGTGTTCCAAGATTTCGACATTTAAAATATAAAAGACATCACAGTATGACATCATCACATAGAAGCAACTATGAGAAAATAACATGTTCAGACAGTAAAATACAACAATCATCCAAAATACAAATTATTGATAAAGACAAAGAAATTCAACTCCGAAAAAGTAAGCATTTAGATCAAAACAAGAGAAAAAGAAAACAACAAATAAAATATGATGGAAGGGAACTGCTTTCACCTTCTGCTGGTTTTCACGGAGATGCAGATTTGCAAGAACAAAAGAGGTAACATCTCGTTTCAGTAAGTGCAATTATAAAAAAAACTCTGAGTTTTATCCCTTATTCATTTTTCAGAAAAGCTCATCATCGATCAAAAGTTGTTACTGTCATGGATGTTGATCCTGATTCTGTTGATTTTAAACCATTACCTTGGTTTTGTATTTATTTTGCCTGGATATTAATTACTATTATTATCATTGGATCTTCTGTACTCAGTGTGATGTATGGAATGACATATGGGAGTCATATTTCTAAACAATGGTAATAAATATGTGATACAAACAAGTATAAATTGTTTATGAGTTGAAAGCTGAAGCTCTGTAAATTCTTAGTTTAGGTCATAAATACAATGCTAATTTCTTGTTTTCGGTTCATTCAGGTTGGTATCACTTTTGAGTGGAATAATTCAGAATGTGTTTGTATTGGAACCATTCAAAGCAATATTTCTTGCCTATATTATTGTTGTTAATAATCCAAGACATGATATTTCAGACTGGGTACCTCCCCTGAGAACTGAAGGTATGAAGTTTCTGTAATTTTTTGCAACTCTTCTTTTCAATATTCATGGCAAATAGATTGTTTGTAATATTTTTATGCAATGAATATTTTCAGTTCTTCCACGAAGACACAAAAATCCGCGTCATATACTACAAAAATTAATCAAGGAACGAGAAACCGAATCAGCTTATAAATATCCTGATGTTGATAAAGTTAAAAATCAAACTATTGATAAATTGGAAGATAGAGTTTTTAAAAGAAGAATAAAGGTCAGTAATTTTCCTTGCTACGAAATAGTATTCACAAGCATACTTATGGTCAATGGTTTTTGCTTGTTTGCGTCAGTAGTCACTCAGACAAGGGCCATAGACAATAAGATCTGAAAATGAATCACTGAAATCAAATTAATCGCTTCTCAGTTGTTTATTTGTAAACTAAACAATTTCCTCATTCTCGTATATATATATCCACTGTATTTTATATTAATATGTATTTCCAGGACATATCAGTTCATCTCATATATCTTGCTATTCTGTTGATAATTGCATATGGACTTCATGATAATAAGATCATATATTTCAAGACAGCTGTTAAAAATATGTTTGATGGAAATTCAGTCTTGAGTAAAATGAAAGTGAAAACTCGAACTGATGTTTATGATTGGTTTAAAGGACCTTTGATTGACAGTTTGTATGGAGGTCACACCACCCATTTCCCAGATAAACAATTATTGGTTATTGGACACCCTACTTTGAGACAGCAAAGGATCACAGAGGGTAGGTACTTTATATACAAGCATTATAATAATTTAGGTTCATTGGAACGTAAAACTTTGAATTTTTCAATATGTGTTTCACACTTTCATTTGATAGATAGTGTTGAGCCCTGCAGTATATTTTGTTGTGCGTGTTGCTTGGTGGATGGCATAGTGTTTTAACTGATTAGAGATTTTCAACATGTGACATCAAAATACTTGTTTTCTTCAATAATTACTACAAACTTTGTTATAGGAATGAATCACTTATATAACAAGTGTTTTACAATCTAGAACCCAGTTGTGCCAATATCTGGATTTTGTGTGATCTAAGTGGTACACATGTTGCAAGGACTACACATGGCTAATTGGATGCAATATCAAAATGTTGTGCAGTCTGTTCAACTCCTTATGTTCTTATTTCCATACTCTTTTTACTTTTAAACTTTAAAAAATGAAACCTTCACAACTCATTTTGGTTTTTTTTCTGTTTTACTTGCCAACTCATTTACAGGTTTACCCTGTGTCTACACATCTGTTATTCCATATTTAAAAACAACATCAACATGTAAATCAGTTGTTTATGAAGAAAATAAAAAATATTCAACTGGTTGGTTTAAATATCATCCATATGAGATACTGATGCATTACAAGAGAGAACAAAGGTATCAAAATTAATTCTATTACTTTTATCATGAATCAAATATACCTGATTATGTTTCATTGCAAATGCTATGAAGAGACATATGAGTTATTGACTGGCGTTTTCTATTTCAATGGTGTTATGATTCCAGGCCAGTTGTTTTATATTATTATGATTATCATATATTATTATTGTAATTTCTTTCAGTCCGTGGACTTATGTTGTTGGCGATCCATACTCTCTACCATTCTTAGGAGAACATGATAACTATCATCTAGGTGGATATGTTGCAAAACTTACTAAGAATAAAAATAATGCAACGAAGATTATTCAATATTTACAAGATAATAATTGGATTGATGATAAAACTAGGTGAGATTTTATGAGAATTGTAGGAATTTAAGAGAAAATTAATTGTTGCTGGTATAATTTTTTTAAATCTGATAACTTTGATATTCACATGACATCGTATGAGCATTTCAGAATGTTAGAAAAACTTAGACATGGCTTTGAATTGATGCTTTCAGTAGTACAGGGTGACCCCAAAAAACGGAACCCATGAATGTCTTCAGAAATCTAGGAAGTTTTGAACAAACGTTATGTCTCTCTAAAATATGCTCCAAATCCCTCTTCGGCATTGAAGATAGACTTGCATCCATTATGCAAAATCGTCAATCACTCACACACACTCCTGTATGAGGATTTGTCTTATTTTTACTGCACCCTTGAGTCCACCAATTGTTTGAGAATTGTTCAGATACACATTGTACATCAAAAACCATTACAGATAAACATCTTGTTACAAGTCCGATAAATAAGGTGCTCGCTGATCAGCATTTTCTGAAATAGCTTTCTTCTATTCACCGTTTAAACTCTTTCATGCCTTGTCATGCTGGAACCACTGGTCACCTTCAATCTGTATTCATCGTTTAAAGTTAAACTCTTTCATTTTCGTCCTTGAACCAATATGGGCCGATTATGCCATGTGTGAAAATGAAAGTTTCATAGTAGCAATTAAGAAATTCATCGGTTCGGTTTTTTGTGGTCACCCTTTATATGATTTCCATATTGATTTTGATAAGAGAACAATGAATCATGCAGCGAACCATGATCTCTCGCTAGGATACCATTAAGCTCTTTAGTCATCCCAGATTGGTGTATTTACTTGCCGAAGGAACTTGTTTACAGAAAGCAATTGTGTAAAGTTGGGGTGATAGCAAAAAGTTCAGTAATAAATTTGCACAGAATAGTCACCTGCGAGATTAAAGTGTCAACTGGTTACGATAATCATCAATTTGGTCTCGCACATTCTTATAATCAGTAGAATCATGAACTGGGCATCCGACCAGTATAGTTTTTTAGGAAACTTCTCGATAGTAGGCATGTAAAAACTTTCAACAATTATCTTTTCAGAATCGTCATGCTGGAAACAGTTTTATACAACACTGCAGTTCGATTATTTTGTATCGTTTTACTTGGTGTAGAAATTCCAAACACAGGTCAAGTTCATGTTACTCTACAATTAATGGTGATGAGAACTCATCATATTGTGTGAGTTAATCTATAATTATATTTTGTTAGACTTCGCAAGGATGTTTTTGGTCAATAATAGAAACAATAATTTTGACAGTATTATTGCAATTGATCACAATAATAGCCTTGCTTGTATTAAAAATGAAGTATAACGATCTTCATAACTAATGCTTTTGTTTGTTTCAGGACATCATATGACGTTATTGTGTTCATCAGTTTGTTTGCTTTACTAGCAATGGTTTTTTATTTCATTTACAATATTGTGAGTCTTGCTAGAGAAACAGGATTTGAATACTTTGCTGATGTTTGGAATGTTCTTGAAATATTAACATTGATCACATCTGTTGGAGCTGTTATTACTTTTTTATCAAAGTAAGTTAGAATAGGATTTACATGTTGATCTAGGGGAGGGGAAAGCCGATAAGACCACGGCTTTTCATCCGGTTACCAGTTCATGTCAGGTATGGGATTAGTTATTTGTTTTCAGATGCATGAACTTGATGGTGGAGGAAGCCCTGACCGACCAGCGGTTACATGAACCACCCTACGTTAGCAAGGAGTCAAGCAGTCCTTGCAAATAACTATGGGACTCACACCTGGGAATTCACGCAGAGTAATCACAGGTGCGGTGGCGAGCGTATTCCTAATGCTTAGCACAATGTGCCACACTTCAGAGCCAAGTGCTCGGTACCTCTTCTCTAAATTTATCATTTTTAAGTTTATGGTTTTGTTATTGTAATGCAGGCCTGCACAACATACGGCCCGCGGGCCGCATGCGCCCGCTAGATACTTCTGTGCGGCCCGCGGGTGATTTGGAAACAAATCTTTGTTATTGTTTTTTTTGTTACATTGTTATTATGCAAGCGCGCCGCTACTCCGATCATATTAGAAATCGTGAGATTTATGTTTTGCACTAGTTTCAATAAATATCGAACTTGGTGTAAAATTGGTGTGCCCTTCGCGACCCTTAAAATTCGTCGCTCGACCTCTCGCCCCCCAGTTTGGGAAACCCTAATTTAGATATCTCGGTATTCAAACTGAATCACGCTTAAAATAATATCGGTATATAATCTCACACCCATTAGTGCATATTAGCAACCTATTAATAACCCCACTATTTTTTACTAGCAGTTTATGAAACTGAAGTTTCTTTTTCAAATTTAAAACTTGAAAAACAATTTTTTCTCACATGAATGCTGCAGAAATTCTCGCACAAAAGATATTGCTATTTACTGTAAAACTTCAAAAATCTGGAGCAGATTTTGTAGAAAAATGTAATTTAACAGTCGAAAAAGTACAACAGAGGAAGATCTATCGCTACTAAACGGATTGTTTGTCCAGCCTGCAATGGAAATATCTAAAAATGTTAGATATGACTGAATACCTATATGTGGGACGATTTTACAAAACTGAACCTGAGTAAAATATTTTCCTGCAGTCAGTTTATACTGCAACACGCAATACCTAATTCTAATAAAAAAAAATATTGAAAATGAACGGTGGGTTTTCAAGTAGATGAACCACTAAATACTCAAGAAAATAAGATTCTTCATATTTTTAAGCTTTCCAGTAATGAAAGTGTTTCATCAAATTTAACTGTTTCACAATATTATTTTGATTTGAAGTTCATCTTGTGAAATATGTATGTGGCAAAGTTTGCGGCCCGCCGGGCCTTCAGATTTATCCTTGCGGCCCTTGTGGTAACTGGGGTTGTGCAGGCCTGTTGTAATGTAACATATCTATTCCTAAGTGGTTGAGAGCATATAGATGTGAATCTCTGCATACATGGGGTATAATGTATTACGATTTTACTAGTAAACTGTTCAATTTCACAGAGCAACATACACAGATCTAGCACTTCATGCAACTAAAACAGGAAATGATAATTTATTTCTATTCTACACTGCATCATGTCTTGATTACACTTTAACTTGTTTACTTGGATATTGTATATTCTTCACTATGATGAGAACTGTTGCGGTGAGTTATATCTCATATATGACAATAAGTATCAAGGCTAACCTGCACAAATCAGACGTAAGGACTTTCAAACTTTTTTTTAGATAATGGAAGGTCACCATCACTTCAGATTAGCAAATGCGACAATGCAAATTATAAGATTCGATTTAGCAGGACATTTATTTTGTTTATTTATTGGATATATGGCTTTCTGTCATTCAGGTGGGTATCTTTTGTTGTTTTTTGTAACCACCTGTTGAGATGATGTGTATGATTATACGTATAAAATGATGTACTATTTAAAGATGATACCCTGACAAACAGTCATTTCATCAAGCAGCATGGTGAAGCCGGCCAAAAGCGAATTCTGTATCTTGGTTTTAGACATTCGCAATAGGATTATTTCATTATCCCAGGTGGGAGGAAAGTCGACCAGATGACTTACGGTAATCATATGACGAACCAGACTTTCCTTAGTCACCAGTCCATGTTGGGAATACTTTACCAGTTGCTTTTTTTCAGATGCGCCAACTTCACAATTATCGCCCGATTTTTTATCACTGTTTAATATATTTCAGGTCTCATTATGTTTCATGATATGTTGGATTTCAGCAGCATATTGAGAGCAACACAATCTGTAAGTTTTCTTTTTATGTTACAGACTACAGTAATAAAACTATTCCCAAGTTGAACCCAACCCAAGTTCTCTTTGCTTTGATTCTTCTGTAAAAATGAAAAAACTTTATGTATTTCAAATGGTACTTTCATTATTACCCTTTTATAAGTTTGTGTCGCGAACATTAGATTGCACAAACGCTTTCTGATAATATACCAAACTTTTCAGATAGTTGCCTATGCAGCAGGAGCATACATGAACAATTTACTTGCAGAACATCCAATGCATGGTGGAATATTTCTACTCATATTTTTGATCATTTATGTTAAATTATTTGTTAATTTTTATGCCTGTATTTTGGAGAATGCGTATCGGGAATCAAAGTTATTATTACGAGATATTAAAAAGGGAGATTTTGTTCATTTGACAAGAAAACAAATCAGGCAAGTATTCTAAATAAAACTTGAATTATATGATCAATATTTTGAGGATGGAGAATTTAGTAATTCTGATGGTCAATTTTTCAGAGATTACAGATCTGTGTTCATAATGTCAGAACATAAACATCACTGGCTTGATTTGGCATCCATCACTATTATCTTTGAGAAACTTTTATATCGCAGATTAATTAATTTTTGCCAAAATCACAAACTCATCAATAAATACCATTTTGCATTAATAGTCAATTTGTCACTGAATGTTTTTTAGATCATTATTTGCGATTGAAGCAAGAAAACGAGCTGAGGAGGAAGCAAAAGAAAAGCTGGAAAGTGAAAAATTGAAAGAAAAAATACTGAAAGAAATGAATGAAATTCAAAAAGAAAGAAAAAATGTAACAAAATTACAGAAAAATGTTTAGAATTGGGTTTGTAGTTTTACGAGAAGATCAGCTTCAAAATTGGCAATGAAAAGCATATTATTCGAGAGATGTTGGAGCAGAATAAAAATGAAAAAAGCAGAATTGCCCATTACAAAGTGTTGTAGTATCAGTGTAATAATTACTGTCATTCATTTTGGTGCGTTATAAATATATATATATGGTTGTCGCTACAAGCACAGTGATGAACACTTCCATTTTTAGGTTGGCTTTTTAAATTGCTAGATATGATGTCATTCAAGGGTTTGAAACTGTTCTATGTAATAGTGTTTTTTCAATTAATTTCAATCTAATGTCGCTACACATAAAGAGTCAAGTAGTAGTTTGATTCGAAACCAAGCTTACCATCACCATCCACAACATTATATGATAATAGCACTTTCACTAACACAATGATTCACAATCTGTGTTCTGTGTCAAATTGTTGTCCCCGAAATATTCTTATATTGTAGGATATTTTATTATAACAAAAAGTAATCCAAATCCACCAAGCATGTATTCAGTGTTAGGAAGATTCTGATTTGTGTAATAACCTTCCCGTGGGAACGGACTTCCTAGTTTATTTCTGAAACAATAGCTAACAACAAAATGTTAAAGGAAACAATTGAAATTTGATTAGCAGCTCAAACGTCATTTTCAAGCATAGTTGATTGACTCGTTTTCGTAATGTCAGGCCTGAGTATGAATTCAGCTCATCTTTTTCTGTGACCTGAGCCGAATTCATGTCATGTTCTTGACACACTGTGGTATGAAATTGATAGTAGCCTATGTTGCTACATAAGTGGGGGTCACTTAAATGGATCGACAAGTCAAGTTATCACTCTATATTCCATGTGTTTTTTTGAGTTTTGAGTAGCTTTAGAAATGCATATCACATAAATTGGTAAATATTCTAAACGCGTTAATTTAGCTATTAGTTGTTTACAGTTAGTGAATCTTCATTTATTTGGATAGTCAATCGTAATAAATAGCCGACTCTTTCCCAGATTCTCTGCTATAGCATTTCAGTCTTACCTATTTGGCAGTTGAACAAGGAACAACATTTTTGTAGAAATGATTGATGAGCCAGAATATTCTTTTTAATAAATCTTTTTATAACAGGAAAAGTTTTTATAGTATAGAATTTGTCAATTTTTGGGTATCCCGCTGACTAAGTGTAGGTAGTTGGGTAACCCAATTGTCTGCCTTGTTGGATCAATTTTATTTCCGTAGGCCAAGCTATACATCCTTGTGATTTTCCTCTTTTTTCATCTTCCCATTATGCATCTATGTTTTTTTTTTCAAGTTTTGTTCTACTCTTTCTCTCCTTTTCAATTTCATTCATTTCCCTCAGAATTTTTTCTCTCAATTTTTCATTCTCTAACTTTTCTTTTGCTTCTTCTTCAAGTCTCTTTCTTGCTTCAATTGCAAACAAAGATCTAGAAAACAAAGTAAAAGTTTGATAAATTTTTTTCAAATTTGATTCAATATTAAAACAAGAGAACAGTGCTCAAACATATGGACACGAGGTGGTACGGGTATGCAATCTGTCATCGTAGTCTACTGGTATTGCAGCTGAGCTGCAGATTTGCACTTATTAGTAAGCGAAAGCGCGACCGCCACAGGGAGCACAATTTTTATGACATCATCGCACACAAAAAACGAATCCCATGCAGGCCCCAGAAATCTAATAAAATAAAAGGAATACCCTTCTAGCTAAGATACAATCTTTGATCACTGAGAATTTCAAAGCAATTGGTCCAGTAGGCTAGTTGATGAGAAAAGTGTTTTTTTCAAAACAGGAAAAGAAAAAAAGCTAATATGACGATCAACAATAACAAAACGCACTATAGGTCCAATTATGAGCTTAGTCCTGCGATTAGATGTCTGGATAATAAAAAAATTCTAGCTAACAATGTCAGGAAAATAGCTAGGAATTCAATTACACAAAATGGAAGCTATTGAAAAAAACTTTTAGCATAGAAATTTCGTTAAAAAGCAGCATGAATTAGAGATGTATCGGCAATATCGGTCATTATTTCGGTATCGGCCATGTATCGGTATCGGTTAGATTAAGGCCGATATTTCCGATATATTTACCTTTTTGATTTGGTCCAGAATGTTTTAAAAGATAAGTTGGAATACTGCTTTTCAATTTATTTTTTGTCTGGAGAGATCGTGAGCTATGAGCCATACTTGTCCCCATCCCCGCGAGGGAATAGGATTCACCTGTTTCTAGCTATTTATCAGCCAAACTAGCTTAACTAATTTGGCTATTTTTGCTGTCAAATTTTTATATTGACATTTTTGATATTACATAGTAATTATGAAGAAATATATCAACACAGCACATAACAAAAAGCAAGTAGGCGCCCAGTTTTAAATCATACAGTGGAATTGGGGTCCTGAATAACGGCACATGCACTTTTGGCACGGATATAAGTTCTGACTCTTTGTCGTCAATTACGACTATCATTTTAGTCCGTCGACATCGATAAACTAAATTCCGACACAATTATCAGTCTACGCAGGTATTAATTTTAATTTTGTTTAACTACACAATTTCTTTATAGATATTTTGACATGACCGGCTAGAGTTAGACTAGATTGTCTCAAAATATATGATAGCAATTGTAAAATAGTAAAGTAAAAAAAACTCCTCGACGGTTATGGGTAGGCCTTCTTCTTGTCGGTGCTGATTGATATTCTTTCATGTTGGCTTTGTTTTATTGCGGCGATGATTACGATCAACCACAAAATATTTGTAAAATGCTTTTAATTTGAACGTAGGACGGCGGCGCTAGAATGTGTGGGCGATATTCTTTTAAACACAAATAACGATATTCGAAAGTCGCGATATTAACAATAAATTCGAATTGGACATCCCGGCTCAGGATTTTTCTAATTGAACACCGAGATTACTAGCGTGTATCTTAATCAGTTAAAGCATCTGGATGCCAAACATCAATTTCATATTATGTGATAGATCTCTTTCGATCTGAAATAATGTGTGCTATGAACAACGCTCAAAGACCATTGTTTTAACCCGTCTGCCCTACACAGCACACCTAATTAAGTAATAATTACATAGTATCGGTAGTATCGGCCTTTTTGTAGTATCGGCGTATCGGTATCGGCTTTTTTAGCTGGTATCGGTATCGGCGAAAAAAGTGATATCGGTACATCTCTAGCATGAATAAAAAAATTGTCTATTTTATGGCCGAAAAACTAAGTACAGTATACTAGGTGAAACTAAATTTTACTAATGAGGTATACTTTGCAAAGCTGAGACTAGTATTGGCTATATTTATTCCTTCCTTTTGAGTCAATTGGTGAATAAGGTTAAAAACCAACTCAGATATAGAAGCAACACCTCATTTAAAACTTATCTTCGATTACTACAAGTATGCCATTCCTGTGATAAAATATTTTTGAGCAAAAGATATGAAGCAACTCAAATTTTTTGACTCAATGAATATATTTCATGACATACACACAGTTAACCTATTCAGATGATGAGACCATGAAAGAAAAATAAATTGAAATCATTTAAATTTTATTTGGGGTAACAAAATCAATTTTATTTACATACTGAATGATGGATAAAATTCTATTTTTTGCTGTATTCAGAAGGACCTGACACTGGTATTCACATTATAAAATCTTAGACAAGTCAGTTTCTCGTAGTAGCACAACAAAAAATCAATAATAGTACATATTCTATAGTTTCAAAATCGCAATATATTGTCAAGTGAAAAATAAGACAAAATTCACGACAAGATATCAATTTATTAAAAACCAAATAATTTTATGTAAAGAATGGGTACTCCCGTAGTATGTGAACCAAGATGGCGGAATGTAGTATGTGTACCAGGTTAGGGTTAGGTCTTAATTTCAGGTACAAATACTACGGGAGTCACTTGGCTAGTCCCCGAACTCATAATAGAACTAAAATAAGGAAAATTGGAATGAAATTATCGCCTAACACTGATACACATACTATGTTCAGGGTTCGCCACCTTGGTTCACATACTACAGGAGCGCCAAAAAATGTGCTATGGGATATAAAACTAGACCTTTATTTTTCTATTATTCAAAAGAATCCATAGGCTTTATAGCAAAGAATTCCATAACGTAAATTGTAATCCCCATTCATAATAAAATTACTTGCCTGATTTGTTTTCTTGTCAAATGAACAAAATCTCCCTTTTTAATATCTCGTAATAATAACTTGGATTCTCGATATGCGTTCTCCAAAATACAGGCATAAAAATTAACAAATAACTTGACGTAAATGAGCAAAAATATGAGTAGAAATATTCCACCATGCATTGGATGTTCTGCAAGTAAATTATTCATGTATGCTCCAGCTGCATAGGCAACTATCTGAAAAGAAAATTTTCTGTTCAACACAAAAATGGATTAGTAGTAATGACTTAATCTGGGATCGATCACTGAAGATACTCCAATCACATGCACATAGTATTATGTAAATTTTTTTGTCATTACCATTTATTGGACAAAATATGTTGGTTCGGCCATATTCATGGACAAAACTTCAATTTTTTTTAAATTGCACACAATTGAATATATAGTTGCTTAGTTCAGTCACTCTAATTGAAAATAAAATTCAAAACTCACTGATTGTGTTGCCCTAAGAATGCTGCTGAAATCCAACATATCATGAAACATAATAAGACCTGAAAAAAATATCAAAGTGTTGTCTTCTATTTGAAAAAATGAATACCGAATGTTCCAGCAATCAATTTTTTGATAAATTTGGTGATTTTGCATATTTGATGAAAAGTTAACCAAAAATATCATAAAAGTCTTGCGATAGTTACCTGAATGACAAAATGCCATATATCCAATAAACAAACAAAATAAATGTCCCGCTAAATCAAATCTTATAATTTGCATTGTTGCATTTGATAATCTGAAGTGAGGGTGGCCTTCCATTATCTAAAAAAGAAGTCGAGAGACGTTATGTCAGATTTGTATAAAGTTACCATTAATACTTATTGTCATATATGAGATGTAACTTACCGCAACAGTTCTCATCATAGTAAAGAATATACAATATCCAAGTAGACATGTTAATGCATAATCAAGACATGATGCAGTGTAGAATAGAAATAAATTATCATCTCCTGTCTTAGTTGCATGAAGTGCTAGGTCTGTGTATGTTGCCCTGTTTGATAAAAGTCTGCTGGTTATGTCTAGAAATCAAATCTTCAAGCAGCGAATCATTGGAGTTTAACACTCACTTGGATAGAAAAGTAATAACAGCTCCAACAGATGTAATCAATGTTAATATTTCAAGAATATTCCAAACATCAGCAAAATATTCAAATCCTGTTTCTCTAGCAAGACTCACAATATTGTAAATAAAATAAAAAACCATTGCTAGTAAAGCAAATAGGCTGATGAATACAATTACGTCAAATGATGTTCTGAAACAGAATAAATTAGATCATGTAAGTGAAAGCATTGGCCAAAAGGATTGCTAATATTTATTGTTCCTTTTTCGCACATGATTAGGGAGTTTTGTTACAATACCAATGTTAAAATTTAACTCTAAAATTATAGATACGCACTAAATAGACAAAATATTGACATTATTTTGTAATTTACAACCAAGTAATATTATAGATAAACTTACACAACATGATGAGATCTCATTACCATTAATTGTAAAGTAACATGAACTTGACCTGTGTTTGGAATTTCTACACCAAGTAAAACAATACAAAATAATCGAACTGCAGTGTTGTATAAAACTGTTTCCAACATGACAATTCTGAAAACCGAAATTCATAATTTTTTATGTAGATGTAAGTAATGAACTTACACAGTGGGCTGATTGTTAAAACCATCTACTCCAGGAATTGGAAATCATGATTTTGGAAATGATAAATTCCTCAATGTACATTGTCTATGTCAGCTAACTACTCATCTTATGCTTGTTAGTAACTGTTCATTAATATGCATTTTTGCAATTTTCCAAGGAATATTATTAGACCTGCTGGCAATTTATATAAATTGCCCAAAATCTTACCTTGTTTTATCATCTATCCAATTATTATCTTGTAAATATTGAATCATTTTTGTTGCATTATTTTTATTCTTGGTGAGTTTTCCAACATATCCACCAAGATGATAGTTATCATGTTCTCCTAAGAATGGTAGAGAGTATGCATCACCAGCAACAAAAGTCCAAGGACTGAAAGAAGATACAAATTTAAATATGAAAACTAGTTTGCAATATTATGTTATTGAAACAAAACACACTGTAACATAATATGACTTTGATACATCTTTTCATAGCATTTGCAAATATACATTCTTTCTCAAAAATAAACTGATATAATGTCCATATGGCATTGATTGTACAACTGAACAATCATATATTGATGTTATGTAGATAGACATTAAGGTAATACGCATACCTGTGATGTCTGCCATACTGAGTCAGCGTCTCATATGGACGATATTTGAACCAAGCAGTTGAGTATTTCCCAATTTCTTCATAAACGTTTGATTTACATGTTGATGATGTTTTTAAATATGGAATAACAGATGTGTAGACACAGGATGGACCTGGGGGTGTTAATGGTAAATGAGAAATGATGAATATAACAAAAAGTGAAAGATTTTATATATAGTTGTTGCAAGCCATTTTCTGGAAGTTGAAAGGGGGAAGAAGATTGGCTGTGTACAAAGAAATATAACGAAATAACAACATCACGTTTGGATCAGAGAAAGTTTGGATTTTGAGACCAATCACAATGATTTGGAATCAAAGCATGGTCATTTTAAAAAACGCCTCAATTTGTTTTTGGGTTTGATGAACAAGGTTGCGTACTAAAGTTTTCTCATCTGAGTTTATACAAAAGCAACAAACTTCCCAAGAAAAGAGGAACGCAGTCTCAAACAAACAGTGCATCATACAGACTATTTGCACTACATGAATTTACTTGCAGGTTTGCATTACATACAATCCAAACTTTTGCAAAACTTGGTTGTAATTATTAGTAAGATATGCTCACATACTTGTGACAAGAGCATATTGCATACTCGTATCCAAACATTTGCAAAGCTTGGTTGTAATTAGTAAAATTTGCTCACACACTTGTGGCAAGTGCATATTGCATACTCATATATTGTGAGTACTTACCTTCTTTAATCCTTTGCTGTCTCAGAGTAGGAGGTCCTATAACTAATAATTGTTTATCAGGAAAATGAGAAGAATGGCCTCCATACAAACTGTCAATCAAAGGTCCTTTGAACCAATCATAAACATCAGTTCGAGTTTTCACTTTCATTTTACTTAAGACTGAATTTCCATCAAACATATTTTTAACAGCTGTCTTGAAATATATGATCTTGTTATCATGAAGTCCGTATGCAATTATCAACAGAATAGCAAGATAAATGAGATGAACTGATATGTCCTGAAAATATACCGAAATTTTTAATAAAAAAAAATTTGACCATGTAAATAGAGCAAATTTCAAAAACTCCAATTGTTTTCTGATTTCAATAATCAGTCCTCAATTCCTACCTCTATACAAAATTATACATACATTACAAAAGTAAGTTTTAAGAAGGAAATTTCACCAACCTTTATTCGCCTTTTAAAAACTCTATCTTCTAATTTATCAATAGTTTGATTTTTAACTTTATCAACATCAGGATATTTGTAAGCTGATTCAGTTTCTCGTTTTTTGATTAATTTTTGTAAAATATGATGAGGATTTTCGTATCTTCGTGGAAGAACTAGAATAATAATAGAGTTTCAGCAATTAAAAATGGTAACAGACATTCTATTTGCAACAAATATTGAAAAGAAGAATTGCAAAAAATGAACAAACTTCATACTTTCAGTTCTCAGAGGTGGGATCCAGTCTGATATATCATGTCTTGGATTATTAACAACAATAATATAAGCAAGAAATATAGCTTTGAATGGTTCCAATACAAACACATTCTGAATTATTCCACTTAGAAGTGATACCAACCTGAGTAAAACAAGTAATTCGAATTGATATTATGATCTCAACTAAGAATACAAGAGAACAATTTATACATGTTTGTATCACATACTTACCATTGCTTAGAAATATGACTTCCATAAGTCATTCCATACATCACACTAAGTACAGACGATCCAATGATAATAATAGTAATCAATATCCAGGCAAAATAAATACAAAACCAAGGGATTGGTTTAAAATCAACAGAATCAGGATCAATATCCATGACTGTAACAACTTTTGATCGATGATGAGACCTCCTGAAAAAGAATGCAGCATTAAACTCAGAATTTTCTATGCATTTGCCCAGTTTTCTAACCTTTTTTGTTCTTGCAAATCTGCATCTCCATGAAAACCAGCAGAAGGTAAAAGCAGTTCCCTTCCATCATATTTTATTTGCTGTTTTGTTTTTCTCCTTTTTTGTTTTAAATTTTTACTATTTGTAAGTTGAATTTCTCTTGCATCATCAACAACTAGCACTTTAGATGATTTTTGCGTTTTAGTATCCGAAGATGATATTTTCTCATAGCTTATTCTATGTGGTGATGTCATACTGTTATGTCGTTTTGATTTCAAATGTCGAAATCTTGGAACGCTCAAATCCATATTATCAAGTTCTCGATGTCTCAAAAGACGTCTTGATGATGTCATTGTCCCACGACTGCACCTTCGAGATGAAATTCTACATTGATAATTGAAGTCTGATAATGTAGATGTGAGTGTGATGTTGTCATAGTTAATTGTATCACTATGGTTATATCTATGGTGATGTTGTCGCGATTGTCGGAATATCACAGATACAATGTAGGTTGCAGGAAAACATAGAATGCTGCTTTCTAAGCCTAAACAATGAGATGAGATGTGAGAGCTGAAAAGCTAAGTTAGTATTCATCAACATCTGCCAATATAAATCAATCACTTACCAATAGCAATATTCGACCATTTGAATGAATAATATCCCAGATCAATACTAAGAGAGGCTTCAAGTCCATAAAACATGAGAGAAGTCAACATTAACATAAATATAAGAATTGAACAACAAGCAACACGTTGAGTACGAGACATGTCATGTTGTGACCATGGACGCATCGCAAATAATGAATACCAGAGATGTCTGAAAAATAACAGAAGACCAGATGAATTGACATAATATAGTAATGCAGCATCAAGACATTCCACTAACCTGTCTTTTAAATAATTTTCACTTTTAATTGTGAACAAACTTTTGAATGAATGAAGATGTTTGATAGTGGCTGCATGAACTTCAATATCAATCTGACATTCTCCCATATGATAATCTGATAACCAGGTATTTATGAGAAAAAACCAACATTCATTTGTTTCATAATCTCGAACAACAAGACGATCAATGTACCTGAAAGGCATAAGTATATGTCGGTGTCAATTGGAAACCAACACTATATCACAAAGATCATATTTAACGATAAATTTAGAAGTTTATTAATTTTCTAAAAGTGTGTCACCTAAACGGAATGTTTAGAAAAACTTATTTATGTGAATATGTGGTAACTGGTAATTATGATAGCTAATTTGATTAAACCCAGATAAGTTGGAAAGTAAAATGTAAATGAAATACAATTCAGAACATGTCTAGTCCGTTTTATTTGGCCTAAATATCTATTCCATCACACATGATTTCATTTTCCCGTAGTACAAGTGCTATAGAATTGAATGAATAATTTTTCCAGTAACTTGTCAATATTAAAAATATCATACCATTCAGGACTTGTACCTTCATTACCATGCCATAATCTAACAGTAGTAATATCACCAAGACACCCAGGTGTTGTAATAAGAAATGTGATAACACTTCCTTGTAATAAAATTCTTTCTTCTTCACATTTCTAGAAGAATAATGAGTATTACAATTTATAGGTTACAATGAAAAACAGTGTGAATGTGAACAAACATAGTAATAATCACTGATAACAAAACCACAAATATATAAACATAATTATTGCTCTCTTCACATGACATGGGAAACTGAAACCAAACATAAATTCTCAACATATCAAGAACACACATGCAACTCCCCAATAATAAACAAAGTAGCATGTTTAGCAGAATTTGAAAAACAAAAATCTATATAGACTTAATTACATCAGATTAATTAAAATATTCTATTTACCAATGTTTTATTCTCTAATGATTTTGTCTTTTTTTATCATAAAAATATCACTCACCTACCTGTAATATATGAACAACACTTTTATTATTTGATCCATTAATTTTAACAACAACAGTAGATGAAGGTCCAGATCTACGACGATTCCCAGTAAATATTGTAAGTAAATATCTGTAGTGTTCATTTGGAAGATTGTCGCTCACTTCTATGTAAGAATGCTGTTTAAACATAACCAGAAATAACAGACATGAGACAAGTATATGATCGCATAGATTGATTCCTTTTAAAATACGTAACAATAACCCAAAACCAGAGTCTACAATTGGTACAATTTTACCTGTTTGAGTATGATTAAGCACAGAAATACATAGGTAAAATAATATACTCACGAATTCCATATCATTTTTATCCTTCCATCTTGCCCAGAACAAAGCTGATCCAAATACTAAATACATTCCAAATACTGTTAAAAATATGATCGGATTGTCATAAAATTCCTCCCATAAATTCCAAGATACCTGAATAACAGATTAATTTCAATATTCTAAGTATGGATTTATGTCTGAGATTATGTTTCTACAAACAGGTTTATTATTCTTGGTCTAAATAAACATATGTCATACCATTAACAGGCAAATTTGTGTAAATTAAGAGGGAAAAACTTGTAGAAACAAAAGTTCCTGGCTCTACTTCTGCTTGAAGTGTTTAATTGAATGAGTGAATCTAGTTTAAGAGAATACCGTAGGTACCGGTGCCGGTACCGGTAATTGAAAAAAAAAGAATGATTCAGTAAAACTTACTTTTGTGAAATCAATTTTATTTGGATATACAATTAATCTTGATGAAAATAAATTTGGTGAAGAAATTTTTCGGGTTCGTGAAAATGTTTGTGGATCACATTCACACCAAGTCCATTTGTCAAGTGTTGAAGTCAGAGTAGCCTGAGAATAGGTAAATTTATAACTAATGTACAGGAAATATGGGAATCTTCAAACCAAAATTGTCTATAATAACAAACCTTACAACCATCACTATTCCAATCATTAATCATGTCATCCCAGAATAAACACTTGGTAGCATATGTCAATATTTTCAAAGTCACTGCATGAATAGATTGAGTCTCTACTGTTAAATTAAAAATTGTGTGACCTTTCAGGATAGGTATCGTCCAAGTAAATCCACCTTCAGACGCAAATTCTGTAAAGCAAAAATACTCAACAATATACAATAAATATAATATAATAGTATTAATCTTCACAATGTAAAGAAAATTTGAAGAATTACAAATACTTTTGCCTTAAATGCTTTAACCTGACTTTCAAAAAGGTCAATTGCCACTAATCATTTAAAAGTGTTACCTCAGAAAAATTTCTTGTACTTGCACAGGCAAAGAAACTTTTAACATTTGAAGTAGACAAAACTTGAAAAAAAAAATTGTTTATTTATACCTGTTCCATTGACAATTTCATTAAGTTTGAACCGATCCATTTCCAGGATGTTACTTTCTTGTAAGGTCAACTTCACTTTTTCCATTTCCAAAATATCATTTGTAATTATTCTTATTTTTAAAGCAACATTTTCATGAGATCCTTCCACAACAATTGGTAAAAATCCGCTCCATAAACCTGGTTTCGTTTCGTTTAATTTTAAATTAAAATATTCAGGTTCAGGTTGATGATTCAACAAACCATATTTTATTGGTTTTGACAAAGGAAATGTTTTTGTTTCTGATTTTATTTTTCCTGGAATTTTGTGAGATTTCGACAAAGTTATTCCAACTACTTCATCTGCTTTGTTTGATTTTGTGTTAAATTTTGTGTTTGAAGAGTTGAATTTGAAAACCTAACAAATGAATTGAATGAGACTAAATTGATTATCTATCATAAGCCATTATAGACAACCATCTAAATTTTAAACATTATCTTCTTACCTGTAAATTTAAGAATTCGGTATCATCATCTTGTGTTCCCCTCGAATCTTCGACTTTGATTTGTACTTCATCATCAGCTAAGGTCAAATCTATTGTATTAAAATAGACATATTTTGAAATGCACAGTTGATATAAAAATATATATATAATACATTACAGTAATGTGAAAATTGCTAAACTATATATTTTCTGCAAAAATACCAAAAAAAAAAATTGAAGTAAAAAATGAAGAACTCACTTTCACTATGCTTATATCGCTTAATACTAGTATCCACAGATCTTGTTTTAATTTTTATTATTTCATCTCCAGGTAGAATTGCTTCAAGCATTTCACGACTTAAATCATCAACTATTGTTGTGAGAGTTCGATGGTTGGATGTTGTAGTAACCTGGAATATAGAAATAGAGCCATGTTTCGATTATCTCTCAATAAAGAAAACTAAATACAATTTATATTACCGGTAAATGGGATAATGAGGGAGTCGGGAACTCGTTTAAAGCGAAAAAATGATTACCACAACAAAATTTGATATTCCAATGAATAACTTTTTGGATCTCTTGGATCTCACCTGAGTTTCACTCATTCCTTCCATAATATTTGATGAAACAATTAATGATGTTCTAACGACTGATGAAATAGAATCGATTGATGAATCAATATCATTATGTATCCAGGTAGATACATCAGATAGTTTGTTTATGAGGTTTCCCTAAAAAAAATATGAAAATAGAAAAACTATATCAACACTGAAAGCATTACAAAATTCAAATAAAAAAGAAATTAAAAATAAAACTCATATTTCGGGTAGTTGTTAACGTTAAATGATAAGCCATGCAAATATTATGTATACTGCCTTTGAAAATTTGTAGTACAGTACAAGGCTACACTAGTAGTATTTCATCAAAAAGACTTTGTTTAGATTTACCTGAATAGTTTTATCCAAGCTCTTGGAATAATCCTCTGTTGCAACTTGCAGAACATCAGAAGTTTGTTTCACTGATTCAGTTGATATAAGTATGGAATCCAATGCAAAGTTCAACATTTTGTTTCTCTAAAACATAAATAATAAGATTTATCAAAAAGGACATTGAGTTAAATTTTTTATCCTCATATCCTTACTAAAATTCTTCATCGATAAAGTGAACATATGCAAAAAATTGAATATGTCTGAACCAGGGTGGTCCAAGGTTGTCGGCTCCGCGGGCCACAAATTTATTTTTTCATCGTTCGCGGGCCACAATAGTGCCAATAATAGGTAAACAGTGCAATACAAAATAAACACTTTCATTGTGCAAACACATAGTTATCAGACATAGCCATCCCAGGGTAATAGAATCCGCATTTGATTTTTAGTTTTCTATGATGCCTTTATTGTTAGCATATATTTCCGACAAAAAATAGAAATAGAAAGCCAGATAATAATTTAGACTGCCAAGCACATCATTCAACTTCGCTATTTGCCTCAGCCAGCCATAACACTAGTCAATTCAGTGACATTAGTGATGAAACAATATGTCAGAAGATTTTTCTGATAAATTCGATTACGAAACAACCCGAAATGCGATTTATCGATTACTCTCCGAATGTGACGCGGACCACAGATAATGAAGCATCGGGCCACATGTGGCCCGTGAGCCTGGGTTTGGACCCCCCTGGCCTAAACATTTCACATAATTCAGAGACTGAAATCTATTACATAGGCACTTTTTCCATGTGCTCTTAATCCAACTTACCAAGTTCATAGAAAAATCAGGATTTTTCGACAACGATGAAGCATATTGAGCTACTTTTTGTGAATTTTTGGATTTTATTGCATTCTCAAGTTCTTGTTGCCAATTCTCAGTTACTGCTGGATCTTTACTTTCTTGTACTTGTATTGGAAATATATTGTGTGAACACGAACCAGCAGAATTACATGTTTCTGCCTGTATTTGGATGTAACCAGGTGGAAGAATAAAATCTGTGACTTCAGTTTCATAACCATATTGTAGAAGAGATTTGGAATCTGTAAAATACTTTGATCCATAAAAACAATGAATAAAAATTTGACTCTACTTTTTTTTTCTTTCGGGATTGCTAAAACGAGAAAAGATCCAAAGTGTGTGGATGTTGTGAGGCATTAACTGTATAAATCTGAAATTGCATTTACATCTTAAGAAAATAAATAGAACATGTAATACAACATATAACTGATATTCTATTGTAAAATGTTTGTGATTGATATCTTCTAAGGGTGTGGAGTGAACATCAACCACCATATTTGTCAAAGTATCATGACATCATAAAAAAGAAATGTGAGATTAAACAAATTATTGGCATCATATTCTTTCGAACAATTGAGATTCCTATATTATAAAAACTATACATATATATTTATGAGCAACATAGCAGGGGTGACATTAGATAAAAAGGTTATGGGTACTATCTATCAAATGTTATTTGAAAACCAACCTTCATCAATCAAAGAAAACTTGATTATGAGTCTTTCATAAGTTATGCAAGTTATATTGAATCTTGTGATGAATCCAAAACCAGATTTAGGTTGATATGAACATCGTACTGCAGATGGAGGTTGAATAATGTAAGTTTTGATAGTGATGGAAGCATTTTGTTCAATTTCATCAACACCTGTAAAAGTAAATGTTGGGAATATGCAAAAAATTATAATATTATACCAAAGTATTAATTCATAGCCTAATTATTTTTGAAAATGTTTGGTATACAGTATTTGAACATCATAGATTTAGCCTGCTCTGTTTTATCTCATAAATAATAAAAACGGTTCCATTACATTTGAACCCACGTACATTTGAACCCATGACAATTGCACCTGTATGCTATTGCACCTATGGAATTTTTTTGTTTCACGGATAGTTAAACCCATACTAACCCTAACCCATGGGTTTTAGCACCTGCATATAGATTGAACCCGTGGATATACGCATGGGTTCAAATGTACATAGGTTCAAATGTACGGTCACCAATAAAAACAACTAAACTGAGAATTGAAGATAACTACGGTAGTAGAAAAAAATTGTTGATAGAAATATAGATACAGGATAAATTCAATCTACTAACCATGGCACTTAGTATTATCCCATATTAAATAGCAAGCTATCAAATAACTGGACCATTGAAAAGATATAAAAGGATAGTTCCTCATAATGATATCAAACCTTAATTCAACTACAAACCTGTAGCAGTGATGTAAATATATTTTGTTGCATTGATTTTTTCTAATATAGCAGATTCAATTTCACAAAATTCTTTTGAATCACAACTATTCAACTTTCCAAATATTGTTTTCCATTCGTATCTCACACATGAATCACATTGGATTTGTAGAATGAAAGGTTCTTGAGGTTTCAACGATTTTCCACAATTCACCCAACATCTGTAATAAGATATTTAGTCAGAGAAATGACAACATAGAAAACAAATGTATCAACAATACTCACAAAATATTTAAACTTGGAGCAGGATGTGATAAAATGAAAACTTCTTGATCAGTAAAAACATTTTCATATCCAGGTAAACTAACAAATAATCTGATGTAAAATTTATCTTTTATTTTAGTTTCATCAACATTAATTTCAACTTTTGTTCGATTTCCTACAAATGATGGATTCCAACCAAAACATGATCCCTTATGTTGAAACATTCCGACATGTTTATCAACAGGTAAATCTTCAATATTTAAAAAACAAAACCAGTCATATTGTTGATCTTGAATATGTGGATTCAGTGAGCAAGATCCATCAAACGATATTAGAGATGTGTTGTGACCTAGAAAATATGAAATAAGATTGATTATCAATAGAATATGGAATGAAGCACAAAATATGTTTAGTCGGTGTAAAAAAAAATTCCACAAAATATGCTGACTTCGTTATTAGGAATATGATTCAAATCTTAGTAGAATTCATTCAGTGACAAATAGCATTACAAAAAAAATCAATGTTCCCATACCTATTTCTCTCTGTGTTCCCCCACATATTTGTGCATTTAATTCCATTTTGGTTGTTTTAATTGATGTAAAATCTTCAACTTGTTGAATAAGAATTCCACTGTTGCCAACTTGAGTAACAATAACTTGAATAATATAAAGACCAGAATCGATCATCCACGGTTTGATCATAAGTTCATTTGTCTCTGTCACCAAGTTTTCAAAGTTAATTTCATTTTCTGGTTTTGTTGTAAGGGTTTTCACCTGTAACAAAAGTTATAGAAAAGATGGAAAGACAAGAAGCTTATGTTTACTGGAAAGTGGACAAAACCCCTGATGATACATATTCCATGGCAGTTTCGAAAATAAACAGGAATAAGTTCTAATTCATTGACAACAATTCAATAAAAAATAAATTGACCACATTCTGTCTTCATACTGTTTAAAACGTTAGGTCGTTATTCATTGACTGTCAATTAGTAATTCTGTTGCATTTAAATTTTCACAATAAATATAAGAATTATCAGTGACTAAATAAAAGGATCGAAGTGAGACTAACGATGTAAAAGCATTCCTAATAATTTTAGTTGGGTGGCGTCATGTCCATTACTTTAAATACCTTCATTCCAAATTATTGATCGTTATTAAAACTAAATATTAAAAAAAATTAACATTATGCTAAATTAGCATTGTCATTAGTTAAATAACTTACCTTATATATTCTCCACTTATATTTAATCTCCGCTTCTTCAGGAATTTCGCATTCAATATGAACATCAGCGCTCAATATAATCGCTGATTTTCGTTGCAAACTCGATTTCACAAACCATCCAGAATTTCCATCTCGAATCTTCACTTTTGTCAAGCACACTGTCGCTACTGCGCTCATTACAATAACTGATATTTCATCGCTCAAACTTTGTTTATGGTTTTCAGTTGTTACTTTGACAGTTATATTGTATCGTCCAGGCTTATTAAAAAGATGTGATGTGCTGTATACCTTATATTCAGTTGAATCGAATGGAATTGCTAATTCTGGCAATCTCTTTTCAATCGATTTGAAAGTAATATGTGACGACGCTGCTTCTTTTGTAACTACATTGTTATTGATTGAAACTTGTATTTGAAATGTCCCACTGCTTGTAATTTTATAAAACAAAAATATTATTGCATCATTTGTTGTGGATATTGGGTGTGAAGATGTCACATATAGGTCGTGTACTAGAGGAAAACTTTCAACAGGTCCAATCTTCGACGTCACTTCCCCCAAACTGTTATTCGCTTTCACGAAAATGTCAAACATTCCTTCGAACGGAGCCGACATTTTTAAAATAACCTCCCGACATTCTTGAGGATTGCTACAAAATTCACTCGTAGTTGCTACGTCTCTGTTATCTTGTTTATTTCTTAGATTAGCTTCAATGAGCGCAGGACTCCCTTCAGATATTTGAATTATAATAGAAAATATAGCTGGCTCAAGGTCAATGTGGTGAATTGGTTGAATGTAAAGGTTCACTAGTTTCGCACAGAATGAGACGTTGAAGGTATGTTTGGCAGTTGAGACGTCGTTTTCAAGCAAGAGTACGACAGAATGTGAACCCGGTCCAAGACTTTTCGAAAAAGATTCGGGAATAGCAAACACCATTGATATATCAGGCCTTGGTGTTACTAAACTTTGGATGTGGTTACTTAATTTACTGATTACTTTACCCTTTTCTCTAACTGGGGCTAAACGGTAGTGTATAGGGCTAGCAAAAGAGTGTTTGACTGTAACATTGAACTTTTGTTTAAGAAAAGTTTGTCCAATGCATCTATCCTTGTACACATCAAAAAAGCTGACATTGTTTAAATTGTCCTGAACTTCAATGCTGCCTTCAGCAAACATAGGACCAACTGGACTACCAGCTGGAAGTTGTCTTAGCCAGCAAGATACGGTGTAATTATGTATGCCTGGGTTTGGGAAGGTCAAATTTTCTTCATGCTCTCCATGACGTAATGAAAATGGCTTTATTTGTTCTCTGACATCCAGTTCACAGTTGCAAATAATTTCACTTGGCAAACCTTTCATCTTTATTGATATGTTTATATCCTCGTTGACGGCGGCCATAACTTTAGTGATTATGGAAATACCTGTTTGTAAAAAAAATTTGGAGATTTATTTCTAGTAAACTGTAGAAATAGGTACACACTTTCCAATCGCACCTGAAATACAAAAGAACATTGATTAAATACAAAAATTATTTTCACCTCATCACACCAACGAAAAATCATTTAACCATTCCCAGACGCGTGTTACTTGTATACCAACTATCTGATCATCTGTTTTTCAAATGTTGAATTAAAAAATCCTTCTCAAATTGCTGTTGATTGGTATTTACCTTTGACTAATGAAGTCATTGTTTATGACGTTATCGGGTATTAAAAATTTTAGAAAGAAATATTTTTGCCTCACATCTTCCATAATTATTTATTTATTTCAAAATTTTACTATTTTACTCGGAAAAACATATTCGAGAGCGAAACCGCGACCACAGTCTTCCTCCTTAACGCTGAGCGTTAACAATATCCAATTTCGTGAATGAATGATGGAAGGAATTCTGGATCCACAGAACGTCTCTTCGCTCGCACCAGAAACTTCAACAGAAAGCTTTGCTTTTATGCAACTGTTGAAACAAAAATAACGGCGATCACCTTAACATATGATTGATATAAGGCAAATGCATTTATTGTAAAACTTACAAAGGCATTTCAAAATCAATGAATTCGAGTATCACAAGAGATTTTTCGTCATTAGCGGCGAAAAGCCATTTCGATATGTTCAAGACATCACAATCTGGGTAGTATGGAGAATGAATTAAACCGTTTCCATTTGATAACGTAGTCGTGTTGGCGTCTGGAGATAGTATAAATATATATTAATATAGTACTTTTTACTATTTAAAATAATTATAGGAAGAGTTTCAGAATAAAATGTCGGGCAGGTTGAAGTAGAGGACAAATACAAGTAAAAGCAGTGACCGTAGCTTTGAACCATGTACATTTAAACCCATGTGTATATCCGCGGGTTCAATCTATATGCGGGTGCTAAAACCCATGGGCTAGGGTTAATATGGGTTCAAATATTCATAAAACAAAAAAATGTCCATAGGTGCAATAGTATGCAGGTGCAATTGTCGTGGGTTCAGATGTACGTGGTTCAAATGTACACGGGTTCAAATGTAATGGAACCGTAAAGGCACCTATTCAAAAAATTATTTTCAGCTTCCGATGTACTTTAACTCACCCGAGTTATTTTTAGTAAATAATTCCCATTAATGCACATATGCGTGCTTGCCGGATTTCCGAATTTGGGTTGATAATATTGTATTATTAAAGTTGTATTTCCCTTTCCGTTGTGTCATGTTTTATAGGTTTACATGCAAATTGGTCAGATATTACAGTATTATATGAATCTTAAAAAATGGAAGCATACTTATTTGTGATTTGTATCGTAATTTTCACTGGGTCGTATTCTTCACCAACCACGGACGATTCACCTGAGTTGACTTTAAAAGTCTTGATACATCAAACTACGTTGCTACTGGACCACGTCACAAAGCTTAAAAAAGTGGCGGCCGAGCAAAGAAATTCATCAAAAATCTATGATGGAACTTGTTCAACTTTGTCCGAAAGATTGACACCGCCGATGCAAGTGATTCAAATATTCAAAAGTAAGTTACCAATGTCGCGCGATTACGCAGATTCGTGGCCGCTGACTATGAGATGTGTTTAATTACAGGACTAGAGATATGGAACATTTGATTTGTGGAAGTCGCTGGCACTAGGGCGTAACTTTGGCCATTGTTATTTTATAGCTTCTAGAGCAGGGGTTTCCAAACTTTATTGGCCGCGGGCCAAAATTAGAATCGGAAGGATGTTCGCGGGCCTCAAGAGTGTAGCGCCCGAAAGTACGCGACGGTTTAGCTGGGGTCCTGTGGATTCACTTCCATTTGGCATTTTTTCGAAACATGTTTGTTGGACTCATAATGGCGTATTATATCGTATTCCTTCAGAACTGGAATAGTTCGTTGGCAAAGAAAACAAATCGTTGAAGTTTGATTCTTTTCAATGCAGAATACAAACGCTGGCATTTATCCAAGAAATGTCAGTTTCCAGCGTCTAGTATTCGTTTGCTTTTTTCCATCTCTAAGCTTTCGCTTGTGCTCGGCGGGCCATTTTAAATCGGAATGCGGGCCGAATTTGGACCGGGAACCCCTGTTTTAGAGGATTGATAGGCAATAACATTATCGAAATTTGCTTCCGGAAACCCAAATCACCTCTAAATACATAAATAATACCCATGAAATTGTCGACGAATTATCACGTTTTTTTCTCAATTCAGATTGCAACGAGATTTACGAAGCCGGACATTTTGCAAGTGGAGTATACAGCATTCATCTTTTTCATGGCCAAACTTCCATTAACGTTTTTTGTGACATGGAAACAGTTGGATCATTTTCTAATAAGCGTGGGTGGATTATCATTCAACAAAGGATGAATGGAAGAGTAAATTTCGATCGCGGCTGGAATGACTATGTCGATGGATTCGGATTTCCTGATGACGAGCAATGGCTTGGTCTTCGAAATATACTGAGAATAACAAATCAGAAAAAGATAGGTAAATATGATACCTCAAATACAATTCTGCGGATTGAATTGGAAGATTGGGATGGTGTTAAAGCATTTTTGGAATACAGCTCTTTTGCCTTAACTTCTGAGCAATACGACTTCCAAATAAGAAATTTGGGTCCTCACAACGCAACGCCGGGAATTGGCAACTATATGGCATTCAGTATGCACATTCGTTTCAGCACATCTGACCATAACAACGATGCGTGGAGACGCGCCAATTGTGTGAAATCTCAGAGAGGCGGATGGTGGTTCGGCTATTGTGGACATATAAACTTGAATGGAGTCTACTCACATAAAAGAGAGAAGATAAGCAACCAAAAAATATTCGTCCGTAACTGGAGAATTTTGAATCCGAATAACACAGCTTTTCGTTATGTGTCAATGAAGTTGCAGTAACATAAATATAGCTATTTTTAAAGTATTCTGGGATAATTATTTCAGATATAAGATTTGCAGAAGTTAGGCATTTTCAGGAGAAATAAAGTATCAAAAAGTTCATTTTTCAAATGCTTCATCGTGCAGGGGCGCAGTCAGGATTTCAAAAAAGGTTGGGTTTCAAAATTAGAATCTTCCACGATTACGCGCTTGTTAAAAGAGTTGGCGATTTCAGCGTATAATGACTTTTCTGTCGCGTAAAATATTCAATCCATGTCAACTACGTGGATCTCAAATGTCTTTCTATATTAATTTAATTGTGCTCAGCATAACTGGCGGTTGCGTCTCTTTACGACAAAATAAAAACTGTGCTCTTACTCACGGCAATCTGTGAACATAAAATATGAGATAAACTACCCGCTTATATTTAGTTTTGATACGTATTATTGCGATCTTGCGAATTCGTTATCGCTGTTGGAAAAATCGCAAGATCCGATATAAAATTGACTATAAAGTACGATTCAATTTAGTACAATGAAAATACATAGCAAGTCAAAAATACATATCCATCGCCTCGAAATCCCCGCAGAAAAGCTTCTGAAACAGTCGCACCATTCTTCCAGTATACCAAGGCAATCCGCGGACATGGAATTTGTGGTAAACTGCCCTATTATATCTTATTTAGATACGTATTTTTGCCATTTTGAGAATTCGACAAATCTGAGCTCTACTTGCCACACTGATTCTGCTCTATCGCAATGATGCCACTCAAATTATTTTTGAGATATAACCATCAGAAAAATCCCTAAGTCTTCTATAAAATCTCATTAATTATATTGGACACGTAGTGGACCTATGGGTCGTTTTGTTATTATGTTGTTATTATTCTTAGTCTCGTTCTTGTTGGTCACCGTACAATAGTAACATAATCGATTAACACAGTAAGAAATTAATCAAATAAAGCATTGGCCTGATTCTGTTGTAACGTATAATTATGCTCGTTGTAATTTGAAAAAATAACTAAAATAACTTTATATCTCTATGTGAATTGATTTTTCAGATGATAGAGCACAAGATATTCAGCCTAATTGATACAATGCAAGATTAAACATGTATATGGTGAAGTGAAAGTTAGCAGCATAATATGGTGATATATATATGGTAGTTTCCTGCTTACAGTGTTTTGTAATGATATATATTATGTTCTACAATGCGATGTAAGTTGGGCCAGGGTTTCCCGTATTTTTTGGTCCACGGACCCCTATTCGTGAATCTTAGTTTTGACGGTCCCCCATCCTATGCCGTATCAATTCCTGTGCCTAACCAACGAGGAAGGATAATGATTCGCCAACACGAAAACACATGCGACATTTATATGATGGATGAGGTTGCTTTCCATTGCACAATTTATCGATTCACGGAGCAATTTGTAGCAAGCAAACTCATAAGTCCGACTCTACGACAAGCTTCGACCTGTATCACATTGGCAAGAGCTGAAAATGCCTCACACATGTAGGTCGTTGCAAAAAACGATAAAATATTAAATTGCCTTTTCTTACAACAATGAATATTTGTCCACAACGCTCAACCAAAAAGATGCAATGGCTTTTCGATTGAAATCAATCATTGAAGATCGAACAGACTCTTTTCATATCGTTGTGGACCCCTTGTGCAGTAATCACGAACCCCAGAAGTCCACAGACCCCAGTTTGGAAAACCCTGAGGTAGGCATTCTGACTGTATCTGCCAACAAAATCAATTACTAAATCCCACTAAAAATATGTTATGTGTGATAACTATACCAGAACGGTATCATCATTCCGAGGCACCAACCACCACAAAATCATTGCGACCAATCAGAAATGTTAATACACATGCGCCGGCGGTACCATTTTAGTAAATTGAAGTTAAATTGTACTGAAGACAATAACAGTTATACCAGAACTAGACTACTCTTTTCTTGATGTTCTATTGCTAATAATCATTTATACTACACCCCTTGATGATCTTTCTCGGTATTGTAAGATCTTCAAGAATTTTAAGATTTCTGAAATATTCACTCACCGTGAGATGTGTTTTCGTCAGCCTTTCCATGAAATTGAATAGTGAGAATGATGAATACCCCAAGAACAATATCCATTTTATATAAGACTAAATTACACTGTCACGAATGGTGTATCTTTACGGTATGGATAGTAAGAAGTATAAAAGCAATAATGTTTCGACCTGGAAGCCGAAATGTACACGGGATTTGAATAAAAATCGCTGATTGCGTTTTAAAAAGATGACCAGAACCCGTCACCAGCCATCGAACCATTGATACCTTGTTAGGTCATCAATGATCGCACACCTCTCTGATCAGATCTAGCCTTGTCAGATTGCTAATGTGAAATATTTTAGAGAATTTGAAATGTGTCCAAAAATCTCAATAACTGAATCAAATACTATTGCGATGTCACACTTATACTAGAAGAATAAAATATTTTTTTACGTTACATGAGGATTTCTTCATAATACGTATTCAACCCATTATACATGAGTTTAAGCCTCAAAACGAAGGTAGAAACAACACAGAAGGGGAAGACCGATCTGTTTTACCAACAGTTTTGGCATGAATTTGAGTTTTGCTTCAAATGCTAACTACTATCTATAATTACTGGCCAACCTTACTTTGATCAGATTATCTTTAAAATATACATAATCCTAAATCTGGCAACACTGACCATATCCCATCAACAAGTGAAATTCCCTTTCAAACTATTACAAATTATGAGGTAATAAAGGCATTTGTTAATAATGAAGTAGGCACGTTAGTAGTACACGTTAAAAACTGAATATTCTTTCTCGAATCTCGTAATTAATCTTGCATTTTTAATGGCATGTTGTTGCCGTTTGAAACCGAGAACGTCAATACACTGTGCAATAGCTTCCCATACTGCTATACTTATATAGATACATCTACGAGTGTTTTTAACTTTCGTGGCCAAATTGAAAAAGATAGGGTTTTTCACTTTTAAGACCTTAGGTTTTCAGAGGATCTTGTGTTTTTGCAACGAGTCTGAAGACTGAGTAGAGCTAAAATGAACAATTTCGAAGGGGGCGGGACAACTTCTATATTCAACAACCGTATTCCCCAGAAACTTCTAAACAAGCGCCGTTAACATAAGAATTTTCATCAGATGTCAAAAATAAACAAACATTTGCGACTTCTTTGCATATGAATCTGTTTCAACAGAGCTTCTTGAACATCTTTTGGAACGCCATCGAGTATCGGTGTGTCAGTCATGCCGGGCAAAATGGCGTTGTAGCAGACTTTGTGTTTTGGAAACTCGACCGCGAGTTTTTGGCAAACCAACAACACCGAATTTAGATATTTAGAATAGTGCTCCTCATTCCTAGTTTTTCCTCCGCTAACATAAGTGAATTTTTTACTTGTTCAGATGACGATACATCAATCTTGATAGCACAGTGTTTATTTGCACGATTACTCGGCAATTCATTTAGTGTTCGAGTAATACCTTCAGAGTTTATGTCAAGGATTGCAACACTTGCTCCTTCCTTTGCAATTTTTTGACAGATTGCTCTCCCAATTCCGCTACCACCGCCAGTTACAATGGCGGCTTTTCCGATTAGTCTTCCGATAGACATTTCAGAGTCTTGGAATACAAATTGGAGTTGAAAAAATATACCAATTCACTTCGCTCATTGAGCCGTTTATGACAAATAGTAGTACTGTTATGTAAATATCGCAGCAGTTTATTCAATGAACATACATTGTAGTTTCCCGTTCAAATAGATTTCAATAAAGATAAGATGAATACGTCTAAATTCTTCCATGTATATATATATATATATATTGTTTCAATTTTTGAACAACCTTTAAGTGCGAGATAGATTACTCTTGAAACTGTCCTTATTTGAGCCCCAACATATTTGTCCAAATATCGAAAATAGTGACAAATCATCGATATATACGTTTGAATAATATTGCACCGGTAACGGTTAAACACGTTTCCGTTTCTAGCACTCTGCCTGTATGCAATATCTTCATATATAGCCTAATAAACGCATGTTCTCTTGGTAAAATGAATGTCGGTCCACGTTGAATGTCGTAATTCCCCACCAGAACTAGTATATTCAGAACAATGTCTAATTATGCAACTATTCATACATTTTTAAGTCTGGCCTCAAATTTTATAATTGAAAACAGGTCTGATGAAATAAAATCCCTGTTTATAGAGCTGTTTTGCCATTGTATCTTAGGCATCCAATTCATCGATTGTATTTTAGTTTTTGTTTGCCAGACCAACTTTGCTGCTTATTCATTCCCTGGAAGTTGTCTCATATGAAGACTTTTTTATTAGAGCAATGTCACGCGCACTGGTTCAGAAACCCATGGTACCAACTTTCGAGTGACTACAAAACTGCAAGGAGGTACTGAAACAGAACTATGTTCATGCATAAAACTCTCGTTGAATTCTGTCGACGCGAAAGTCAATAAAGATGTCTTGCGACAGTGAATAAGAATATGATTCAGCTCTGGATTGATCTGTATTTTGTAATATGTATGTGATTGCGTGTTCAAGATTCTCGAAATTATGTATTCTATGGCTTTTTATTTTACTGGCTGAAAATAGGTAACTTGACTGGAAAATAGTTAACTTGACTGTGACTATTGATAATATTTAACCTAGTCATAACGTGGCCTGTTTTCGATTCATAATACAACATTTATTGACGTGCTAATCCCATTTTACTGGATTTTTTTATTACCAAAACTTGCTCAAAAATAATTTTTGTGTTTTAAGTCAAGTCTCTCCGGCGTTTGGTTTGTGTTCGAGTTGAATCATTTTGTTTAAATGAATTAAGTCTTTGGAAATTCGCCGAGTCGAGCAAGTTACTGGACAGTATATACTATATACAGAGCCGCTCTATTGAACAACACTAATTTTACGGACCATAAGGCACACCGAATTATAAGGCGCACTGTCAAAAAAATGTTCAAATTGAGTTTTTATTTATACATAAGGGTCATAACTAAATGTACTTATTTCAATTAGATATTCCAAAATAAGTGTGTTCAAGTATTAGTATTTATTTACGGTTCAACATTGTATCCAATCCAACCGCACCATCATTACCAATTAATTGGACAGGAAAACTTGAATTTCTCTTTATTCATACGTACCAACCTAGTGCATGGCTTCTAGTTTAAATGTGAAAGTTCACTTGAGCTTTCGTGCAAAAATATTTTAATATCTTATATACACATGTGATAATTTGTGGGAGCTGACTATTATTTTCATTATTTATACCAGTGGATCTCAACCTTTTTTCTCTCGTGACCCACTTCTGTTGCACAAAATATTTCTGGGGCCCAATAACTTTCTCATGCAAGGAAAAAACTACAACTAAAACAAATAATTCTTTAAGCAAAGTTAGACACATCCATTTTCATAATTAAAATTACCATTTAGTAGCTTAGTACAGCATTATCATTCATTGTTACTACAATAAAAGTTTAACTCTTGAAATTTTTGGTATTGTTTGTGGCCCACCTGAAAATGTTTTTTTGGCAACCAGTGATTTATACCTCTGAAACCTTTTTTTTCTACATTTGTTTTGGTGGGTAAAAATACTGATAATTACTCTTTCTCTCTCCTCTATGTTTAATCAAAACTCTTGGTCAAATATTGTTAAGATTTTATAGACTTGTTCCACAACCTCGAGTCCTTTCAACTTCTTTCATCCAATCTCGTTCATCTTCTCTCATACATTAGATGTTACCGAGCATCGTATTCTTCACTTGCTTCCATAATATTGGCTAATCAACAAGATGCCCGTTTTAACGTAACAATTGAAATTTTAGTAGCATTCAAATTTCACTGAAACAGATTTTCTGAAATGGCGATGAACGTTGGCTTTTTTATGTAGTTTTGCTAGCTGTTTGTCGTTTTCTAGTTGTATTTCTGAAATTTAAGTATAAATTGAATACCTCATTATCACTCAGTTATTTTGTATTCTGATGAGTTTTATTTTATTACCAGTAATCAAAAATTTGGATCACCTTATATGATTTGTTTTTCCCCGCCCTGAATAAATATAAGTCTCATAATGGCTTTGGTCATACCATTGATACCTAAACGAGAATATCGGTCAGAGACCGAAGACTTATCGATCGAAAGTTAGGGGATCCCCCAAAACAGCGCTCTTACTCCATAGTGACACCTTGTGTCCCATCACTAAATAATTAATAACTCACTAATTATACATCATAATTCATCCAAAATCAATAGGTTTCTGCTACGACATATGATGAATGCACATGCAAAATCTGCAGCAGATCCAATTTCGCAAGCGCCATGTAACAAGCGCCGTTGACATAAGTACTTTCATCAGATGCCAAAAATGAACAAACACTTGCAATTTCATTCGGGTGTCCGAATCTTTGCATAGTAATATGTTTCAAAGTGGCTTCTTGAATATCTTATGGAACGCTACGAGTATCGGTGTGTCAGTCATGCCGGGCGAAACAGCGTTACAGCGGACCTTGTATTTCGGAAACTCAACCGCGACAGTTTTTGTTAATCCAATAACACCAAATTTGGATGCACAATACGGACCTAGTCCAGCAGAACCTTGCTTCCCGGCCATGCTAGATATGTTGATTATAGAACCAAGTATATCGTTTCCACGTGAAGTATTCTTTGACGTCATCTTTAAAAATTCTTTAGTCATTAGAAAAGTTCCTCTCAGATTGACGTTGATGATGTTAACAAACGTGAAATCACCAACGTCCGTAAAGGCTTTTAGTTTAGCAATCCCAGCACTGTTAACGAGAATAGTGCTTCGGATTCCCAGTCTTTCTTCCGCTAATACAAATGGATTTTTCACTTGTTCGGATGACGATACATCAGTCACAATAGCACAATGTTTATTTGTACGATTACTCGGCAATTCATTCAGCGTTCGAGTAATACCTTCAGACTTTATGTCAAGGACTGCAACACTTGCTCCTTATACTTTGCAAATTTTTGACAGATTGCGCGCCCAATTCCGCTACCGCCGCCGGTAACAATGGCGGCTTTTCCGATTAGTCTTCCAATAGACATTTCAGAGTCTTGGAATACAAATTGGAGTTAAAAAAATATAACAATTCACTTTGCTCATTGAGCCGTTTATGACAAATAGTACTGTAATGTAAATAGTGCAGCTGTTTATTCAATGAACACACATTGTAGTTTCCCGTTCAAATAAATGTCAATAAAGATAAGATGAATACGTCTAAATTCTTCCATGTTTATATATATATATATTGTTTCAACTTTTGAACAACCTTTATGTGCGAGATAGATTACTCTTGAAACTGTCCATATTTAAGCCCCAACATATTTGTCCAAATATCGAAAATAGTGACAAATCATCGATATATATGCGTTTTGATAATATTGCACCGGTAACGGTTAAACACGTTTTCGTTTCTAGCACTCTGCCTGTATGCAATATCTTTTTATATAGCCTAATAAACGCATGTTCTATTGGTAAAATGAATGTCGGTCCACGTTGAATGTCGTAATTCCCCACCAGGACTAGTATATTCAAAACAACGTCTAATTATGCAACTATTCATACATTTTTAAGTCTAGCCTCAAATTTTATAATTGAAAACGGGTCTGATGAAATAAAATCCCTGTTTATAAAGCTGTTTTGCCATTGTATCTTAGGCATCCAATTCATCGATTGTGTTTTAGTTTTTGCTGGCCAGACCAACTTTGCTGCTTATTCATTCCCTGGAAGTTGTCTCATATATATGACTTTTTTTTATTAGAGCAATGTCACGGGCACTGGCTCAGAAATTCATGGTACCAACTTCCGAGTGACCACAAAACTGCAAGGAGGTACTGAAACACAACTATGTCCATGCACAAAACTCTCGTTGAATCCTGTCGACGCGAAACTCAAGACGGGCAACGCACTATGATCAATAAAGATGTCTTGAGACAGTGAATAAGAATATGATTCAGCTCTGTATTGATCTGTATTTTGTAACATGTGTGTGATTGCGTGTTCAAGATTCTTGAAATTATGTATTCTATGACTTTTTATTTTACTGGCTGAAAATAGTTAACTTGATTGTGACTATTGATAATATTCAACCTAGTCATAACGTGGCCTGTTTTCGATTTATAATACAACATTTATTGACGTGCTAATCCCATTTTACTGGATTTTTTTATTACAAAAACTTGCTCAAAAATAATTTTTGTGTTTTAGGTCAAGTCTCTCCGGCGTTTGGTTTGTGTTCGAGTTGAATCATTTTGTTTAAATGAATTAAGTCTTTGGAAATTCGCCGAGTCGAGCAAGTTACTGGACAGTATATACTATACAGAGCCGCACTATTGAACAACACTAATTTCACGTACTACAGAAATATTGCAAGCTGATCTCATTTATGGGTATAACATAGAGCTTAATGGAAATTATCGTATTTTACGGACCATAAGGCACACCGAATTATAGGGCGTACTGTCAAAAAATTGTTCAAATTGAGTTTTTATTTATACATAAGGGTCATAACTAAATGTACTTATTTCAATTAGATATTCCAAAATGAGTGTGTTCAAGTATTAGTATTTATTTAAGGTTTAACATTGTATCCAATCCAACCGCACCATCATTTACAATTAATTGGACAGAAAAACTTGCATTTCTCTTTATTTATACGTACCAACCTAGTGGCTTCTAGTTTAAATGTGGAAGTTCACCTAAGCTTTCGTGCAAAAATATATTTTCGTACTGCTCTATTGTTTTCTTATTTCTCACTTTTATTTTGTGTATTTCAACGAATTCATATGGTAATTATATTTGTTATACTGACAAAGATTCCTTTGTTGTAGCGAAACCAAGATTTATATTTGCCGAGTTAAAGTTTTTTGGCCGATTTATACATTTGAAACGTTTTTTTCTACATTTGTTTTGGTGGGTAAGATAATGATAATTACTCTTTCTTCTATATGTTTAATCAAAACCCTTGGTCAAATATTGTTAAGATTTTATAGAATTGTTCAACACTTTCAACTTCTTTCATCCAACTCTCATACATTGGATGTTACAGAGCATCGTATTCTTCACTTGCTTCCATAATATTGGCTAATCAACAAGATGCCCGTTGTAACATAACAATTGAAATTTCACTGAAACAGATTTCTGTAACGGCGATGAACGTTGGCTTTTCTAATGTAGTTTTGCTAGCTATTTGTCAAATTTTAGTTGCTTTTCTGAAACTTAGGTATAAATTGAATACCTCATTATCACTCAGTATTCTGATGAGTTTCAATTTATTGCCAGTAATCAAAAATTCAGATCACCAAGTATGATTTGTTTTTCCCCGCCCTGAATAAATATATAAGTCTCATATAGATATCACGAGCAACTTTTTAAGAGACATCTTAAGATAATAAATATTGCAACACGCGCTCGGAAGTTTAACTCAGATCAGGGCTCAAAATTAAGGTTAAATAAAAAGACCTTTATGATGAGCAATGGGTTCGTGACTTCAGGAGCATTATCTGTAATAGCTTACGGCAGAGACGGTCATACCAGAGCCTTACAGAACCAGGGCAATTTTTGTGAATATTCTCTTCGTTAACATTATCTGGTAATTTCTTTGATTTACCAAATAAGTTGGTGTTTTACTTTAGCGTTCAATATATTTCCATGGACATATATTTATATATCTATTTTTTTATATATATATTTATATGTTTTTATTCTATATTTATGTATAAAATATAATTTCATGGAAATCTTTAATCTGGGTTATTTTACACATTGAATTTTAACTAAAATCAACTAGAATGCGACTGCACTAACTTTCGGGAAGTACAAATAAGCAATTGGTAAAACTTTCGAATTCCATAATTTATGCTATTCTGACAGTTTGTAAAATATAACGTTGTAAAATCATATACATTATACTAAATATGAATATGACAAACAAAAATTATAATTTTTATATTCAACATCCGTATCCACCAGAAACTTCCAAACAAGCGCCGTTAACATAAGAACTTTCATCAGATGCCAAAAACAAACAAACATTTGCGACTTCATCCGGGTGTCCGAATCTTTGCATAGGAATCTATTTCAAACAGGCTTCTTGAACATATTTTGATACGCCATCGAGTATCGGTGTGTCAGTCATGCCGGGCAAAACAGCGTTGCAGCGGACCTTGTGTTTTGGAAACTCGACCGCGACAGTTTTTGTTAAACCAATAACACCAAATTTGGATGCACAATACGGACCTTGGCCAGCGGAACCCATCTTACCGGCCATGCTAGATATGTTGATTACAGAGCCAAGTATATCGCTCGCACTTGAAGTATACTTTGACGTCATCTTTAAAAATTCTTTAGTCATCAGAAAAGTGCCTCTCAGATTAACGTTAAGGATGTTGAGCTGTTTATGGCAAATCGTATTGAGCGCAGTACATGCACTACTGGTAAAATGAATGTCCGTCAAATTATGCGACTATTTATACATTTTCAAGTCTAGTCTCAAAATTTATAATTGCAACCGTATCTGATGAGATAACAAGATACGATAAACTGAAGGAAATGATGTAAGCAACGACATCGTAGATATGTGTCAGACAAAAGCCTCTAAACAAAAGTAAATCGCCCTGTCTTTTAATTGGTTGAATGTGCAAGCTGCCTTATCATTTAACTGAAATCTATATGATGTCTGTTTGCGCTGCCTTATCTGTAATGTTCGATTTCTTTGAAATCACTTTAGCTCTTTTGTTTTTATGTTCAGAAAGAATTCTAATATTCAATTATAACGTATGTTTTAGTTACAAACACAGTAAATTTACTTACTTTCTATGCTTTTCGTTTGTTTGAATATTCCTATTAGCTGCAATACTATTCATAAAATGTCATACATTTGTGATACAGTATACTCTCGTGCCTCAAACATCTCGTTGATAGAATTACTTACTATAAATGATAATGCATTGACTAATGAATGACTATACTCGGATTTGATTTAAATTTTCGACTTGAGCCTGACTTTATAGTCAGTATACCACAAAATATATTCAAAATGCGTGTGTCGAAGTCAAAGAACTCGGTAAGATTTACAGCCGCTAAACAAATATTTAACAAAACTAGCGAATCGGACAGCACTGCTAAAAATGTGTAGGTTCACACGTGACTGCAGGAGCTAAAAGTCTCGGGCCAAACAAAGCATATTTTTTACCAGCAAATACATCAAAATACAATAATATATAGAAGTCTTTTAAAATGTTGCATGTCTGGAATATTAGCAAACCTATCCTCCACAGCGCAGAACTAGAAAATGAATTTCGATTCCTTACTAACTACTAAAACTAAAATTTGCTCCTCGCAAATATTTAAATATATAAAGTCGAATTCCTATATACCATGTCGCACTTCACGTTAAATGGCTAAATAGACCCAGCACTGGTTGGAAAGCACTGATATGAAGGATTCTTCTAGTTGCAAAAATCGCTATTAAAACGCGAGGAAATATTTTGTATTTTATTTATAAAAGCCAATATTTTGCTGTATAGTATAAAGCCTATACAGATTCGTCCTCACATTTTCAAACTTTTTATATGTGCTGGAAAGACGTATTGGAAAATCAGCAAAATTTTGTTTGTTTCCCGACTGACGACGTGGCGCTGCAACGACGAATTTAAGGGAACTCTTGTTTCTAGTTTTCGACCATATAAATCGAAATAGATAAGGATAATCAATTGCATATTTATGACGGTATGCAAAAACGCCCAGAGGCGCGGCGGTGTGGCTCAACGGGCTAAGCGTTAGGAATACGCTCGCCACCGCACCTCTAACTACTCTGCGTGAGTTCGCAGGTTCGAATCCCATGCAGGGATGGTTATGGGCGAGAGGATTGCTGGACTCGCCGTCGTTGGGTGGTTCACGTAACCGCTGGTCGGTTACGGCTTCCTCCACCACCAAGTCCATGCTTCCGAAAACAAACAATACAGTAAATCTAATCCCATACCCGACTTGGAATGGTAACCGGACGAGAGGCCGTGGTTCGCCATATGGATAAGCCGTCTTATCGGCTTCCCTCTCCCCCGGGATAAATATGTAAATCCTATCCTATCCTATCCTTCTCTACTCAATAATATACTCAAAACAAATACTGATGTCCAGTGGATGGATGAATAAGAATGATATTCAACATCTGCATCCACCAGAAACTTTTAAACAAGCGCCATCAATAAAAGTACGTTCATCGGATGCCAAAAACAAACAAACACTTGCAACTTCATCCGGGTGTCCAAATCTTTGCATAGGAATCTGTTTCAAAAGGGCTTCTTGAAAATATTTTGGACAGCCATCGAGTATCGGTGTGTCAGTCATGCCGGGCAAAACAGCGTTGCAGCGGACCTTGTGTTTGGAAACTCGGCCGCGACAGTTTTTGTCAAACTAATAACACCAAATTTTGATGCACAATACGGACCTTGTCCAGCGGAACCCATCTTACCGGCCATGCTATTTATGTTGATTATAGAAACAAGTATATCGTTCCCACGTGAAGTATTCTTTGACGTCACCTTTAAAAATTCTTCAGTCATTAGAAAAGTTCCTCTCAGATTGACGTTTATGATGTTATCAAACGTGAAAGCATCAACGTCCGTAAAGGCTTTTAGTTTAGCAATCCCAGCACTGTTAACGAGAATAGTGCTTCGGATTCCCAGTTTTTCTTCCGCTAATACAAATGAATTTTTTACTTGTTCGGATGACGATACATCAGTCACAATAGCACAATGTTTATTTGTACGATTACTCGACAATTCATTCAGCGTTCGAGTAATACCTTCAGACTTTAAGTCAAGGATTGCAACACTTGCTCCTTCCTTTGCAAATTTTTGACAGATTGCGCGCCCAATTCCGCTACCGCCACCGGTAACAATGTCGGCTTTTCCGATTAGTCTTCCAATAGACATTTCAGAGTTTTGGACTACGAATTGGAGTTGAAAAATATAACAATTCACTTCGCTCATTGAGCCGTTTATGACAAATGGTACTGTAGTGTAAATAGCGCAGCTGTTTATTCAATGCACATACATAGTAGTTTCTCATTCAAATAAATTTCAATGAAGATACGATGAATACGTCTAAAATGCTTCTATATATATATATTGTTTCAATTTTTGAACAACCTTAATGTGCGAGATAGATTACTCTTGAAACTGTGCTTATTTAGGCCCCAACATATTTGTCCAAATATCGAAAATAGTGACAAATCATCGATATATACGTTTTAATAATATTGCACCGGTAACGGTTAAACACGTTTCCGTTTCTAGCACTCTGCCTGTATGCAATATCTTCATATATAGCCTAATAAACGCATGTTCTATTGGTAAAATGAATGTCGGTCCACGTTGAATGTCGTAATTCCCCACAAGGACTAGTATATTCAAAACAACGTCTAATTATGCAACTATTCATACATTTTTAAGTCTGGCCTCAAATTTTATAATTGAAAACGGGTCTGATGAAATAAAATTCCTGTTTATAGAGCTGTTTTGCCATTGTATCTTAGGCATCCAATCCATCGATTGTATTTTAGTTTTTGTTGGCCAGACCAACTTTGCTGCTTATTCATTCCCTGGAATTTGTCTCATATGAAGACTTTTTTTAGTAGAGCAATGTCACGCGCACTGGTTCAGAAACCCATGGTACCAACTTCCGAGTGACCACAAAACTGCAAGGAGGTACTGAAACAGAACTATGTTCATGCATAAAACTCTCGTTGAATCCTGTCGACGCGAAACTCGAGACGGGCAACGCACTATGATCAATAAAGATGTCTTGCGACAGTGAGTAAGAATATGATTCAGTTCTGTATTGATCTGTATTTTGTAATATGTATGTGATTGCTTGTTTCAAGAATCTCGAAATTATGTATTATATGGCTTTTTATTTTACTGGATGAAAATAGTTAACCTGACAGTGACTATCGATAATATTTAACCTAATCATAATGTGGCCTGTTTTCGATTTATAATACAACATTTATTGACGTGCTAATCCCATTTTACTGGATTTTTTTATTACAAAAACTTGCTCAAAAATAATTTTTGTGTTTTAAGTCAAGTCTCTCCGGCGTTTGGTTTGTGTTCGAGTTGAATCATTTTGTTTAAATGAATTTAAGTCTTTGGAAATTCGCCGAGTCGAGCAAGTCACTGGACAGTATATACAGAGTCACACTATTGAACAACACTAATTTTACGTACTACAGAAATATTGCAAGCTGATCTCATTTATGGGTATAACATAAAGCTTAATGGAAATTAACGTATTTTACGGACCATAAGGCACATCGAATTATAAGGCGCACTGTCAAAAAATTGTTCAAATTGAGTTTTTATTTTTACATAAGGGTCATAACTAAATGTACTTATTTCAATTAGACATTTCAAAATAAGTGTGTTCAAGTATTAGTATTTATTTACGATTTAACATTGTATCCAATCCAACCGCACCATTATTTACAATTAATTGGACAGGAAATATCGTTTTAGGCAATTGTATTTGAGATGGAACACAAACTTGCGTTTCTCTTTATTCATACGTACCAACCTAGTGCATGGCTTGTAGTTTAAATGTGGAAGTTCACTTAAGCTTTCGTGCAAAAATATATTTTCTTACTATATTGTTTTTTTTTATTTATCACTTCTATTTTGTGTATTTCAACGAATTCAGATGGTAATTATAATTGCCATATTGAACAAAGATTGCTTTGTTGTAGCAAAACCAAGATTTATATTTGCAGAGTAATTGTTGAAATAATTTGTCCAATTTAATCTTTTCTGATATATTTAAGCTGAAGATAAAATTTAAAAGAAAATAGCCATTTCGTTTAGCTACTTTTGTCACTGATTTTCAACACATGATATAATTTGTGGGAGCTGACTGATATTTTCATTATTTATACCAGTGGATCTCAACCTTTTTCCTCACGTGACCCACTTCTGTTGCACAAAATATTTCTGGGGCCCAATAACTTTCTCATGCAAGGAAAAAACCACAACTAAAACAAATAATTCTTTATGCAAAGTTAGACACATCCATTTCCATAATTAAAATTACCATTTAGTAGCTTAGTACAGCATTATCATTCATTGTGACTACAATAAAAGTTCAACTCTTGAAATTTTTGTTATAGTTTGTGGCCAACCTCTAAAGTTTTTTGGCCGATTTATACATTTGAAACGTTTTTTTCTACATTTGTTTTGGTGGGTAAGATAATGATAATTACTCTTTCTTCTATATGTTTAATCAAAACCCTTGGTCAAATATCGGTAAGATTTTATAGAATTGTTCAACACATCGAGTCCTTTCAACTTCTTTCATCCAACTCTCGTTCAGCTTCTCTCATACATTGGATGTTATCGAGCATCGTATTCGTAACTTGCTTCCATAATATTGGCTAATCAACAAGATGCCCGTTGTAACATAACAATTGAAATTTTAGCACTCAAATTTCACTGAAACAGATTTCTGTAATGGCGATGAACGTTGGCTTTTTTAATGTAGTTTTGCTAGCTACTTGTCGATTTTTAGTTGTATTTCTGAAATTTAAGTACAAATTAAATACCTCATTATCACTCAGTATTCTGATGAGTTTTAATTTATTGCCAGTAATCAAAAATTCGGATTACCATATATGATTTGTTTTTCCCCGCCCTGAATAAATATATAAGTCTCATATAGATATCAAGAGTAACTTTTTAAGAGACATCTTAAGATAATAAATATTGCAACACGCGCTCGGAGGTTTAACTCAGATCAGGGCTCAAAATTAAGGTTAAATAAAAAGACCTTTATGATGAACAATGGGTTCGTGACTTCAGGAGCATTATCTGTAATAGCTTACGGCAGAGACGGTCATACCAGAGCCATACAGAACCAGGGCAATTTTTGTGAATATTCTCTTCGTTAACATTATCTGGTAATTTCTTTGATTTACCAAATAAGTTTGTGTCAGTTGGTGTTTTACTTTAGCGTTCAATATATTTCCATGGAAATATAGTTATATATCTATTTTTTTATATATATATATTTATATGTTTTTATTATATATTTATGTATAAAATATAATTTCATGGAAATCTTTAATCTGGGTTATTTTACACATTGAATTTTAACTAAAATCAACTAGAATGCGACTGCACTAACTTTCGGGAAGTACGAATAAGCAATTGGTAAAACTTTCGAATTCCATAATTTATGCTATTCTGACAGTTTGTAAAATATAACGTTGTAAAATCATATACATTATACTAAACATGTATATGACAAACAAAAATTAGAATTTCTTTATTCAACATCCGTATCCACCAGAAACTTCTAAACAAGCGCCGTTAACATAGGAACTTTCATCAGATGCCAAAAACAAACAAACATTTGCGACTTCATCCGGATGTCCGAATCTTTGCATAGGAATCTGTTTCAAATGGGCTTCTTGAACATATTTTGGAACGCCATCGAGTATCGGTGTGTCAGTCATGCCGGGCAAAACAGCGTTGCAGCGGACCTTGTGTTTTGGAAACTCGACCGCGACAGTTTTTGTTAAACCAATAACACCAAATTTGGATGCACAATACGGACCTTGGCCAGCGGAACCCATCTTACCGGCAATGCTAGATATGTTGATTACAGAGCCAAGTATATCGTTCCCACTTGAAGTATACTTTGACGTCATCTTTAAAAATTCTTTAGTCATCAGAAAAGTGCCTCTCAGATTGACGTTAAGGATGTTATCAAAAGTGGCATCATCAACTTTCGAAAATGCTTTCAATTTGGCAATTCCAGCGCTGTTCACGAGAATAGTGCTCCTCATTCCTAGTTTTTCCTCCGCTAACATAAGTGAATTTTTTACTTGTTCAGATGACGATACATCAATCTTGATAGCACAGTGTTTATTTGCACGATTACTCGGCAATTCATTTAGTGTTCGAGTAATACTTTCAGAGTTTATGTCAAGGATTGCAACACTTGCTCCTTCCTTTGCAAATTTTTGACAGATTGCTCTCCCAATTCCGCTACCACCGCCGGTAACAATGGCGGCTGTTCCGATTAGTCTTCCAGTAGACATTTCAGTGTCTAGGACTGTAAATTGGAGCTATAAAAAAATCTAAAAAATATAAGAATTCACCTCGCTCATTGAGCTGTTTATGACAAATCGTATTGTTGCGCAGTACATGAACTACTGGTAAAATGAATGTCCGTCAAATTATGTGACTATTTATACATTTTCAAGTCTATTCTCAAAATTTATAATCGCAACCGTATTTGATGAGATAACAAGATACGTTAAACTAAAGGAAATGATGTAAGCAACGACATCGTAAATATGTGCCAGACAAAGAACTCCAAACAAAAATAAATCGCCCTGTCGCCTTCGTTTAATTGGTTGAATGTGCAAGCTGCCTTATCATTCCACTGAAATCTATATGACGTCTGCTTGCGCTGCCTTATCTGTAATGTTTGATTTCCCTGGAATCACTTTAGCTCTTTTGTTTTTATGTTCAGAAAGAATTGTATTATTCAATTCTAACGTATGTATTATTACGAACACAGTACATTTACTTGCTTTCTATGCAATTCGTTTGTTTGAACAGCCCTAATATTTGCAATACTATTCACAAAATGTCATACATTTGTAATATATACAGTATACTCTCGTGCCTCACATCTCGGTAATTGAATTACTTAGTATAACTGATAATGCTTTGACTAATGACTATACTTGGGTTTGCTTCAAGTTTTCGACTTGAGACTGACTTTAGAGTCAGTATAACACAAAATATATTCAAAATACGTGTGTGGAAGTCAAAGAACTCGGTACGATTTACATCCGCAAAACAAATATTTAACAACACTAGCGAATCGGACAGCACTGCTAAAAATGTGTAAAGTTCACACGTGACTGCAGGAGCTAAAAGTCACGGGCCAGACACGGTATATTTTTTTACCCGCAAATGCATCAAAATGCAATAATAAATAGAAGTCTTTTAAACTGCTGCACGCCTGGAATATTAGCAAACCTCTCCTCCACAGCACAGAGTTAGAAAATAAATTTCGATTCCATACTAACTACCCATATATATATATAACTATAATTTGCTCCTTGCATATATTCGAATAAATAAATTCGAATTTTTGATACCATGTTGCACTTCACCTCACTAAATGGCTAAATAGACCCACTGGTGAAAAGCACTGATATGATGCATTCTTCTAATTGCAAAAATCTTTATTGAAACGCGAGGAAACATTTTGTATTTTATTCATAAAAGCTAACATTTTGCTGTATAGTATAAAGCCTATAGAGATTCGTCCTCACATTTTCAAACTTTCTGTCTGTGCTAGAAAGACGATAAGAAAGACGTTGTAAAAAGCAACAAAATTTTGTTTGTTTTTCAATTGAAGACGTGGCGCTGCAACAACGAATTAAAAGACCTGTTGTTCCCAGTTTTCGATAATATAAATCGAAATCGATTTAGGGTAAACGAGTGCTTATTCGTGCTAGTATGCAAAAACGCTCAGAGTGCTATACTCAATATTATACTCGAAACTAATGTTGATATCCAGTGGATTGATGAATAAGAATGATATTCAACATTCGTATCCACCAGAAACTTCTAAACAAGCGCCGTTAACATAAGTACTTTCATCAGATGCCAAAAACAAACAAACAAACACTTGCGACTTCATCCGGGTGTCCGAATCTTTGCATAGGAATCTGTTTCAAAGTGGCTTCTTGAATATATTTTGGACAGCCATCGAGTATCAGTGTCAGTCATGTCGGGCGAAACAGCGTTGAAGCGGACCTTGTGTTTTGGAAACTCGGCCGTGACAGTTTTTGTCAAACCAATAACACCAAATTTGGATGCACAATACGGACCTAGTCCAGCAGAACCTTGCTTCCCGGCCATGCTAGATATGTTGATTATATAACCAATTATATCGTTCCCACGTGAAGCATTTATTGAGGTCATCTTTAAAAATTCTTTAGTCATCGGGAAAGTTCCTCTCAGATTGACGTTGATGATGTTATCAAAAATGAAATCATCAACGTCCGAAAATGCTTTCAATTCAGCAATCCCAGCGCTGTCACCGAGAATAGGGCTTCTCTTTCCCAGGTTTTTTTTCCCGCTAACACAAATGAATTTTTTACTTGTTCAGATGACGATACATCAGTTTCAATAGCACAGAGTTTATTTGTACGATTACTCGGTAATTCATTTAGCGTTCGAGTAATACCTTCAGAATTTATGTCAAGGATTGCAACATTTTCTCCTTCCTTTGCAAATTTTTGACAGATTGCTCGCCCAATTCCACTACCGTCTACCGCCAACGGTAACAATGGCGGTTTTTTAGTCTTCCTAAGGGGCCTATAGACATTTCAGAGTCTAGGACTGCAAAAAATATAAGTATTCACTTCGTTCATTGAGCTGTTTATGGCAAATAGTACTGAAATGTTAAAAACGCGGCTGTTTATTCTATGCACATGTATAGGATGCTTGTTATCTTAAAGCAATCCTAAACAGAGCTTAGTTAAAAGCATAAACTCTCGGTTAACTAGAGTTTAAACCAGACTTCCAATTTCCCTCTGACTCAGTTAGGGCAGAGCTTAACCCAGCAGACAACGAATATAATACAAAGTCACCAACCAACTCAAACATCTTTAATCATGGGTGCTGTTTGAAAAAGCTGTTTCAAATGTCTTAAGTCAGGTCACAGCACTATCATTTACAATTAATTGGACAGGAAAAATCGTATCAGGCAATTGTATTTGAGATGAAACACAAACTTGTCTTTCACTTTATTGAGTATATATCTAATAGCTTCTAGTTTAAATGTTGAAGTTCACTTTAGCTTTCGTGCAAATATATTTTTGTGCTGCTCTATTGTTTTTTCCTACCTCTGTTTTGGGCATTTCAACAAATCCAGATAATTAAATTTGCTATATTGAACAAAGGTTGCTTTGTGGGTAATCAGGCACATTTATATTTACATGTATTAAACATTTATAAAGGTTTTGCCAGTTTCCCCGGATTTCCCAATCTTCTGTGTGTTCATTGTTTGTGTTTTGTGTATGATTTTTATTTGCGGATGATTCAAAATATACTTATACTTGTAGTAAAACCATGATTACTAATGTCTGTCGAGGATGTTGTTAAGTTAATTTGTCAAATTCAAGCACATGTGAAGTGTTTAAGCTGAAGTTGAAATTCAGAAGGAATAGCTAGTTTGTTTAGCTACCTTTTTTCAACACATTCGTAGAGCTGACTGATTTTTTTATAACTTTTACCTTTGAAACGTTTTTATGCTACATTTGTATTGGTTGGTAAAATAATTTTAATCAATCTTTCTCCTATCTGTTTATTATACCCATATTTAATTGTATTAATTAAGAGTTTATAGAACTGTTGAACACACCGAGTTCTTTCAACTTTCTTCATTAATTTCTCTTATCCAACCTTCCTATTCCTTCCTTATCCTACCCAATCTTTTGTCAATGTTACCTCGAGCCATTTACGCTCGAGGGGGCTCCCGAAGTATGCGAACCAAGATGGCGGACATCGGAATGTAATATGTGTACTAGGTTAGGGTTAGGCCATAATTTTAGGTATGAATACTACGGAAGGCTCTTGGCTAGTCTTCGAACTGATAATAGGACTAAAATAAGGGGAATTGGAAAAAAATTATCGCCTAACCCTAACCTGTTACCTATGTTACGTTCCGATGTCCGCCACCTTGGTTCGCATTCTTCGGGAGCACCCGCTCGAGCATAGCCTTATCTGTTCCATAACCTCAGACAGATTGACTCAGACGATAAATATTGTCTTATATTTGTGATTTTGCTAGCTATTTGTCAGTTTTCCAGTTGTATTTCTGAGATTGAGGTATATATTCAATAACTCAATAATTTTTTTGTATCCTGATTATTTTAATTTATTTTCAGTAATCAAAAATTAGCCTCGAAGCTACGATACACCAGGCTAAAATTGTCTGCTTGTACTTACTTTCAGATATTAAATGGTTGGATATTTTAGATGAAAATGATGGTTGTGAAACATGTAAACCTGGTTGAAAGCGCCAACTTAAAAAAAAACAGACTTAAAATAAGCATAAGAAGGTTTGCATTTTGCAATGATAAAGCATTGGAAGTATTTTTCAGGGGTCAAAGGTTTGGGAAGATAACCATTTGAAAGCATTGCCCTCCAGTGTTTATGCAATCCTATTTTGACGCGCCGGAAATTTTCTAGCGTTGGAGTTGTTTGGACTGTGGTTTGCTTCGCGTTCTGGCTTAGGATATTCAGTTATTGGGGGGGCCAAGCGTCTGAGTGGGATTACTAACTGCCACACATACCGGTACTGTACGCAAATACTCTTTAGATGCTTATGATTGAATGTTTCTGAATGAAGATTGTCAAGTTATAGTAAAGTTGACATCGATCTGCGGAAGATAAATACAGAAATATGCCACAACTAAAGGAATATCATCCTGGCGATCTTATTTTTGCTAAAATGAAGGGTTATCCCCATTGGCCTGCAAGGGTGAGTGACGTTTATTTTTTCTCTTGACAAATTGATTAAATGTTGAGGTTAGGAATTACCGGATTAAGGCCTAGCAGCCTAGTCCAGTAGTCACCTTTCAGACTTCAGGAAACTAGACTGGTAAGGTTAACTTTATGTCTAGATCCGTAGACAATCCTATACTTTTGTATTTCAACATAATTATATCTTATTGATTTCAGGATATAGTATATCTATCAGTCTACTTTAGGTTCTATGATTTTTTCAAGTTGCTTATGTTTAAAACTGTAAAAAATGCTGTCTGATATTTTGTTGCACCTATTATGGCTGTATGGGACAAAATTGCAACTTTTTGTAAATACTAACTTTCAGTTTTAACAATCTGCGACTGTGTACCTAATAATTTTTATATCTGTATATCGCATTATTTATGTTACAATTTTGAACAATTTCATGTTCTTGCATTCTGACATTGGAAAACGTATATAAAAGGCATTGTTTTTGCTGCTAATCAGATATTATGAAAATATTCCACCATCTTTAAAAAGTTACTGCTTTGACGTCCTAGGCAAATTGCATCACTTTTGTGCAATAGAGTTAAATTTGTAAATAGGAAATTTTTCTACACATGGTTTGTTACTCTAATTTTGTAAATTTTTTGCAATTGTATACTTCAAAAAATAGTAAACAAAATATAGATGGAGAATATTGAACTGGCATTTTCTTGGAAAGAAATAAAAGATATTGTAAATTCCTTATTTATCAGGTTTGATTTATATCCGTGAGAGCAACTTATATCTGTATATCGTGTAGAAAGAACATCTTATTTCTCAACTAAATTAAATGAATAGGTTTGTGTGGGAAGTTGGGCTGCAATCTATGAATATTAAAATCCTCTATTTCATTAGAAATGTAGAATAAGATTTTATTTGACTTCATAATAAATTGGCAAGTGATATTTATTCTGCAAAACATTTCACATTTGAGACATTGAGACATTTTCATCTCAATATGTAAACCGCTGTACCTGTATGTTAAGTCTATTTAATATGGAATTGCATTTAAACATTAAATGTAATAGGTATAAAATAGAACCAAAATTAGTTTGTTATCGTATTTTTCCAGCCTTTTTTCATAGTTGAATTTGTAAAATGAAATGTTCTAGTGGATAGAGAGTTGCACCTAACTATGTTGATGACGCAAGTTAAACTTCATGCTCACCGCCTAACCTACTGTGTAATAAATTTAGTTGGCAATTCTGAACTTGAAAGATTTCAGTCCTTGTATAGTAAAGGTATTAAACTATATCTTTTATTGATTGCATCTTGATTTATCTCGGAGATAAGAGAAGGCTTATAGGATAATGTTATTGATTCATTTTTGATTTGGCCTCACAAGTATATTACACTATTAAAATTATTTCAACAGATTGATGAGTTACCTGAAGGAGCTGTCAAACATCCTGCTAAGAAATATCCAATATTTTTCTTTGGTACTCATGAAACGTAAGTCTTTTGCAAATTCTTTTATCGCTATATAAATGTTTGAAAAAACTCAATTCAACAAATGTTTTTCACCGTCTCAAAAGATTTTTCAAGAATTATGTTTATTGAATCAAATCATAAGAAAACTACAATGAATGAAACTACAATGAATGTTGTGTGTTAATCATGCTCATAGATACAATATTACTATAGTAGGCTATACACTATTTACAATTACACTTTAGAACTTTTATTTTGTCAGTGAAATTCTTTGGCTATATGATTCCTTGACAGGGTTGACTCAGAATGTTTCAAGTCTCACATCTTTTGACGACTATGTCTCATGAATAACTAATGCATATCCCAATTGCAACTATATTTTGTACTCTATCCATTCCACCTTATTAGCGAATTGGGACCTTCTTTATTATACAAATATTTGGACCCATTGTTGTTCAACTTATCCTTGTTTGGTATTTATGGGCCAACTACAGATCATGTTTGATAATGGATTTTAACTGCGCAACCTCACTGAATCAAAAGACAAAACATCTGCTATTCCTAATAATGTTGTTTTTTCGAATATTCGTCATTAATCATTATAATTTTCTTGAAAACAAATTTATAATAATTTGATTACTTTTCATCTAGTGGATTTCTCTCAGCTAAAGAAATATTTCCTTATGAACAATATAAAGCAAAATATGGATTACCTCGAGGCAGACCTGGTTTTAATGAAGGATTATGGGAAGTGGAAAACAATCCCACTGTCAAGTTCAGGGGAGCTGGAGGCAGTACTGAAGAGGTTCATATGTTTCATTGATAATATTCCAATTTATCATTTCTCTTTACATATGAATCACAAGTTAATATTATTTCCCTTTTTTTCAACTTCAGGCTACAACTGCAGAGGGAAGTGATGAGGGGGAAGAAGAAGAAGAAATTTCAGATGAAGAACCTGTTATTACAGAGAAGAAAACTAAGAAGAAGGTATTTGAGGCATTTAGAGACATCATTTGCATTTTATAAAATTCATATTAATTCATGAAAGATATCCAGAAAATTTAGTTTATATTGAATATGAAGTAATGGCAATAACATACTCTGAATCATCGTCTTTTTTATTAGATTTAGTTATTGCAAAGTGTGTTTTATATTAATTGTTATAACAAATTTGGCTATCAAGATATCTATATTATTCTGTAAAATAGGTGTAATCAATATAAAATGTCAAATATATGTTTACATTGTCAATTTATTTGGATGCGATTATCTTTAAAAAAGGGAGTAAAATCTGATTTAACATTGTCTTTGCAATCCATGCCAATCATTGTATAATTTGGAAATCCATGTAGGTTTAAGTGGAACACTAAATAGTAATCAGTTGAGAGAAAAATTGCAGCTTTCATTATATATATATATACATATTTTCAATGATACTAGTGCAATATTTTTTAAGACTAACCCATTAGATTAATGAAACGCAGTACGAAGAGACGATTTCAATTTCAATAGATCCTAAAAATACAAAATACTCATAACAATAATTTCCACAATTATTTCTTCTGCAGAAATCTGCTCCTGATGCTACAGCAGGAAGTTCAGAGGAAGAAGATTTTGATGCAGAATCTTCTCCAGATCCAGATACAAGTGAAGATGAGGTTAGAGCTGAAATGGACAAACCACAGCCTGCGGGTCAAATCTGGCCCGTTGGGTAATTCAATCTGGCGGGCCATGCAATCCAGATGGGCAAATTTTTTGGCCCACCTCAGGGTTAAAGTGATCCCTTTTAAGATGAAAGTAGTTTGTATTTCCCAGGACTCAGCCATGTTCATTACAGAAGCTATACAATGTCCAGAACTTTATTCACAGTGTATTAAATTTTGCAGGCATTCAGATTTCAGTTTACCCAAACTAGTATCTTTCTATGTAGAAGTGTTTGCTTGTCTATGGCCTTGTTTATAGCTTTTAGGATCTAAATGGTTAGAAACCATTTAATACATTTTCCAGGACTTTGCTGCTGAAGCTGCAAAAGGAAAAGGAAAGAAAAGAGGAAGGCAGAGTAAACATTCTGTGGAAGATGATAGTTCAGCCCTTTCAGGTTGAAATTTTTTCTTGTTTGGCGTATTCGGTTTATAATTTTAGAAATAATTTACGTTAAATGATCACAATAATGTTTTCTACATTTTAGATTCTGACAGTGATGCACCAGCAAAGCCTCCACCTCCTAAGAAAATTAAAATCAAAGGTAGAAATAGAATTTTTTTTCATAAATATTTTTATTTAGATTATTAGACAATGTTCAAAGTAATTTTGTGATGCAATTACGGTAGGTTTAAATCAGCGTAATGGTGGATGTCTAGTTTTTAAAACTTTGGTAACTTTTTTGTTTTTTTGAATATTTTACTTCAATATATTTATATATGATGCCTTTAGCTTTAAACACATCCTTGAACAAGCAACCATTGATTTCGAACCATTTTTAGGGAGCTTTTATTTTCGGAAGTGCAATATTTCAGGTTCGGCATTGCCTGCCCAATTTATTATAACCTGGATGAGGTGACAGGCATTGATTTGAACCCACGATAGTAACCTGCATCTTCAACACAGTTAAGTCTGTTGCCTCAGTTGCCACTTCACCATGCCCACAGATATACAAAAAGTCCAACTTTATCCAGAATTTGACTTTTCTATTGTTCAGGATAAACCATAATTTCACTGCATTATCTATTCAATAAATAAGCATAATTACAATTTAGACTGATTTTTCATCGTTATCGTAATATTTTTTTCATCATGTTAGCTCCTGCTAAACCAAGGGAAAAGAAAACTTCATCTGAAAAAAAACCAAGACAAAGGAAGGCCCCAACAAAGAAACCAGCGCCTGACGAATTGTCCAATGCAAGCAGTTTATCTAGCGACAGTGATGATAGGTAGGTGCACTATGAGTAGAGCAAAGTTATTACTTATCGATCTTGATCGGTAAGTATTTTGATAGGTATTTGTTTGTTTGTCTGTTGGATACACGCGATATCTCACAAAAGCGAGGTTGAATTTGCTCCAAATTTTGCATGTGCATTCATCATATCTCAGACCAGAAGCCTCATTGATTCTGGATGAATTATGTCGTATAATTAGCGAGTTATTAATTAATCAGCGATGAAGAGATCTAGATTTTTGCATAGCGAGAGAATGTGTATGACCGAGATTTTTTCGGCGACAGCGCACATGTGCTGAATGTGTGTGTGCACTGCGCAAGTTTCCATCGAGAAAGTTTCCACGCTATTGACTATTGAGTTAGAGCGAAGGATACTCACGCTAGATCGATGGGTCTCGTTCATGTATTGTTGAGATGGTGTGCTTCAATGCTGATTGCAATTTTATCAAATTTAGATGTCAAAGATAACATTGGTTTAGTCAAAATTTATCTAAAGCTCCCTGTGATGATTTTGACGCTTGACTTTGTTTTCGATTTCGTTGATAAGAATATGTTATACCAGAAATTTTAGTGGCTCCAGCTATAAACTATCTATTTAGTTTTTTGCATTCATTCTTTATTGCCACATACAGTTCTATCCTTTTTAGTGTTTAATTAATGATATAATGATATGATTTTCAAGGTTAATTTGTTAATTTCAATTTTAAAATTTGATTCGATTATGCTGGTATTTCATGGTAGTGGTTGTACCAAATACGTCAATGGCCAAGGAGCCACAGCATAGCTCATAAGCTAAAGCTATGCAGCCGTAGCCAGAGTTTGAAAATACTGAAGCCATTTTGATTTCAACCCAGCTCTCCAGCCCTGTTCTGTATGGTGACTTTTCTCTTCATTGCTCTGATAAAATTTGGATATATATATAGACCAGGGGTCACCAAACTTTTTTGACCGCGGGCCGGGTATGACTCAGACTGTGTTGAAACGGGCCGGACAAATATTTTTGTCAATGCAAATAGGCCTACAATAAATTCACAAAAGTTGGGAAATCCATTCAATTTGTTAACGATATATATTCTACATTTCTGAAGACTTGAATATTAAATTCTATCTATATCGCAGGATATAGATCGCAAACATCCTAGGAAAACAAATATACAAGATTTTCATATCTTGACAACTATCCTGAGTTTAGCTGTTATCAAAACGTTGCAGTCATGAATTAGGAATGTTACAAAATTCGCCTTTTTGCGCCAAAAAATGTCCGCATCACGTCTGCTAAGTACCGTTACGCCGTGTCGGAATATCGCTCATAACAACGACTACGGACTGCTTGCTGTAGCATAGAATTCCATAAAATTTTGACATAATCCGGTATTTGATTTTTTTCATTAGCGCATAACTTTCCCATCATTCCGAACTTTCAAAAATTCCGCTCAAGTTATACTTAGTGCAAATTAATGGTAATGTCCATAGACACCAATAAAATTTATGTAAACGTGTGTATTTCTTTCCTATCTTGATACTTACCAATTTACCAATGAACCACTGACAAACTAACATGCACAACTCCAGCGTTTATTTGCCACGATCTCTCGGCGGTGTAAAACACCATTGCCAGAATAAAATCCTGAAATAGTCTCAATATTCCATAGATGTGACGCAGATCGAAAAATTACCGTAGTGATTGATATGTTTTTTTTTCATATTTATTACAGTTCTTATCAAAAAAGTAATACTATCCTTATGAAAAAAATTGGCCTGTCGGGCGGTACTAAAATTCCAATATTTTTTAACGTTTTTTTTCAAACTTGGTATTATTTTCTTATTTTCACTCAGATCTATCTAATTGTGCAGTTTTCATTTAAATCGGATAAACTTTTAATTTTTTTGTAACATACGTACATGAATATCCGCATTTAAGCAGTACAAAAGTTAGTGTGACTTTTGAAATTGGAGCAGTACGCGAGGGATTACAGTACTGTTGCACATTCGACGTTCATTTTAGCACAAGAAACGTAAACAGTTTCGTCGAAAGCACGCGTCACGAGTGTATCTTTCGCAGAAAACGTTGCATACTGGTAGAAAATTTAAACCTGTTTTGTCACTGCTATTTCCAGACTAATTTTTCATTACTACTATTAAAACTATAACTCCTAAGGAGGCAAATGATGACTGACTTAATTTGTTTCATTCATACTTAAATTTCCCAAACACAACCTAAAACTAACGAAGTATTGTTTACAACCACGACTGAAAATCTGTCAGGGTGACAAAAGTGTCTGAGCGAATGCGAAAAGGCCTAGTATCACGTCACTCTTTTGCATCTTGCTGATTGGCCAATTTTACGAAATAAACAAGGAAGACGATGCTCGGGAAAATTTCCTTTGGAAAAATATTTCGCCCTTTTTGCGTGTTATCGCGGGCCGGATAAAATGACGCCGCGGGCCGGATCCGGCCCGCGGGCCGTAGTTTGGTGACCCCTGATATAGACGTTTAAAACTTCAACTGAACTATATCTCTTGTTTCTTTCCAGTTTAACATACCGTAGATTACTATACTAATATCAAATTGTGATTTAATATTTTTGTTATATAGATCCAAGTATTCAACTCATGTCTAAATATATTCAAAACTTTTAGTGATAAAGAAGATGCAGTTTCGGCATGGAAAAAGAAGGATGAAGAAAGGAGGAAAAAACAGGAAGAGAGGGAAAACAAAAGAAGGAAAGATGATGAACAGAGAATGAAGGAAATTGAAAAAGAAGCAGAAAGACGACAACGTGAAGAAGAACAAGAGCAGAAAAAGGAGGTAGGTACCATTGTATGAGATACATTTGTCACTTGACATATTTTCTGAATTATATATTGTACAATTTATAATACTCTGGAAGTTATCGAGCATCATCATAAGACTGTAGTCGCAGGGATATCTAAACGAAATGAATACTCGACTGCAATCAAAATTTGATGATGCTTTCTGATATATGATTCTAGGAAATAATGGAAATATTTTTGTATGAAATGTACTCATTAAGAGTTTTCGACACCTGATGGTCAGCCATAGAATAGACTTTGAGTTCTGACACTGTATAAACTAAAAAATCAATCCAAACAATGTTTTATCTCAACCATTTGGCATTACTGTATATCGTTTCAAAGACTGTTTCACTGTTTAGCAATGTGTATATTAAATTATTCAATACTGACCATCCCAGACAGCAGGTATAGTGTGTGTGATGCAACATTCCACTTCAAGGAGTAATTTAGAGATTTTTCACACTGTTGATATAGACTCTTTATTGATACACTACATAGGGTTTTCATATTTATCCCAGGGTTAAATCTCGGGCTCTCGTCCGATTACCAGCCCATGTTTAAAATGGGAATAGTTAATCTCATTTATTTGTTTCCGATGCATAAACTTACATTTTATTTACATAGTTCTGTTGTATTTTTGTGCTCAAATTGTCGCTAAATCTCAAAATTTTGAATTATTGGCTTAAATTATCATCATTAAAATACAGTTCAGTTTATCCTTTGTTATGTGCTGTACATGTTATGAATTATTTTCAGGAATCTGATGTATCAGATGACGTACCTGTTGTCATTCCAAAGAAAAAACACAAGAAAAAAGAAGAGAAAACTAAATCACCTCACGAAAAAAAGAAACACAGGGAAAAAGATAAAAAGAAAGAGAAAAAACACAAGCGAAGAAGTTCTGAGGAAAAGAAAGAATCTAAAGTATGGAAAGAAATGATTTGTTTACTTGTTTAGAAGAGAAATAAAAAATGTTGTTTTCATGTATAGCTGATTTTTTTAGCATTTTATCCATTATTGAAAATATGACCATTTTTATCAAGTCTTCAAGTGATTGCTGACGATCAATACCATACTTGCCAAATAGCCAATAAAACTAGGAAGGCAAAAAAACACTGATTGGACCACTGTGGGAATGTGATTGAAAACACAGTTTTTATTTTCCGATCTTAACTCTTCTCAAACAGATAAAAATCAAGGCCCCACCTCCTCCAAAGCCTGATCACGAAAAAGAAAATAAACATAAAAAGAATAAACGAAACAGTGAAGTTATGCAAGTGAGTACTACGATTTTGTGATATCTATTATATGGTTCCAATTTAATCATATTGAGAATTATGCAAAACAAGTCTTTATGAGTTTAACACAGAGGTTCTGAACCTAAATTCCCTTGTTTACCCCTTGACACATTTCAAAAGTGAAATTCCTTGCTTGTAAAATGCACAGTTTGTTGAAATTACGGAGGACGCCTATTCTAGGGTGGTTCACGTAATCACTGGTCGGTTACGGCTTCCTCTATCATCAAGTCCATTCTTCCGAAAACAAATAACTAACTAAACCCATACCCGACTTGGACTGGTAACCAGACGAGAGGCTGTGGTTGGTTAAGCCATCTTATCAGCTTTCCTTTCCATGGGATAAATAGATCAAAATCCTAATTTGATTCATGTTTTTCAGGATACACCCAAACATGAGAAACAAGCTTCAAAAACAGAATCAATTGATAAACATGCAAAGAAGAAGCATGCTCATATCACATCCACTGGTAGGCAGATGTTATATTGTGTTAAAAACTGAAAAAGTTTTTTATCTTACATATACGTTTTATAGTTCAATCTTGAAAATATGCAGCGTTTCTCCGTTGACTTGAATTCTGAAAAGCAAAATTGCTTGCTATACATTTGCTCTCGTCCCTTTCTATCACATTATTGAATTGACAGTAAATGATTTTTCAGTTTCGCCAACAGCTCAATTGGAAAAGTATGAGATTGATTTGAAAGCTGCTTTGACAATGGAAAATCCTGTAAGTTTTAACTCATTTATACTTTAAGATAAGTTTATATTATTACAGACAATTTGAAAATGATTGTTTTGCAGGATGTTCCAAAAGCTATAAACATATTAGATGCAATTGATCAGTACCCTGTTACAATATCTCTGCTGCAGAAATGTCATTCACTCGTGTCAACGGTTAAAAAGGTAAATTTTTTAATAATTGAGAACGCACTTTATATATTGTATTTTCATTATTTGTCTTGGCATTCTGACCTCATCCCAGTTCAGAGCAAGTATTTGTGCCCACTGATGGCATTTTCTGGGTAAATGAATGTATGAATTTATAACTTGTGTCAATATTGAATAAAACATAATGATGGGCGCTCCAGAAGTGTATGTATGGAGGTAACTAATTTTGTTCCCCTACTTTACAACAAATTGTGTAAAGGGACGGAAGCCTATACGCAGGGCATATATTTACTTGGCTAATACATACAGTCTCCAAACTCATAATAGAACTAAAATAAGGAAAATCGGAATAAAATTATGGCCTTACCCTAACCTGTGTGGTACATATACTACGGGAGTACCGAATGATGTATCCAAAACCTGTTACCTGCTTCAGGGGTTTCACCAATAAAACTACTAACTTGAAATTCTGCGCAAATAATTGATTTGTGACACTGTTATTGATATATGTCCCATTCTCAGGACCTTATAAAATTAAACTTGGTTTACTATAAAGACATGGTTTTGTTTACGTCACATCACTCACATCATCAATGAGTAATTTCTATTCTAATTCACTACATTTTACAGGTCAGAAGATATAAAGCCAGTCCAAAACTGATGGATAAAGCTGCAACAGTTTACAATCGATTTAAAATAATTTTCTGCAAGTTGGATAATGATGCTGCATTATTAGCTCAAGCTAAGAAAAATACAGAGATACCGATATCAGGTTAATAAAAGAAGTTATTGCTTACTTTCAACCTTGATTGCTTGAGGGGAAAGTGTTTTCTAATTTTGTACAAATTATTCATTTATCTGATTATTTATATCATAGAACCGACCACAGAAAATAATATGGAGACAGATGAACCTAAGAATAACAATAACAAGGTAGAAATAGTTGATGAAGGGGAGGAGCCTGCCGTCGTCGCAGAAGCTGAAACCATAAATGAAGAAAGAGGTGAGATTACTATGAATGTTTAAACTATTAGGCTATTAAATTTCTATCATATTTTATTACGCCAGTCTCTTATGCAGATGTCCATAGCTCTGTTTCTAAGATTTTCACAAAACAATGAGTACCGATTTCTTTATGTGATATAAAAGCAGTATTTTTCACATATAAGATCATTTTCTCAGTCTCGACCATTGACCCTGCTTCCCATGTAGAAAAGGTAAATACCTACACCTGTGAAGATTTCAATTTATTATTTTTTTGAAAGAAAGATTGCTTAAACGTATTTGCATGGACAGCCCAGAACATTCTATATATCACATATTGTGGGTGTTATCTAACATTGTCCTACTTCCAGCTGATGAAAACACAGAATCACACGAGGCTTCAACAGAAGTGTAGCAGATGCATGTTGTAAATATTTCACTCATCGAGGTCTCGATTACAACATAAAAAGAAGATATCTCTTTTGCAACAACTTTTCGGAGAGTTAAATTGACCAGTGACTGTCGGCATCGTTGCCGAAATTTTTAGAAAGGTCCCGTTTTCTGTCGAACTATGGAGGGAGGTGGTTGGATACGTTCAGAAATTTATAGGCAAAACTTTCTTTATAGTTTAATCAATTCTGATGTGTAGTTCTGGAAAGATGGTGATGTGACTTGTAAAATTTATAGCATTTATGTCACTGAAAATATTATTTGTTTTGCAAGACTATAAGAACTGTGTTGTTTTCTGCCTTTGAATCGCATTGATTCTCATCTTAGTTGAAGACGACAACGTGTTTGTAACAATCATTTAAAATCGAAAGCTCAGCCTGATAGTATGTTTTGATGAGCTTTTTATTTATATTTAATATTTTTTGAAGTCTTTTCGATTTTGCTGCTAATCATTCCTAATTACTAGGTACAATATAAAATCTGGAACATTGCCAATAAATACAAAATTAAAATTTATGAGCATTAACATCTTTCCCATGCTAGTAATTTTATTCTTACAATTTTAAGTCTTTTGACAGTTATTACAATTTCCCGTTTCGGATATTCACTCTTGGCTTGTACACCAAGCAAAACCAATGCAAACTTAACTTCATAAATTGGCATGATTGTTAGTATCAAAATTTCCAGGCTATTTTTGATATTACGAAACTTTTGTGATAAAGCGATATGGCAGTAAACGGATTTTACATTGTTGTTACATTGTTGTTATCAGCTGGTCACTGCCACTCTTTGGAATTAGCTGGACAGCCACATAGTTGCATCTCGATTTCATGTCTTTTTTGGCAGTGACTTGCTTTTTAACTATTCTCAGTGTCAAATGTTATGTGATTTTTTTTATACATTTAAGGTAATAAAAAGTTAGTTTTGCTTTGGTTCAAGGCTTGTTTCTTGGGTTATATGATGTTGGGCATTGGAAAAAGTCAAAATCGGAATCTCTTTTCTAGTTACCCGTCAGTCAGGTGTATTAAGAATTAGCTAGTTTCCATCTGCATTGTCTCCGAATATTCGAACCTAGCACAAGTGTAATTTGCGCTTGGTGTTCCGGCGACTGTCGAGAATCTATCTCGCTCTGTATTCATTGTTATTCGCATTTATAGAAGTGGCATTGACCATTGAATGAGGCATTAAAATAAATAGATAACTCTGGTGCGATATCGTTAACCAGTCATCAAATTTATTTGCTTGCCCGTCACAATATACAAAATACGAGAAAGATGATAATTACAGTTTTACTGTGGAAGGGATGACGCAGGCAACCAACATCGTTTATTAAAGAATGTTTCGAGATTGCATTGAAGAGCCAAAGGACCAACTGCTGGACAGGAGATTTTTCAGTTATTGTACACGAAATAGGCATATTGATCGTCTTCTAAATCGTGGTTGTTGAGGCGACATTTTAAGTGCTGAAAAAATTTCCTTTTCTTCGTAACTACTTTTTCTATTTTCCCCTTAGAAATGTTATTAGATATTTCATCGAAATTGTCACGGTTTTATTTCTGTTCAAGTGAACGGTGTTTGCATTTCGTCACTCGTGGCGCTACGACTGTCTTTTGTTTTGATTTTACTCTGCGCTCCTCTACATTTCCACGCGAGTCGCATTGCTGCATTGGCTATTATCGGCATTGCGTTTAGTTTGCGTTCTCGAAATTATCATGGCTTCCAAGTCCATTTTATCGGAAAGTGGAGAAATCTTCTACCGCGAGACTTTGCCTGTTGGAGGTGCATCAAAAGGAGATATCCTGCTTTTGCATGGAATGAAATTTTCGTCAGAAACTTGGCTCGAATTGAAAACTTTGGAAAAACTAGCAGAATGGGGCTACAGAGCTGTTGCTATTGATTTGCCAGGTATGCCAGCACAGTAGTATGCATTTGTCACTGTACCGGTACGGCCGGTAGTTAATTGATTTTCCAAATAGACTAGCTTTACATTCAGACATTATTCATTACCGTACATAAAATTAAACCAGTGCCTACCAACTTTAGTAACATTCAGACTTCATCATTGGTATGAATCATTCAAGAATAACAAGTGATAATAAAAAAATACTGTAAGCATTGTCAATTCATTCGGCCATCCCCATAAGCCATCTGGTATTAATAACCAGTCATTAAACCTATTTACGCTCTCGTCATCTTTGCCCTTTCTCTATGTCTCATGGCAGCATGGGTGAAATATAAAGTATCACAGAATTCTCAAGTCTGAAAGAAAAATAAATTTTTTACCTGAAAATGTTTTGACTTTCTCACTTAGTAGATTTCCTCAATCAGCATTTCAATATCATATGTATCAGCCAATGCTTTTAATAATAAAAGGCCACAGGCCTAATCATAAATAGAAACAACCCACACTGAAACAGGTACTTCTGCTTACTATCATTGCTGCATCCAGGAAATTCTTGCTCAACTTTTGGCAGAAACTACTGATATTGTGATATGACAATGAATATTATTTTTTCTTACAAGCCACAACATCACAAAAAAAGTGATAATGTCAATGATGTATAAGTTTCTTGTGTTTTATACCATGTAGAATATGGAAATTCAAAGAGTGCGAAGTTGAAAGGTACACAAGCAGATTTCATACATGGAATATGTCAGAAGTTATCAATAAATAAACCTGTTATTATCAGTCCCTCAATGAGTGGAGAATTTTCACTTCCATATTTAATCGGTAAGTTAGAAGTTTGTAATATCCTCCAATATAATTTTCACAGAAGTGCATTGTGTAACTAGTTTGAAATTTTTGTGAAATTTTCGTTTAACAAACTATGCAGTTTAGGAATCAAAGTTAGACCTTGAATTTTTGGTATTTGAATGCAAAAAAGTTTAGTAATTAAAGTATCATTGAATCTCTCAATTTTAATATGCCATGTGGATATTTTGTAGTGAGGCTGTCTCCCCGACCCAACTTGGGGATGTTTTTCCACTTCATCCTATATCAAACTGGTTGCGAAAGACGAATTGGTCTTTGATTTTATTTTGTAAGATATACATTGTTGAATTATTCAAAGTAAATCTTAAGATAAGATATATTTAGAATGATTGTTCTAAATTGTGCATGCATATATGTTGAGACTTGATAGCCCTCATTTTGATAAAGCGATACACGGCCATAATGTACAACACTTCATGATTTTAGGCATAATCATGCTTCTTTCTACTTCATTTAGAACATGGAAATAACATGAGTGGATATGTCCCTGTTGCCCCAGTATCTACTGGCTCCTATATTAACCAGTATTCAAGTGTTAAAGTCCCAACTTTAATTGTTTATGGTGAGTGTTTGATTTTATTTATCAACCGAGCCTTTGTGAATTGAGAGGTTATTTTTAAAACGGATTTTTGCAAAAGAACTGAAACAGGAGTCTTTACGCTTATAATAGATTAGATTGTATTATCAAAAGGGTTCGACCATCTGCAATCAACTATATTCCTCTATTGTTTGCATATTGCCACACAATCCTTGAGCGGGTACCAAGTAATAGTACAAATCCATGCAAGGGTAGGGCAAAAAATCTCCCATATTTATATGGAACTATTAATTGGTTAAATCAAAACAAATGAGAGACATCTGACACCATATTCATGAAATTCTCCGCCATATTGATTGATATTTGAAATCTCAACCTAATTTTCTTACTTGAATCTTACAGGTGACAGAGATGCTACTTTGGGGACGACCTCCTTCAAGCATCTTTCTGTCATACCCAATCACACAGTTCTCAAAATTCCAAACGCTGGGCATGCTTGCTACCTTGATCAGCCTGACGTCTGGCACAACAATTTGCGGGATTTTCTTAACACGTTGAACAGCTAATTATATATATTGTTTGTTTCTTATATTTGTTTATAATTTTATTTCCAATGAATAAAATACAATCATGTTATTAATTAAATATATTTTTTTTTATATAATTGAAATGAATACAATTCTATTCTAAATGCTATTTGGTGTCATGCACCAGTCCACCTTTGTCTTTGCTGAGGTAAAATTTGAGGAGTTCAACAGCTGTGTGTTAGTATTTTTTGAGTTCATTGGACCATTTTATATAGCATATCTGTGATCCGTGGGAAGGGTGATTTTGGATGTTTAAATTTGAAAAGTAACAATCCTATATAGAAATTCGAACAGTGTTGCTATGATTTCAAAACCTCTGGCAAGTGGTTGAGTGCGAATGTTCAATCGACGATTCGCGCAAACGTCACCGACTTATCACCCATCGGCGACGAGTATCGTTCTAAGAGCTAAAAACACGCATGCCATCGCACCTCTGATTATCTAACCTGCGCGGGTTAGATTCTTAGGAGGGCGAATATTTTGAGAGGATTGCTGGACTCATCGTCGTCTTAGGGCAGTTCACTCACGTAAACAAGTAACTATTCACATATCTGACCGGACAATAGACCTTCGTTTCCCACATGCGCAAGCCGCTGTCAACATTTTCGAGTCGAAGTTAACCCTGTACGGCTGCACTTCAAGCAGTTTCAATTTTCTTTTCTAATTCACTTTCGGAGATATTTTTACTAAAACATCACTCAATGGAGGCATGACTCCAAAACCAAGATGCCTCATGTCAAACGGTGGTGGTTTTTCATCCGGGTTGATAAGTTCTAATCGAAAATGCCGTAGAAAGATGAGCACACACAGTTTTATTTCTATTAAAGCTATATGTCTACCCGGGCATCGATTTGTGCCATAACCAAACGTTAAAATAGCCCTTGAGGCAGAAACGCGATATCCCGGCACGCCATAACGAATTTTTGCTTTGAGCCTGTTTTTCTTCGACAATCCTTCCGAGTCTGTACTGCAGATTGAAGAAACGTCACTGATATCCTCACTGCTCTCATCCCGATGAGATATTTGTTCCACAAGGTGACGTTCATACATATATTCCTGTCATATATTGAATAAATTGTGTGTTGTAATCGGTATTGAATTATTATAAATTATATTCTTAAATGTAAAATTAGTTTTAAAAGATATAAGCTACAATTCTTGTGGTCAATGTGCAATTTTAGAGGTGATGTTCAATTACAGCCTTAATTTATCTACCTCTGGATTTTCGTGAATGATTTCATCCATGTGAGTTAACGGTGAGAAAAATGCGGTGAAATCTCCTTTTCGTACAAGATATTTGTTTCCTGATGCTACGGTCACTTTCGCATTTCTATCGACTTCTCTCACAATCATGCTCGATCCGACGAGTCGAAGACTTTCTCTTATGCATGCATCTGCAATGAAGCACAAAAAATTGGCACGCTTTTTTCATAAACAAAATGACATCTAAACGCAGATTGTAAGTACCAATGATGATTTTGAAGTTAATCACGGTCGTCTAGAATAAATTCCAGAGTCGTCTTTTTAAAAATACTTAATTTTTATCCAGTCATTATGGTGAAATGCATTAGTGATCTGAGCCATAGCTTGAAAATTACTAAAATGATAGCCACTTGAATGTTCGCATGCCGGATTTTACCTCAGAACAGCCAATGAATGAATGTAATGATTTGTTGTCGACTCAAGTCAAAATAAGTGTGATTCGAATTAGATAAAAATATTCTCTAGGAGAGAGTTTACATCAACAGTTGCTTACTCTGACAAGAACAAGAGAAAATCATTGTAAACATTCTAGAATCTAGAGCATTTCAAGTGGTTTTCAAAATACATATATATATATATTATATACTAACATAGATCAAGACATAAAGCGTTTTATTTACCGAGAATCACCATTTTATCCAAACTCGTTCTGTTTAAATCCATAATGTCGTCCATGCCAAGCCATTTGCTCAATAATGATCGATCAGCGTTGTTTTCGTTGGTCTTCTTTTTCTGTCGCGACATATTCATTTCCATGACTTCATTGTATTCCTGAAGAATTTTTGCTACTGCTTGTGGCTGTTTCAGCAGGTGAAAAAGTGTCCAAAATAATGCAGGACGACTGTTTGCTTGCGAGGACCACAGAATTATGAGAAGATGTCTCGCTCTCTCATCGGCGTTGTCTGAAATCATTTACTTGATAAATCAAGAACTTCAAATATTTTAACGAAGAGCCACAGCTGCTATTTGAGGAAATTTACCGAATAACTATAGATGCTTGACCGACTGGACTTCGCATTGGAAATGCAACCATAATGCTTTGCTAAGCTTAACATGCATAGACAAATTTTGAAAATAAATAAATCCTAAATTATATTTTTTTTTTTCAGCTTCACAGATATATTTTCATCTTATGACAAAAAATTGGTAAACATTTTTCCGCCCCCATACCACCCCTTTAATACACAATGCTATCGCAAAATGGTTTTCTAATCCTATTTATTAATGTCGGAATTCGATACCTAAGTTCCAAACAAATATTAAGATTTAATATAGTCATAGGTCAAAGAGAGCCCAGGGCATTGTTGTGAAAAATATTTTGACGGGGATTTAGCTGTTTATTAGATTTGATATAAATCTTCTTAACGCAGTACACATTCGGGATGTCTTAGACTGTTATTATATGAGGGCACATATTAAAACTTTGTATTTTTGAGATAAGTTGCCTAGCACGTAGATATTTTTAAAATCATGGCGTGAATACGTCCGATGACGTGTTGTAAAATGTGAACCTTTTTATAACGTCTTCCTGATTTAACTCAGAACTCTAATGACGTCACATAGGCCGTCACTTTGTATCCATTTGATCAAGCTTAAAATGCGTAAAATAAAAAGCAATTTATGTAACGGGACACATTGTTTTATCAACTTAGTTACGTGATCGCTCTATTCAATCAGAATCAGGAATAAACAATTTGAAGTCGAGGTAACTCAAATTCATAAGAATCCTGAAAGCAAACCTCCTAATGCCAAAAAGTATCCCGCCTATCATATATTCAACAAGTAAAATGCTTACTTTTATCAATTTCGTTCATCGATTTGATTAGTTCAGAAACGCCGACACGATTTTTGAATTCAATGTTGTTCATTTCTTCAAGCAGACGATTTCTTGCTGCTTTTACTTTCGGCAACAAATTAATAGAAACTCTGTCGACTAGAAGAGCAGATTTTTCAAAATAAAACATAAAATCGTCGTAAAATCTGTTTTTCTCTTCTAATCGCTGCTTCAAAGACTTGTGATATCCAAAAAACATGTATAGCGTTGTGTCAAATATAATTTTTCCAGCTAATTCATACAAACCAATCTGGAAAAATATAAAAATATTGAATTAAGCTCAAAAACACTATATTTATTGCTTAGTAAAATACTAACTCTTGTGCGCTCCACGTTTTATTTATTAGTACTTTTCAGGTAAAAGAAAATTGTTAAAATATGGTAATATATATGTATATCAGATTAGTGGTGCCACACACGCGTGTAGGTCCATCCATGGGATGGAAACGTAAAAGCGTTTAATATACTTTAAAATATGGCTTACTGGTTGTTCTTGTATAAATCTTTCATCTTTTCTCAAAGCTTGTTCAAAAGCATAAGTAGTAATAGTCAAGCACGATTCTGTTAATTTTGATAATGATGTGGAACCCCTCATAGCCTTGGTCATTCCTGCCATCACTTCAGGTCCCCTTGGGTTATGTTTTCCGCTTACATCAATGGCATGGGGCGATCCCACTACCCGAGTGGCAAAATCATAAAGAACTTTGTCGTGTTTCAGAATTCGGTTCTTTTCGAGATATTTTACATCGACAGGGTTTGTGAAGAAATGAACATTCCTGTATGAAATAGTATATTTATTGAACATGTTTGTATATAGTCGAACTATTGTAATTGTTTACACAAGTTTTCATAAAGTATGGTCACTCTTTTTGGTATATAACACCCATGGCTGTAAATTAATCATGACAGAAATACAATGTGTTTTTTTCACAAATGTATTCATTTGTTGCAAGTACTACAAAATTTGAACTTTGACAGTTCTTATCCATAGAGCGCATATGCGTAACGGTAGCGGTGAGGTAACACCTGGGAGCACCCGAATTTGTCGAAATGATCGGCGGACAAGCAATACGGAAGCAGTTCAGCAACAAGGAATAAAAAGTGTTTCGCTTTATTCAAAACAGGTGAAATCTCGCCTCATAGAACTCGGAAAAAACTAAAATGGAAAGTGATAGCCGTCAAGCGACCCTTTATCTACCATTTAAAAGTGATTAGTCAATTAGTCGCAGAGAAAAGCGATTTTTCCCTAACAACAAGAATTTATCGAAACAAGCCTTATTTCACTGGACATCTTTCTATATTTTAGTGATATCTCACAAGTTCACATTTTATTATGTTTATTTCATGTCTGACTGGCATCGCCTTCGTCATCTGTTATTCTATTGAAGCAGGCCTGAGCAAGTTGCGGCCCGCGGGCCACATCCGACCCGCGGCAGCGTTTCATCCAGCCCGCGAGCAGGTTTCTGGATGTGGACACTTTCTTTTTTATTTACATATAAAATATACTTTAACTGTGACAAAAGAATTTTTTAGGAAAATGAAAAAGTCGGCAATACCATTCGACTAATTTTTTTTTAAATGACCGATTGTTTTCGTCAGCTCGAGATGTTATTTGGACCGTAAACACCTTTACGTCGGTGATTATTCTACTCAAATCACAAATTACCTTCGACATATATATATATATATATATATGTCTTGCATACGGAACTGTGGAATACTAAAAAAAAATACTACTGATAAAATGCTAAAAACTGGACAGAAACAAGATTGATTTGGAAGGCTTGCGACAGATTGATTGTAGAAATTGGAAACTGAAAAATTTCTGGTGCCCATGGCACAAAGTAAAGTAAATTCAACCGATTTTCATGGTACTAAATTGAATTTTACTCGGTGTGGTTTTATCGCAGACGTAGGGATTTTTCTATTGGTGAAATTTGTAAAATAGAGTCAAGTCATTGTTGCAAGAACAAATCCCTTTGTTGATTTCACAAAATCGCAAAACACGAGTAAAAGTAATCTGGCACTTTATCTCACATTTTTATATCCGCGGCATGCGGTGGTATTTAGGAGTAGGAATGATTATATTTTGTCAAAGCAATCGCGGGTTAAGTGTAAAACAACAGAGCAAGACATTTTAATGTGCCCATATCAATGCATTTTAAATATACCCGTATCGCAAAAATAGGTATCAAAATTAAGTATATTCCGGCAGTTTATTTCACATTTTTATATATATACGCAGATAGACGTTGTATTCTAGAGCAGTGCATTCCAAACTTTTAAGCTCGCAACGCCTTCCAATGCATTAAAATTTTCAGCGACCCCTGTTTACGTTAAAAATGCTATGGTGACAACAAAGTTATATGAATCACGAATGTTTGGTCATCGAAGGCATGGTCTTAATTCCGCATACTTACTCACTCTTTAGCATTAATGATAAAATTCGGCATTGTTTTGCAAGCGTTTTTCTGATCCTATGTATTGTCTCGAAATCGCAATATATAGGTTTTAAACTAGTTTTAATAACTGTGCTTTAAACAAAAACAACGGAGTACAATAGTACCTTTTTTTATTTAAATGTGCAATGAAATGCATTAAAAACGCACAATTGGCTTCACTTAGTCCGGCCCGCCACTGCATTTTGAATATCCAATGTGGCCCGATAGCAAAAATAATTGCCCAGCCCTGTATTAAAGGGTCGAATGTCATTTGTGTCTGCACTTCATAATGGTTTCTACGAGCCAGAAATCTATAATACACACTTAGATATCATTAGGAAAGTCATTTTGGGATGGTCGAATGTCATTTGTGTCTGCTCTTCATAATGGTTTCTACGAGCCAGAAAACTATAATACACACTTAGATATCATTATGAAAGTCATTTTGGGATTGAAATCTTTTTGATGTGGGCTACCCGGCACGGTACCATCCTGTGAAATTTGAACACTGTGCAACGTTACGGAATGCTTGTAATTCTATAACGATAATTGACATATTAAACTAAACGTAATGCCATAGCGATGTTCTCGCGGCAATGCTGCGATATCATTTCTCCCGAATAGAGAAAATAAACCCACGCTTTCGCTGTAGACTGCTCTCGCCGTGAGGTTTCGAGAGCGACCGAGGCTGACGTACGTGACACACCCTCTATAGATGTCCCTATGATGAAGTACGGATATTTTTCTTCCACTCCTGCGGGAAATATTTTAAATACGTAAAAAATAAAATTCAGCATTTATACTAACCAGCCTGCAAGTTCAACAGTAAACACATCTCCGTATTCTTGTCGCAAATTTCTAAGGTAACCCAGAGGATTTCTTCCAAACTCCAAAGCAGCACCTATAATTGGGTATGTGTGTGGTACTATCGGTGGTTCTCCAGGGCGCCTGTCAAATAAAATATTGGTAATGATATTGATATTTTTAGATTAAAAACGATTCAAATAATTTATTGTTTTAATATTGTAGATAATAAATCAGCTTTTGATTAGGAAAAATAACTCAAATAACAGACGTTGATTCGTGAAATGTATATCTTTCTACTTATTATCAACACAAATAAATAGATTCATAATGTGGAAAATAATTGGGCCCGACTTATACCCCTCTTGATGATCTTTCTAGTTCCAAAATCAACAATATGAGTCAGTAATATGTACGGCCGTAATAGCATCGGTACCCATAATCTCAGATAAATGATCAAATTTACGATTAAAGTTGAGTCTCCTGTACAAACATGTAATGCTAACCTAATGATGTAATTTACTAGGTTGTGTCCCCTCCATATCCGGACATAATTATTAGTGACGAATGTCAGATCTTCTAATTTGTCAAATTATGAATTTGCATACTACAAAAATACATATAATTTTGACTGTATTTGATTTTAGATCTAGATAAAATTCCTACACTTAGTTGAAAGGATTCAGTTGAAAATGAACCACAAATTAGAAATTAAGTTGCATATGTCCATTTCGCAGCTTTCAAAATCAGGTTATGAAAAAGAATCAGCGGTCCTGTCAAGTATATGTATAGGCTACTACATATCCACTAAATAAAGAAGCTTATCTTAGGCCTATGCCTAGGGTATATCAATACTTCTGTACCATGCTTGAAGCTTTCAGTACCGCTACTCGTTAACAGGAGTGAACCGCTTAAGGATAGCATAGGCATTTTAAAAGAATACAATGTGGTTATGATTGGTGAACGAATACAACTAAAACTCTAATTTACCTTCTACGACGGAACAATACGAAAATCAGTAAGACAACGTTCAGGACAAACAGAATCGCTGTCCATAATCCCACATCCATGTCGCCGTCTTCACAACTATCGCCCTGCTATTGAACTATTTGGTATCAAACATGAATTATTCTGAAATTATATTCACGCAAAAGTAAGTTATAAATACATGTATAACCGAGTAGATCTACCTACTGTTAACCACATTTTTGGACGCCCCCTATATATGGGACAGTGTGAGAGTCACTACTCCAAGGTATATATTGTGTCAAAAATAAACTATTTTCATCTCTGAGAATACACACACACACAAAAAAAAGAGGACAGTTACATCGTCACAAATCATAAATAAAATTATGTTTACTCACGGGCGTATATATTTATTTTGTGGATCCCTTAACTATAAATTACAGAATTGAAAACGGAATAATAATGCGTTATTTTTAATATGTACGTCAGCTTCACATTGCAATACGTAGAAAACTAATGTATTCCTAGAAGGAGCTGAATCCTACCGTTTGCAAGTCAATTCCTCACAAATTTTGTAAACGGTGAATATTCGGATCCTCAACGGGGAAGTCAAAAAGTGCTAAAGACCTCACTTTCAAATGCTGTATCTGAATAAGGTTCCAATACCATTTGCTTATCTACGTCAATATTAATTACTCCGAAGCGAGCAATCAAACTGGAACTCTATTTCTACTCACTCGTTCCCAATTCGCTTTAATTCACGCCGGTATATATACAATGTGAACAGAAAGCGATAAATGCCATTAACCGCTAAATACTTTGATGACAACGATATCCCCATTATTTTGAGAATGAAATGTAAAACTTGCGGGATACCCTGCAGGGTTTTGTGGTTTTTTATTACTCGGAGGTGGAAATAGCATTTTAATGGTAAAAATATTTTCAAATAATTTGTTTCTACATTTTTTTTTATTGCAACTTTCGCCAGAAATATACTCAATATTGAACAAAACATGAAACTGCAAAAAAAATAAAAATTGCATATTATGCTTGTTATTACGGATGATGGATCGTGACATACAAAATTTATCAGTGTGAATAAAGTAATTCTGCAATTTCAATTTCACCATTCGTCGCATTTGTACACTTTTAATCGCCATGATGGTACTTTAATTTCATGAACCATTTATGTTGGTTAAATCTCCCATCAATAATGTTTCCAGCAAATATGACGTGTAAGGAACTTGGCAATATGTAAACAACACATGTCATGATTACTTTAGGCCAGAGATTCTCAAATTTTTGAAACTCACGACGTATTTAAATTTTGTAAGACAATACACATTGTATCGGAAAGTAAATTTATTTTCAATATCTTCAAATTACGACAAGAAAAAGTTTTACAATATATGCACATTTAATCAATGCGAAAGATTTGCTTGTTTTTGTGCATGTAAATGATCTTAACGCAATGAATGACCGCTATAGCCAGTCGTAGCTAGCGTCAATATTAACAGATTTGATCTTTGAACACGAAATGGACATGCGGATCGTTCTGTTAATATAATCGCTTTTCTCTTTAACTACAGGGTCAAAATTTTCAGTGGGGAAATCTTGTTGTTGTCACTAGAGGGCTATTACTTTATTTCAGACATTTGTGTGATCTCTATAAGATTCGTTTTTCAATCCGAAGTTTAGTGCGATGACATTATCAAAATTTAGAAAAAAAAATGGGCACATAGCCGTGGTTCCGTGATCACACCTCATCGGTCAGACTAACGACATTGTAAAATAATTGACACTACTTCGTTTTCTATATATTTGATCAGTGCTCTATTGTTTTATGTCATGTTCTGAACGAATGAACATGAGAAGTATTTTTTATATCGCGCCCAGAATATATTCTTCCAATTTGAAGGCTGAATTTAACGATGTGTTGTATAATACTTAACCCCACTCATCTCCTAAGTCCAAATCCAAACGCTTCGAAGCCAGGCTGGTATTTCACGCACGAATTCGGGCTGAGTTACATTTATAATTTTATTGGCGTGGAGTGCAATCAAATCAAAAAAATTTGTCTCTGGAGTGAAACTCCTAGACATATTGAATATTGAAACGTTTCTCCAGATCTCAAATTTTGACATTTTTAATTACGCTTATAGCAATTGTGAGTGCATCGAAAAAGTTCGTACTTTATCGTTATTAGATATCAGTGAATGACAACTAAATGTTTTGATTACTATTCTTGTTTCACATTTGACCAATAAAATTATGGACTATATCAGGCGACGACATAATTTGCGAGTAATAACATCGCAGGCGCCATAATTCTCATAATAGTCCTATAAAGTGTTTTTTAATACACAAATACACGAGCAAAACGTTTCACGGGCGGTGACTCGATGTTCACCAACCGTTCGCTGCGCTAAATCGCCGTTTGAAAACAAGAGCGTTCTTTATTCTCTGATTACGTCTGCTTGAAATGTGTTCAGACTTGGAAGAACAAATTATATGTCATTTATCTTCGGCCTACGGAAGGCGTCAAATTCTTTCATCGGAGTTGTAAAATTTGATGACAAAAAGATAGGTGTCATGTTTCACCATCCTCCGTTGCTAACAACAATCTTTGCTTGAATGATCTCGGTCCAGCCATAGAATATAGATAGCTTCATAGACATATTGGTTAAATTAGCTTATTAGTTTACTTTTTTTTGGGTTTCAGTAAAGTTAAGAATGTTATCCTTGAATATAATGTGTCAGGCGTACTCAGAGTCGATGAAATGGAATTATGAGTGACCAAATTTCGGCTTTGTTTGAACAATATGTATGCTGAAAAAGAAAATAAACTTATAATCAACAAAACTTCTGCTCAAATAGAATCATTACATTTAAATCGTATCAGTGATCTTAGTCCTATAAGGTCCACTCGTAGTAGTGGAATTTATAAGTAGTGCCAATGGGGAGGTGTTCTGGATAGCCACTATAATGGATTTGAATAATAATTAAGTTGCACCATGCATTTTTAATACCCTCATTGACAAATAATTTTCTGCTGAATTCGGGAGTATGGGTCAGTTAAAGAAATGGCAAGAAATTTGATCTCGGCATTGACTTGACTTGAGCTTGGTCGACCACGCTTACAATACTAGAATTTTTTTTGTTATATTACTGCTAAATCCGTCTATCGGAATAGTATGCCTTTACTCTTTCATTATCTTTCAAAACCCTACTTAATGCAAAAGCAAATGAAGATGTTGAGAATTGTCTTTCGTTTGTGTATTAATTCATTATACGGACTGTTGAACTGACTACGATTTATAAAGTTTGAAATATATGATAAAAATACTAGCAAATTGATTTTTTGGTTCGCAGAATTTTTATTAGAATTGAATAACAAATAACAATATGAATAAAGGAAGAAAGCCAAAATTGGAAAAAAGTTCTAAAGGGAAATTACTGGCGCCATCTGACGTTGGAACGATGGATGACGGTGAGTGTAAAATAAATTTATATTTTAACAATATTAGCAAATGTTCACAAAGCGCAATAAATGAAATTATATATTGTGTTTGTATCGTTCAGAATCCAAATGTTTAATATTTTTATATCACAATTTAAATACTTTCTAATTGTAACTGATTTCTAGTCTTAAAATTCGACCATGAAGCGTATTCGTGACTGCGTCCGCGGAGAACACTTCGTAAAATGTCAAGCCCTTTAGCGTGCGTCTTGTCAGATAACGTTGGTCAACTTAATTGTAAATTAGTTTTTTAATTTATCTTTGTCAAAAAGTATATAAAAACTAAAGCCAGAACTTGTGAATCGCGATATGGAGTGGCCACCAATTAAATTTCAAATCGATTCAGCTAAGATGCACATGCAATGCTCTAAGTGCAATTCTCTTCAGGCCGAGGGAAGAGCGTAAGGGCAGAAAACCTTAGCAAGTATTATTATTAATTGCAGTTCTAAGGAACGCACTAGTCCGGGTATGAGCCGGAATCCGGGATTCTGGTAATTGAGTAATAAACCGATGATTTCAGTCGAATCTTCCAATTCGGTTGTCCGAATAAAACTGCGAAAGAAACGTTTCCAATCATGTTACGACAATGATTAATCAACACAAGTCGTATTTCGAACCTGTTCATCAAATCGTTCTGTGATTATAAGGGCTGGGAATGGTTAACCGGTTAACCGATTTAAGATGGTTAACGGTTACGATTTAATTTAACCGTTGACTGACATCCCAGGTACAAATCATCTTTATAATATACAAATTTTTCAAAAATAATCACGTCATCGCAAATTTATCTCCTGTGGCGTTTAATTCAAAAGAATATCACTAACTGTATTGTTGAGGACCCAATAAATGTGAAAAATAATTTTGAAGTACCAAGATTACTAATTATGAAAATTTGACAATGGTAAATTCAGAATCAGTTTTCAGTCGAAATATATTGTTCACGATTTTATTGCAAAATTGTATATTTAATGTCATCCAACAAGTGCGCAGTTGATGCTGTTATTTCGTGTATCTCAGAGTAGAATTTGCACGTCAAACACTAAAAATTTATCACTAAAATGACATTTAATAACGGATTCGGGTTTTATCAAAACATTTCAATATGTCCGAAGCACGCTGCATATCTCTTGCAGCAGAGCGATCATGAAACTATCTCCATTCGTGATTCGTGAATAATTTTGAGCGATACCAGGATAAGATCACGCGAAATTGCTTGGTAATCATTGTGGCGTAATTTTGCCCGGTTAACAGTTAAAGTGCCATAAGAAGCCATAAAATGTCGAAATTATGATATTTAGAATAAATTTGACTACGATGCATATCCGAGAAATGCCTACGAAAATTACGGACTCTTCCATACAATGACGTATATCGGGTTCAAAAAATATATTGATAAAATGCACCTTGAGTTATTCACCTCTATTATGCTATATAACAATCCGATTTGAAATGCCTATTTTGGAAGCTTTTTTAATTCGATATCCGATTCCGGATCTGTACCCGTGAGTGTGTCGATTTTTGAGATTTTAGTTGATTTCTCACCTGAGAACGGCCTGTCCCTTCCTTTCGCAAAGTTGATCGTTCCGAAATTGGGTAACTGATCTAGCTTGTAATGATCAAATCGTTTACCAGAAGTAAGTTTGACATGTATTGAGGGTAAATATCGCGATCACAAAAGAGATGACCAAACGTGGCCGTTGAACATATAGCAGGATGCAACATTGTTGCGATTACAACGTTCTCTGTTTCACAATAGGTGTGATTATGCCCTGGCTGTGTCTAGACCAGCGTTTCCCAAACTTTTTCGTCCACGGAACACTTGCACTTTTCATCTCGCTCCGCGGAACACTAAAAATTGAAAGGATAAAATTGATAAAGAAAAACGGTGTAATGTAGCCGCTACTCAATCTAGTGGCGCGTTGCCAAATGCGCCGCGAGAACTAACAGAATTGTGTTAAACACACCAAAAAAAATGACTGAATATTTTGCATATTGATTATTATGAATGTTTTATCGTTGATTAATTTAAATACCGTGTATATAAATCAATTCATTCATTTTACCATTCTATGTCGTTTACTTTCCATTACATAGTGTTTGCCTCTAATGGAGATAGAAGTACTTGCTGCAGTTTATATTTATCTATTGAATAGAGTTTGGCCAAATAAGAAATTAATTTAAAGTAAAACCAGTCAAAGATGAAGGAAGAATAGCGACGGTTATCAAAAATTCCACTACCTCACCCTAATTGGTCCACTTTAGGCCGACGGTGACGCAATGTCGCCGGTCAGTTGGGCGGCAACTCCACGTTCCATAGATTGCCATGGCGACCATTTTGAACGTATTTTTGATTCTTTTTTCACGGAACACTTCGAAGACGCTCGTCGAAACGGAGAAAGTGATTTCGTAAATGTACTTCAATGTACCCGAACATTCTCAAAGTGAAATCCTCTGACTTTGCAAACTGCACATTGCTCACAATCTTCAAAAATGCCGTCTCAGATTATTTTCTTCTGCCACCGATAGAACATACCAAGCATTGAGGCTTACTCTTTTTGGACCTCCTGGAGTATGCGCACCAAGATGGCGCACAGCCTGAACTCAGGCTATGTACCAGGTTAAGGTTATGCGACATTTTGGTGCGCATACTTCAGAAGTACCCTCTTTTTTCCATAAACACGTAGCCTACTCTTCCTGCGACATCGAGTTAAAAATCTGTTTAAATTGGTCAGCTTTCTTTTCAAACTCCTGATTACAAAGTCACTTACAAATCACTGCAAAATGTGAGGGACACGAGGGTAATATCGCTACATTAATTTATATTTACTACATTTTCTTGACATACATGCATTAATTTCTGTGCTACTTTTGGAGTTGGTTATAATTAGGGATGGCGGAATCGAGTCCGGATTCGATTACAGAATCGATTCTTCGCGGAATCGACTAGAATCGATTCCGATGCACCGGAATCGATTCTCGAGTTTTAAAATTGGATTGCAAACAATGTGTAACGTTTTGTGGCAATTTCTTCATATATATATATGTGTATAAACTGCTTCACTGCTATGTTGAGGTGCTACGACACCGCAAACTTCACTATATATAATATATATATTATAAATATCGCTAGTAGGCTTTAACGTTTATTTATTTTTAAAATCTCTGTGGGTTCTGAGGGATTCGTTTTTTTTTGTGCGGTTTTGTCTCATGTGGCAGATTGGATACCCATACTACTTAGTTTCGGCCTTCTTGTCCTTCCAGAATTTGAACATCGCTGTCTTGCTTGATTTCATATGGTATTGCTTGGGTGGGTATATTTTTTCGGTAATATGTCGAGGAATCGAGATTCGGAATCGAGAATCGGAATCGAAAATTTAGGAATCGGATAAGAATCGAATACTTGTAAGTACTCATACTTGGCATCCTTAGTTATAATGCGGCAGGGGTATTGATAGGCCGATTTTTATTTTCTCTGAAGCCTAATGAGCTATTAAGAGCGGATATTAACGAAGAGAAAAATAGAATCAATATCCAATTGGGGCTGTCGAAATCGAATAATTTAATTGAGCTAGTTAACAATTTACGCCAGGCAACAACACTATTCAACTGGCTTACTTCTGTCTTATGACTGTCTCCGCTAGCCATAACATCAGTCAATTCAATGACGATAGAGATGTAACAATATGTGAGAAGATTTTATAATTATTTTGATGACGAAACAATACCGCAATGCGATTTTTTTGTTTCCGCCAACTTTTACCGGCAAATGTGACGTCGACCACAGATAACGTTGCGGGGCCACATGTGGCCCTGGACTTGGACCACGATGATTTAACTGTGCCGACTGCCGAGTAGCATTGCAGTTACCATTCCATTGATTTTTGATAATTATGTTTACATTCTTGCAGCTAGGCTAGGGACTTATTGATAACTGGCTGCCTGTTCATGGCTGGAAACATAAATAAGTATTAAGGCAGGCGAATGTGATCACAGTTTCGTATGGCCTGGAAAAATGGTAATGTCTGTAGACAACCAACGCCAAGTTTGGCACAGTTGTTCAGTACCGTTTTTGGACCACATATCGAGAGGTCATTAATAATTCGTGTGTGCTTGGTTTCGGTTCTTGTCATTTTAATCAATTAGAAATATAGTATACAAAAAACAAGGAAAACTCGTAAGAATTTCGTGATACTATGCATAGGAGTTTTTTGTTTTTTTATCAAAAAACCTCGACATGTTTGAGCGCAATTGTCGTCGAAGCGTTTCAAAACTATGCCTGCTCTCAACTAGTCTGCTAGAATTGGCTGTGGTACGTATGGGCATTTTCAATAAATAATTTAGGCGTGGTTACTGTTCAGGGGCGTAGCCAGAAATTTTCAAGGGGGGGGGGCAGAAATTTATATTTCCCATAAGAGTTTCATAACAATGCTAATCACTACACCAAGGAAGATTCATAACAGCTAACAATATTCTGTGATAGGGCCCTTCGTTTCATGAAAGTGGATTACCGATATCCCAAGTGCTTGCATATGGATCGTTGTAACAAATGTTGGGTGTTATCCGCCACTAAAGAAAGCTCATTGCAAATTTCCAGTCCTTTAAGAAGTGGAAGAGGTCGCTATAAGTCTATTACTTATGTTTTTTTCACGTTTTCCATAGTCTGGTACCGTTTTCCGCATTTTCTTCTGAACAATACCTAATGTAATATGATAACTTCCTGTGCCATTCACCAACGACTATCGTTTCTATAGAATGGAGCAAACAATTCATACCTACACCACAGCTATATACCAGAATAAGGGCTCATTGGACTAGCGTTGAATGAATTCAATTTATGTTTTGAAGTCATATTCCTCTGACAGATTACAGTTCCATGGGCTAGTCAAACATATGATATATGTATGAACGATTTTCACATAAGTTTTTTTTTTATCATTTATGACAATTTTGTTCAACACCATCCATCGACCTTCACAATAAAATGATAAGCATAACTAAAACACTGAAAACATTTCAATTTCAAAGAAAAGTTTATTAGAAGCCATTATCAGATAGTATTAATATTAATCAATCAAAAAGCAAATAATCATTTTAACATTTAAGAAAGCGATGGTATAATTTGTACAATATGTTAAAGCATTTGACACAGTTATGAAATTACACGAATATTGTAGAATAGGCTACCTCATTTATTTTAAACAATTAGAGGGATTCCTATTTTGTCCCGGTTGGCCTATTTTAACTGAACATTTTACTATTCAGTCTTAGATTGATAAAATGTTATATATGTGAAATTACTATGCCACAGCAGTATTTTGGAAATTCGCAAATTATTTATGGGAATCCTATAGTGAATAATCTCCAAAACTTTCAACAAAAAATTTTTTGTATAGTTTAAACCTGTAATAAGGTTGCTTCATGCACAACAAATATCGCATACCACATTTAATCACAATTCATGGAACTAAATATATCAGCTTACCATACCATAATACATTACACATGTTCACTGTCAATTATAAGTGTTTTAAATGCCAATTTCAACTTAAATTACCTTATTCTCAGGGTCAGTTGAGCAAAGCCAAATATATGATATCATATACCGGTATATAATATATGATAAACAAAAATATGGCTTTATTGGCACTAATATGCATATTCATACTCTGTTACATGATGGTGGCGAATTGAATCATTATATGGCAGATTGTACGATATGTTGTGAAAAGGAATGAAGAAAAATAGGAAATTGATGGAATATTTAGTTTTGGAACTCATAGAAGTTACAAATGAAACAAGATGCAAAATATTTACCGTATTTATATATATATCTAATATATCTAGGAATAAGCCATTCCAGAGATATCTCTTCTGAAATAGTTTTGTATCCATCAATTGCGCTTGCAACTAGCTACAACTTCATTATAATTGGGCTGATAAAAAAGCAAGTTTAACACAAAAAGGAATTAATTTAATTTCGGTTGATTTCTGCTGCCTAAATCCATATAATAAATGTTTAGTTGCATCAGAGGAACACATTGGCCAATAATGACAACAAAAAACAATTCTAATTAAAAAAAAAAACTATCGTAGGAATTTTTCTTTCGTAGATGATCATGTTGGCAAACCAAGGTAACAGACTAACAGTGTTAAAAATGTTTATATAATAATAATATAGAATTTTATTTTAGTTATCAAGAATACCAATTATTCCTATTACTGATTAGTAATTAATGGAATGGCATAATATGATCTCTGGAAAAAAACAACAACTAACTTTATATGCATTTCATTCTTGAATAGGACTTAATTGCAACCAAGACTAACAATCTGGTAAATATTATCAAGCTATGCATAATTGTTAAAGGTTTAAAACAAGTTTTGATGGCTGCACTTAGTCATTGCAGTTCAAATGCTATAAAACAAAAATATGAATTTCGATCTTCAATTGTTAGAATATTTATCCAACAACTCTTTGATTTTTTTATTGTCTGCTTCATCTATGTAACTTTTTCCGCCAGGAGACTTCATTCCTTTATTTTTCGCCCCCTTTTTTAGAAGTAGTTCCACTGTTGAAGTGTGACCTTCCCAAATAGCAGCAAGCAAAGGGGTGATTGATGTCTTCTTATCAACTATATTTACATTTGCACCTTTTTCGATGAGATAGTTGACAATATCTGTTTGACCATAATCTGCTGCGCATATTATCGCTGGCATCTTATTATTTGTAAGTGAGACATCATCAACACACACTTTTGGTTTACTTAATTGACTCTTGAGTTCGTCCAATTCTCCGTTTTTTAAACACCATAAAACTTTATCAGAATCAACCATTGTGGCTTAATTAGGCTATTCAAGTCAATCCACTAACTACAGACTTATCTGTAAATAAAACAATATTTGAAACATACTCAAGTGGGCAAGACAGTACCTGGGTCATCTTATCTCACGAAATGTTAAAAAAAAAATAAAAACAGCCATAGGAAAAACTTCAGTTAAATAGTGATGATGAAATGAAGCTTCTATATCTACATACAAACAAGTTTCCTATGAGTGTGTGAATACAGGAACGTCTAAAACAAAATTCAAAACACACAAATCATATAAATAAGTTATAGTGCATTCTTGTTTTTAAAAATCTTCTACCAATTAACATCTGATAGCCTGGTCTACAATTTAGAATCTATTTTCTATTCAAAAATACAATCTCGCCTGTTACAGTATCCCTAACAACAGAGAAAAACCATTAATAATATTGCAATGCACGATGTCAGACAGACGGAATCTACAAATTCCCTCATATTGTCTATAACCCTACTTATTCAATTAACAATATTTGATACCGTACCGTATCATTCAAAAAATATCTTAACAATTAACTGAGTAATTGAAAATTCCAATCTGCTGATGTTTTTTTGCCATATACACATTTCTGCATTTACTTCAGCGATTATTTCTGTATTTACCACTAACTGACTAACTTTTTATCAGTAACAGAGAAAATACTGAAATATGAATTCACATTGTATACACCAAATATTGACTTGTACATAGGCGTTGCGCATCATAGCACAATCTCTATTCAGTGATACCGTAACATTCGGAAGTTATTCAGAACCCGTCGTACAGTCGTAGCACTGACACTGACAGAGGGATGCAATATCCTATCCTATACGCTTACTTTTCCTGTTTTTACAATTCTAGTTTGAAAAAAATGCTGATAGGAGTACAATATAATATCGGATTTTTTATTGGTATGCTATGCTACACTACAAGCAGACATTAGACTTACTTTTATTTAGACACATGGCAAGTCGCGCTACAAAACGTGTCCCTAAACTAGACGATTGAGATATGGATAAGAATTCAATTAGCCATATCTCATATTTCACTGAAGGCCGCTGCTCGTAAAATGCACGATTGCACATTTGTTAAAATACCGAGGTTAAAATAAGCGCATCTTTGTAATTTCTCTGTGTGCGGGGCCAAGAGGAGGGAACAGCGATTGGTGATAAATATATCATATGAAGAGTTCAGAGCCGATATTTCCTACACAAAAAGAGGGCAAAATTCTTAAATATACCTATTGTTCGTCCTTGCTAAAACCCCGCGCTCTTGGCAGGAATACGTGTCTATAAAACATAAGGTTTTATCGAATATTTGGATTATCTTTCTCTTTTTCGCCAATGCACATCATCGGCGTTATAGTTCAGGCAATTCCATATCTCTCAATCGCATTTACCGTAGTTAATTCGTTCATTTTTTCGTATTTTTAGCGATAACGGAAGACTCAAGATCGCAGAGGGCTGGTAGCGAGATCTCATTTGCCATCATGAACACGAAGAAAGTTCAGTATGAGAATACATACAGGACGGATCCTTCAGTAAGTTTCAGTTCAGTTTACATCGCAAGGTATTATAATTTTAATCATTCGCGATGAAATAGATGCATTTGACTATTTAATATACAGAGTGTTCACAAGGTCCTGTTACAATTTATTTATAACTATTAAATTGCAGCAGGTCTTAATGACACTCTGTATAGACCTGCGCGATACAATTCTAATTAAATTTAAGACCCCAGAATTTTTTAGTGCAACTGTTTGTAGTAAATACATGAAACCCATAAATAACATAAAATATATTATCTGCTTCAGCTATGGACGATTATATTTACAGCAAAATACAATTGTCAGGCTAATATTTTCAGGATAAAAATAACCGATCTTTTGTACAAAGCCCCCGGCACTAATGAAAAAATGTGAGATTTGAGAAAAACACCCAGCTACGTTTCAAAATTGAAAAATTAGTAATTACCCAGTTAAGGTTAGAGATAGGAATGATTTGAAAATTCAATCCCCCACTCAATATGCATTTCTAACACTGATTCTAACTGTATAATTACTTATTTTGAGCGTTGGCGGCGGGCTTTGTACGAAAGATCCAAAATAAAACTACAAACTTTCTTTCACTTCTTCCAGTGAAGCAATCAAACATCTAGTGAATTCATAGGAAATATTGCTCTGGAAGCCCTACCATATAATACGCCGGAATTAATCGATAATAAAAATGGACAGAACAATTACAGATGATTAGTTTGTCACAATTGCAGCTTTCAGCTCACATAATCGCAGGCATGATATCTAGATAATTTCGATCCCGACAGGCATGACATTAGTGAATCAAGTTTGGTTCGTGGCAGTGCCATAGAGAAAAGTTTACCACGTGCCATGCAATCCATAGAATGCCAGACGTATAATTAAAGCGACACGATCAGACATCACGATTTGACCGCAACTCGTAATGATTGTGGATTGCATTAACTGTATGCAACTGCCAATTCCATATTTCCAAAATGAATGAGCAAAACAATAAAATATATTTTGGGTACACAAAAACGAGCCACTGGGAAATAACAACCCATGTATATATATGCATAGCGTGGAGAGAAAAAAACAGTAGGGTGGAGCAACCTCGCGTAATTTCAAGGGATCGCTTCCTTCATCGTTGGCTTGTTGTTGATATTTCGTTTCATTATATATAATATATAAAACCTTAGACCAGGGGTCTGTAACCTTTTGTCGCTCGCGGGCCAAATCCAGGGTTGCAAGTTTTGGCGGGCCGCACATATTTTTAGAAAGTTAAACAACGTACGGATTGCCGATAAATCCCAATTTTTTCACACAGACCAGAAGTTGAAATTTCAAGCAGCGCACGAAGACTGCGATAACTCGTGAACTCAACTTAGTCGTCTTAATAAAAGAAAAAAATTTACAAATGACATTTAATGTGACACTTATTTTGCATAAAGCTTGATACCTTTTCGACATCATTGAATGGGAAACATTTTTATAAATGGAACACAGAATGAAGCTAATACATTTTGTAATCCGCGTTCTCAGCTTGTTCTTTGTTATGTTCATTTTCGAAAATAATTGTTCGCATGCATATTTACTTCCAAACATCGCTGTTTTAAATTTTTTCGCATGATTTGTCAAATTTGGATAGAGTTTTCCCTCAAGAAGATACTATTTATAAAAAACAATAGTAGTGATACATCTCTCGAATAGAATATAGATTTATTTCTTTATTGCATTGCATCTCGAAAAATCCCATTTGAATATTTTCTGCGCCACTAAACCCTTTGCACTTAGTATCAGCTATTCTGCGTTTTGTTGGCATTTGTCTAATTATAATTGAATGATAGGCTCATTTAACGAGTATTTGTGAATTATATACTTGTTAGGGTATGATATAATTAAGTCTACACGTGCCTCACAATAAATTATGTTACGTAAAGAATATAGTCGTCAAAACAGCCGTTTTGGTACTATAATTCGGTGAAGCGTCGCGGACCATATAGTTTTACTCCCCGGACCGAATCTGGCCCGCGAGCCGTTTGTTGCCGACCTCTGCCTTCGACGGTTTGTGTCATTTATGGGAATATTGCCGTTATATTATTTTTATCTACAAACGCGGGAGGACTGCATTTCTACTGAATATTTTGAGCATATATCAATGGCAATGGACTGCTGTGCCCATCACGCGGGAGGACTGCATTTCTACTGAATATTTTGAGCATATATCAATGGCAATGGACTGCTGTGCCCATCCCATACAAATATTTTCTGAATAATCGCATCAAATTAATTTCAAAATCAATAAAAGTATCTCGTACGTGCCTTATTAGTATTGCCGCGTATTAAATCTAAAACTTTCGCCACGCTTTGTATCTCTTCCGTTCCTCGTATACGTGCTTACAACGTGAGCATACAACTTAGACAATTTATTATTCTAAGTACATTCTGCTTAGAAGATTAAGGCTTGTCTGTGTTTGTATTGGAATACCTCGCAGGTATTAGATTGGTTTTCGCATTCTGGAGGGCACAGACCCTTAGAAACGATGACAAAGGCTTGATGATGAATGGACCTCAGTGACTGCGAGATTATAAATTTATTGTGTATTTATACGATGAAATCGTTGTTGGAACTGTTTGCCTTTTATATTGAGGATTTTGTATGATACGCCAAGTGTATGTAACGGTTCTTCCAAGCATAGAATTGTAACTTTAAAGTCGCACCATGCTTCGTCGACTGTCGTTATCAAATTATTCTTTCGGTTATGTTGAATATTTCCATTCGTGTGTGTGGGATAACCAAGTGATATCTCAGTATAGGAAAGTTAGCCATTGCTAGCGTTGGGAATGTACCTTCATAGTGAATTAAGAAACTAAAAACTATGCTAATTTCATCTCTTACTGTAAGTATTTTTACGTTTATCGAGATGTTTGAATCCGTGTTACATGTGCACATAATTTATAAAATTAACCACCATTTCTAATCAAGGAATGTTTTTATAAAGCTGTGTCACTAAATTATCTCATTTCTAGTACAGTTAAGTACGTGGGTAATTAGGATATACATAATCTTTGGTTTTTGCTTATGTTTGTACAAGTACACCAAAGATAATTAGCGCGAGGATATCGGGAGTACAAAAAGCCTTATGGTCAGTGAACAGCTAGTGCCGCATTCTCTGGCAGAGACAGTAGGGCCTTAGTCGTCAATTTAGTTAGATCATCATGCATAACTATGTCTGGCAAGAGAAATATCTGAGGACGAAATGTATTGTTATGTCATTGAAAGCGGGTTTCGTCAATAAAAGAATATTAACCATCACAGACAACCAACAATAGTTGTTTTACACAAACAAATGCATGAGTTTGTGGAACAATCACGTTGACGCTGTGGTTGCAACATTTTTTGCTAAAGAACAAATTTCGCTTACGTTACTTAATTACGAACCGCAAGCAGGGAATTATATATAAACTTCACGATTTCCAGGAAGTTTTCACGCCTTCCCTCAGAACAAGACTCCTGATAGTATATATATAATATAACTACGTGATTTATAAAGATATTTCACTCTCAAACTGTGAATTTTCCCACAAATTTGTCGCGGTCATACCGACTCCTACGAATTTGCGTCTCTCTTGCCTAAATGCAAAACTTGTAGCCTTTCTTGAGCGAAAGTCTTACTTTTAACGCTACATATATTTTCAGGCCCGTTTTAAGCCGTATGAGATAGAAGGAACCGCGAAAGCCACACTGGAAGAACATCTTGGGAGTAAGCCGTACGATCCTAATATGTGTAAAACGGAATGCCAAGTAATCGCGGCCAAGATATCCGAGGCTATCAAGGCAAAGAATTACAAAAGATACAAGCACGTCGTGGTTGTGAGCATAGGAAGCCTAAAAGAGCGACCAAGTGTCTACCTTGGCAGCAGATGCCTGTGGAATGACAAGACTGATTCATTTACTACAGTCAGATACAAGAACTCGTCGTTGTATGCAATAGCCATGATTTACGGTCTTTATTACGAATAGCAACTAGCAAACTATTTGACTTTTTATTTGTGGAAATATATATTTTATCTAACTTCTTGTTTATTTCCTTTATACCTGTTCAAAACTATACCCACAACCAAGTTAATTAACTCCCAGAAATGGTATTGGCGTATAATAAGCCACAATGTTCGGTAAAAACACATTTTCACTGTTAATACCGAAGTTTTTCGTTACCGAAGAAGCACATTGTTGATTTTTTATTGATATGCATCACTGTGGTATATTTACAGAAAAATAAATAAAACGTAAAATGTGTCTGGAGAGCACGGCTCAAGGTTGAATTATTCTTAGAACTACAGACTGAATCTGCTTTTAACAAAGAACACGGATACTTCTAGTCTCCAACCTATTCTAGTTTGCTTTCGACTCATGGAAAGAAAAAATGCACTTCATCACACGTTTCTAAATTTTCATAGTTTTACCGGAATATAGACAATAAGTATCCCAAGAATTTCCTGAGGAGATTGCGACATTATCGCTCCATTAGGTCCATAAAGTACATTCCCGGGGCAATGAAAAACGGATTTTGACTTTATTATCAGCATTTAGTTCCTTTGAAATTACTAATTACATCCAATAATAGTTTACAGCTAAGGCGCTGAGCAGCCAACGGAACAGGCATACCAACCTAACATTTGGTTTCTATAGAATAGATAGATAGATAGACAATCAATAGCATGGGCCTAGTCACAAAAATCTTTCAATTACATCAAGAACCGCATCTTTTCCTGACGCTTCATCAAAATAACTTTTGCCGGAGGGTGACTGATTCTTGTTAAGGCTTGCTCCAAACGTAAGTAATATTTCAACAGCCTTCGAGTGATTTTCCCAAATTGCCGCGAGCAAAGGTGATATTCCAAATTTGTCCAGCACGTTGACATCGGAACCTCTTTCCAGGAAAAATTTTATGACATCATTCTGACCATAATCCGCAGCTATTACAATTGCTGGTCTCGCTAAAATTTGGTCAAGTAAGCATACATTTTCAAGCATACCACACTGTCTTAAAACGTATTCCAACTCTGACAAGTCGCCATTCTTAATAGCCCACTCTGTCCGTTCTCGTAGGTTTGACACTGACTCAGAGTGAGCGCAATATTCAGAATTTTCAAGTGATTTCTGAAAATCTCCTAAAGCCCCCTCTTCCAAAGAAAGGTTTAGAAATTTATCAGATAATTTTTTTCCCGAAGCAAACCATTCGCTCATAGCGGGCGCGCCCGCAAAGTATATACACGGAGACTAAAGCTAAATACGGATTTCGAACAAGCGTTGAAGCGTAAATTACTTCCGATAAGATCAACTGCAGGGTTAAATTACACAATATTTTATTCAGCGCACTAGTTGTAAACGGTGGTATCAGAAGTCACAAAGGGGTAATCCCCGCTGCGCATGCAACTCCCGGGGTCGTATTAAATGAATATCTACTCCTAGGCACTAGGGTACTTAACCTTGAACTCTTTATCGATGCTTTCTATTCACAAAACAAATTGAAAAATAAACGGTATCGAGGCCCATATCGTTTTTATAGGGACCTAAATAACACGTGTGGCACATGGTTTTTAAACAATAATTGAGGTTTAGGGTCATAGGGTTCGTTAAACATAAACCTCTTTGTGCTATGGAATATGCAAAAACACAGCAGTTCGATAAAGAGTTTTAGCAACAGCCTGGATCAAGTAAATTTCAAATATGTAAGAATGTAATTTACGAATATATATTGAACGTGAAGGATCGCATACGTGTGGATCGTTTTGTTATTATGTGGGTATTGTTCTTCTAAGTTCTTATGTTTAATACCAATCATAATTATAAGTATAATTTTTAATAATAGTTGTGAGTCGAGGGTGAAATTTTTTTATGTTGAGTAGAAACTTAGAGGTATTTCACCTTCAACTCATTTTAACATTCATATAAATACGTGTTCAGCGTAACTTCCTATCGGAGTTATTACCAGTATTTAGTCCAAGTGCGTGCAATTGTTCATAGCAATAGTCCAAAATGCACAATTATGGTGAACCCCGGGGCCCGGCCAACGAACAACTTATATATTTGTTTTTAGCAACTCGAAGTTGAGCTTGCAAAAGTAATCGTCTGTTAGCTGATTTTCTTAATTTTGTATCGATTCATCGGCAATTTTCAACTAACAGCTTACAGCAGCATGTGATGCCGAAAGAGAGATCATTTTTATGCATGGTTTCCGGATTTGTGTAATGCCCAGCATATACATGGGCTAGCTCTTGTGAAAATGTGCAAATAATTTCTAGGTAGGTGTTACAGACAAAGTTTCTTTGTTTTATTTCATATATATTTGACCTGGGGTTATCTCGAGATATATCGGTCATTGCACTTTGTCGAATGACCGTTCATGAAATCACTCCCTTCAATGCGATTCCACCATCTGTTCGTGGGCTGAAATGGGCATGTCGGCGTAAACAAAGTGTGTTCTTTTTCTCTCGTTTTTTGTTTGTTTATTATTTTAAATCATTGCCAGTCGGCTGTTTACAATTTATTCCGTGCTAGGAGTTTGCCGTTTAAGTAGTGCTAATTTATTTGCCACAATGAGCGGATTTGTTTGCCTGTTTCTCAGTTTAATAATTGAGTTTGATTCGTTTTGCATAATCTAATGCTGCTATTGTTTGCATATTCTAGAATTAAGTATGTAGTTAACCTGCCTGTTGGGTTGGTCGTAAACTTTAGCAACCCTCTACAATTGATCATTCGTACTCAACAATGATCATTCGACCTCAACAGTTGATCATTGCTTCTCAACAATGATCATTCGACCTCAACATTGCTATATCAATTAATCTTTTGGACCTCTACACTCTACAATACTGTGATCATTTGTGCCCCTACAATACTGGAATCATTTGTTTTTATCACCACACAATTTCGTGTTTCACGTGACTGCAATAGATTTAATCATATTCAAGTTGTGGAGTTGAGTTGTTAATATCGAGAAGCCTGGCAGGTTATATACATAAAAGGAAGTTAATAGCGCAAAGTGTCACCGCCCAACACGTTATAGACTTCTTGCAGAGCCTCATCATAAAGTCGCTTATAATCTACAGTAGGCTTGTTTGTAGCAACGATTGCTTGTCTTTTGTTCTAACTCGATATTTTGCGAGAGATCGTCTACTCGGAGAGCCACTGTTGAATAGGAAGTTCATAACTACTTCACTAAAATTTCACATCCGGCGACCATTCTAGACAAATATTTCAACCTTTAATTGTTCCACAATGCTATCTTTGTGCTGTACAATAGCATCGCTTGCTTTGACAAACCATATCTTGACTGTGTTGAACAATGAAATGTTTCAGACATCAGTCGAACTTTTTCTATTCATAATCAATCTTAATTTTATTAGTAGGCGTTTTAATTTTTATAATCACAACACGGCACTCATAAAGAAATATCATACAATTTAATCCTTGTCAAACGAGATTTTACTCCACTGTGACGTAGTTATATATATATATGACACGCCGAACGTGCCGTTACAAAAAAAGGAAAAGCAACCTTCCCTAATCTACTGTACGGTACCATCGAAAAACTTTAGCGTATCATTAGATTTAGGATGAGATTTACATATTTATTCCGAAGGAGAGGAAAACTGATAAAACGGTTTAATCATATGGCGAACCACGGCTTCTCATACCAGTGCATGTCGGGTATGAAATTAGTTAGCCAGTTATTTGTTTCAGATGCTTGGACTTGGTGGTGGAGGAACCGTAACCGACCGGCGGTTACGTGAACGAACCTACGACAGATATAAGAAATCATCACAATACACTATATAATAGCAATCAATATGTCATCATTGGTGACATATGCACCGTGCAGAGGAGGTGTAAAATTTCCCCAGAAAAAGATTTTTTTTCATAATTCGCATAATTTTCATTTACAAATCGTGTTACTGTATTTGGAGGGATACGAGTGTGCGCAATGTAATAATAGATAGTGGTATATTCAAAGGTGTTATTTATGATAAAAAAATATGTCTCAAAATATATTGTTCAGCTGGAAGTTTGAGTGAAGCAAATTGTATAACAACAGTACACTCCGATCATGACATGTATATAATAAAAGTACAGTTAAAGCAATTGAGGCGGAAAAGGGAAAAAGAGAAAAATGCTATTAGATTACCTATTAAATGAATACCGTCATTGAAAACGGAATGATGGACCAATATGTAAGGAAATAGAAAAAAAAGTTTGATATTTCTAGACAACTGTAATGAATGAGAAATATAGTACCTTGATATAAGGCTTTATTCAACTTAAATTTAAAGCACTCTTAGAATGAATCTAAAATAATATAACACAAGCAAATGTTATTAAACAAGAAAACAAATACGTATCGAATTGCTGATGCTAACAGTAAGCGGCTCAATAGTTAAATGAATAAAGTTGAAAGAATTAACACACTACATCTACAGCAATGATTGGTGTCTGATTTGAAACGCCACAGCAATCATCGCTTGACTGCAGCTGTATAAACAAATAGATACATTGAGTTGCATTTCCAAGTTATCACAACAACTTTATAGGAAAGTTTATAGAAAAGATGAAAACAGTATTGATGTTCAAATAAGGTATATATCGATGCAATTCCTAATTTCTAAAGAAAATTACTGAGGAAGAAGTGGACACTCTGCAAACAAATATTGAATTTATGAAATCAAGAAAATTGTGAAGAAATTCAAAAAACGTAAGACACCAGGACGAGGGGGAATGAGTAATGAATTTTTACAAACTGTAAATTGCTGGTGCAGAATTTACTGAAATATTACAAGAAATGTTTAGTGAAATCTATGATAGAGTTGATGGTGATCCAGGTCATTTTCGTATCATGTCTATTCTTATCAACAATTTTTTGTAGTAGTCCTCTTTGGCTTTATTTTTGATATGAGTAAGGGCATTCGAATATTTTTTATATTGGCGCTTTTGAGTATCAGTGCCATTCAAAAATAATAACTTGTGTAATTTATTCCTAGTTTTGGCAGCACGTAAAATACCTGGAGTAATCCATGGTTTTCGTTTCAATCGAATTTCTTTCCTGCTCATTGTTTTTGGGGAGCATGTTTATCAATTAAGGTTCTAACCTTGGAGACGAATTCATCAAAAATACTGTTGAAATTTTCAATTTGTATTAGGCTACTTGTGGCATAGTTTCATTGCAAAACACCATTTGAGCATCATTCAAAAACTGGTCCGTACTGAAATGTCTCATGTCTCGTTTGAGTTCTGCAACATGCCGAGGGGGTGCATGTTCCAGGTCAATCTGACATAGAATAGAATAATGGTCAGTCGTAGTATCGTTCAATACAATTGGTTTCATATGTTGATCAGTGATGTTAGTATATATATGATCGAGTAAATTTGCAGAGTTACCAGTCACTCTGGTGGGAAGCGTGATCGTGGGGATTGTGGCATGGGACTGCAGCATGTCCAAGTATTCCTTGATAAAAAGTGTTTTTGCGTTAAAATTAATATTTATATCACCCACAATAATAAAATTTTCCCATCACTAGTTAAGGTTGTGCAAGCTGTTTTGTAATTTACTGGAAAATTCATGATAATTCGAATTCGGATGGCGGTAGAGGATGGCAATAATTAAAGTAATGGGTTTGGCAGATTTGATGGGTATTTCCACCCACAGCTCTTCACATCCGACAAGATTCGGAAGATAGTCATCGATAAATCTTGGACAAAAGTGAGATTTCATGTACAAACCTACACCACCAGCATTAGTGTTGGATGGTGTGTGGTAAAAGTCATACCCATCTATGTTGATATTAGTCACAGGGTTAGATTTTAGTTTTGTTTCTGAGATTGCGATAAATGTCGGGGTAGATTCTAGTTTGTAAACAAGTCTTGACAACTCATCACAATTTTTTTGGATAGAACGAATGTTCATGTGAGCCAAAACTATTGGGTTTTTTAACTGAGTGAGTGATTTTAACACATTATTGAGAAAAACACAATTTTCAACATTTTCGGAGTCGAAGATAGTTGTATTCATAACATGAGTTTCTCCGTCTATGAAATCAGAGTTGATAGGAACGGGAATTATCAATTAATAGCATTTAGAACAGTAATGGCTAGTGCCAGAAAAAGTTGTGGGTGAATGTACAGAAAAAGAGCAAATAGAACATGCTCTAGCACTACAATTTTCTAAAGATATGAAATTAAATGAAGTTGTTTTTTTACAAGCAAAAAATCGATGTAAGCCATTTTTATAACAATTATAAAATTTAGCCTGCTCCAAAGACAGTTGTTTATTTCAATTTTTGAAAGTCATCTAGCTTAGTGATCGGAATTCTAGAAGAATCTTTGTTTATTTCTAACATAAATGTTTCCGTTGGTAGTCCATCATATTTGTTAGTTTTTCTTGCCACGCGAGCATTGTATAGTAGATTACGTCTATAATCTGTCAAATGTTCATTTATATACAGAATTTTCATGCCGGTGACTCCAAAATTTTTAATGCTGGAAATGTTGCGTTTATTACTCAATAATTCTTTTTTTTTGTTCCTGGTTGTGGAGCGAACTATAATAGGGGGAATCTTAGACTTGTTTCTCCGCAGGAGACAGATATGCCCAGTCTATATATAGTTTTTTTATTTAAAAGCTGGCCCATTTTTATGATGATATCATCAGTCCATTCACCTTCTTTGTACGGAAAGCCGTGAAATTCCAGATTTTCTTTTCTGGTGTATTGTGCCAAGTTCTTAAAGTCTTTGTCAAATCTGCGTTGAAGCACTGAGACTAGATTTTCAAGAGCTTTATTGGAGGTCGATATCTGCTCAACTTTGTTGTGAAGGTCCGCTAAATAACTTTTTTGTATTTCGAACTCCGCGTTTATGAAGTCCTGACTGGCTTTGCACCATTTCAACATTATGTTGTAGGGTGGTATTCGTAGACTGGATGCCACTCACTTCCTCCATTAATTATCCACCTTACTCATCATATCGCCACTGTGTTTGAACATAACGTCAAGACGTTCGGCCATTTGTGTGTATTATTATGAACAGACTCACTTATTTGGGTGGACATCTTTTGGTCATGTTCATTGATGGAGTCTTTTAAAGGATCTTTGATGGTATCTCCCACAATGGCCTTAATCTCGATCTTCAGGTTTTTTGTTATTCTCTGTTCCATCAAATCCAGTGTTTTCTTGATTTCGTCACTGTTTCCCTCCATTTTATCAAATTATTAGTGATTTAAATATTTTATGTTAAGGTATTGGTATATCTGTGAATCTTAATCAAATAGCGAATAATGTTTTGTAATTTTGTTGATGTTGTTGTTTTGAATCATACTCATGATTTTTGTTTCAACAAGAGATGACTTGTAAATAACAGTACTAACTTCTTTTATTCAAAAGGATTCTTTAATGCAAGTCATCAAAAGAGTCTATAGCACTGAAAAGGTTGAAAACCGCTCCACCAAAACTAGAAAGCCGAAAAACTCGAAATGATAACTTTTACGCATGAAAGGCCAGAGAGTGCAAAGTTCACGTCTCTGTATTCATAACAATCGTCGCGAGGCACGCGCTTTTCATTTTTCGCGACTGCTCGTCGTTCAATTTGTAATATTTCAATGGCAAGCTCTTGATACATAGTACAGCCAAGTCAAGTAGGATGGAACCAAGGTCTGGGTGGGAAGTGTTTGATTCACCAAAATCTCAAACTCCCGAGAACGTAGAAGATGTAAGCCTGCGACAGAACGGCCGAAAGGAAGCATTTATCGAAACTATTTCAGAGAAAAAGAATGAAACAAAGTTACACAGCCAAAACGAAATTGGTGAAGACAAAAGTGAGTCTATTTCCAGATTTTCGTGAAACAAAATGCTGAAATGATTCACAGAGCCTATAAATACTGACATTACCTGGCATAGAAGTGCTTGGCTTATATATTGATATTACTGTATTACGGGTCTCCTGAAGTACCGGTACGGTACACGCCGCAAGTACCTGGTACGGTACCGGTACTTCTAGTTTGTCTGGCTCGACAATTTTTGCTTATGTCATTTCTAACCCCCACCTGACTACGTCATCCGTAAATTACATCACTGCGAAGTCGCATCCAGGACGCTCAAAACGAGCACCCGAAATCGAACAGTTATTTCTCTCGTTTTCTCATCGCAACGATTCCAATAGGAGAGAGATCGATAACGTCAGTCAGTTCTTTATCGTAGGCGCCAATGCCATTTCGGGCCATCGTACATATATTTGGCAAGCTCTATGACGTAATTGTGATGTCGTAGTGATGTAATTTTTGGATGGCGTAGCAAGGTGGGGGTTAGGATTGACATATCAAAAGATTGTTATGCTGAGCCATTAGAAGTACGTTAGCTACAAAACTACACGAGACCCCGCGATTGTGACTTCGCAGTGTAAAATCGTTATGCTACGCCCATTAGAAGTACTTTAGGGCGCGCACTCCAGGAGACCCGATTACAGTACGGTATATTATAGTAAGTTGTCTTTGCATGACGAAACATGATAAGCCAATCTCTCTCTCTCTCTCAATCAGGTAGCCAGTTAAACCAAAGCTAGTGTCTGATCTGCATATGTCTGTAGCCGTAGATTACTTCACTAATTTCTTTTAACTTTATTTACTTTATCATTTCCCTCCTTTTCAGTCACATCATTATTTCAAGCAACTAGTTCTCATAGAAGTGTTGATGTCACTTTTCCACCTCATCATTTATCTTCAAGGTAATCTGTGAACAACTACTGAACTACGATTACGCTACACATTACTTGTCAGCTCATTTATGTTAATGGATTATCATGGTGTTACACTTAAGATTTTCTGAGCTTGTTGTGGTATTCATATTTTAAGCTAATCGTCATTTATCCTTCTTGCTTTGGGTGTTTATTAATTTTAAATAGTTTGCTATTCGGAATACATCCTCAAATTATATTTTGAACGTGAAATGTTGAATATATTCTTGGGCCATATTCATTAGAAAAACCTTAGACTTGAACCTTAGGTTTTCACTGTGCAATGACAACGTAGTTACATCTTGTGTGCTAAAGTCACTATGCCTCGAATTACCACTCTCTCTATCATGTATTATATGGATCTTTTACAGTAAAAATATCCTGTCATCATTGCTCTGATCGTAACTCATATTAACAAGTCTATGAATCGATACAACCGCATTTTTGAATCACTATTTCATCTGTCGATTTTTTTTTATAAAATGCTTATTTGCACTTTTTTTTCGAAAAATGCCCTGTATGTAATGAAGTAATATGTTTGTAAACAACTTGATCTTTGCAGTTCGGCATTGCTTACCTAATTTATTTTACCTTACGTGAAGTGGTGCGAATGGGATTTGAACCAGAGTGTTCCTGTGAGCTGCGATGCTAACACATCAAAGTTTACTGCTTTACCTGTCAAGCCATCACTAATATCATTAATATGAATCAAATAGTTTAACCTCACCAATTTAGTTGATTCTTTATGTATAAAATAAATAATCAGAAAGTGTTACTCAATAGCAATCAGAGGGTTTTGCGCCCATCTTCAGCAATACCAAGAGTTTCACCGACATCTGAAGACAGATCTGATGGTGTAATTTTATCAGCAATATTTGCTGTTGATAAAATAAGTTATGACGTAGAATTGTTTGACGATCGAATAGTGTGGACACCTGTTACTCCAGGCAAAACGAAGAAACCTGTATCAGGTATAAATAAGTCTTATGATTTGATGAGGATAGTTTATCTATTTTGAGTTTTTTTGAACTAGGCTTTCGGGGGCGGCCCCTCTGGGGGCCATGGTTTTTGGGGGGGCCATGAGCAAATGCCTTCACTAGCTACCATTTGCTATTACTAACTGTATTTAAATTGAAACAACTGTGATTTGTGGGATTTTTATTACGGTATATTAATTGAACTTGGCGAATAAAATCTTTGGAAGGGGGGCATGAATCATGAAAGTTTCAGAACCACTGATCTAGTTATTACTTATCGATCTTAAGATCGGTAAGTAATATGTTGATAGGTATTTGTCTGTTTGTTTGTCTGTTAGATGAACGCGATATCTCACGAAGGTGAGGTTGAATCTGCTCCAAATTTTGCATGTGCATTCATCATATCTCGGACCAGAAGCCTATCGATTTTGGATGAATTATGTCGTATAATTAGCGAGTTATTAATTAATTAGTGATGGACACGTGGTGTCACTATAGAGTCATGAATCGAAACCGCAGTTTCGATCGATAAGTCTTCGGTCTCCGACCGATATTCTCGTTTTTGTTTTTACTCCAATTCCACTGAACATAACTAAAATAGCGAAATCAATATATAACTTATAGTGTGTAAATATATTTGATACTGTAATGCTCAGTTAATATATTGGTCTGTTTCTTTTGATTTTTTTTATATTAGTTCAGGCTAATTAAGGTTAACAAAAGTATTGAAAGTCATAAGATAACATATGAAAAGGCCGAGAAATCTCATTCTAAACTAATTATTATTGATGTATTTCATTTTTCTCCTATTTCAAATTGAATAAATCTCAGTTCTAAATAATTGATGTTTTGATTGGGAATATAATTCTGTTTAGAATCTCATCAAGATTTACCAATGGTTGATAAAGGAATGATTTATTTGCATGAAATATGTTCGGTCAGATTGAAAAATATCAAAAGTATCAGATCTGGAAGCATCACAACTATTGGGTTTGCCATTTTCACAGCACAGTAAGTGTATCTGCCTAGTTTGTTGGTTTTCAGTGTTCTGGGGATGAATTCAAAATTTGGAATTCCACATAGCATTTGAGGGAAAAGTTTCCAGTTGGCTTGAATTACTATTGTTTAATTCAGTATATAGTTTCTATCCTAGGAAAACTGTCTTAAGAGGTTGAAAACTAGTTATTACAGGGATGGACATATTTCATTTTGAACCTTCTTACTAGTAAATTATATTGAAGATGGCTGCTCAAATATTCATGTATTGGAGTACTGCTTATACGTATTACTGGGTTTCAAATATTCTGATTATCAAGTTAATGACATTAGTAGTTATTGTAGCAACATGAAATTTTCTTTCATTCACGCCTATTCTAATTTTGCAGATCGAAAAGTGGAAACAAACTTCGAGAACAGTCAATGTTATTCCTTTGTTTTAGTCGAGAAATTTGTATTCAATGGGCATCAAGGATAAAAGCTGCGATAACAGGTATGCATCTCTGACTTGTAAATGGAGATTTACACTGAATTAACAGTCTAAAGCTTCTAATACTTCATGACATTCTTTTTCTGGCGGTCCAGAAGAGTGTACTAATATGGAGGTAACTAATTTTGTTTCCCTACTTTACATCAAGCTGTGTAAAGGGACGGAAACCTATGGGCAGGGGGTATATTCACTTGGATAACACAGACAGTCTCCGAACTCGTAATAGAAAATTGGAATAAAATTATGGCCTAATCTAACCTGGTACAAACACCCTTTCATGACTACATTATTAGGCATTTTTGTATCAAAATGTATGGGTTGTTCATAAATTTTTTAAATTGCGAAGGGAATTTACGATATCTTATTTAGTTTGTTGACTCTCAGAGGTGTATAAAAGGAAGTAATAACTTAAATAAACACTGATTAAATAAACTAAACCAAGACATAAAGTTGAGACATATTGAGAACTGACTTAATTAAAGTATTCAAATTGTAACAGAACTTTATGAACACTGAGTATATCTTCAGTATTTATCTGAATATTTATTACAGAATATCTTTATTTTAGCACGAGTAGAACGTCCAAAGCGTCTTTTGATTCTTTCATCGGGATCAATTCAATCTCGAATGATGTGGGACGACATGATTGATGCAAAAATACAAATGGCTTGCATAAAAGGACAATTGGTAGAAATTGTCAAACCAAATTCTGTTACGGAATATATTCAAAAAATGTTGGCAGAACAGTCTGTTAGTCGAGATGCCGAGTCTTACGATGGGTAGGTATCATAGAATATTTCGGTATTTACGAATTTTTAATCTAAGATTACATACAGTCCATATAAAGCTGTGATAACCTACTGGTTAAAGTGTTGGCATTATACTATCTTGTCGTTGCATGTTAAACATATCAGATACATTTCTCATATCTACCACATTTAGCCAGGGTGTAATAAATTAAGGGTAGATAGGTAATGGCGAATCAGAAAGATTGTTGATGTTCCACATAAATAGTAGTTCTTTACATATTGTTACATATCAGTGGCTGCTCTACAGGGCCTTATATGAGGATCGAATGACGTAAATAAGCACAGTATATAGAAGGCTGTTCGCTATTGGTACCATAATTTTATCACGCTGTAGAAATGGATCTCCAAAATCAATATTTATCTTAATATTTATGAGTGTCTTCTAGATTTTGATTTCCTTATTCGAAAATTCTTCATTTTAATGAAATTTTATAGCTTTATCCTTTTTAGCTGTTTTATACGTTTGCTCTGAAAAAGGCTTTAGACAAGAAGTAATTGATCTGTAGGGAATTAATATTTTTTAAAATATTTTATATATAACTCATCGTATTTATTGCACCTTAATTGATGGGTGGATGAGGTGCAGGTCATGGGTTCCAACCTAAGATTTTTTTATTGCGCAATATCAACATAGAAAGTCCTACCCAGTTATCATCCATTTTAAAATGTAAATTGTTTCTTATTTAAAAATTTTCCATGATGGTTTTCAACTTAGAATGTCCGTTGTAATTTAGGTAACTGTTGAATGTGATTTTAATTTTATGGACATTTGTGGTTATTTTTAAACTGCCAAGCCAAAGTACTATATTCAGAAAATTTTCTCTTTCAGAATTCTCATGCTTGGAAAAATTGGATTGTTCTCAGAAGCTGTGAATGCAATTCTACAATTCAAAAAAGAAATTTTAAGATCAGGAGCTTGGCATCCAAACATACCAACATTAGGCTTTATTCCGACGGCGAGCGTTAGCTATATTTCGAGTGAAATCCACGGCTGTTCAGATGCAGAAACTGCCCTTTTTCATGCATTGTATGGTAAGCTATGAAAGTCCGGAAAAAATTATTTTTTTGCTGCACTAGCACTGATATGAATATGTAGTGTATTGATGTTTTTTTTTGAAAAAACTCATTATGTAGTTTCAGTGTCTCTTGGCACTTCAGTTTTCAGTTTTAAATTGTAACTTATTTCAGAGATTAATCTCCTTCTTTCTGAGTGTGTGCCTAGCACATAATAATCTCCCATGGGATTTGAACCAACATGCTAAGAATGATGCCCTAACCGCAGATCGATTTTGAAGAATAATTTTGTCTGCGAAATGAGTATCTTCTTGTTCTCCGTGAATTTTCTCGGTATTCTGGGAACTGGTTTTAAATACCAATTGGTAATGCTCATAAGATTAATTTCCAATGTAAATATTTGAATGTCTCAGACAGAAATTTGTTTAAATTGGAATTTGTCAATAGAAATCTTTGTTATCATGTCACGACAGCTGGTGTGACATTGATAAATCTGAATTTTTTTTTTCGGGTTTTTGACCTGTATTTTTTATTACATTCTTCTACATCCTTAATTGGACAATATTTTGGCACGAAATTTCCCAGATTACAATTATACACAATAAATATATTTTTAATGATTTCATTTTCCATTTTGATGTTTTACTAGAAATCATTTTTGTCTTTCTTTTTGTAAATAGACATTAAGCAATTTTTCCAGTGATATAAATAACCAAGAGTCACTAATTTGGTTAAAATTTGGTATGGTAAAAGATTACAACTTTGAGAATTTTAGTTATATCGGAATGATATTTCAGATTCGGTCAATCCGGATTATTGGATATATCATATAGGCCTATTGTTTCACAAATACTTGATTTAGAATATTGAAAATAAAATTAACCTGCTTAATCTAGAATATACAACGAATAGCCGATAAGGCGTTTTAATCATATGATGAACCACAGCCTCTCGTCCGGTTACTAGTTCCATGTCGGGTACAGGGATAATTAATCAGCTATTCGTGTCAGATGCATTGATGAGGAAGCTGTAACCAACCACTAGATATTTCTAATAATACATTTCAATAGTCTAGAAACTATTCTGGGTAATTCAAGAGTTACCGCATACCACATATTCTGCATACCATTGCAAATATTTTTCTGTAACTTTTTTTTGACCATAGTCAGACTTCTTCAGATATACATAATTTGAGTCAATATCGAATCCAAGTCATCAAAATCAACGGATCAATCAGATTCGAGCCTGGGTTGAATTTTCAGCTCATCCCTGCTTGCTGCGCACTATAGACAAAACTATACAGACCGAACGTTACTACTCATCCGTAATTTCCGAATTCATTGAAACACTTCAAGAAAAATACTATGTTTTATCAGGTTGCACTCAAACAGTACCCATTAGTTCGTACTATGATGAAGATGGAAATTTTTTGAAGTATGGTATTGTTGCGTCATATGGTTTCTCAGGTGGTGATACAACTTATGATACCACAACAAAAGGATTTGGTGCGATACAGAGTAGCATTAAGAAAGGATTTGCTTTCACAAAAGCCATTGTTCAGAGGAGGTTCGTTGTTGAGTGTTTACAGTTTCATTATTATTGATACTGGTATGAAAATTACTTTGGGCTCATAAAACCCTTCTATTATAGGGCTAATCTTATAGTTTGGGATTGGTAATGTGTAAACGAAGAATTAAAGTGAATGAAAGTTGTAATTGGTGATATTCAATACATTTTCAAAAAGGTCGATAAAGGCGATAACTTGTAAAAGTTCGCTTTTCGGATGCAAAATATTAATTTTACTTCTGGCATGTGTCATGATTTTATATGTAACAAATTATTTCAGGATATTTTAAATTGGCAATAATTGTAAAAATTAATCAGTTTGGTCATAGTTATTAAGAATTTCAAATTGTACTCAAGAGTTACGCCTCATTTGTTTCTGAATGTGTGCTCGTGACACTGGGATGAGTGAATTATTCTAAAAATGTCTGTTGTAATTTGAACTATTGTCATCTTTGAAGACACAAACTACATTGAAAAACTCATAATAAACTAGATATATATTTGATAGCTATATACTCCGTTTTTAAATTTCAGCCTCCAATATTTTCTATATGGATTTGATTGAACCTCTGATTTCTATTTAAGAAATAGATTCTTTATATTGCTTCCTCAAATGTCAAGGACATATTATTTCAATATTGACAATGTGTGTACATCGTATTGCTTACTTATTGAAAACGAAACTACTTAATCACTTAAGAGAAAAGAAAATCTGTGGAAATGGCTCCAGCTTTTCATCTAGCTATGAGAGTCAAATAGTAAATACCAGTATTTGATGAATAAATATTCGTTTGTTGGATTACCGTAATCCATAATATTTCAATTTGGTTATATTTTGTTAATTGGGAACAGGCAATCAGATCAAACTGACTGTGGTTTAAAAAAATACACAGACATTTAAAACATACAGATACAAACACTGAAATGTTCCTAGACAGAAATATTTTATGAAGTATTTGAATTATTATGAACTGAAAAGTCATAGAGGGAACAGAGTTCATTTTCTTAATCATTTCCATTTTGCTTAATTTGAAAAGTGCTGAAGTATGGATTTATAATTTGTTTCATAAAACTAGATGAATGTTGTTATAGTAATGCGGCAATCGAATCAATAATATATAGTTACGGTAATATTAATGCACATATTGATGTACATATTCTACTGATTTTGTTAACCCAATGTGAACAACATCAAATATTTATGTGAAAATGATACCAAAGTGGATTATTGATGGTTTTATCCACCTAACAAGCATGGACATAATTAGTGGCTCGGTGGTGTGGATCATCGTGCTAAGCGTTGGGAATACGCTCGCCACCGCACCTCTGCCGTCTTATTGGCTTTCCCACTCCGCCAGGATAAATATGTAAATCCTATCCTGGTGATGAAGGGTTAACCATTAGCAATAACGAGAATTATTGCCTGCAAGTGAGTATTATATGACACATAGGCTAGTCATTGAATCCTAATCTGAACCATTTAGAATAAATTGTGAGAGTGAGTTTGTTAAATTTAGCAAATTCGTAATTGTTACGATTCATATTCTAAAATATGTTCCCAAAAAATTTTCAACAAATCGTATCTGATTTAAATTCCTGATTTGCGAAGTAATATTCAAATAGAATATTTCAATTTGAAGAATTGTAATTTTAATTATTATTTGCGCTCTTTTTGGATATGAGTTAATTTATGCAATGTTCTCTGTTGAACATAACTCTATTCAGAATATATTTGGTATTCAATAAATTCTTCTTCTTTATGTTTTTTTGTATAATTCAATTTTGGTCATCTCTGATTTTGACATCATCAAAGTATCGCTAATATAGGTAGCTTTAATCTTGTTGTCTTATAACATAGACAGACAATTTAAAAAAATTAATTTCAAATTCGTTTAGATCGTATTCTTGTGAAATACATTATAAAGATTCCCCTCAAAGTTTTGAACCTTTTGATGAAGATGAACTTTTCCAAGGCGAATTCAAGAAATATTCTATCGTCAATCAATTCTACGTTGAAGATGATGATGAACAATGTCATTCAAGGTCATCGTTACACCCACCACATGATTCTGACTCCGGTGTATGGCCCCAGTTTGATAAGTGGGATACAGTACCTTGTCGCTGCTATCTGGATATCACTGTAACGTCGTTACCACAAAATAATGATGAATTTTCTGATGGTTGCCAACTTTCTGCTACCTTGGTTCGTGAAACTATGTCTAGAAAAGAATTGTTGAAAGGAATGGGGAGTCAGGTTTCTATTTCTTCTGTAATGGTATGCTATTTTACATTTGGTTCATCATGATTTTAGAAATAATTCAATATATTTATTTTCATCTGAAAATTTGTTATTTGATTTATTTTGGCATTGTGCATTTGACATCTCGTTTTCAAACAAACAAACTTTATTTGACTCCTTACACTGTAAAAGTTTTTGATATCCAACAAACAGTGTTTAGTCCATAATATATCACATCTATGTACAAAAAATATAGCATAAACATTACGTATTCTGCTTTAGCATTTCCATATTTTTTAGAATAAATATAGGCCTACTGATATGATTCCTATAGACCTATCAAATTCGAATCAAATTACAGTGATATAACAGAAGTTATTGACAACCAAATGCCAGTTTAAACTACTGCTCATTTTTAAGTTTATTAATTTTCAGAATTGTGCTGTTGATGACACATTTCTTATGTAATATATTGATTTCCTGATTTACTGGAGTTGTTATGCACATTAAAAATTTATAACGTCAATTTGTTTCCTAATATGAATCCCATTTGTGTCGATAATGCCATAAAAATAAATATTATTTCATATTTGGTCAAAGATACCAATGATAGCAATCAAGGATGGCCAGAGAAAAACTTAAAAAAATATTTTTGAATAACAAATATTTTCTGACTCTGACTATTTTGATGTTTATAAGATAAATTTGTGATATTTTGAATTGAAATGAATTGCAGGGAAAAGCTGAACTACTCGATTCCCTTTTTTTCTCAAACTTCATCTGTTTTTAAAAGATTACTTTTAAACTTTGGATTTTTGATATTTTCACCATCTTATTTAGAGTCAGAAAAATAAATCGGAAATTCAAGATAAAACTGACGTGATACGAGCGAGTGAATTTGTTATTAAGCCGACTAGTCTATCATCAAATGGTTCTTCAAATGTAAGTATTGTTCGAGTGATCAGCATATTTGATTTAACTATTTCAAAGTATAAATTATTAAAAACCTCTCGTTGAAACCCCGTGCCCGCTACTTCACCCGATGTGTAGTGAAATAGACCAAAAAGACTGTGGTGCTTTCAAAAACATTGTATAGGGCAGTGACTCCCATTCTTTTTATGGCTTCCGGCCTCCTTCTGAAGGCTTTTAGCACTCATGACCCGCCTGTTTATCGTTCCAGTGGTATTTATAGTGTTATTTTGATTGATAGGTTGGTAGATTTCAATGTGAACACCCTGTGAAATAACCTTTTCAAACAATGGGACTAAGAAGAACGGTTTTCTCGTAAAGTGAAATGTAAAATCAGTTCTGTGCCTAGCTTTGTGGCCCTCCTCCAACTTTTCTGTGGCCCCCTTGCCCCTTGATCGGTTAGCAACCGCTGATGTATGGGACTCGAAAAATACAGAATGAAGGAGGCCATTTGGAACATATTTCAGAGAACATTACTTATGCAAACGTTCTAAATTATCGACACTTTTTTGTACCATTGAACACAAAGTTTGTTTCAAGTTTTTAAATGTTGAATAAATTTTTATCATTTTTGTAGAAGCAAATAGGTATTATTTTTTTTGGGTCACTCTGCTTATAATTGCTTATCAATAGAGTCATCTCGAAATCTACTTCTTTTAAAAATTCCATAGACAGACAACTGCCTTAGTTACAAACTAGACCATATTTCTCAAAATTTCGTGAATATATCAATGCAATTTCACAATTAACTCATTTTATCAGTTTTAATTCATCACTTTTCAAGTTTACTCAGCAATTCAACCATCTTTGCTGGTTACAAACTGGTAAATACCTTGTTTGCATAAGTAGCTTGTATCTCTTCACTTTTGTTTGGGGTTGTGATATTATCTCGATCTTGTTACAACATGTTATATTCATGTAGTAACTTGCTCAAAGTATATAGTATAAAGTGACAGTAAGTGGGCAGTGTAATATATGGTATCGTACTTTGCTATTTGTTTTTACAAGAGGGAATGAATACCTGGCTCAGGATTTATGTTTTCTTTACTGAAAGTCTGAAAGCATTGATTCAATATTCAAGTAGGGCGGCTGGCGGCTAGAAACTATTTTGTTATTAGGGCTCCATAAAAGCGTAGACTGATATCTAATGATGGATAAAGAACTATTATCATTTGGAAGTACCGGAATCTTGCCGATTCAGCATTGCTCACTCAATTTGTTACACCCTGGGTGAGATGGGAGTATGTGTTTTGAACCTTGAACCCAAGATTTGTGATCTGATATTCCAACGCCAATTGATAAACCCCACTTCTCATATTTTTTCAACTCAATGAGTCATTTCGAATATTAAAATTAGAGAAAGGTTTGGATTGTCAGACTTTATTACAACCTGCTCGTTGTTTTTCCAGTTTGTGAACTTGATTCCAGTAAACTATTTGTTCTTATGTTTGGTTTGTTGTGGAAGTGTTTATATTTCTTGTTTTTTGACGTGAATTAAAAATAGTTTTATCTCGCTCAGCAGTCAGCAAACGAACTCATGCTACAATAAAATCTAAATGGCAATTTTATGTGGTATATCCCTATTAGACTCCTGTGCATAATTCCAAAGAGAAATGACTAAATAACTATACCTGACCTTGACTAATAGGTAAATATACCAAGTTTTATCGATTATTGGTTCATAAGGATTTCGCATTCTGTTATTTCAGTAATTTTTCACTAATGAAAATTTATGGATGTTTTCACATTTTAGCTCTGAACAAGGTACTAGACTAGAGAATCAGCCATACTGTATTGGTGGCAGGCGTTTAAAAAATCGTCACTTTCGGCCTCTTGTGAAGTGCTATCAACTCCCATGTTAGTCTGTGCTTCATTTGGAAAACTTTACATATCGCCACTCCCACTCGGCGTAAAGTTACATTTTAATCTTATTCTAAGCAATTTCTAAAAATAGTTATCATGTATTTTTCAGTCTAACAACTTCTCAAAATGGACGATCGATGGAAATTGTTTGGATTCAAAAATACAAGAGCTACATGTTAAAGTTGAAGAACTTCCTCTTATTATGTATGGCCGTACATCTGGACAACCTTTATGTCTTCCACTAGACCAAACAATATTACGACTCACATCTACCCCTGAGGATGTCGCACTCGATTCTATGGCTTGAAATTGATTATGTATCTGTATCGAGAAGCAGGGATGGCCATAACTGAATACTGGACTAAACGCTATTTTAGCCACAAAACACACAAAAATTTCTTGTTATGATCGGCTATAATCTAAACTTAATATGTAAAACAAAATTGATTCTTTGCGCAATGTGCCCTTTTTTCATTCCTGGTTTCTTGTCACGTTCGCGCATGTCCATCCTCGATTATGATGTAATACAACATAATTAGTCTGAAGTGAGTTCAATGAAAATCTTCCTGACAGCATCATCGGCAATGTATGAAATGTGTACAAATTTTGCTATTCGTTTTAACACTAGCGATGTTAAGTGGTGGTTGTATTCAAATTTATTCACTATTTAACTTGATATGGACATCCCTGCCGAAAATGTCAGGTATTGATTAATGTGCCAATATCCGTACCAAAATCACACTTCATTATTGCTTCAGAGCAACATAATGTTATGAGCCGGATTTAGCTTCACATATTTTAGATTTTCATTTCAAAATTGCATATTTATCTTCTAAATAATTTTAAATTAGAGCAATTAAATTAATTTTAATTAATATACGGTAGTTAATTACGGTAGTATATTAATTATTACATCAATTTTCAATTTCTCTCCGAATTGAATTATTTAAACAGATGATACTGTGATATTAGTAGGGGAAATAATCATCAATTTGATACTCTTGTCCCTTACATAAGCCATTCAATTCTTGCTTAGTTGCTGTCTGGTATTTCATTCTAACATGACGTAATATTATGGCATGCACTTAATTGTACAATTTGCGTCCATTGTATGTATTTTTCTTACTATCGTATATTATATACATGGGTATTTTCAGTATTTATAAAAAGTTTCATACTACAACGAAGATAGCAAGCAGTTACTGCAAATATCCTTTAATAATATATAGCAAAATTTGTTTTTTCGTTGTTACTTAAAAAAATTCGTTTTATTATTTTTATACTCTCAAAAATCTTCAAGAAGCATTCTGCTATATGCATTTTGTATTTTTGATACTGGAACCCTATGTTTTTGTATCTGGGAATTTTTTGTTAAATCTGATTTTCTAAGTTCTTCCATTAATACTCGAATTTGCTTTACAAAACAATATTCTCAAATTTTAACTATAATTTTAATCTTGTGACTCTACTGTCTACTGTCGATTATTCTCTGCTATTAACTCTTTTGATTTTATGCTCCAAATCTAAAAATTTCAGTATTATAGAAATATTCTCTCGATTAGTTTTGTTAATTAATATTCTGAAAATACCTCCAACATAGTATTAGCTTTAAATTTTATTTATATTAAATTTTCAGGAATGGGCTTAACTATGACATTATCAAAATTGGGATCCAATTGATTTTGATATAGAGATTCAAATTTGTCTAAATTATAATTCGGACAGATATGAAAAATGATGAAAGGCGAACTATAATTTTATTCTTTAAAATTGATAGTTAGTGTAAACATATTGTAACTTGTCATATACTACTACTAGCGATTCATGATTTGGTTAATTACACTCAATTGTACTTCTAACATGACAAAATTGTACTTAATATTATGATAAGTACCGTAGATAAAGATGTTTTCTGAAGCAATTTTTTTTCAGCAAATTAAATATTTATGCAAACGTTTGCTATGCATTATGATTCTAATTCACGAAGCATTATTTGCTACTTAGCTATTTTTCAATTCTTCCAAAGATTTTTAAAGGTTACTGATATAATTTTTCATATTTGATTAGAAGTCTTTTAGATAATTTTGTAATTTTTGTATTTTAGTATTTTATTATTAAATTACGGTAATTTCTTTGCACGATAGGTAATCAATATTTTGATTTTATCAAATGGTTAGGAGGATTGATTTTCTAATTCTTTTCATATAAAGTCAACATTACATTATATGGATTCATCATTTGTTATCATTTTAAAAAATATATAATAAGACTTGAAAAAAATAAAAATTTTCAGCAGTATTGAATAGTAGATATCCCATGTCAGCTTTTTATACAGAATTTTATTGGACATTGGAAATTTTCAATTACAAGTTAATTTAATTACAGTTATCTTTATTAAATCTTTCTTACGAAAAGGCCAAATTTTTAATTCCATGTGATATCAGTAAAACAGTGCCATCATGAGTTTTACCAATGAATGCTCACATATACAGAGTCATAATAAATTTTCCATCTTTTTACTCCGTTTCAATTTGTTTTAATTAGATCATAAAAGATGGTTTCAGTGACCTCTCGAGAATTTATCAATATTTGTTGCATACTGACACTATCTGAATGTTTTGAACTCTCAAGACCTTGTTTGATTTTCACCCCAAAAGGTTTAAAATATTTTTCAATATTCGAGTTTATTTCTTAAATTTTCCATTTTTGAACTTTCTGCAAAAAATACAAGAAGTACTGTTCCATGTTATATTACGTTTGTGTGTATTTAGGACAGAGTATATAATGGTAAGGGTTTATATATTTATCCCCCGGGATAGGTGACCCGGGATACGAGGCTGCTTAATCGTATGGTGAACCACGACCTCTCGTCCAATTACCTGCCCATGTCGGGTATGGGATTAGTTAGCTAGATTCTTGTTTCAGATGCATAGATTTTATGCACTGGCCAGCGTTTACGTGGAACATCCCATAGAGGGCAGGAACCACATTACGGCGGCGAGAAGTTCAGCAATCCGCTTGCACATAACTATCCGAATTCGAATCTACGAATTCCCGCAGGGTTATCAGAGGTGCGGTGGTGAGCGTATACCTAACGCTTAGCACGATGCGCCAAACCGCCGAGCCGGATTCGAATTTGCCAACCCGCGTAGGGTAATCTAGAGGTGCGTCAAGAAGCCTATTTTCTAATACTCCGCACAATGCGCAACTCACCGATTTTCCTTGAAAGAGACAAGATTATTCAATTTCACCTAAAACCAGCGCGGAAAAACGTTCTAAGCGGCTGATTGACAGGGAGAAATGGTTACATGAACTGGATTAAGTACGGACCACACAGTCTTGATGATGCACTCCAGCGACCTTACTTTTAAACCTTTTTTTGGGGGGACGTTAGGCAATTAATTTTTACGTTTCCGGTACCAAACTTTGAAGTATTCACCAAAATTTCTTGCACGGATGAAAGCAGGAAATATCGCTCCTAATTGCCCGACGGCGACGCGTGGTAGTTCACGATGACTCACTCACAACACGACGTACGTCAGCACTTGGTACACTGTAAGAGTGTTTTGAAACAGGCGTTATAGATATCGAAATTGTTTTCTTTTTCGTTTGCCTTGATTAATATAGGTAAATGAAGTCAGAATTTCAATGTTTAAATGCAGGAAATCATTGACAGAATTAGTTGTTACAAAATCATGAAACAATAAGGTAGTCATAGTGAGTTACTTTTGCACTTCATGTTGGTTGACTATTTCGTCTTGGGGAACTTTAGCTAGTAGGATCGGCTGGTTTTGGGGAGATGTCATCGATCAACCATCTGCTATTCTTCAAACTCGCGATGAAATCTTCGTACCTCGTTTTGTTTTTGTCAGTCATTAACTTGTCGTCATGTCAAGGTAAATGTTATCAATCAATATTATTTTCAACAAATGAAAGCTATTTTTATTATCATACTCTGTATAACACTAACTAACTAATCGTTACATGTGTTTACTTTGTTATTGCAGATATCGAAGCAGTTAACTTACGACTTGAAAATTTGTACAACATAGTTATGGAAAACGCAGAAAGTATTAAAGGCAAAGACTCTAAATAACTATCTGTTATTGGGTTGTGAATCTTTAGAAATATTAGTAAAAAATATATCAACACTAAAGCTTTAATGATGATAAAAGTTTAATTTCATAATAATGAACGTAAAAAATATAATCGAATATTAGCGTATGTAGGCGAACTCGTCCTATTTGTCTTTTCACTGCAATGGAATTGTAGTTTCTATTATCCAGACAAACAGTTGTTTTCGAAGGCGTTTCCGTCGGGTATGATGTGGAAGTAGTATTCCCACTTGAACTGTAAATTCATGTGAAATAATTAAATGTGGAGACTTTATGATTTTGTATATACTGTATATATAATATAAAACTGAAAAATGAAAGTGCATTTTTATCTATTTTTAGAAATTGAAGATCTCCGGGAACAAAATATCAAACAATCATTAGAAATAACGGAATTAAAAAAAGGTTTGATATACAGAGTGTCTCAAAAGTAAGTATACGCTTTTGATTTGCTTTTCAGGTTCTTATCATAGAGGGTCATATCTTCAGAAAACATAGTATGGATAAGTAGTAAAATTTCGGTATCATTTGCATTTTTCATCAACTCACAGTATGACAAGGAGATTAACCCAAGAAAGCACATAACCTAAGAAGCACATAAATCAGTAAGGCAAACTCAGCACTTCTTTAATAAATAATTTTAAATTAATTCGGCTCTGAACGTTTTCCTTCGCTTTCCTGATCTTTGTACATCAACTATAGATCCAGTTTCCATAAATTTACGATGAATTGCATAAATTGTTCGTCGTGTAGAAGCCGAATCAATTCCAAACTCTCTGTTAAAGAGGCGATGAGTTTGCCTTACTGATTGATATGCTTCACGTCAAACAGCAATTTTGCACCTCATTTTCTAGTTTATTCTCCTTGTCATTCTGTTGGTTGATGAAAAATGCAAACAATACTGATATTTTACTACTTATCCTATGACGTTTTCTGAGGAAATGAACGCTCTATGATGAGTACCTGAAAAGCAAATCAAAATTAAAAGTGTATATCTACTTTTGAGACACCCTGTATATTATTGGTGTAAATCGGTTTATGAACTTGTTTAAATTAAATTCATTATACCAAACTTCACTTACAGCATATCCACACTCCCACTCTATTACTTGTAAAGAAGCTTGATTACCTGGGAATCGTCTAATTTCTTGGTTTGTACACAATTTCAGATATTTTTCAATAAATTAGTTTTAGTTATTTAGAATAAAGATAAAAGCCGCAGCCTGCAGTTTCTATGATAAATGGATATGTTGATTAAATGAATATGTTCTTCTTATTTTTTGAAAAAACTTCCAAAGTAGTTAATTAGTGGATTATATACAGAAATTGTGACTAAGAAAGAATCTCAGGGGAAACAGGCTATATCTTATTTTACCGATATTTATGATTTAGAAATCCAAGAACTCATAAATATCAACCGTGAACAAGACACAAAGTTGAATCAACTAGATCAAGGTACAATAAAAACAAACCAAGATTGGCAATAGTTTTAGTTGTTCCTAAATAATTGTGCAATGAATCCTCGACAGTTTGCTCATAACAAAATTTGACTTTAGATCTAGTAATCTTACACGCGAATGATATGAAATGTTCCAAAATGCTTTCATAGAATACGGGAAATTGACCAGCATTCTTCGGATAGTGCCAAGTGACGAGTTTTATCAACTGCATTGAATTTTTTGTAAATAATGTAAATAAAGTTTTTGTTTATTTGTAGCATTGGTCGAGATTCAGCAACAACTTCCCCAAACAACGACTTCTATCAATATAGAAGCACAAGTACACACGTTTCAAACTACACCGATTGCACAGCCTGTAACAACGGCACCAGTTGCAACCACATTGTACAAATGGGAAGAAATATCAAATTCGACGAATCATACAAGCAATATCCCGATAACTTCTGGCGCAGGTTATATTGGAATACTCGATTGAAGTGGACCATTAATTATGCTATTGTACAATAAAAATCCAAAGCATATTTGAAATTTAATCTTAGACAAATCAATTAAGTTGTACGCAAAAATACGGCGAATAAAAGAATAAAAATAATAATTGAAAATAAAAATGAATTTCATTTACAATTTACAGATAAATGCAACATGAACGTGAATGGAACCTGTTATTGGGTAGAAGCTGTTCCGCGTGGTATATATTACAGCACGGCAGTTGCAATTTGCAAGAAGTATAATGCAACACTTGTATTGATTCCAGATGACGAAACGTACAACGGTGTAGTGAACCTTATGAGACAAAAACTTCCCGCCGGGTGGACTGGAACGAACAGTTGGACGGGAATAAAATTTGACCCGAAGGTGAAGGATTTATCAGTAGTTTGGCCTTGTGCGGGTTTTTCGATGTGAATATACTTAGAGATACAAAGGGAACACTTCGATATTATATTTTCGAATTCGCCTCAGCCTATGAAATATAAGTTAGCAGTTTTCCTCATTAATTAGTTCCCCTTCCCCCACTTTTTGTAGCCTCGCGACCTAGCCGCCGGCATTCCTAAATAGGAACACTGAAATTTAAATTTCTAACCAATTATTTCAACTTCGTGAATTGGGTATTGAGCGTCATAAAAGATTTACTAGAACCAAAGACGTGATAAGAGTATACGGCTCAAATCATCGATTTGAATGCTGCGAAATTAAAAAAAGTTGTTGTGACTTGCGAGTTTTATTGTTGTATACAATGTGAATTAGATATCCCCATCTATTCGCAAATCAACTGTAAAGGTCATGCAAGGAATGATTCATATGGTTCAAAATTGAGGAGGTGTAGATCGTTTGTATAGGTACTAGGTAGAGGATGATTTGATAATCACGGGGTTGGGTTTGCCAATAAATGAAACTAAATCATCTTTCTTTTTTAGCAATCACCTAATTATGTTTTTAGACCGGCAAACACTCACCTCCAGATACGTACACGAAATGGTTATCCGGACATCCGTATAAAATAACGGGATGGACGAATGTGTTTCTGCAAATACGGCGAAACCCGACTGACTATAGCCAAGGCTTGGGAAACTTTAAGCCGAGCGATATGAGCGGATTTATTTGCCAGTTTGAACACTTATGAAAGGAATTGAAAAAATACCTTTCTTGACAATAAGTTTTAATTTCTATATTAGATCATGTTTCATAAATAATGCTCACAACGACACACCGAGGTAAACAATAAATTCCAAGCGTCTAATCAGTGCTGAAAATTTCTTGCGCCTAGTTGCCAAGTTCGACATTTTGATAAGATCATAAACACAAGAATTCTCTTGATCTAAACAGACAATCAGGGCAGAAGCAAGGCTTTACTTATAAATAGTTAGGAAAACATAATATACCAAAAATGGTGTTGAAAATATTTTCGTTGGTATATGCTTTTGGTAAACATGAAACATAATTTGATATTTTCATATTCGCTACAATTACGGAACAGTTACTAATCTATATTTTGTCCGGTATTCATAAAATAATCATAGAGTAAAAATCCTCCTGATCGCAATATTTTTTAAATAAAATGGCACGGATCAATACTACAGTGCTGATATATATACCTCATTTCAGAAAAATGATTTTAACATTAATTTAAGTGCTAATGGTGAGTTTGGACTTTTCCATCAACAACAGATCAAAATATCCTTCTTGCTTCTAGATGGGATATATTTTGATCTGTTTAAGCAAACTTGAATAAAAATATTATCGCATAGTGCAGTTTGGTGTCAAGACATTCTTTCCCTTTGTCTCTTACCGCTTTTTAAAGTAACATATAAACGAACAGACATCATATATATATCACCTACACCAAAGCCCTTTTCTGCAAGTAAAAATATAATATACAAGTAGTCGGAGACAACGATTTAACACCTGGCTGCACTTTTTTTCTTGTGTAATTTCTTACACTATTCGAAAAATAACCAAGAATCTACAGCTTCTATAGGTTCAGGCCCATAAGGCTACATAATCGCAAGTTTCCTAATCAAAGATGCTGATTGCAATCAGACAGGGTAACAAGCTTCAACGAGAGGCGTCTTTACCTTGAATCTATAATATTCTTACAACAAAATCGTGCGTTTTTTTTATAAATTCATTAACAACATTAACATGAGATCATACAAAGAATAACTGTTTTGTAGTATCATTGATATGTTAAATGATAAGCTTCGCGCAACACAGGCTCTGATGAGTACCAATATATTGTTGCAATGTATTTTGGCACTTCTTCAAATGTCCTACTGTCAAAATATCATTAACCACTCCATTTCATTTATTCTTTTGTTGCTTTCTTCAACCCTTCTTTTAACGCAGTTTGGTATTTTTCGCGAAACTGCTTGATAGGCTCTCCACATGTTTCATTGTAGTATGGTAATTTCTCCATCTTTTTTGTCCACGCCACAAATTTTGGATAATCATCAAAATTGTTGAAATCAATTATGAACAGAAACGAGATAGACATGTAGTAGAAAAAATCTAAGAAAAAACAAACGAACGCATTTTGATTATGTGGAAAAACAATATTAAATTGATCAGACTTAACGTCTACCTTCTGTTTGCTGGCCAGGCCTAGTGCGTTATGCTTAAATTTATACACACTCTAGTTTCTTATACTTTACAGCAAAAATATTGAATGAAACTTGGTCTAATGTTTATACAGTGCCAACGCAAGTACCGATGGTACAAATTTTCTAAAGACCAAATTAGGAACCCTTCTGCTATAATCAGGAATGTTTCGGAACCCTATTACTTGATTAGTAGAACATCTGAATTTAATGTTTACCAGCTATGGTTATATTGTTAGATGCAGTGTATTCGTGCTCAGTCAAAAATCCTTCCAGCATAGCCAAATATTTCTTCACATCTCCAATTTTTTCTTCCTTCATTTTTTCTCCACGCATAAGAACTCCGCCAACGTTCTGAATTTAACGCTTGCCACGTCAGATGGGGCTGGAGCCGGAGCTGGAGCTACTAGAAATTTTAGTGACTCCAGCTGCGAACCATTTAACTATTTTTAACAATTTATAATTATCTAATACGTCATACGCTTAATAAAGTCTATTCGTTTCAGCTCATAATTTTGGTATAAATTTAAATTTATAATATTAATTTAAAATCTCAAGTTCAATTTATATATGAATAAAACTTTAATTTTGAAATGTAAAACTCCTATATATATTATACTTTTGAGTCCCGTTTCCGCGAAACTGCATATCGGCAGATATTTCAGGGTATGAAAATAATTATGGAGCTGGAGCCCAGCCCCGAGGTAAAAAATTAAAGCTCCGGAGCCGGAGTCACAGTTCGAATATACTGTGGCTCCGATCTGGATCCCCTGTGATTTTGAACCAGCTCTCCAGCCCTGATCAAAAAACAATTTCATCAACAGTCTGCTCATAGGCAGGCGATATCTTCATATTCCGTCACTGATTTTATATAGGTATTGTTTGCATGTAACCTACCGTATATCCCACCATAGCTTCAACAACATTTTCACTGATATAAAGATGTTGATCAATTTTTGTTCTAGCCTTGTTCTCAGCGGGGTATAGATATCGCTTGTTTTGTTGATCACCGTACTCACTCACTATGTACGCGGCGATAGCACGACTGAAATAGAAAGAAAACCAATTGTTACTGCCATAACTGTGCCAGCACTGCGGCTGTAAACGAGATCTAGTCATGCTAAGTAATCAGTAATCTGAATTTATTTTATCCCCATAAAGAAAATACATTTAATGCAAACAATAGAAAGAAAAGGCAAGAATATGGCATTTCGGAGTGAAAGGTGGCGCGAGAAACCAAAACTGGTTAACGAGAAGCGACACCCGTGATTAAGTCTAACAGAAATTAATACATAAAGGAGAAAAAAATCAAACATGACATCATGAAAAGAAAAATAAAAGTTTACAGCAGAACAGAAACAAAACCCAATACATACAAAAGTAAAAAAAAATTCGAGCAAGGCATTTCAAAGCCAGAGCGGCACTCATCGCAGTACCGGACTACCGGTACGGTATCTGTGGCTTTGCTTTGTTAGCTTTTATGTAGCGAATAAATATATTAAAGCGGTGAGGGCTTCTGGTGCTGGAGTCATAAGAGAGTCTAAGCAAAATCAAATTACCTTTCACCGAGACAGAAATCACCATCAGTTATAGCTGGGACTTTCTGTCTGATATTTATTTTTGCAAAGTCCTCGGTTTTCTGTTCTCCATCGCGAAGATTTAAGCTATGTGCAGTATACTGCAAATCCAACTCATGCAACAGCATCCATACTGTTCGAGACGGTGGGCTCATATCATTGTAATAGAAGTGTATATCAGTTTTTAGAGACATGTTTGCTCAGTTACTGGCAAAACAGTGGAAAAAATATAATATGACGCGTTTTAAAACTGCTTAATCACCAACATGTAGTACCGGTATTTCCGCCAAGCTTTAAGCAGAAAGGGTAAGTGGGTGACACATAGCACTGACTAGAATAGAGTAGACTGCATGTCGGAGTGTCTTAGCTTTCTAACGAATGCCGCAAGTAGTCCGTTTCTACGTTTATGCATACGTGCCATTCTTGCAACCAAACAGGTAGAGAAACGCTAATGCAGAAAGACACCATTGATTCACGTAAACACATGTAGCTACTTCACCTATATACACTCATTTTCTGCAAGGCCTGCCAAACTCCCTTTCCGACGCATTTGAGCACATTGTCCTTATAATAAAATACCGTGGCACTGGAAACCCTCATCGTGTCAACAGCTCAGAGCCGACTTTTCTAGAATGCTTAGTCATTCTGTTGTACAAAGCGATTGTCTGCAATTCGAGCGTATCGATTGACCGGTATACTTCGCGAAATACATGTATTTTTGAGTCATCATGACTACCAGATCGATAATTAGAAGCACGTTATTTAATGACAGGGGGAATTCAGCAGCTAGCGAGCACGGCGTTTTCATATCGAAAGGTGTCAACCGTTAGCGATTTGCTTTAAATTGGATCATGCGATTTTGAATGCACTTTTTGTGGTATTATAATTGTTAATAACTTTCCGTGAATAATGACTACGCGCAGTCGTTTGATATAATGATTGAGGTGCGTGACTAAGAGAAGACAGATAAGAGACGCACCCAAAGGACAGTAAGGTTCTTAGTCTTTCATTCTATGTCTTTTCCCTTTCTGAGTTATTTGGGAAAACCCCATGATTGTTTTGTGTCAAAAATATTGCAACCTCCTTCAATATTGAAAGTGCTTGCAAAACAGTGAATCCACGACTAAAATTGGTAAACTTAACTTTAGTTGGAGAAAAGCAATATGTAAACGCGTATTTGCTGGTTGCTATCCACACTGCGAACGGTTGAAATGAAGCTAAAGTGATTAGTTTTCGTGTAAAACCTCGTTCTGGCATACCGTAATTATATCATGTCGGTAAAGACGGCATTTCGTGCAGACCACATCAAACCCGAGAGCCAAAATGGTAACCGACAGGAACACGAGGCAATCGCTATTTAAAAGGCATCCTCCGCGAGGGCTTTATGACTGCCATGTGGGCAGTGTTATTCATAACAAATAACGATCGGATGCATTTAGAGATTATTTTAAAATATTCGGTTAATATGTCAAAATCGCCCCACATTGACGCTATAAACCACTCGTCGACTGCAGATTATCGATATCATTATTATATTTGTATAGCAATTAGCAAGCAGGAATTGATTCAAAAATCTCAACAAAATGCTTTCTATGTAATATCATATACAGAACAGATGGATACAAAAACACAGGCATGACTAGTTGTCTCAATCATACTGAAGTGTAATGCTTCGTCAAAACATAATATAGTTGACGTCGGTTTCAACATTTTTTTGCTGCATTTTCTTTCAATTTCGCTTGATATGCTTCCCGGAATTTAGCTAAAGGCTCATCACAAGTTTTCTTGTGATACGGCAGTGCCTCCATTTTCTTCCTCCATGCTACGAGTTTTGGAAAATCATCGAAATCCTTAAAATCAGTCAGATTCAGTAGAGTTACTGCAATATAGTAGAAGAAATCTGAAATAGAAATATTAGTAAGAGTGGGGTAAATGCTCGAGTAATATTAGAATTTTTTCATGCGTTTCTTTATACGTTTATAGGTTCATTTGCTGTACATTCTGACGTGGTACGATGTAGTCAAGTTCAAAAATTCACGGAGCTCCACAAAAATCGGCGTACGGATAATTTCATCGCTGTTCAAACCACTATTATGAGACACTAATTGCAAAAATAAGAGGAGTACACATGCTGGCAAATACGACTCCATTCAATCCCCCAAAAAATAAAATAAAACGCTTATAAGTTATAACGTACGCTGAACTAATCCTATAAATGGAAGAAATATAGTGAATGCCAAATTTAACGAGATATTTAATGATGTTGTTTTATTAGCATTCAATTTAATATTAGTACATACCAGCTACAGTTAAATTATCAGCTGTAGTGTAGGTATGATCTGCCAGCATACGTTCAATCATTCCCAAGTAGTTTTTCATTTCAGCAAGTTTTTCGTGTCTAGTTTGCTCACCACGAAAGAGAACACCTCCTGGATTCTAAAAAGTAATGTTTCATATTCAAATTTAAAAATAGGATCAGAATTACTATTATAATATGTTTTAATATGCTCAATATCTTAATAAATCTTGCAATTAGCGGTAAAGACATTCAAAAAATGACCTCATGGTAACACCCATCGTACCGAACGAATAACTACGACCCGGCCCGAAAAAAATCCATCAACTGAAACAAACTACGTTGATATTAGTCTGACGATATCTGTCGAAGTAATTGTCGTACTTTTTCAATTGCTACTATTATATACAACTTAAAAACTCACTACGTAATTAACGATGCTGTCTGTAATATTTTCCCCAATATAGAGGTGTTGATCCATCTTCGCTCTGGATTTATTATCCTGTGGATACAAATGCTGTTTCTTTTGATTTTCGCCATATTCACTTATCAAATATGCCGCAACTGCCCGACTAAAACAGAGAGAAGTTACTGAATGAGATCTTAAAAATGCTCAATAATACTTAGCTTGTTTGCAATATGTGATTATCCTGCATTCCCAGGATCGAATTCCATTGAGAATCATTGTATATATGTGAAAGGATTGATTAATTTATTGTCGTCACAGATTGGCCAATGTAACAAAGTCTGAACGGTTTTTTCTCCTAACTAATTGTTATGCTTGAAACATGTAATCGATACGGTATGCCCGAAACCGGTCGGCTATATCTGCTATTTGAGTTAAAGAATACCCAGAATATAAAAAAATAGAGCCTTACCTTTCCGCGAGACAAAATTCACCATCTTTGATTGCAGGAACCTTCTGCCTAAAGCTGATTTTCTGATATTCGGCAGTTTTCTGTTCACCTTTCATCACATTTACATAATGCTCATTGTATGGTATTCCCAATTCTTCCAAGACCATCCATACCGCACGACATGGAGGACTCGTGTCCATAGTGTAGAAGTCAATCTTTGTTTTGGCAGACATTTTATAATAATTGTAATAATTATGTACACTGTGTAATAAACTGAAAAAATAACATAACTATTACTCTGTCTACTACCAGTGGAATGAAGGCAAAGCGGTGAATGCGTTGTCGTTACATCTCTCACAAGTTCTGCGCTGTGCGCTAAGTATCGTTCACTAGTCAACCGTGAGCAGAGTTTCGTGTTACACTTAGTTGGGCAACGATACAGGCGTCCTCTTTTAGCAGTCAAGCATTGCATTTTATAAGGTGACGTAAAAGGTTTGTTGGCGTCTTTGACAACTGAATAAAGCGTATTTTGACCTGTGTACAGTGTACCAGTAAGTAAACTGGTTCTAAAGTTTGTTTTTGTACATTAGGCTACCTGCAATTTATACCAAATGTAGGCTCTCAATATTTCTATCAGACTATATATAATGCTTACCATCGTGAGTACCAACATGCTAAGTCACCACGGATTAGTCCTCAGGCAAATGAATGCGACTCGGCTATCAATTGATTGGCCGGCTTATTGGCGTCAGCACTCTTGAAACGTTTGCGCAATTTTAGCATAATTTTTGAAAATTGTTCTCCCAACAAGTGATTATGCAGGCATAAAGCCTTTTTTTCACGAATAAAGTAGTGAAAAGTAGATCGCCAAAATTTTATAAATCTTACCTTTCTTTAAAAGATATGCGGATAAAAGATAAGTTTCGCTAAAGATAATATCATAGAACTTTATTAGTTGGCGTGATGTTTATGTTCTCGAAGGGATCGACGTATGGTAATATACACTTTATTTGTAGTACGCATATTACGCATTGCCGTTCAAGAGGTCATTCAAATGGCAATTAGGACAAAATATTCATTCTTATTTATAACTTAGACTACGTTATGCAAGAATTCGGAAAACGCGGCTATGAACCTCCCATAAATAACAATAAACAGCGAAATTTTGGATGGACTTTCAGATTTCATAGGTAATTCACTAACAAGAATACTAACAACAACAACAAAACGATTCATAGGTCCATTTCGTGTCCAATAAACGCGGTATAAACTTTCTCTTTGGTATGAGCTTTTGGCAAGCACGAAACAGAATTTGTTCTTTGCGTATTGGCTGTAATTACCGGAAAGCTACAAATCCGCATTTTGTCTGCTATTCATAAAATAATCATAGATTAGAAATCTCTCAAATCTCAAGATTTGTTTATGAAAAAATGGTTCAAACCAATACTTCAGTTTTAAAATACCTCATCTCCTGAGAATGATTCTGTAATTTAATTTAAGTGTTGGTAGTGGCTTTGGCGACTTCTTCGTCAATTGCCTACTTGATTCTAGTGTGGATATATATATATATTTTGATATCCTTTGACAGTGGCGGCGCGTGGTCATTTTGACAACCGGGGCAAGCTACTGCGGGACCACGTCACCCCCATCTACGGGGACAGGATGAACGCTGTACGTTCTCCCATCATTTTATGAGTATAAAAACCATTCCATCGGTAACAACCAATCGGCAAAAGCGACAATTTTTAACGATAAGAAAGCGTCTTCAAAACCGGTCCAAGTCAAGGGATTAATAAATATAGACATAGTTTATTTTGAAACCTCTTTCAAAAGGAAAGGCAATATTTACCCAGATAAATACAATGACATATTAACAGAAACTTCGGGAAAGCAGACAAAACCTAAAATAAGGTTTAAAACGTTACTATGAAGAAAGGAAAGTTAATGCAAAGATAAGGACATGCGTCGCTCACTCATAGATATATAGTCTGCTAGACTTCTACTGCTTGAACATATATGCAACACGACGCGGTTTCTTGGAAGCAAAATGCTCAATAACGCGCTGATTAAAGTCATGCATCCCAGAAATAATGTCTCTGTGAATGGATAAAACAGCCAAGGAATTTAATCTATCTTACTTCATTGTGTTTCTGAGATACGGTTTAATACGCTTCAGCGTGCTGAATGTTCGCTCTTTGTCGGTAGAGTGTTATCTATGAGGAACCCATAGAGCGCGCAAGTTGATGTGATGTTCAAAAAAGTTTGATTGGTGTATATACATCGCAATTCATTTTCCAATTTACCCACGTTTATCATGGGGTAAAATTTGGAGACAGTAGCCAACAAATGGATGGGAAATTGACGTGCAAATTTTGAAAAATTTTTGGGGTTCATCAAAGAGAACGCGGCAAGGTGTTCAGTGCTTAGACGACCGCCTATTTGATTCACCAGAATGTCACAGCATTCCTTTGCAGACAAAATCAAACGCTGCGTTGTTTGCCCGCGGCGTAAAGAAGCACTCCATGTGTCGTCGTATTTTATTGTTTCCCGGATACGAGATACAGCATCGCAGAAGTCTGAAATACACGACTGCACAGACGCTCCATCCATTAGCCTTGACTGCAATGCGCCGTATAATACATCCACGTGATAGAATATTGTGGAGAAAAAATGAAAACTCACCATCTTCTAGCAGACGCTTTAGACCTGCCGCCTCCCTCACAGAGCGTTCGTCCCAAACCGGAGAGCTCTGAATGCCATTGAAACACTCAATGAGCTCAGACCTAATTTCGGACACGCCCTGCACCACGCGTGATTGGAAGTTCCAACGTGTTGGTGTACAAGCTGGGAGACGGCGGCTACATATCTGGCGAAGGAGGTCAGAGCGCTTCGGCGAAACGGAAAAAAATGAAGAAAACCCCGAAACATTTGCAAAAAATATACGGACGAGAGGGGTATCAAGACACATATTTTTAATAACGAGGTTAAATTGGTGTGCATAACAATGTAAAAAATGCGCATGAGGAAAATCTTCTTTTATATAAACTTGAACACCATGTTTCGACCCACTCATGACTGCCGCGCCGTCATAAGTTTGAGCTATCAATTTTGACTTCGCGTTGTAAGGCTGTAACACTTCTTTCAGTACAGCCGATATCCCGCAAGCCGTGCGATCAACGATTGGTACAAAGCTGTGAAATCTCTCGGTAGGTTTACCATCTTCCACAAACCGAAAAATCACAGCCAGTTGGGAAACGCACGTGATGTCAGTTGTCTCGTCAGACTGAATCGAAAGGAACTGGCAATTCTCAATTTCCAGAGCCAAATGTTGTAAATAAATTTTATACATTGAGTCGAGCAAATTATTTTGGATATCCTTAGATGTCCCTTTCGAAACAGTTGCGGCATCAAGATGATCTCTCAATACTGTATCTAGGGATGCGGTGTATTCCACCGGTGACCGTACATTTTAATCCATGTGTATATCCGCGGGTTCAATCTATATGCGGGTGCTAAAACCCATAGGTTAGGGTTCAACTATCCGTAAAACAAAAATTTTTCCGTAGGTGCAATAGTATGCAGGTGCAATTGTCATGGGTTCAAATGTACGTGGGTTCAAATGTAATGGAATCTATTCCACCATATCCAAAAATACCCCTCTATTAGAAGAGCCAGCCCGTTCATCGTGCCCACAGAGGGACAGCTCGTGACAACCAATGAACTTCAAAACATCTATCAATCGACCGAGAACATGGCGGTTTTTCTCGACGTTTTGGTTGTGCCGACGAATAGAAACCGCGCGTCCTTCATCCAACTGTGCTGCAATATTAACATTTCCGAATGTTCGGTATTTTACTGCATTGTCCAGATGCTCCATAGAAGATTGATGATCCCTGGCACGCTCGGAAAGATGTTTAAGATCTCTAAAACCAAATTTACACCAACGTGAGTCACGGGCGGTAGCAAAAAGTGGGCAATAAAAACAAAAAAGTGCATTTTTGTTCCAGCGGCAGCTGCGAAAACGGAGTGCGAAGTAGTGCATCAACCTTATTCATTATGAGGTCTAAGGCTAAGAAATGCGAAGCCGAAAAGAAGTGAGGAGCTCAAAAGGAATGTGGAAAATCGAAAGCAAATGGACTAAAGGTCTCTAACTGATTCAAATAGCGAAACAAGCGACAAAAACGAAGGCGAGGAAACTATCAACTCTTCAAGCAACCAACGAACGAGAAGGAATGCGTGAATATGTCAACACGTTGTTGTAAAAAACGTCGGCATTGTGTCGTCATAATTTCGGGGCTAGCCCCGATGATTTAGTAAAAGAAACAGAAAACAAACGGGACAAACGCGGCGAGTGGAAGATAAAAGAGAGAATACGATATACAATGAGCAACCGGGGCAAAATCGGCGTCGCCCCGTCGACGTTCGGCGAAGGCTTTGCGAGCGAAAAATGAACCATGTCGGGAGAATATGGCTAGTGTAGAGTGTAGACAGTCTGTGCAACCGATATTGAGGTATTTTTCGAATATTTTTTATTATACCGAAAAATCAACCGGGGCATTGCCCCGGTTGGCCCTATTGACGCGCTGCCACTGTCCTTTGAGCAAATTTATTTCATACATGAAGTTTGGTGCCAGGACATGCTTTTGCTCTTCTTTCTTACTTTTTCAAAAGTAAATCATAAAAAAAAAATAAACAAACACACACTTATATATAATGCCCCATGTAAAACCCGCTTCTACAAGCAGAAATAGTATATACCAGGGGTGGCCAACCTGCTTTCGACCGCGATCGACTAAAATCTTCAATATACCTCGCGATTGACTGATTGGTAAGAAGGTCATACACAAACGCGAATGTGTACTGAAAATACAGAAAACTGCACAGAACATGTATACAAAAAATTCAATGCTCACAGTAAGTTTGGCTCTGTGGACGCAATATAATGAAATCGTCACAACAATTTGTATTTTTAATGTTTCATTTAATTTGTTAATTTAATTATGTAATTGTATCGGATCAAATTTTGACTCTTTATTTAAGATTTATTCGAATCATACAATTCAGATCTAAGGCCTGCCTAATTTTCAGTCGTAAGTGTTGAAAATTCCTCAAAAAACCTTGCCATATCCACATGACAAGTATCCATATTATAAAAACAGCTAAAATAAATATTCTCAATTCATAATTGTTACATGATCGCTCAAACTCCGGTATCTAATTTACAGTTATCTCTAAGTCTGATTCTTCGCTCGCTTTGAATTAGAATCCCACTACTTTTGGAGTGAGACAATTCGAAGACAACGGTTCAGCGCCTTGATCAACATCCGGCGAAATCTTCTCTTCTTGCTAAATTTACGGATTGCGTATTTTTGCACAATATGCGGAAACTATTTCATTAGTTCAGAGATTGTTTCAGGATATTTGGTTCAGAAGTCAAATTTTCTATACGAATCATGTCACACCATGTGTTGCACGCGGGTTATGTAGCTTACTTTATAATTACCCCACATTGATATAAACCACATGTCGACTGCAAATTCCGAGTTAATCTTGCAATGGCTTTCATGAGCTACCCATGAAAAATCACAGCAGTAAGGACTATCGAAAACAACAATTTTATTAGAAAATAAAATTGAAATTGATTTCATACAGTTGGATACAAGAACAGTTCAATGACTAGTTTTATTTTCCAGACAAGATGACAGATACAAAACTTGAAATTTGGCAACCCATACTTTACTAGCTTTATATATCAGAATATTACAATTAATTGAGTTGCGTGCTACTTCAAACAATAACAGATAGAGTTCACGGAAGTTTTAGAATTTCTTTTGCGTATTTTCTTTCAATTTGGCTTGATACATTTCCCGGAATTTAGCTGAAGGCTTATCACAAGTTTTCTTGTGATAAGGCAGTGCTTCCATTTTCTTCTTCCATTCTATGAGTTTTGGAAAATCACCGAAATCATTGAAATCGGTTACATTGAGAAGAGTCACGGCGATATAGTAGAAGAAATCTGAAAAATATATATTAGCAAAAGAGCGAATAGAAGCAGAAGTAATATCACAATTTTAGTCATGCGTTTCTTTATACTTCATCGCTGTGCAGTCTGGTGCTGTACGCAGAAATACATGGGGGTCGTGCAAAAAGCGGCGCATGGATAATAAACTTGGTGTGAAAATTATTAGTAAGATGTTAAACTTGCAAAAAATAAGAGTAATACATACTGCCAAATACGACTCTTATTCAATCTCTGGAAATCCGCTTTCAACTTACGCCAAACCATCCCAAACAATGGAGGAAATTCAAACTTAGCTGATAATTGAATGATGCTGATTTATTAACTTTTAAATCTGACTTTATAATAATACATACCAGCAACAGTTAGATTATCAGCTGCAGTGTAAGTATGATCTGCCAGCATTCGTTCAATCAATCCCAAGTAGTTCTTCATTTCAGGTAGTTTTTCGTGACGAGTTTGCTCACCACGAAAATAAACACCTCCCGGATTCTAAAAGGTAATGTTCCATCTTCAAGTGTGAAAAAATAGGTCTGAGCCATTATTGTAATACATTCAACTGGTATCAACCGATCATAAAATAATACGATTAGCGGTAAAGATACGTTAAAAAAGACCACCATAAACTGCAACAAACTACGTTAACATCGGTCGGTAGCCACTCCTTAAACGTAATTTCCATTTTCGTGAGGCACTATATTATAACAACTCGAAAACCTACCACATATTCAACGATGCTGTCTGTAATATTCTCTCCAATATAGAGATGCTGATCAAGCTTCGCTCTGGATTTAGTATCCTGTGGATACAGATGTTGTTTCTTTTGTTTTCCACCATATTCACTTACCAAATATGTCGCAACTGCCCGACTAAAAAGAAGAAAAATGACTGAAGTTTAACGAGAAAATACGTACGAGTTTTCAAGTTATGATTATCCTGCATTTCCAGATACGAATCCCATTGAGAATCATGATATGTGAAAGGATGCTTAATTTTGTAGTCACAGATTGGCCCATGTAACGACCATGCATCTTTCTCCCCTATTTAATTGATGTATTTGAAACATACCCGACCGACCATATATCCCACCAAGGATGGTTTTGCGAATGGCCAAGGACGGCCCTTCATATTTTTCATGAAGTTGGCTGCATTTGCAAATAGGATTGGGCTTTATGTATATGAGATGGCTGTTTATGCATATTTTAGAGTATTTGTATATCACGTTACCAATCCCACTTAAAACTTGACGTGTAAACTAAACAAAAAATGTCTTACCTTTCCGCTAGACAAAATTCACCGTCCTTGATTGCGGGAATTTTCTGCCTAAAGCTAATTTTCTGAAATTCGGCAGTTTTCTGTTCACCTTTTGTCACATCTACGTAATGCTCGTTGTAGGGTATTCCCAATTCTTCCAAGACCATCCATACTGCACGACATGGAAGACTCGTATCCACAGTGTAGAAGTCGATCTTTATTTGGGCAGACATTTTACAAAAGGCGTGATATTATATGCACACTGTTTGATAAATATAACAAAACTATTACCCTGTTTACCACAAGCGGCATCTAAAAAGCTGCGTGTCCACATTTATAGGCAATAATTATAAGTAATCTGTCTTTGCAGCCAAGCATTATATCGAATAAAGCAGGGGTCGGCAACCTACGGAGTGATATAATCCGGCCCGCGACGCTTCATTGAATTATAGTAACAAAACAGTTGTTTTGACGATTATATTCTTTACGCAACAGAGTTTACTGTGAGATACATATAGTCTACATTATATTATAATCTAACAAGTATAAAATTCACAATTACGAGTTTAATGAACCTATAATTTAATTATAATTAGACAAATGGCAACAAAACGCAGAAAAGTTGATGCTAAGTGCACAGTGTTAAATGGCGCCGAAAATATTCGAATGGAATTTTTTGAGATGCAATGCAATGAGGAAAAAAATCTATATTCTATTCGAGAGATGTATCACTGCTTGACTTTTATTATTTAAAGTATCATCCGTTCGGTTTTCAACTTTTCAAAAATATGTGCAGCCGTCAATGACTTGCAACCCTTAATTTTGTCCCGCGAGCGACAAAAGGTTGCCGACCCCTGGAATAAAGCATATGACTGGTGTACCAGTAAGCGAGTAAAACTATTACCCTGTTTACCACAAGTGGCATCTAAAAAGCTGCGTGAGAGCGCACCCAAAATTTAAATATTCATATTCAAATAGTGTACTTCTCGCAAGGCTGATGCACTTAATATAGTATTACTCCAGAAATCGCTTAATAATAGCTAAACTTTTCGTGTTCCACATTAAAAGGCAACGATTTCTACACCGTTATAAGTGATCTGTCTTCGCAAACAAGCATTATATCGAATATAGCATATGACTGGTGTACCAGTAAGCGAACTATGCTTGATTCGATTTTCCCACACAAGGCAAAGTACCTGCAATTTATACCAATAAATGCTCTCGATAGTTCTATCAGGATATATGTCATGCTTACAATCGTGAGCGCCGAATTGCTGAGTCACGATCAGTCCTCAGGCTAATGACTGCGATTCGGCAATCGATTCATTGGCCGGCTTATTGGCTTCAACAGTTTACCACTCGAAACACTTCAGGCAATTTTAGCAGAGATTTCAAAATTGTTCTCATCGGAAAATAATGATGCGGGCATAAAGCTTGCTGTTTATCAATGAAGCTGTAAAATGTAGAGATATCAATATATAATAAACTTTACTTTGCTTTTTTAAAATGTACTATTACGGACAAAAGATTCATGAATGATAATTCCGTAGAATTATATTCGTTTGTGTAATCTCTGTTGTCTGAGGAATTATTTTGATATTAATAAACTTGATTTGCACATTGTGATACACTTTATTTTTATACTCCATTGTCGCCCCAGATATCACCGCGATTATCTGTCTACATCTATACTATATGGAAGCCCGAATGCCTACAAGACAACGCGGAAAATTTTTTTGTACATACCATATCTGTTACATCACGCCAGACCTCAGGAAATGCATGAAATTGGCCAAATGCTTTAGGACAACTAACGAAAAGCGCATAGCTTGGGTGAAGCTGAATAAATTCTGCGTTTGAAACTAAATGTCTTCAAAATAATCTTGTCGCGTGCCACGCACAATCTTTGGAACCAATTTGGATAGAGGTAAATTTGGAATTGTATATTGAAGCGCATTCAGGACCGCTTCTTTTATATTTACCCCACGTGTTGTGTCATAAAGAAGTACAAGTCCAACAAGATTTTCATAAGCAGATAGCTCTTTTGCTACAGCAATGGTTGTCCCCAAAAGGCTGATTTTTTTTTAAAAAGATGGACTTGCTTGGGAACTATCGCCTCTTCCACGTCTTGAATGCATTCTCGAGCAAACTCGCCATCTGTGATCAACTTTTTCTGCTGAAAAATAAGATGCGGCGATGGAGTCTTCATTTTCCCCGATGAGCTTTTTATATACGTTCTGTTGCAAGCCCGTATAGTTTTTTTAGTTTCAACACCAAATTTTCTCTCAACTTTCCGACAGTTTTATTATATTTGTGTTGATGTAGTGTCTCTTCACATTGAAGGCTTTTGAAATAGAAAGAGTTGTGCCACAAACCAAGCATAGGGGCTTCTGCTTCCATTCGATAAAAAGATAGGCGCTTGTCCACGAGTCTTGAAATCCACGAGTCTCATCTATTTTTCTTTTGCAGCGAATGCTTTTGCTCATTGCTGCAATCAGTGCAAATTTAGGTTTTAGTATTGCTATTGCCAAGAAAGATAATGGTAAGCTGCTGATCGTCTTGGCAACACAAGAACTCAAATGAATTAATATATGTCGTCAAACCAACCATTAACCCTGCTAGTTTCTGCTTCTGATAGAACTAAGAGCTAGGTAGCCTACACGTGGATCGAAGTGCAAAGTGAATATAATATAATTGAGTCATATGGTAGTCGCTTTGGTGTGAATGAATTTGCCGATTTAGATTATTGCGACATAGACACACCTTGTTACCATCAACGATAAGTAAGAATGCTAAGTATAACTACTTTCAAGTATTCGATTCTTATCCGATTCCTGAATTTTCGATTCCGATTCTCGAATCTCAATTCCTCGACATATCTTTCCAAGAAAACATACACACCAAAGCAATATTATATGAAATCAAACGAGAGAGCGATGTTCGAATATATGGACGGACAGGAAGGCCAAAACTAAGTAGTATGGGTATTCAATCTGTCACAGGAGACTAAATCGCGAAAAAAAAGAATCCCTTAGAGATTTTACAAATAAATAAACGTAAAAGCCATCCAGCGAAATATATATACCGTATATAATTTAGTGAAATTTGCGACGTGGTAGCAACTCAACATAGCAGTAAAGCAGTTTATACATATATGTGAGGGAATTTCCACAAAACGTTACGCATTGTTTGCAATCCAAGTTTTAACCTCGAGAATCGATTCCAATGCATGGAATCGATTCTAGTCGATTCCGCGAAGAATCGATCATGTAATCGAATCCGGATTCGATTCCGCCATCCCTAAGTCGAGAAGTGGAACATTTCACCTACCGGTACCTAACTGCTTGCTACTGTATGCTAGCCTAGCCTACCTACTTAATTTTTAGCAACTACCTTTTGAAAACAGGGCCACGAGCTAGCAATTTGTGGATAAACATGATAATTCAATTTCTTTCGATATAAACGTGATATTTTAATGTATTTCATAAATAATTTTTTTTTTACAAAACTGTTCGCGTGCCACGTTTGAGCGTATGGCGTGCCAAATTTGTCACGCGTGCTCCGTGTTGTGCACCCCTGTCTTATTAAAGGACAACAGTGTTAGATGTCATATTCGTGACTTGTTGGACAAGAAGTGGGGCTTATATCTCGTTTCGTTGATGGGACGCAAACTCAAGTACATCAATCAATTTCAAATATAGATTGAAATAAAAAACGTGAATACGGATTTTGCGAATTAAACTTTAATAGAGAATTTGATCGATATATATGTCGAGATATGTAACCGAAGTTTAAAATGCATGAAAATGGGCATTTAGTGGCCTATGAGTTTGACCAATTTACAGATCACGAATCCGCGCTTCAACCTCTCGTTGTTCAATTTTAGTCCACAGCATTACCAAGGGTATAACAAATGCATATTTCTTGCTTATAAGTGACTTGTGCATCTTTTGTATTGAATATGGCTGAATCGATGCAGTCGGAGAAGATTTATCTTTGTGAGAATGGATTCTAAACTGTACTGAATATTAAAATCATTTATGACAATAATTCAACTAAAAATGAAAATAAAGAATTTTACATTTGAATACTGAAGATAGTTGCTTGTTATTCCAGCCTGGCGCCATCGTAAATGATTACATTTAATGCCCACGTACATTGCTCGTTGTTTTGTAAATATGCATTGAAATAATATTAAGGCCAGTCATGTGAATTGATTCTACATTCGACTAAATAAACTCCTTGGATAAATCTCTGCATAGTATGACTAACAGCACGATATAATGGGATTGACTAGATTTTAAAACTTTAGTTTTCAGTTTACTTCTCAGGTGTGCATAGTGCATGAGTATTCAAGGAAGTAAATTTTCATAAAAGATCATTGTTTCCGTTTACCTATACATGTAATGATTGTTTACCTATACGTGGGAAGAATATAATATTATAGGCAGTATACCATACTATGCAATTCGCTTCTCATTTGATATTTTCTTGATTGAGAGAAGAAGAGAGATTTTGCCATAAATTGGGGAACTAAATTTTTGTTTTTCAGGTAAAGTTGGTTTATATGTTTAGAATATAATGGTTAAAATGTGTGGTACTTCTGACTTTGGATCATTAACCCCACTTAAAATCACGTTTATAGATTTAAATATATATGAAAAGAACTATAACGACATAATAAACAATCTTGATTGGATAATAATAATATCTCGCCTGAGGAAGTGCTTGTTTAATGATGCCGAAATATAATTTCTGGAAAGACCGGACCCAAATAATTTTGATTTTTGTATGCGGATCTTTGGTAAAAATAGTTGAGTAGCTCTGCTGTAGAATAACGTTTGTATGAGGAAGTATGACCTTGGCCAGAATAAATGTTGCAGAAATATATTTATGTTAGTGTGCAGCAAGACTCTTGAATCACTTAGAATAAGAACTGTTATGTCGTATCATTAAGTAGCGTTACCTACTTGTTTTAGCTACCTAAGGCGATGTCAGCAGCCGGAAGCAACGATAATATAACAGATGCAATTGATGAAATATGTTCAAAAAGTTCGCCTCAGAGAGATATTATTGCTATTTATTGTGTCGTCATATCAATAGTGGTTTGTATTTTTATGTTATTCATTGAAATTGGTACGTAGGTCCACATCTTTCAATTTTCCCATAATCATATGCCACCTATACATATGGGTAACTAAAAAATTATTCATTGGCTTGATAACTTATTGCACTTGGCTGTTTTTTCTTTAATTGAAAACACGTGGATAATAACGAGATAGTAAGGAATGGTTAAAATGTTGAGATTTTTACTCAAAAATAAAATATTAAATACCGCAAAAGTTGGAATTCAATTCATGTGGGAGCAAAAATGAATTGCGTTCAATTTTTAAAATAAAAAGTGATTTACGTAATTACATAAGAATGTATCAATTCGGTGTCTGTATACCAGAAGAATACGACAGAATGTGAATGTGAATTTCCCTTTACAATAAAGTTGTTTTTATTCAGATATTTTTCAATGGATTGCTTCTTATTGGAATTGGAATAAGTTGGAGAACACTTCGGCAAAATAGTATACATTATTACCTAATAAGTTGCTCATTTTCTGCAATTTTTTTCTGTTTTTCTATATTTTATGAGGTATATTATACAACATTTCAAGTTGATAATGCCAGCATCGAAGGTGGAGTACTACAGAGGTATGATAATTGATGTTAAATTTGATCCAAATTTTTTTGAATTTTCAAACAACATTGAATTGTGGAACCTCCCAGGACGAGTAGCCTATATAGTAATATACGATCAACACTATAATAATAAATGGCATTCACAAATAAAGAGACACGATAGTGAGAAAATGATTCAAAATTTAACAATCGCTAGTTTGAAACGTTCAACCAACTTCATACAGAATTCTTCAATTTTTTATCATTTTTAGATACAACGTAAATATTTCTTCACATCGAAATGCCATGCAACATTATGCATTCCGTAAAGGACTTCTTGCGTCAATGTGGCTTGTCATGGAATTGAACGTGGTGGCGCTGATATTTGCTGTTGGGGATAACGCACAATTTATCGGTCGATATACCGAACCAAAATTGCCCTCGCGATCTGAACTTGCGGCTGCTAGCCGAGATGGTCGCATGAAGAAAAAACGAGGATCGGAAGTAAGTGATCAATCATACTTATGTTGAAAGATAGCAATGCCCAATAACATAGATCCCAAGGTCAAATGTCGAAACAGTATTCTGTTGAATTAGAATAAAATATCAGAATATTGAGTAAAATATACATAAAACAAAAGCAATAGCTTTCTAGCGACTTTTTCGTCTTAAAGTCTCACGCGAGGTTAAATCTGCTTCAAAATTTGCATGTGCATGCATCATATCTCGGACCAGAAGCCTACTGATTTGGGATGAAATATGTCGTATAATTAGCAAGTTATTAAATAATAATTAGTGATTGGACACGCGATGTCGCTATCGAGTCAGAGCGAAGGAACGAATTCACAGATCGATAAGTGGGCGGTCTCCGATCTCTATCTAGTTTATACGTCAATCGCATATTCACATTAATTTTTTTTATTCAGCAAAAAATGTTCAAAGGAAAACGATTCAAAGCTTTTGTTTTATCAACAATGGCTTGGATAATTCCAATACTTTTATCAGTCGCCGTGGCATTGGGTTGGAATTGTGTTGAGTACTGTGCTTGCTTGCCTGGAATTCGATCTGGCTATCAATGTACCCCGCGTAAGTATATTGTAAGTCAGTATTGCCAGATGTTGCAAACACTTACTCACGTACTATAATAAGAGATAGAATGAATTTCACAAATTTCAAAATACTCCGGAGTTCCTTTCCTGTGGTAGTCGCTTTTTTGGACCAGGAGTCATACTTAATTTAGAATGACTCGGACGCGGAGTCGCATTGATTGCATGCAAATCCGTAGCCTTCTCAACAGTACAACAATGACGAGCTAATGATGATAACGTTTTCAAGGGACCTATGGATCGTTTCGTTATTACTTATCGATCGTTAAGTATGTTGATAGGTATTTGTCTGTTTGTTTGTCTGTTAGACACTTTCGTATGTTACGCGATATCTCACGAAAGCGAGGTTGAATCTGCTTCAAATTTTGCATGTGCATTCATCATATCTCGGACCAGAAGCTTATTGATTTGGAATGAATTATTTTGTATAATTGGCGAGTTATTAATTAATTAATCAAATTTTTATTTTATTTTTTTTAGAATAAGCGAGTTAATAAATTTTTTTCTGTGGAAGATCGATAAGTCGGCGGTCTTCGATCGCTAACTCGTTATGATGTTGATGTCAGTATTCTTTTTATTGTTTTTGTCAAAAAACAGCTTTTCTCTTCAATCTCTGGACCAATTGCTTTGAAACTTCCAGGGGTGAAAGATTGTTGTTGTATCCAGAAGACCATTAGTTTTAATAAAATAACTGTAGGCCGTATGTGATTCTTTTATCACATTGAAGTTGTGTGTAATAACGTTATAAAAATTCTAAATTGCGCATTGTGTGGCGGTTCCGCTATTGCATTTTAGCTATCTGGCAATAAGCGAAGATTTTTAGTGAGAAAGACTACCGGTACTGTGAAAGATTTGATACTACTTCGTTTTGGCCTTCGACGAAATATATTTCAGCATTGCTCTCTTGGTTAGTGTTAAACTTGCAGTTGGTACACAAGTCTGTTGTTTAACTTGACATGTGCGTGACCATGGGTTGGTTCTACACGAAGTTACCAACATTCGTCCTCGGACATTGCGGAATCCAATCTTGGACAAAAAGATGTGTCACTCAGTGGTCATGACCTGGTTTATGACATTGTTTACATTGATTCTTCCCTTTTTTCTTATTTTTTCTGAATACAGCACGATTGTATATAGTGAGATTCTCAAAATTAAATCATTTGAAACTCCCATCATTTCTTTACTTGTACTGAAGAAATACACATACAACAAGTACAATTTTTCTATTTTTTCATTAATTATAGGTAAAACTGGTTTTAGACCATTCCGTACGGAGTTGAACTCTCCAACCAACGCAAAAAATCATAACTATCATTGCATGTAATTTTATTTTGGCCGAATCGTTGGCTTTAATTAGTTTTCTTAATGCCCTACAATTTTATCAAGGAGATGTACTATGCATCAATGACATATTCAAAAATGGTTGGATTATTTTTCTTATCAGTTCGCTTTTTCATCATCAACGAATCACAAATTGAATGATGCTGAGAAGAGTAAAACTGTCAATTACTACGGAAAACATTTCAGTTTACAGTATTTGTACTTTTATATAGCATGATTCGAATGCAATATTGTTCTATTTCTCAGCTGAAGATAGTGGGCATATTTGCTCAAGGCAGTGGCTACCAATGTCGCAAAGTTTTATCATCGTTTTAACCGTGTTGTACTTGTGTGGTTTCGTTGTTATATTTGGAATGTTGACATCAACAATCCGAAAGTTTTATCGTTCTCATGCTCCTCGACGCTCAAAAGTTAACTTTACAGAAAGCAAGAGGAAACGAATTGGTGAAGTGAATGCAATGGGACGCAGGAACTCAAATGGAGGCTTCGTACAAGCAAGTGAGCAAACGGCAATATCATACGTCAATACGTGTAACAAATACAATTTTCTCCTCCCAATAATGTCACGTGGGCATTAGAAGCTTAGAAACAAAGCACTTGGACTCTGACTCTTATCTTCACTATTATCAATCGAACTATTATTGCACGAACAAGTAACACTCTACAAGCAATTAGCATTTGTTTGAGTATAATAACGTCTGCAAATGTACGTTCTGTTTTTTATTTCTCAAATTCTTTCAGATGTTTAGAATAAGTGGGGGTCAGTCTTGAACAATACAAGGCAGGGGTGGCCAACACGGCGATCGCGATCGACTATGGTCGATGTTCGATCGCGTCTGATGCTGAGTGAATTTCAAATATACCTCAATAAATTGCCTTGAACCAATTTCATGTTGCGTGTTTCAAAACAGAACAAATACAGTACTGAGCATGAGCAAAATACGATATACACATATAGCCTGATAGAACATATTATTACGCAACAAACGAAGTGCTGCCGCTGCTAAGGTTTGTAATTGAACGTGCCGAATATCAAGTGTCTTGACTGAGAAATGATCATACAATAACTTCTACAGTTTGCGACGGTTATTGTCACACTCCAAAATACGTGTGATGAAGTGTATTTGCAACGGTAGCAATGGCATCAGAATACTCATTTTTTTTTCTTATTCCAATTGAGCGAATGATCAGACTTGGTGGAAATTGTAAATTAGATATACTGAAGTTTGAGCAGTCTTGTAACATTTATGGTTGGAGAATATTTATTTTTCGCTGTCTAAATAATAAATGGATACTTTGCAAGGTATTTTGAGGAATTTTGAACACTTACAACTAAAATTAGGTAGACCTTACATGTGAACTGTATGATTCGAATAAATCCTAAATAAATGATGAAAAATTACCCTAGCTACAATTAAATAATCAGATTAACAAATTAAAAATAAAAATTTTAGTGGCGATTTTAGTAAAAATGCGCCCACAGAGCCGAGCTTATTTATTGGCAGTGGTGGAATTTTTTGTATGCGTGTGTGCAGTTATATGCATATTCAGTACTCATTCGTTTTATGTATGACCTTATTACCCGTTTTAGTCGTCGCACTCGAAAGCAGGTTGACCACCCCTGCTATAAGGTAATAAACCCTAATTGCATGCGTTTCTTAGCTTTCGATATCCAATGATATAATTGTTTCATCTTTTGTATCAGAGAAAAGTCGATCGTATCATGATAATTCAAGAAAAACCTCCAGTTCCCCTATTGTTCGTATGTCGTCCCTGAGAGAACCGAAATTGAGCCTGGAATCCCCAATTAGTATCATTGACTTGGTATGTTTACTTTTATTTGAGTATTTGAAGCATGCAAAAATTTTAATCATAAATAAAACTTACACGAATTAATCTAACTTTTACTATCGAGCTAGCTAGTAATTAATGAAATTCTCAATGAAATCGGGCGGATCTGGTTATGGTTTTTGTATCTGCTACGGTTTCCTTTTGTCTCAAATTCTGTTTGAGTTCCCAAAAGTTTCTCACTTTTTACGCTGTGGTCAACACGAGATTGATATGCGAGAGAAAGAGTTTTCTTTTGGACGAGTTTTACGTCACCTTCAAAATAAAACAAGAGTGGGATTTTGAAGTGAAGTGATATTCGTTTTATCGAAGAGCATTTGATCGCGTGCTGTCTGGTATCTTTGTTTGTTTATTATGAGCCGGAGAACGTTGCTCGCGCGTTCAAAATACTTCGTTTTCAACTAGCAACAGATTCTTTGTTTATATTTAAGCTTTGAAATATTCATACAAATAAAATTGATCTTGTAGCAAAATAAAAATTATACATAAAAAAAAATATGATGACGTCACCGTAATTAAGAACACTCGGATCAAGCATGGATAATTTAAACTCAAACATTTTAAGTTTTGAAATTGGTTTTGTTCACATGCAGACCACTATGAAATACAATTGTTCCCCCAAAATACATTTAATTTAGCCGTAATCCCAAATTATGACACAGGGCACCCCTTTATGACCAGGCCGATCCTATAGGGTGCGTTCGAGGGCCGCATCGGAAGTTCTCTGGGGCCGCAAGTTTGACACCCCTGTAATAAAAGATATAAAATTCCAACGGGTATTAATGTACATTGATCACTTCTCATACCTTGGACTCCATCGCCGAATCGACCATCCCCTCCATCGAATTGGTTTATTCTTATTTTAATGTAGACTGGTTACGAAAATATTGTTACAATTTTTCATTTGAAAACCCTAATATCTTGGGAAACGCAGGTCTAGTAAGATTAGCCGTTAATTTTCCATAAACATTGAAATGCACCGTTTTAATTAATTTTTAGGTCATACTGTTCGCATTTTTATGTGCTATGTAAATATTGCTCTTGTCCGTGTATGTACGGGAGACGAGAGGTACTATCTATTGTACCACAAATACGAATAAACGTGTACACAAACAAAAGTTGGGCATGTATGATCCTAATTGTTCTAACACCCCATACTGGATTCATATGCATAAATCATATTTAGACTACAGCTCAGATTTTGACTCCAGCGTTCTCAATGTTCCCCATATCTTGAAGAAAACGGTTCTACATAAAAAAATATATATATATATTCGAAGTAGCCTCAGGGTATTATCATCTTTCAGTAAATAATGACTATATAATAATTAAATATGAATTTCATAATCAAATAAAATCAAACTTCCTAGACAAGCATATACAATCTACTATATAACTATTGCTCGTTAGGGGTATGATTGTTTAAAGACAAAATATTTAAATATTTCATTATCTCTAGGCGGTACCTGACACATCAAATCAAAGGTCATATTCTCCTACGCCATCCAAACTGAAGAAGTAAGGACATCTTGAATCCGTTTGCATATCATGTCAGCAAATCCTGCTTTAAATTATGTCAAAACGATGAATTTATTGCCTAACGACATTCTATGCAAACTTATATATATTTCTTTTTAAACTTCACTGTCTTTTTCCTTATATCTCGTGCATTTTAGGAACAGAAGACCAGCTCTTCATGACACCATCAAGCTTCTCATTCTGCTAACGTTTTCCCTGTTTCTCTCAATCACTCCTCTCATATGCGTCGTGTTTTTTGATGTTGTTTTTGCAGATATTGGTGAGTACAGCGAAGGTTTTCGATGTGTTCCTCACTCACTTCTCAACTTTTAAATTTAAAAATTTTGTGAATGTGAAATTGATTGGGAAGGTTACATTTAGTTTCACAAATATAAACGGGCATAGCAAAAGTGCCATTTCATTCTTCTAATTTTTGTACGGTTACATCATTTGCCATTGAAACTGATCACTCATTAAAACCAGTTTGAGTTTGATGCTACTTTTGTAAGGGTGTTCAAAAGCATATAAGTCGCCAAAAATTGTTGCCTTGATCAGAAATCAACGTAGGCACGATATATTAATGCTAAAACAGTCCACATATTGAAATACAATCGTGAATCCAAATTATTGTTATTGAAGACTTAGACATTGGTCGTGAAAGCACCCTTGAAAGTCTACTTATTAGTGATATTATAGATGGTAATGTTCACGAGATAGGTTTATGACTGCTTTATATTTTACAGTCCTTCGACCTGACGCAGTTTTGGTTACCTCTTCAATGACGTGTATGCATGCCACAAGTCTCCCATTTATTTTGTTGAGATATATGAGCGGCTTGCGAACTGCGTGTCATAATATTTTATTAAAATGTCCATGCCTTCATACAACGATAATCATGAAAAGACCTAGTACCTCAACAGCAATCAATAAATCGCCAACAAACGTAATACGATCCGCGACACCGTCTAGAAAATCTAGAGCGACGATCGTTGCATGTGAAGTGCCGACTGTTCCCGAAATAGAGTCAAAAGACGACGAAACTAGTGAAGAGACTGTCACTGAAGCTGTAAATTGTACATTAGATCCACAAAAAATTCTTTCTGAGAATTCTCCTCCAGAATCAGATAACAGAAAACCAACATTTGAAAAATACGAAACTGTTGTGGATCTTTCTAAATACGATTTATATGATAATTTTGCAAACAAAACAATTGAAGATATAGTGGGAAACATCAGTAAGCAGTAAAGTAATAAAAATCAATGAAAAGTATATATGTAGCTCGTTTAGATTGTAGTTTTCTAACTGGTGTCCATTCAAATAGTTTTATCATATCGCTAGATCATGTGTATATTTGACATATGAAGGAAAATCATGAACCTTTTTTATTGTTTCCATCGAAATGCTAATGAATTCATTTCATTTTTTTTGCGGGGTGGGGGAGTCCTGTCATGTAGCTGTGTGATTGCTCTTCTTGGGGTGAACTCAAAATTTGTTTTACAAAATACCATACGAAATAAACATGTTATATATTATATTCAATAATAAGGTCCTGGGGTAGGCTACATTACCATTGGTGACATTAATTCAGATTCTCATTCCAACAATACGGCTATATTTTAGGGATGGAAATGACCGATTGTTATAAATTGTATTATATATGTATTTGCTATTTTAACAATAAAACGTTGAAAGCTGTGGCTGTATTTTGATATATATCAATTATCAAAGTTGTAGATTGTCCAAAAGTCAGATTAGAAGATCAAGGATGAACAGAATGAAATTTCAAATTTGTGTCTTCTGGCATGAAATTTTCACGTAAGTTGGCTATTTATTGGTGGCTTCTAGATTCTCTCTGCACAAGGCTCCATACGAGTAGTCTTTGAAAGGACCATAGTAATTCACTAAATAATTTTGTTAACTATGGTGTTGCATCTGGAGTAAAGTAAACCACTGATTGAAGAGAGTTTCATCCTGGGATTCTATAATCCTCAACGCGACTATACCTCCCAATATCTTGTGTAGTTCCCCAGGGATCAATTCTGGGTCATTTACTTTTTATAATCTACCTCAATGATTTTATAAACTGTTATATATTATTGTGATATATATATATATCATGTAACACTGCTGGGTGACGCTATTTACCGTACTGTTTTGATTTCTCCGAGGCTGACATTCTTCTCTAAACGTATTTGGCTTGCTACTTAGTCTGCAACTGCTATGATATCTCACTTTTGAAGTGCTTGACTCTTACAAATGTAGTAATCGAAACTTGGTGCTTGATTATAAAAAACTAAAGACAAAATAACGACACCTGTATTGCATAAAGTTACCACAGTGCTAATATTCCCCGAATTGTCTTCAACGATGAGACAGGTAAAGCGAAAACAAAATAAACTGACTATAAATTATATTAAATTGATTTATATGCTCCCTAACAAAAATATAAGTCGACCTTTCCATATATCTTTCGGTGGTAAAATGCTAACTGGAATGCCATGCATGAAATATCTTAGTATATATAATTATTAAAAATAAGTTTAAATGGTATTTTCATATAGCATAACTAACAGTTGGGGTTACGTGAAACTAACTACCGTTCCTTGCTCTATGCCTTTGCGCAGGTGGATTCGTATGCGTAGAACGCAAGGATGCTGTAGCAAGAGCATGTTATCAAGAGTGACGGGAATTGTGTTCAAACTTAGGCACTGCTTGACATTGCGTGCTTTGAAAATAATTTATCGTTCATTACTTCATTCTCGGCATCTTAAGTTGGGTAGTAGTTGTGAATTTGCCAAAAAATGAAGAATATTTGGGACCTCCAGGAATATGCGCACCAAGATGGCGCACAACCTGAACATAGTATGTGTGTACCGGTTAGGATTCAGGTTGTGCGACATCTTGGTGCGCATACTTCTGGAGCACCGAATTTGGTATAAATCAATTTAATTTGACTTTTTCTCGCCTTGAAAAAGTTTTCAGCTTTAGTATAGCTATACCGTGCGCGTTTGTCTGCGAGCTCATATATAGCAAGTTATTCGCGCCCTATAATGTGTAAACGATAAAGAACCGTTATCGAGCATCGCCCCAAGACTATGAAGTAGCCGATCCCATCGAATCCACGGAGTGAAGTGATGAAGCGATGAATGAATAGATGCAGCTTCTTTTTTGATTTTATCGTGGCGTTATGAACGGTCTGTGCATTTTGCTGGTTTTCCGCCATTTTCCAGTATGTTTTCAATTGATCCCAGTGTCAAGAGGTATTTTTGACCAATTTTCTAGGATTTATTTTTTTGTAGAAACAATCATATCAACATCTATACTTTTACACAGTATATTCAAGTTGAAAATCTTCAATTACCATAACTTTATTTTACAGTTAGAGTATATTTGTATTCAGATAGAATCAATTATTGCCGATTGGCCATAACCATGCCCTGTTTATTGAGGTTGCACATTCTCAAAAGTTGCAAGTGGCATCAAATGTATCCGAAGATTTTGAATTGGTTAAGAAATCATTTTACAGCGATACATGGTACTAATTCTAATAATTATCTGATAAATCGATGTTAATTTTCTGTTCATAATGTACTTAGATCAGTTATCTTTTTCATCACAACGATTCTTTCTTATTTTGAGATAACTGATTTTGATCTATTCTGTTATCCCAATAGTTCCTATAGTGTTTGATGAATGAATGTATTAAATAATTTTATATGCGTTAACGACAGAACGATATATATATATATACATGAATGGCTTTGTTCTGACACATTTTGTGTTATTACAACATTATATAATAAGCAAAGATTTCTGAAGTCAAGGGCACTTGACTAAACCGGAGTTTCTCTATTAACAGCACGATCCGATCAACCACGATCTAGAGCAAAAATCGCATATTCAAGAGCTTGTTTCCTCTTGTTCATGAATGATACAATGTTGCGAATATCATTACCTTTTATTCATGATCATGGGACTCTTGTATTATTGATCGACGATGTTATGTTTTTATAATATTGGTGATAACATTCGGGTATGGCAGAGAACATGTCATTTGTAGAAGTTTTATTCTTCTCACATTTAGGTAGATGCAGTGTGGAGTGATCGACTAGGAAGTTGGAAATAGTTGGGAATTCATTAATACTAAAGTTTTAGATACTTGAAGAAGATGATATTTATATCATTATTTTCTAAGCAAAATCGCGTGTATTAGATTATATCCGGATGCGCCTAGCCTATCTCACGTTAACTTGTAAAACCATAAATGAGCAAGTTACCGTTATTTTGATTAAACTGACAGTTTCACTTTGTCAAAATAATTTTTTTTATATTAATTAACAAATGTATGGTTGTACCATGTTAGGGTTTTATACTGAGGAAATGATTCGATACAACTCCGAGTAAAAGCTGCCAATATTTCCATTTGCATCCAATTATAAAAACTCGAAAATTTAAAAACTCAAGCCTAAGCTGCATTTTAGTGTCGTGGTACTTTAGTCGTCGATATTCAAGTTTTTTGATCAACAATACAAATCGAGTGAAGAGCAATTAAGTTGTATGGTTATATTCTGAAAATGGCGAGCGAGATCTAGTTTGGATTTTAAGATAGCGGTTATGTCTAATCAATGCCTGGAGCTTATTAAGCCAAAGACAACGCGGCTGGCAAAATCTGCATCATTATTATTCCCTTCTCGGCGCATAAATATTCCCTTCACTTCTATAAATATTACAAAAAGTCTTCTTCATTGTATTCAAATGAGAATACACACAAATATTCTCGCATTAGCAATTTTTCATGTGCCTTGAGCCTACGTGTTTTCCCTTGCATTATGACTAGCATGTTTAGTTATTGTGCCAATACCATTGAATACGCTGTATGTAAATTGCTTACGACTCCATTGTGCATTCATAATATCCTCGAAAGCAAAATGATTGTGATAAACAAGTCTAGCGTCTGGCTTATATTCAGGTGGTTAAGTGATATGAGAAAATTGGAGGGAATAAAATGAGATGTGTTGTTGCCGGTCATACATCACGACGGTACAGGCATGTAACGTACATTGCCGGCACATATGTTGTTATTTCAAGACATGGGGTCCATAAACAAGCACTAATCATTATAAATGCACATTGCAGTCTGGATTGTGGTCTAGCACGTAAGTTCTGTGGCGGATGCTAAATTTTATATTAATCTGAAGTGTGAGGAATGATAAGCCTTCCTACAGTTAGCCATGGATTCGTTATGGATAATCATATTGTTTCTACGTTTTTGACAGCTTGGAAGAAAGCTATTTTCCACTTTACTATATATTTTGTGTCCTTTGTTATTGAATTAACGCTTCGAACATGTCTGGTGCTCGTTTAAATGGTCACAATTCATAGTAAGACTAAGCATGACAATAGATATCATCATTAACATGATTAACAGGGAAATTATATGCTCGAAGAGGAACCCATTCAAGTCACGAAGTAGGCAAATGCCGGTCTATTCAACAGCACAATATGGTCGTTTCTATTGAGCGAGAGCCTTGTAATGAGCGTGATTTCCGCTTCTTATTTCTGCCTGCAGTGTATCTAACCTATTCAACCTTCTATTTTATTTTTTGGTTACAGCAGGGTACTTGTATTTATCAAGTTTTTTGGTAGAAAGGAAAAAGACGTAGAATACAAGATGGATTGTGGAATGAAACTCATCAAGTATCTGCTTTTTGCATTCAATTTGGTGTTTTTCATCATTGCGTTAGTGCTGATCGGTGTCGGGGCTGCCGTCGAAATTAAATATCGAGATTTGGTGCAAATTACTGGCTCTACTATTTCATCCGCACCAATTTTGCTGATATGTGTTGGCGTGTTCATCATGATAATTGCATTCTTCGGATGCTGTGGGGCGTACAAGGAAAACTACTGCATGGTGACAACATTTATGGTCTCACTTCTGGTTATCTTCATCCTCGAAATGTCAGCTGGAATCGCGGCATTTGCTTTGAGAAACCGAATTGAAATTTGGATAAAGAAATCAGTGCAAGACGCCATAAGCAAATACACGCCTAAGATGAAGCCAGTTTTGGAGTCGTGCAGGAAAAATTCAAATGTTGTGGCGCAGTTTCGTCTGTGGATTGGGAAACGAGTACCGGTTTTCAAGCAGAAGCAAAAGCCCGAATGACCCAAGCAGGAATCTCTAGTAACAATGGAACAAAAATTGTGCCAGACAGCTGCTGTATTACTCCGAAGAAAGATTGTGGATTGAAATCAGGGCACCTTATTTACACTGGAACCAAAAACGGATGCGTTGAGAAGATTGAAGCCTTCATAAAGCGAAATGCTGGCGTGATAGGTGGCGTTGGTATCGGTATTGCATTTATACAGATCGTCGGCATTATATTCGCATGCTGTCTCATGCGTACGATAAAGAAAGAGTACGAACACGTTGCTTAGGACTAGAATATTCAATCGAACAAGTTTTACTTTTATGTTGTGTAATTAAATTAACCCATTGATTTCGAACCACAGCTTCACAGCTAAATTTCAGGACAGTTAAGTTTTATCATGACACAAACTATAAGTTTATATTTCTTCTTAATTACAACCTACTGGGTGTTTAGAAGTTCATTTTTCAGACAAGTGTGTGTTTATAGTGAAACCTGGCAAAAAGGCCGCCATGTATTTAACATGATATTAAGCTACAAGCTTCAGAGACACATATGTCAATCTTGATACTCCTTTTTACGTGTGGTTTGGTGAAATCTACTTCAAAGATTGTAATATTTTCTACTACGTATTTTTCCATTACAATATTTTCTTGAAATATTCTAGGCAGCCGGTATTCATACACAATTTCTCACGTGAATAATATTATATATGTATGATAAAGTGCGTTACTGACTACCTGATTTTAGGTGAATGAATTTCAGAATGGCTTCAAAAATAATCTCACAAAATTTACATAAAATACTTACTTTACAAATTTTGAAGTCTGTACCACGTACAAAAATCTGACAAATAATAGTTGATATATATCACTGGAACCAGGATACTTTTATCGCTAATTCATGATAAATAATGTTGCATCCAAGGCATGCGATCATATAACTTTCCTGTGTGAATGATAAACACTAGTCTTTTGAATAGATGATTATTATATATTATTCAATTAAACGGGTTAAAGCATGTAACACAATTGTATTCTTTCATTATATTCATATTGCTCAATTTTTCTTTATCTAGCATATCGAATTATCTGCGACAATATACTGTATCATGCATGATAGAGCATTTCAACAATTGGCGGATGTTGTAATTTAAATTAAAATCTGGTTGAAACGATGCCCAGGCCACTCAAGATCGAACTAAAATAATTTTGAAATTGCAAATAATTACGAAAATTTAATCTGATTTATCGGGTATATAAAAATACACACCTCAATAAAATGTGAAGTTGGATGGATGGTATTTCACTTGTTATGCAGAAATACAAAATCAAATTCTGGTTATATTTTGTGCGTTTAAGAGAAGCTAAACGTTACTGTATTTGAATGATACGTGAATGAAAGAATTTTTTTCTGTAACTGTAGTTATATTTACTCCTTTAGGTTTTCGATATTATATATCAAAAAAATTTTATCGGGAAACGGAAATTACACCGAATCCTTTAATTTCGCAAGTTCTAAGTAATTCCGCCTACTGCCCTTTATGTGAACTCAAAATTATAGATATTTTCCTGTTTAATCACTGACAAATTAAATAAGTGTAAAGAATTGCGAGATTGTAAGTTTTATTGCACCAATTGAGTAATAATTCATTCTTATGTAGAACGGAAGTTTTCGTAATATTATTTGAGCGGTGTTCCATATACATTCATCTCAAGTCTAGGCAAAAGTAATATCGACTTCCAAGAAATAGATGCATTTGGTCTAGTCTGCTCTCACAATCACACGTATATGTTTAGCAGAGTATCAATTTGCAAACTTATTTTTTGTTATTATGTTTACATTGTATTATTCAGACATAGATAATAACATATTATGGTTATACATTTATTTGAAACAGAACATAACTGCAGATATTATATGCACTATATCGTTTCTTAGTTATTTGTAGATTAATATTCAAAAATGGGGGGGGGGGGGGGTCCCATTTGAAAAATAGCTGACTTTTCCATTAATCTGTTTGTCCAGCAGAAATTGTATATTGATTGAAAATTGAATTGAATTGAATTCATTTGTGATCGCAATAGAAAACCCATCGAAATAAAAGCTAATAATGTGCATATTTCAGACTGCCATACCAATAGATTTTTATTTTCTGACCATTGGTTTAAATAAAAGGTAGATCAAAATCTGACATGGATAGTTTGACGTTTGAACCGGCTGATGATAATGGCTCACGAGAGGCTGTGAATACTGTATTTTTGTTTCAAATGCAAAATATATCATTTTACAATAACATAATGATATTCTGCTAAACTGATGTTTATAACTGCATTTGTTAATTCATTATGTTGGACATTTAATTTGTAATAAAGTGGCTATATGTGTAAACTATTGAATTTATTTAAGTGGCATGCTTGGCGAGAGTAAAAAGTTTGCATATTGAAGTATAAGTTACTGCTCCAAGCTGAGTGTGTGAAGTATTGTTGCCACACTTGAATCGATTCTCTCGCGACAGTTTTGCCGACGAGGTTTTTGTCGGTTTTACATGGTTTTTGCAATTTTTGCATGGTTTTAAAAGATACAAAAAATATGATATCTTCAAATCTGGCATTCTATGACATTGACGAAATGTAGAATCGAAAATGTAAAAGTTTATCTGACAGACATTACATATGACTCATCTCGTAAAAATGTTTCATTTTCGTTATTCGCAAAAGAGTTTTTTTCCCGATTCGTATATTAATAATTAGTTTTTGCCTGCATGCAAAATATTATATCTACAAGTTTTGCTTTAAGGAATTTCCTTCCTTTTTAAATCTCATATTGTTGACTTCAATTGTTCAATCAGAATCGGCTGATATCACTGGCGCGGGTAATAACCTGAACATCCATATTAGTCGCCTGCTTGTTTAATATCAATAAGGAGTTGTGGGCAAATATTTTCTTGTTTGAAAAACAAGTACTCAAGTAAAAATGCTTCAATGGTACTGGTACGGTAATAATTTCCAACCATTTCACGATCATTTTTGTTGGTCGATAATTTTCAGTGGGTGTGATGTACAGGGTGTTCATGAAGACCTAAATTTTTAAAATCTAAATGGCTCTATCGATACCATGATTTTAGAGTTTGTTTGCTCCTACGGGTGTATTAAATGAGGTAAAAAACCTGAAAAACTCTGTTCAAAATAAAACAAAATTGATTAAGATATATTGAGAACTGACTTCATAACAAAACAATTGAAATTGTTTAGTTGATTTTTATTTACCAATAATAATTCATAGGATTTGAGAATACAGAATACTTTTCCGTAACTTGATTTTCCGTCTGACATTTGATTAATTATTTAAGATATTCCATGAATAGGAGTTATTTTCTAAATCCAATTTTCTCATGTGAACGCATTTCTCTTGAGTAGGGGTGTGCAATGTTTTTTGTCCGTGGGTCATATAATCAACTTCAGACACCGGAAAGATAACGAACGATATATTTAGGAAAAAGACACATACAAATAGCTATCTGAATTTTAATTCTAACCACCCGGTAGGACATAAACGTCCCGTTATCAGTAGCCTTATTAACCGCGCCAAAACTCTAATATCAGATGAAAGAATACAAAACCAAGAAATAAACTTCATTTAAAAGACGTTAAGACAACCTGGATATCTAATGAAAATGTTTAGAAGTCAAAGAAACCTTCAGGAAACGAATGAAGAACGGAAACCGATCGCGTCCACTACCATCCCATATGTTAAAGTACATCAAATTCAAAGAATTTTAGAAGACGTAAGGATTAAAGTTAGTTTCAAACCCCTAAACACAATAGGCCAATTGCTTTCTAATGTCAAAGACTGCCCACGCCCTAACAAGAAAAACAGCGTGGTATATGCAATCCCATGCAGTGATTGCTTCTCTATTTACATTGGAGAAACGAAACGAAGTTTCGAAACTCGGAGAAAGAAACATCAGCGAACTGTAAAACAAAATAAATTCGAAAAATCGGCTCTCTCGAGACATGCCCTTTCTACAGATCACAGTATTGATAGAGAAAACAGCAGGATATTAGAAAATGAAATCACTACAGGAAAAGACTATTTCTCGAAATCATATCACATTAACAAAGAGAAAAATTCAATGAACGATAAAGAAACTGCATTGTTTCCTCATATTTGTTCGAACTTGCGCCAATTCACTCTATTATCATATTGTCCCCTGTTTCAATTTTTTCACGCCGTGTTCATTTTTAAATTTTATTTTTCTGCTCTCTATATATATACGATAGTGTACTCTTCATATCATGCCCTGATGAAGTTTTCTGAATAGAAATTCGAAACGTCGGCAAATTATATCGTTTTGCTATACACCGGTTGTGCTTGACTTATCTTATACCTGGTGCTGGCAATCATGTGCCATGTGTTTCATATATTGTTAAAAACTTGAAATACGATACCGAGGTGGTATTTCTTTTTAATTGACACTGCATAGATAAATTTAGTACTTTAATACTCACATATACGTTCCGAAGAATTTGTAAACCACAATGACGAGGTTATTATAATAATCTATATTATTTTAATCCTTTGATTGGTAACTTCCTAAAATGCGCTATCATCGACAAGGTATGATTAAAAGTATTGTAGGGATAAAAAAAGGGAAATAAGGTATGATTAACCAAATCTGACCGTAAGCAATTTCAATGGTGGTAAATAAAATTGAAAAAATTATTGTTCTTCACGAAGCAATGGTTCAGGACAACTCCTAATACTTGCGAAAATAAAATTGATTTATTTTATAAAAGTCCGACTACACTAGACATTCTAATACGTCGTGAGTGAGGTGGTTGGCATGAGATTCGAAAACGAGGACTTTTGAACTTACAATAGAATAGCAACTTATTAAAGCTGCAAAATTTAAAAATTACAAAAGTCTTGTAAACGTAACAATTTGTCGTAGATTAGATCGTATATGAGAGGATTAACCGTAAATATCCCTCTTGATATTTTGATATAACACACTGTGTTTCAAATTTCGTGAAAATTAGGCATTTTCAAAATTTTAGCCTTTTTTACAAAATATAATTTTATAAAAGGATATATAATCAACTCAATTTGATATGCTGAATTTTTTTGAAAAAATATTCCATTGTTCTCATCAGGCTTTGATACAAGTTATCTTATTTTTATAGACGGAATACGTAATGATTTAAAAATTATTGAAGACACCCACGCAATGGTTCTGTGCTTGCATACCTGTGATAATATCAACAGATAAACATGATAATTATCCCCTTTTTTGTCAAATCGTACCAGTCACCAATTAGAGCGACTAGCAACGCAAAATTTACTCGGTAAAATGTCGGAAATCTCATACAGATGCAAAAAACACGCAGCATAGGAGTTATTTATTGTAACAGCTGTGCTGAATTTATTTTGATAAAATACATTCATAAAAAGTTGTTCAATAACACATTAAAGTAATTAATCGTGCTAATCGGTATTTAGTAATCATTTCAAAGTATTGTTTATCATCACTTAATCTGCTTGTTATGCGTGAATTAAATAATAATTCAAGGAGCCAAGAGAACAACGAAAGTAACAGCAGCGCAAAGTACGATATTTGTTTCATAACGCCACTTATAATTTGAGTCAATTTTTGTATATCTGAAACCATAGATTTGTCGCTAATAAACACGCCAACTTCTTGTTGTTGTGAAAAACCTATTTCCTCTCCAACTACGGGACCAATTGCTTTGGAATGTTCAATGGTTCAAGATTATTGTTTTTAGCTAGAACGTTATTCCTTTAATTTATATCAGAAATTTCAGTTGGATTATACCACAAGGCATCAGAAATAGGAGTGGAAAGTTATTCATTTTCAAGCAAATAAAAATTCAAATATCATGTTTATATGACTTATCAAATTTTAGGTTTCAAGATATTCTTTATAAGAAATTACTTGAAATTACTTAAAACAAATGAATGAAGGATTAGTTTGACTCTCTTAAATAACGAGAGTAATTTGAAATACAAATTATATGCTATTGTTTCTCACACGTTTTTTAAATTTTCTGCTCTTAAATGAGCTTCAATTTAAATAGGTAAATCAGTTTACAACGACTACATAAGCTTTGAGGAAAAAAAATTTTCCGCTTATCAAAATTCTTGCTTATCGTGCGATATTTCGCACTAACAAAGTACAGTTTTATTGCTTAAAATTGATTTCCGGAAAAGATTAAACGCATTTCAAATCTGTTTACATTACTCAAATTCTCCGTATCAATGCAAGAGTCGTTACTAACTATAAGTTTCATAAAAAGAATTGGACAATTAATATGTGATATTGCCTAAAGGCCAAAGTCACAAAACTAATGAGGAACTGCAATTTTATTAAAAATATATGCAGTATTTGAGGCTGTTAAAAATTAATTTTATTCACAATTATGCAACGGTGTTTTCTATATTTAACAATAGTTTACTTCAAAGCAAAAATATTTATTTGAGCGTCAATTGTTGAGTTTTACTCTTACGGCACGCTTGACCTTGCCAAACAAAATGCACGGTACTTCAGTTTATCATCTTACATTAAACATTAATCTTGCATACTATTTGAATAAGGCTCTCGACGAGCATGATCACGTGACGCAAAAAAGTCTTATATCAATCTTTTACAAATATTTCGTTAATTTCAAAATAACAAGCAATAAAGAATTAACACCACATAATAGATCAGACGTGGAGCGTGTCAATGAACACTCAATTTTAAGATCCTCATCAGAAATGGCCTAAATACAATATTTTTTTTAGATGGGTTTTCCTCTTACTAACCGTAAAATTAACCGAGTTCAATTTATTCATTACCTGCCCTAGGGTTATCTATAAAAAAAAAAAAAATTAGAAGATATATAAACAGTTGTTGGTTATATCTTGATGTACAATTGTTGGATCATTTTTTCTGCTGATTGCGAGCATCGCAATACCACCATGCTGAAGTTCTGGGCATTATCGATGGTTGCGGCAATATCTGTTCTTGTCAAACTTTCAGAAGGTAAGGGTTAATAATATTACATAAATATATTAGAAAAATATTTTATTTTGGGAACTTCGCATTGAATGCATTTCACGCAGTGCAAATATTATCCACACAATATAGAGATGTAACTTTGTGGATTTAACATAAATATTCGAACTAAAACTGATCAATCAATGTAAAATTAACGTAGGATCAAAATGATACATTCATTTGGTTTATTTTATTAGACACGTAGTTGATCGTTTGACCTATTGATCGTTTTCTAATTTGTTGTTATTCTTGTTGGTATTTTTCTTGTTGTTGTTATGAAAAAATTCATTTTTTCATTACCTAATGGACCAATTGCTTTGAAAGTTTCAGTTATTAAAGATTGTATTTTTCGCTAGAAGGCTATTATTTTTATTTGCTTTTAAATTTTTTGTTAGATCTGATATTTCCTCTAAAATGCGCTGTAAAATTTTCAATTACGCGAACACGTTTTTACGAAATCGTGACGGCTGCCATCGGTAGTCTAATCTACTGTGACAGATTGCATACCCCCATTTACTTATAGTTTCGGACTTCGTCCATATATTTGAGCATCGCTCTCTTGTTGTAACGATAGAGAACCTAATACTGATGAATGTAAGTTTCGGATATCTTGTTTTTGAAGCGTATTTCGAACCAGAATGATCCGATTCGTATATTTACATTTTTAATTTTTTTTAGTATAACACCATTAATTTATTTACGTTTGGAGAACGGCGGGTAATTTGTCATCAAATAATAATAAGGTACTAAACCAGTGTTTCCCAACCCGAGTCCGCGGTCTCAAATGAGTCCGCAGAGCATTTGAATGAGTCCGTAACGAGCCAGAAATTCACTGAGGGCTTCGAACGTTTTTGCGAAACTTAACTATCAGCAGTTACGATTTACGTTAGAATTTACATAAAAAGCAAGTTTATTCACATAACAATAATCGAGTTAATATTTACTGGATAATGAGTATGGCTGGGCATATATTCGAATATTCAACTATTAGAATAACAATTAACTATTCGAAAATTTGGTAGCAGGTGACGCGACAGTTCACTTGTGCATCGCTTAATCAAATGATGGGACTCACTTGCGGATTTTCGACGAAAACACGAGTCTGCACACGTAACGATAGATGGTGTTTTCCGCGAGTTCGAACAACGAGGAAGAATTTTTTTTCTGGCAGGTGTCAATTGTGGCAACCCAAATTTTCTAAATTGAAAAGCGGCAATACAAAATACTAAAAATAAAACGGGTAACACCATAATTTTTTCCCTAAGGATTATATGCTTTACTCCCTCCACATTGGTACGTACAGTCACCGCCGTAAGTGTTGTACGAACAGCTCAGATTTGTCGAATTCACAAAAATAAGAATTAAAACAAAATATAATCGGGCAATTTGCCACGCATTTTTATGTTCACGGATTGTCATGATATTTTCTGAGTAGTATTGCTTTTATTTCGTCCAGACAAACCGCAGATTAAAAAGATCACATAAAATTATTAATAAAGCAAGGCGATGAATATGTATTTTTGATTTACTAATATATATACTTTAAATATATTCTTAATAAGTACTAAATTAAGTTGTACTTTCTGAAAATTTATAGCAGATAGTAGGATTTTTCTAACGGCGATAACAAATTCGCAAGATCGCAAAAAAATATGTATCAAAATTAAATATAATCGGGCAATATATTCTCACATTATTATGTTCGCAGATTGCCGTGGCATTTTAAAGAAGTAATGCTTTCATCCTGTCGTAAGTAATCCATCGACTCAACCGCGGGTAACCATGAACACAATTAAAATAAAATAGAAAGACATTTTAAATTCTCGTCGTTGTCATGGATTGAATATTGTGCCGTCAAAATTCTGTTGTGTTTGGTTTTATTTACTTCTTCACACAGAGTACGGTTGCAATAAGAGAAAATAGTCCGCGACCAAAAAAGGTTGGAAAACGCTGTACTAAACAATGAATAAAGTTAGTATATACAAATATATTTGATGAATCTGGATAAGACAAATATAAAACACATCGAATCCCGTTTGCAATAACGGATGTATAGTGAACTTTAGTCATATAGCGACCTTCAAAATAATATCTTAGCGATCTAAAATATTCTTTATACTATACTCTAATTTATTTCAGTATTATCATTTTGGAGGGTCCAATAATTTTGAGGAATAAATTGTTGATTTATATTTTCAATAAAGAATAATGTGTTAATATTGGTATTGCGATGACATTATATTAGTACTTAAAAAGGACGCTCATATATTAAACAAATAATATTTGTAAAGCTTCGAACCGTTTTGAGTAGCCGAATAAAATTGATGTGCTGTTAAAATTGTGAACCACTTTAAAGAAATAGAATTTTTAAAATTTCTCATAATCAAAACGAATCGACTCGAAATTCTGAAATCCACGGTATATCTTCTCACTGATTTTGATTTATGAGTTTAATTTAAAAAGTAAAACAATTTAATAAAATCTAAAACCGTCATTGCATGAAATATTTACAATATACAATTATGTCCAACCGGTAAATGTTAGGCTGATATTTGTTTTTTTGATACGCCATACTTATAGAATAGCCGTTTGCGCGGTCGTAAGCAGCGTGATCAAGTTGAGATAACCCATTTCCAATATAGTCCCTAGCTGGATGTGCTCTATGTGATATACTACTTGTATACCACTTATGAACATATCTTAGCGTTAACAATTTCGATCTTAAACTAAAGCAATTTTAGGCAACAACGTTAAATCAACGGGTAGTATTATCACTGTATTATGGCGGCAATGTGCTGGCATGTTCGAATAACTAGACCATTTTTAGATATTTGTTTTAGAAATTTTCCTACATTTAGCGATTATGTATATTGCATTTATAAAAAAAGTTGCTAAGTTCATAAAGTTTTGATATATTCTTTATATTCTGAATTTATTCTGTGAGATGTATGAACTTGGTGGTGGATGAAACCGTAAACAATATGCGGTTACGTGCGTGAATAACCCCACAGCGCTCAAAGGTATATCAATATTCCAATTACTGATAAAAAAATAAAAAATAAAAACAGTACGGATGAATAAAATTATCATTCCCCTTGTTTGTTAAATTAACCGGTCCACGATTAAAAAGATATGAAATTGTAAAAAAATATAATGATACTATAGAGTATTATTGCTAAGATGAATCAGCATAGCTGTATATCGCCATTTGGTTTAATTTTAACTCAGCAGAGTTTTTTAAATTCAGACAAATTTATTTACTCGACCGCTCTTAATTTTTTAATCTTCCTTTGACTCTGACCTTGTGGTACCCTATCTACAAACCAGGACAGGGTATAATCAGAGGTGCCACGACTAGTGGGTTCGTCACGCCGCACACTCTCCCACCTCATTGTTCCGCTGACAGTACATTTTATTCCTTATTTCCACAAGTAGTGAATCGCACAAAATGACGTTATTTTAAATATTTACTGTTCTAAAAACCTTGAATAGTTTGATAATATTCATTGATAAAATCTCCATGCCGTAAGCAAATCAAAGGTGGCGTGATAACGAAAACGTGACTTTGTACTGGACAGCACGAATTAGTTCAGTATAGCAGATAAGAACACTGATTTGAGCGGCCGAGACATCTCTGCATTTCCGTTGTATATTTTCACAACTAAAATGGAAGTTAATAACGAAATTATCTGATTTAAAAAATAAAATTCAAGAAATATTTTATAGAACACGTAGGTGAAAACGTAAATTTTATAATAGAGGCACATTCCCTTAAGCTAAACAATGAGCACTTATTAACACTTAACAAATTTTCACTATCAAAATTGAGAAATCGGAGTCGAATAAATCTCAATTTTTAATGCTCGTTATTAAGGCTAGTAGTTGCAATGATTTTTTAACTCATAAGGATCACATAATTAAAAAAGAAAACATTTCATTTTGCAGGTATCACTAATTGTCAGGGATTGTCAAACAACCTGATCATGAATGGATATTGCTACAATGCCTATTCTTATTCCATAAGTGCTAGTGATATACGAATCTATTGTGGTGTCCAAGGAGGGGATGGGGCCGTAGTGACAAACACTGCAGAGTACAACGCAATCTACAGTTATTTGCGAACTTACCGAAGTTTGCAGACTATCTATCTACTCGGAATGACAATTGGAGCGGTATAATTTTTTGTTATTGTATTTTTTATTTGTATACGTATCATTTTATCTTTGGTAAAGTAGAATATATTTTTTCAAATTCCGTTAAAACATGTCAATATTTGTACATGCAACCATTGCAACGTATAATAAAATAATAGATTTCCATTAAAATTGAACTTTGAAGGAACGAAATAATCTCACGATATACGATTGAAAAATCACTTTCGTGTTAGGAGGCCAACTCTTGTGCGATAAAGCAAGGTACAAAATCTTTTAAAAGAAAGGAATATTTAATTAATTAGACACCGAGTTGCGGCACCAGCATCTTATTCCCACATTTATAATTATTCCCTCCACAAATATTCAATCCCATGCTTAGTATATGTTTAATATTATTAACATTTTCGAATTGTTTTTAGTCTCAATTGAGTCAATTGTTCGACCTTGATGGCAATGTCATCCCGTACGCGGGAAATTGGGCTTCCACTCATCCCCAAATGCCCTCGGTAGACGTGGGTATTCAAACGTTTCCGAATCCAGATAATGTCGGAAATGGAATGATCACAATGAACGGCTTATCACCTGTGTCACATTTTGTATGTCAAACATTAGGTATGTACGTTAGTTGATCAGCTAATTACATGGTCCTCCAAATGTGGATTGCCAAACTTAGCATGCATTCATGTACCAATTGTCTTATTCTATTGTAAACCTTGAAGTGTACTCCGTTGAAATTGGTCGACTGATTTGCATAATAAACGGAACAACCTAATTCACTGTCTACCGTCCACCTATATTACGAATAAATCATTTAATCGTACTGCTTTTACAATTAGGATAATAATAGTAAAATTGAATTTCATAATAAGGCGAGCGTGAAACTACACATAATTTAGATTAGGGCATTATCCTAACAAATGTTTTTATTTCAGGTCAATGTTCTGTACTTCAAGCTCCGGCTTTTGGAACAATAAATTGCGATTTGTCGCCGCCTAATGTACATGATTCCACGTGCACGTATGGTTGAAATTTTATTCTAGATCGGTGGTTATCGAACTTTTTGGGCCACGCCCCTTTTTTAGAATTTGTTTCGAGCCCCACTCAAAAATAACTAGCTAACAAAGTGAGGCGAAAGTAAGTTTTATTAAAAAAAAAAAAAATAATTTTAAATACGTGGATGGGACGTAAATAATGAAATAAATGAAAAGTTTTGAATTGTAAATATCCAAAATAAGGCGGGCAAGATCAAATCTAACATGTATTTTCAATTTTTAATCAGCTTCACGCACCCTCAAAAAATTGTCTACGACTCTACCCACTCCAACCACTGTTCTAGATCATTCTATTCTAACCATGTCATAACAATTTATGTAGAAAATGTAACCATTGCCCATTAAAACGGGGGAGCAAAGGTAAAATAAGCATGACATAGTCAGGGTATAGCCGTAACCAGACCCATGTCTTCCATCGTGATGATAGGTGCTTTGATTGTTGCATACTCAATGATTATCAACTTCTTTATACGAGACAATCAACAGCCATGATAACAGACGACATATTTGAGTTGAAGTTTAGAAAATGTGAATGGTACCACGGACCTTGTTTTCATGAATTTTTATGCTTTTTTCACATAATATTATGTAACTATTGTTTCGGCATTCGAATTCTAGCTTCCCTTATTGGACTTTGACCATGTACTAGGGAAATATAATTTTTTTCCCGCCCGCTGGGCTATGACTGGCTGCTGTTACTTCTGCTGTTTTACTTGACGAATTACCATTTTTGATTTATCCGGAATCTTGGGGTCGTCTGGTCATATAAATTATAAACCTCAGTGCAACTACCGTATTTGCTCGTTTTGTAGCCCGGGCCCATATTTTTTTACCAAACTCACTAACCGCGCCCTTATTCAAACCGGCTCTTATTCAAGCACAGGCGCTTGTTATTTTTAAAGTAAAATTATACACAAAAAATTACGGTATTTTATATATAGATCTCACATATAGATAAGATCGATCGTTACAATAATTAATATATTGTCATTTCCAGTTCTCAAGTATGATTTAAACGAGAATAACGAAAATTTTGACTTTTTCTACGAACCGCAGGTACAAATCCGCAAAAGAAAAGTTTTGCGACGCCCTATCAATATTGAAACGACGCACTTGGGCGTCGCGACGCCCAGTTTGAGATACACGGTGTTACGTAGTCAATGCTATCTGTTATGTAATTGGACGCCTAAGGCGTGAGTGTTATCTACCAGCGCTTAAGATTCAACAGTCTTGTGACAAAAGCGCTTTTTATTTTCTATTGTTCCCTGCCACTGAAAAATCAGCTTTTAAACATCGGGCGGGCATTCACACCGGCCCTTATTTATTTTTATGTTCTGTTCACATGGACGGCTATTCAAACGGGCCCTTAATCAAGATCGGGCGGTAAAACGAGCATATACGGTAAGCAAACTGACACAATAGCGAATGGTGATGATGGACATGTGAATATAATCTAGATAACTTCATTTTATACTGGTCCTCAATTTGAAAATCAATTTTTGTGTCATAAGCGATCTTTTGTAATTATCCTTCGGGAACAATATGAACGTCTTAATCTCTATTTTTCTTTGTTATTATGTTAGCTTTTTTATTCAAAATAATTTCTTTTTGTTTTAACAATAACTTTTCGTCGCCTGTTGTTTATAAATCAATATACAGTCGCAAAATTGCCAAAATATTCAAATTTTTCAACTTGTGACTTCCAAATATTCATTATTTCTAAAGTCGATTTTATTTTATTTAAAACATAAAGATTTGGATGTAACGAAGGAAGATATCTTCAAGGCGCGGGGTCCACAACATGCAATGACAACTTAGAATGGACAAATACAATGCCTGATTGCCCTAGTAAGTAATTCAAATTTCACAAGCGCTGGATTGTTTATGGAAAATCAATTCTGCAGCGCGTATGCCAGTTAAAAGGTACTTTCATAGATTCCACGTTGAGCGTGGAAATTAGAGATGTGTCCCGTCCTTTGACCACAGCAAAGATTATTTTTACTTTAAAAATGCCTATTTTTCATTCTTATTATGAAAGTGGTGTAGCGCATTTTTCTCTTTAAGCTGGTAATTTTAGATGTAGTCTAATTCTTGGCTACTGCAAATTGACTAAAACATCCCCGAAGACAAAATGACTATTGAGTTATCTGATTCACTTAACTTAATTTACTAAAGTATCAGAGCACCTATAAAAATTTCAATTGTTATGTCACTTTTGACATCGTGCTTATTGGTTTATGTTACGGAAGTAATCGAGGAAGTTGATGATCAATAAATCGAATCGTCGTTGTTAGGGGTCCTCTTATAACGGAAAATCACTTTCCAAGTAACCTATTGACCAGATGATTTCGAATTTTCAACATCAATACCCTGATATAAGAGAAGCCGCACCAAAAGACTATTCCTTTCATTTTGTTGAGGTCCGATCCGATTTGTTTCAGCCATAATTTAACTATTTTTTTATTCCCGGAAATTTTTTTTTACCACATAGCTTCATACCTCTAAATATCTGGATGCTTGTGTGGCCATGTTTGTAGCCATTGATGAGTAAAATATAAGTATAGCTATTCCACGTTGTCATTTGACCTATTTTTCCAATTATTTAAACATTGATCTCATCAGATCTTATTAGTAATAATGTTCCCATATCGGCCAAACCAAAATTTTATATTGTGGAAGTTTATACTATTATGATACTGTGAAAGTGGGAACCCCACATTGTTCTGACCTAAGCATAACCCGTTTCTGTCTAGTTAAAATAATTATTTTGTCTGTACACAAAACTCTCTTTCTATATTATCCATTCAGCCATTGGAACGAAATTGATAATATACACATTTTTAACTTTTAAGGAATCCAATGTGGAGAACCAAATACTCAGGCCACTGTACTAGGCTGTAGTGATGGTTACTACTGGGGGAGCACATGCACGTAAGGATAAATTTTATCATCATTAAACACGTAAAAAAAATTTTTTTTATACTATATGATACTAATCTAGTGTGTTCCACTAATTTCCTGCATAAGTATACACTGCCTATGAATATGGAAATCTAGCTAAGTTAAATCACGTTCGTAGTTACCAGCCCATTTTAGTTCTCTCTACTACCCGATCTTAACAACCTATTCATATTTTGTCCTAGCTAGCATAACGTACGCTAGAAATAAAATTTCACAAAAATTACAATTGATATTTCTTAATATTTTTTTAAAATGTTTTAGTTGAATAGCATTATTAAGTAAAAAATACACTTTCCTATGTATGCATAGTTTATCTTGCGGACAAGGATTTGAATTGATTGGATTTGATTCGATTACTTGTGGGGGGCCAGACAACCCAGGAACATGGGGCCCTTCACCACCTATTTGCCAACGTAAGTAGAATCATTTATTTTTCAATTTTGTGTTATGGTTTATTAAAAATTGAACAAAACTCGCTCAAATATTTGTTTATTTGTGTACAACTTATGTCTTTCCGAGGAATGTTTTCAGTCTTCCCGTCATATCATAGGTAATTCTAAAATACACACGAGCCGATATACGATGTTTCTACTGTCTACTGGTCAACAATCACAATCTAGTTTGCTAAAATTAAATTGAGTATGAATGAATTGCATCAATGTCGTCTCTCACTCTACCACAATGATAAATCGGCGTAGTCCTGTAACTCTTATTGCTTGCAACTCAGTAATTAGTTATCTATCTCAATTAGATGGAGAGTCAGAACTTTCCTTGGGGTATACTTAATACAAAAGTATTAAAAGTATTACAAACAGAGTAAAACGCTAATTTTAAGATTTTAAATGTAAAAAATAGGGTTTTGCATTTCTGGGTGACTTTTAGCAATTCAAAATCCTTCAGATTTGTATCACTCTAATACTCAATACCAAACGTCAACCGCCTATCACGATATACTTACCGTGTTATTTAATATACTTTGCATATACAGCTATTGAATGTTCAACACTGTCATTTTTGGTAGAAGGAAATGCTTTCTTTTGTACGAATAGCAATAATTGGGGAAGCCAGTGCACGTAAGTAATTTTCTATGTTTTTTAAACAAAAGGTTTTTGATCTAACGTGCCCGGAAAATTGAATCCATGCTTATAGACAGACGGTGTTGATTCAAAATAAAGTTTTCAGTAAATTGTTTATATTTGACTGTTACTTTTTCTATCCGACCTATACTTAATTATACAAACACAAGTTTTCAAGTCAACATTCAACTTACAAAATAGCCCTGGTATAATATTTTGATAAAGGTCTTTTAGTATGAAGTATTAATATTAGGTAACTATTTAAGTAAACAAATCTCGCATTGTTAAGTCGATTGGAAACATATTTGGGTTAAAAAAACATCTTTAGGAATTGTCACATGAACTTTAGTAATATAAGTATGAAGTGCTCTAGAACAGGTATAATAAAATCTAATGTGTTTTGGAATAAAGTTCAGTTTTATTTAAAAATAAAATAATTTAGTTTCGACTGCACAATTGGATACAACTACGGTCCCGGAAGTCCAGTCACCACCACGTGCGGGGGAACTACACATCCTGGAAGTTGGACGCCTACGCAACCTGCTAATCCAACTTGCACTAGTATGTTTGTAAATTAGTAGTGTAACGATTAGAACCGATGAATGAACTGTATACTGTAGTAAATAATCTATATCTGAACAATTTTTATAATGGTTTTTCAACGGAACATTTCAGTGTGGTTTAAATTGTTATAATTCAGCAATGTTTTCATGAAAATTTCTGACTACCAATGTAAAATTGAGCGTTATTGCTTCACATTTAATAATAAAGCCTACATATAATCCATGGCAAATCAAAAGTTTATTTTCTATTATTATGTTGAATAGTTGTTACCTGTACCACATTGTATCCTTGGACTGAAGCTAATGGTGTCCTCAGCTGTAGCCCACCGTTTGAATTTACGGACGTATGCACGTGAGTTACATTTAACAAATGTGGGTAGTCATTATTCGCCTTTTTTAATTTAGTACAATGCACTGGGGAAGTCTCAATTATTGTATTTTAATTGGCATATACAACATTAGTTTGGCGATGCTTCCTAGACTAATCAACTATTCAATTCTTTTGCCGCAGAAATAAGATTAACCAAATACGCGAATGAAATCAGCGTGATTTATATACTACAGAAGTTGTGTTAAAAGTTATATTTGTCGGTTCATTGATCCACGATTTTGGATTTTGAAAAAAATATATAAAAAAATGCTCACGTGGATGGCATCTTGGGTTTCTCAAATTTCAGGAATTTGTAAAATACGACTTTTGTGTCTTCATTTTGCTGGATACAGATTACAGAATTTCATTCCAGTTTTGTAATACCTGTAAACGATGATTGAGTATTTCGCATTTCTAGTCACATAAATTTTGTTTATTTCAATTTTCAGATACAATTGCGATCCAGGATTTATTCTACAGGGATCAGAACAAAGACAATGTCAGAGCACTGGGGAATGGGATGGTAGCTCTGGTCAATCGTGCAGACGTAAGTAGCATTGTTTTGAAATGCAGTACCCCGCTTTTTATGAAGTGATGATAATTTCTCATTTTTTGTCACGGGGGACCATTCTATAGCTATCGTTCTCTAGTCTAATGGACACTTGATTAAGTGTGGTAACATATGTACCACGTTCCATCACTGAAACGTTCTATTGCGGTTATAAATATGTGTTTGGGAATTGCTGGATTACCGATCGCTGTAGGGTTACTTTTCACAGTCTATCCGTGAATAAATAATAAATTCTGTCACGTGAAATTGAATTTGAGTAGCCGTAATTCGAATTCAAGATTGAATGACCTTCGGAAAACGTTCATATGACTGTGCTGTGAAAATGTGTTTTGAGCATGATTTGATACTGATGCTTGCAAATTGCAATGATGATAGAAAGGGTTTGAAATTTCACGATCTTTGATTGCTGTATTTTCGATGCAAATGTATGATTTATATATTTATTTTAGCGGTTAAGTGCTCGGATCCGGCGTTTGATACTACCCATGGAACACAAGCTTGTCCAGGCGGAAATGACTACCAAAGCACATGCACGTAAGTCAAATCATATATAGATACTCTTTTAGCATAGTGCGTATTCCCTGACATCAATTTTGAATACCTCAAAATCGTTCATGTAAAGTTATGTTCTTTATCGAAGTCTTCTGCTTGTGGTCTCAGATTGATAATAATGTTCAGTAGTAATCTATGTATAGGGGAGAAAAAATCCAATTAAAAGGTTTGATCAAATGGCGAATCACGCTCCTCTATTTGTTACCATATCGTGTTGTGCGTCGGAACAGTTACCCAATTATTCAATGTGGTATTATCTATATACTGTCAATACCAAAAGAAAACAGTACGCTTCGTATATAAAAGCAATTCCACACGAAAGCTTGGCTATTTTCTGATTCGGTGAAATACAAAGAATCTACCAATATTATAAAACATGACATTTATGTTTATTTACCTCTCTTGCCCCGTTCGCACTTGAAACCTCGGAGGTAATTATTAAAGCACCAAGATGTGATTTTAATTCTGTAAAATTTGTTGATCATTTAAATCTTGTAAGATCTTACAATATTTATTGCTATGAACGAAACGTTTATTTTCATACAGATCTAGCTGTGAAAGTGGATATGAATTAAACGGAGATGCTAGTGTAATGTGTCAGCAAAATGAACAGTGGAGTGGAACTCTACCAACAGAGTGTACTCGTAAGATATTCAACGAAAATTGTTTTATGTATATTATATTTACGATTTTTAGGCGACAAAGTAAGCTGGCGTTAGTCTGAACTGTGTTAGCATCGCAGAGTACTCATCTAGAGTTCAAATCCCACTTCACTAAGGGTGTAATTAATTCAGTTATCAATGCCAAACTGGAAAGGGTGCAGTATCTACCAAATATCAGTAGGTTATTGCATATCGTTAGATATCAGAGACATCTTGCATACGGTTTTGTTAAGCGGGGAAGGTGTAAATAAGTGGCGTGGAAAATAAATCGAAACAGAAACAACGCTGCCAAATATTTGTTCGTATGAAAATTTCTGCTAATAACCTTGTATATTTTCTGCTGATAACCTATTGCATCTTTTGTCTTTGTGTAGCTCTTATAATTTAACTTGTTCCATTTGCAACATGCACAATATTCACTACTTTTGTTTTCGGTATTAACGTTTCATAGCTAAAGATTTACAATTTTTTTCACAGCTGTATCATGCGGCCTTTTCCCATATGACGGTACAAGAACGTGTGCCCCAAATAATAACCCTCCATTTTCATTCGGAACAGCTTGTAGGTAAGGGATAAATTGAGTACTTTTGTTATGTTAAAACTGTAGAGTAAGGGATTCCAAAAAGAAATAGAAGAAAGTACCAATTGATTCATAAAAACAGTGCTCATAACATAATTGCTTAAGTAAACTACTAAGTGCTAAAATAAAAAGTATTAATTTAAAATATATGCATAGTATCAGTCTTAATATCAGTTTAGTTTCGGTAATGTGTTTAAGTCTCTGATACTTCGTTCTTTTTGTATTCAATTTTGAAATTAGTCTTTATTGACATTAGGCATAAAAACTTGTTTTAACTGAATGAGGGGTTGAGGTAAAAATCCTGTTCGCTTAACCATTCTATTGAAATTCCCAAATGCTAATTGAAATATGAGATACCTGATGTATTATTATTCAATAGCTTGTCGACTTTTTCTTAGTATTGAATGTCCTCAAGGAACAGAACTAATTTCTGGAAGTCTACTTCTACTGTGTCTTGAAGATGGAACATGGAGTGGTCCCCCGCCTACGTGCAGAAGTTTGTAATATTTCTTTTTAATTTCCGCATCGCCACACTTCATTTTACGTACGTACAACAGCTAGGATTTTTAGTAGGTTAATATTAGTGGTACCAAAAACAATAGCAGTCCCTCTCCCATTTTTACTGGCCCTATTGTATAAGTAAATATTGTTCCAGATACCCAAAGCCGGATGGTGGAGGCTGCGCACCTGGTCGAGCGTTATCAGACTCGCATAAAATTCAATAAAAAAATATGTGTCAAATATTTTTAAAGGCTTTTCTCCTCTTTTAAAACTGAACGCTTTAAATAAATTGACCCACTAGTGACCAGAAAATCTCATTATTCACAACAATAGGAATAACGCCAACTAGAATAACCCTTTTTGCACAACTCCATCTAAGTTTATCATAAAATTACATAATAAAATTCGAGAGCTCCGTGAATATAACTGATCGTTCATGCTTGTCGGAAGCCTTGCTCGGAGATGAGGTAGCAAACATCACATAAAATGAAATAAGGCTAGATGATAATAACTTTAATATTTCTATCCAATATGGACGGTAGTTCATAATTGTTATACATTGGAGTTCAAGTTCCTTGTCCAATCACCAAACAGTTATCATCCAGGTAGCAAATGTTTCAATGAAAGTTTGTGTGATTAACTTTTATAATTATTTAACGAAGAAAACTTGAAATCTTTTTGCATGCTCATAATCATTGCCTATCGACGGACTCTGAAACCTCTCAAGCCTCAGTAATTATCTTGAACATTTACATGTATGCAATACATAAATATCATTTTCTTAATCTAATTTTCATTTTCAGTCAGGATGTGCTCGGTTCTTGAATTCCCCCCTGGGGAGGTTAGTTGCACTCCGGACAACTTCGATTATGACACAGTCTGCAGGTAATAAGTTATTAAAGGTGTCCTAATGTAGATTAATACATCTATATATGTTAAATGCATGACTTTATTCTATCTACTACTAGCGTAAGGCATGAAGGTTTATATATAATTAAAACTGTATGTTGGATCTATCAGCATATTAGTAATCCGGAACCTTGTATATAGGCAATTTTATTACTTTACACATATAGCTCTTTTTACTTATCGATCTTTAGATCGGTAAGTATGTTGATGGGTATTTGTCTGTCTGTGTGTTTGTCTGTCTGTTTGTCTGTCTATTAGATGCACGCGATATCTCACGAAGGCGTCGTTGAATTTGCTCCAAATTTTGCATGTGCATTCATCACATCTCGGACCAGAATCCTGAAGCCTATTGATTTTGGATGAATTATGTCGTATAATTAGCGAGTTATTAATTAATTAGTGATTGGACACAAGGTGTCACTATGGAGTAAAAGCGCTGTTTTGGGGGACCCCCCAACTTTCGATCGATAAGTCTTCGGTCTCTGAACGATATTCTTGTTTTTATTTTGAGAAGAATTTGGCTAGATGTGATATTTGATACTATTTTCCGTGTTTTTTTTATTCGCTTTTATTTCAAGCCGGTCGCTTGTTAAATAAACCAATATATAGCGGATAAACAAATCTTAGCTTAATAGCATATGACAGCTTAATCATATGACGATCCAGGCTTCTCGTGCATTTACCAGTCCATGTCGGCTATGTGATTACCTCAATTAAAGAGCCATTTTGTCTCAGATTCATGAACTTCATGATGGAAGGAGTCGTGCCTCACGCGGTTACGTGAGCCGCGATGAGTCAAGCCATCCGCTCGCTCGTCGCCGTATTAAAAACATTAATTACTTTCCCCCTTTAAACTATACAATCAGCCAAACCATTTCTCTGTCCCACTGACTTTGGAAGCAATAGATTACTTCTAAACAGATCCGAATTCCGAGATTTGGAAAGTCACTTTTATTTTTACAGGTATACATGCAATAGTGGTTATGAAGTTGATATACCTGGGCAGACGGTCACTTGTGAATTGGATAAAACATGGTCAAATATTGAAAATATGCCAACTGCGTGTAACCGTAAGTTTGAAATTTTAAACATAATCACTTTACGTTACCTGATTTGTGCAGTGACAGGTAGGTGTTCAACAACAAATTGTACATATACATACTAAAATTGAAATTTGTGTGATTAAATTACGTATATCAAAAACTTGACAGGCGACAGACATTTACCCTAAATTGGTTGCAGACGCTGTGACTCCTCCATATTTGACGATTTTTAAAAAAAAAACAGACTTTCTAAATTATCTGTTTCAATGCCGGATTACACGATGTCAGCGTTGTACTCCATACAATCTACTACATTTTCATGTCTGGTTTTGATCTCCGATCTTTTTTTTCATTTTTGAAAAAGCTTCGAAGTCCAAGTTGGTGCCACGTTAAAATTATTCTTCAACTAGTGTTCTATGTGTGGTTCGCTGTCGGCACAACAACATTTTTGGGAAATATTATTTTTGGGACTCAGATAGTCATTTTTGCAGACAAATTTGTCTTCACTTGCTAGATCGCGTTAATTTCCTAACCTTCAATCAAAACTCGATTGTACGGCGTATTTATTTGCCTTTCGCTCTATACAACCCAAGATTTTAAAGTTAAGCTACTAGAGTTAAGTGTAATGCCAGACCACCGCGCACACAACAATATGAATTTGAAAATGGAATCAATGCTCCAAAAATGATGATAATCTAATTGACACAAATAATCTTTAAATGTTTTCAGCTGTCGACTGTGGTGCGTACGGTGATGTTGAAGGCGGCTCAGTACAATGTGAGGGTGGTACAACATATACACAAATATGCCGGTTAGTTTCATATGTACTTTTTTTTTTATGCTTTTAAAAAAAGATTTGCGATCTTACTTCGTTGAAAGAAGAGAAACATTCAAATTACAAATGTCATTTTCTTCAGATGAATCAGTTTGTCCACGTTCTGAATATTCTTCATAACAATTTTGTTTAAAGGAAGGCTTTGTGTCTTAATTGAAAGTATAAATATTATTAATACAAACGAGTTACAAACGATCAATGATGTCTTAAGAGCTTTAGATCTTTTTAACAAAGATATCAGTAGATAAGTTGGATTTGCATAGTTCGTGCAACAGTTTACTGCATCGATGATTGTTAAATTAGTATATCTGATTAAGTATATTTTCCAAAATCTTCCTTGCAACTAGTTAGTTTAAAAATAGTTCGAGCTGAATTAGCAGGTTGGTACGGTATTCACTCACTTCTTTGTGGCAACAAAAATTACTTTCTTAGTAATGCTATTGATTATTATTAGTTTGTTACACCGTTTTTAAAATACAGTATTTTCAATTTCATGATATCGAGTTAGTTGCTGTTGGACTATTTATTTCCATATGCTTGTGTGGTAGTGGATTCTCATGCAAATAATTTGAACAATTACGCCATACTTTTATTAAAACAGTCAAAAATGAATGGTTCTATTTATTTTTATATATATCTGAAATTTGAATGTAATATTTTAGTGTCTCGTGTATGACCGGTTACAGCCTGGTGCAAGAAACCTCACAATGCCAAGCTAATGCACTATGGAGTTTACCACGTCTCGAGTGTTCAAGTGAGTTAATTCTTGTTAAAACGGAATATTTCAAATTTCACATTCTACTTTTTTCAGTGCTTGTTGTCTCACTCGAATGGTATTTTCACGTTGTTTTATACTTTACACTTAATTCATCACTTTGAATATGTATTTTTTCATCAGGAATCCTATGCCGGTCTCTAGATTTCAATAATCAACCTGGTAATATGATGTGCGATCCCCCTGGTTTTGGATACCCGAGCACGTGTAGGTAGGTTGTTCAACAAAGATGTAAATACTCATCTTTCACAACAATACATTGCGTATGATACATGTCAGATGAAGTCACAGGTTTTATTGAATCTTCGCTATAGGAGACCCTTACTCTCAGTGTTCTATCTGTCTGTCTGTCTGTCTGTCTGTCTGTCTGTCTGTCTGTCTGTCTGTCTGTCTGTCTGTCTGTCTGTCTGTCTGTCTGTCTGTCTGTCTGTCTGTCTGTCTGTTTAAATTCTGAAAATGCTATCCTCCGCAAAAGAAAATAGATACTCTTTCGGGCATGCCGTCTTATGTCTCGATAGCCCTTGGACTGAGGACGCTTTAGGACTTTTAGTGAATATGTTTCAATAGATAACTACGAGATAACTTCAAAGATAACTACGAGATGCATAGCGTTCAAAATGAAGTGGGACTTTTGATACAATTCTCTCTGCCCAATATTGCTGGCGGATTCCCCTGCATTGGCGGAGATCCATACTGGGCGCGCATCAGATTATCTAATCTCAATTCACTAATCATATTTGTACGATAAGATTTATATTCTACTCAATAGCATGTTATTCTGAAAATATGCCTTGACATAGACCAGTGTTGTTCAAACTGCCATTTGCATCTCTATGGCTCGTGCAATTATGGATTATCTTTTCTTATAGAAATTAAAAGCAAAATAAATGAGGAAGAATTGTTTTAATTGACGACTAAATGCGGTTGGCAACGGCGGATTTTCGTTTCGAATTTCTACGTTCAAAAATAAGCATCCTCATGTTTTAACCTTGTCTTGTGGTGATGAGTGTGTCGGGATATGCAGTTTTGTTTTTAGTGTCCAGCAATCTGGAAAATTTTGAAGTCTTGATTGAGTTCAGTTCTAGTTTATGTTAGGTATTTTTTAATTACAGTATGATCATTGTTTAATTCTTCCAGTTTTGTCTGTCATGCCGGATACACATTAAAAGGAGACAAATCAGAACTTACATGCCAGATTGATGGATCGTGGGATGGCATTGAACCAACATGCAAAGGTAAGTAAGTTAATATCATTAAAAATAGACGATTACTATATTAAATACCTCTGTTATCGTTAGTAATTACACTCAGTAATATTGTCTACTGGAACACGGTATGTTGATAAAACATCCGGCCAATTGCACCCTAGACTTATATCGTATTCTCCGCGGTGCTGATGCCATGATTAGCCACTCGCCTGTCGACGCTTGGAATGTTTTTAGTGAAACGGGCATTCATGTATTCATGCGCCAAATACTTCAGTATGTGATATTCTGAATTTTTAATCTCGTGTAGTTCAATATCAGACTTCTGCAGGGATGTCGTTGCTTGAAAACTGAAACTGGTTTATCAATCTTCTTTTCACCCATTTCACCCATGAAATGCAGTTTTACTTCGTTCTGTATCATTGACTGATCACTGACTGTTCAATTGTAGTTATTTCGTAAAACTTTAAAACAATTAGAATAAGTCATTACTATATTTTCCAAGATGTTATATGCGACGACTTATCTTTGGAAGAGGGAACAGTTTCTTGCCCAGACGGGACTGGCTACGCTGCAGTATGCAAGTAAGCACATATATGTTTATTTATACTTTATATGAGGTAAGCAACGGTTAGACAATATAAATATGAAACAGATTTTTTTAAATGATTCCGAAAAGATACATGATGTGTTACCTCAGTTTTTATATTTTTTATTAGTTGTAAGTTATTGCCCTTAATCTGAGGTGACATTTCTCATTTTATTTTTTTTCAATAAACTGCGATAATTTGTTGTCAAGCGATAAAATATGAGTTAAAAAAATCGCACTGTTTTTTATACGACATAATTTTACGCTAAGTCGCCACTGCTAAGCGTAGTTTATAATGGCCAGAATCTTGTTGGTTCGGCATTGTCTACCCAATTTATTACACTAGAGGCGAAGACTGGGATTGAGGGAATGGGATTTTAACAGTGAGCATATACATAGTGACTGAAATTTTATAAAGTAAAATACTTAGCTTTCTGTTACATATGTGCATTTTGAAACATAAAATAATAAGGGTAAAATAAATGCATGGTTTATTTGTCGGTAATACAAATGCACATAAACGTTTAAATCATTTATATATATATATCATTTTCAAAGGTTCGAGTGCAGTTTTCCTCTGAAACTTTATGGTTCGGATGAGACAACATGCTTGGCAAGTGGAGAATGGTCTCATGGTGTACCAGAATGCAGAAGTGGGTGTTTTTAGTTTTGTTATTTTTCATTAAGATATGTATTTTACCATTATAGTCTTATTTTCATCGTCCGTTTTGAACCCATTCAAAATTATTATATTTGTTTTTTTCCAGAATTTTCTCCAAAATGTGATGATGCGATTGAGCCGCTAATTTGTGAAAATAATTGTGATGACAATTCTGACTGTGAAGTTGACGAGGTTTGTTGTCCATCTTCATGCGGACTAACATGCAAAAAAGTTAAAGATGAACCTAAACCCAAGAATCCCTTCTTAAGTGAGTTGAATCATTTTTGTTTTGAATTTTTCAATATTACTATTTTATGCATAATTTGAACTAGTGCTTTTCAGTTTAAAGTTCCATCTATTGAATATGGCGCATTTTTTTTTAAATTTCAGATATAAACAAACAGACATTGCTTTTACTACTGGCCGCTTCGAGTCGACGTAAGCCAGTGTCACGCCCACCAGTGCGACGCCCGCCTCAGTGTCCAAGATGTAACCGCAATGCATGTACAACAGGCTTGCACAGTTGTCCAACGTATCTCAATGCTCTATGTGGGACGACTTGTAATGGATGTAGAGCCCATTTCCTTTATCGTAATAATCCTAGAGTGGAAGTAGGAAACCGATGTAAGTGACATACTGTACGGTATTATACTTTTTAGTTACTGTTTCAACCAGCCTAAAAGAATAAAATGTTCCATATCGCAGATATGAGAGCGAAAAATAATTTGAACAAACTTTCATTTACTCAGGTCTATGTCCACGAAATAGTCCACCAAACCCAAGGTGTGGTGGATACATGTGCAACGGAGTTAGATGTGCAAACTTCCCACAAGCTGAGTGTCGTGTGTACGGTTGTGGGCCAACATGCTATTTGCAGTTTTTCGATAGATTCGGACGAAGAGTATTGTGTAGACAAAAAGGTATTATACTTATTCACTTCCTCGTTAGTGCTTAGACTTAGAGTACCCTAGGTTGAATATTCCAGGTTAAACCACAATCTACAACCAGGGTAATTTTAATACTCATTTTTATTCGTTCTAGCAACTTGTCAGCCTGGGATAAACTCAGTTGGTCTTTGTGCCAGAGCATGCCTCAGTGCGTCTTGTCCAAAATATTCAGCAGCTCATTGTCGAGTAAGATGCAATGGATGTCCTGCTGAATTCTTCGATCAAAGAACGAATATGCCTATTACAGATTGCAATTAAAATCATTGGGATTATATTATTATGTGAATTCTATTGTAATCAATTAAAATTATTGAGACATAATAAATTTGAGCTTTTCATTCATTATTAATAATATAATGTCTGGAAATACAAATTTTTGATCACCTAAATTAATTTTTACATTCAAACTGGAAAAAATGCCATAATTTCATAATTTCGGCTGTTCGAGTTAAATTTCGATGACGAAAATCTAGGAATACATGAAATTTCCGACTCTGTTCATTGTAAGTTTATCATTTTAATTTTAGGAGTTTTGTTTGCATTCAAACTCAACATTACAGAAAATAATGTTGAAAACACTTGCATTTTTCCAACTGAGTTTTATATTCTGCTTTTTAGTCAAATTAAGAATACAAATGGATATGCATTCCAAATTGTTTCGATCATGTTATATATATTAGGTTTTATTCCAAATGGCATTCTTCATGTTTGAGTGCGTGTGAAATTTTGAGAGTCTAGTTTGGTCAATTGTAACAAATTTGCATTGAGTTACTACAAAAAAATTGATTTGTTGTTTCGTTATCCAATCTAACTTTTTTGGTGTTTGTACATTTTTATTTTATTTGTTGTTTGTTATATAAAAGTAATACATGGCCATAACTTTAGAGCTCTAGTTTGTATGTTCAAACCTTTTATGGAATGGATGGCTCATAGTCAATTTATAGTAAAACAACTAAACCTCAGGAGTGAATCAAGTCGGGTTATGGCTTATCTCAAATTCAAGTATGTTTTAGGTTTTATAGCTCTGTATTGTTTATAGTTTTTTTTTAGTTCTTTAACCATTTGCAATTCAACACTTCTACTTTCCACTTCTCTGTCGATTTTAGATACTCATCTCACTAACAACCTGTCTGATCTCACTGACTGCAATAACTGACCACTTTAAAAATTATTCAAACAATATTTCACGAATCATTTTAATGACTTTACATATGTCGTTATATCTCAGTATATATAATGTATACGTTTTTAATATTGTATATGATGGTGATGGTTCTCGCCGTGTTTGTGTCCAGCTGAAACATGAATCAGATATACCATAAATACAAATAATAATATAAAGTATAAAATATGAAGTTTAAAATATTTTTAAAGTAACGCAATCGGCTTTTTTATCGTTAAATATTTTATGATCATAGTTATTTGGGTAATAAATGAAGTTGAAATGCATTTGTTTTTGTATTTAAATGAAAATTAATCTTTTGGGAGTGTTTTGGGACTTGGGACGTATTTTTGGGACGTATTTTTGTCAGTGTGTAATTTACGGATAGTATCGCATTTTCATATTCATCGTGGGGGAGAGGAAAGTAAATAAGACGACATATTAAATATATGGCGAACCACTTCCAGTCTATGTCGGGTATGGAAATTGTTTAACAATTGTTTATTTCGGATTCATGGGCGCGAGGAAAACAGCACTTCATCATGTTACTATATGTGTTGAAATTGAAGGTCAGGTGATTGCGTTTTCTTTTTACTGCCACTCACCTTTTTGAGTATTTTGGGGTGCCTGCCTGCAAACCTCTTTACCATAATGATTGTAAAATCGAAGATGACATTGGCCACAGCTGCTCACTCGACATTTTGAATATGGTTGATGTCCACATCTTTCGCCGTTGCACTGGTCTGGATGACATTTAGATACTGCAGGATAGTTGCGAGAGCACCCACCTGTTAAATCGAATTTTTTTTTATAACAGTTCGCAATTGAATGGTATATGGATTATTGGGCTATAGTGCTTCTGTACTGATATGTAATTACTAACACACAAAGTCAACAAGATTAATCTGATTTTGAGAAAAATATACCTTCAAAAAAACTTACATTGGTTAGTAATTTCACGATATTGGCTCGTTGGATCATAAAAATGAGCTCGACATCCGTTACAACTTGTTCTGCATATTGCATTGAGATTTGCTGGACATTTTGTAACAAGACAAGCGTTGACCGAGCAACGTGGGCAACGATTGTTTCCGCCACTCAACAACGATAACAGTAAAAGTCGTTTCAGGAAATCTGTTGTAAATAGAATGACAAAGAGATATCACTAGATGATCGCCATTATCCTATTTAATAGGAATGTTGTTTGTGCGGGTGTTACCACCATTCGTTAGAAAAATAAGGGAGAGTCATAGACTAGCAGTCACCAAGATATTTGGAGTTTCTATTGTCATCCATGATTTCGACATCTATGAAAAGACCAACAATAATTTTGGTTTCCGTTTCCTTGTTAATAAATTACATTGTAGACGAATCAATGTACTGAAGTTGATAGTATGCAATTACTCATGAATCTGGAAAATATTTTCCATATTCAATAGGTGCACACGTCGATCTAATTGACACAATCGTCAATTTTGGAAGACAACAACGTTGTTCAACAGGAAACTATATATTTTTAAAAATATAAACTTGGATGTTTGTTTCATTTCCACATCTCGACTACGATAAATTGACATCGTTATACTTGTACAAATTACCTAATGGTAATCCTTTTGCTTTTTTAACTTCTGTGCAAACTGATCCGCATTCCGATGGGCAGCAAATTTTATTTTTGCCATTGCAGTCTTGATTGTTTTCACATTCTTTAGTGCAGGAAAGACCATTTGTTACAGCTGGACATCTCGGATCAAATTCTAAAAAACGACATTGTTGAAGTAAAGAAAACGTTGCAAACCTTTTCAACGACTGTATTTTATTCGAAAACACGTTAAAACATTGAAATACCTCTACAAGTAGGGTGGTCATTCGTCCATTTTCCATTCCACAAACACGCCACTTGTTTTGCACCCCATAATTTGAGTTCAGAGTCACATTCAAACCTTGAAAACAAATAAACATTACCCAAATGTACGTACAGCTTCCATCATTATAATTGTGTTTATTATTACTGTTTCTTCAGAATTTAATCCCCAAAACTGAATCGAAAATTGAAAAAAAAGTGCGTTGACATACAATTATGTTGTTTGAGAGAACGCAACCAAACGCGACAGCGTGGATCGCCACACTAATATGCCATCTTGTTACTCTCCTCCCTTTCGGGCAAAATACAAATCGTTAAATCAATAATTGACAGTATATATTTATACAAACTCACGAGCATGTACTTCCGTAATTGAAACCATCAGTACATAACATATGTCCGTTTTCATCTTTAAAGTCGATAGGTCGACATTCAACATCTGTAAAATATATCAATTAACATGTTGGAAGCAAGATTAATTATATTTAATGTGCTTATGATGAACGCCATGATTAGAATCTTGATTCAAATTAACTCACCTTTGCATACAGGAGGAGTATTGGACCATTCACCATTAGGAAGACATATTATTTTCGAAGGTCCTTTACGGATGTTGTTACCGTTGCAGGAAAATCTTAAAAATATTTAGAAATTTAGATTAGAAAAAATGAGTCAATGTCAGGGAATAGCAAAAAAGGCAATAATAGATTGTTAAAAGTTAAATGCACGCATCTGTTTTCTCTCAATTTTTTTCATAAAGACAAACCGAACAATCTTTGGACATTTTATATGTCGAAACGAAGTGTACATATGGAAAGTTTTGCTATATTCTCTTGTTATTTGGAGAAATGATTTTCCCCATACCTAATGAATCAAGCAATTTAAAATTTCTAATAATTCAATATGGTGCACACCGCTAAAATGCTATTATTTTATTTTTCCTATTTGATTCATTCTCCCAATATTTTGCTTTTTCATATTAATTGAAGAGGAACCGCCCTCGTCATGCCAGTCTACCGATCTTCCAACAAACTCGGTGCCCTAATGCCTTACGGCAAGGGTGTGCAACATGTGGCACGCGGGCCAGGGGCGGCCCACAAAAAAAAATGTGCGGCCAACGGAGTATTAACAATTTTGAATGGTGTGCGGCCCACAAAATGAGTTTTTAATTCAGTTTAATCTAGTACGAACGAGTAATTTCAATCCCTTTACGCTGCGAGACCTATACCTAAGTCCATTTTTTTTTTCATCTATGCCCCTGACGTTACAATGCCCTAACAGCTAGCTCGTGGAAAGCGAACAACGCATTTTATGAGATGAATACCCAAAATATTTTGCCTGCAACTAATAGGAAGCTAATGTTAAATAAAGGTGCGACTCGGTTCCACCCAGTTATTTGTATTTGGCACTGGCGCATGGGTTGCACACCCCTGCCTTACAGCACAGATACAGATGAGAGACTTCCGCTCCCATACAGTCGAGCATTACTTTCATATTTCAAGAAGTATCAGTTTTTGCCTATCACTATGTTCAATATCGAAACATTCCGATGAATAACTCAATAGAAACTAAATAATGCAGTACCTCACAGAAATACAAAAACTGAATGAAACCGTTGAATATATTACTACAGTATACTTACGCGCACTCGCTCCCAATGCTAGCTCCATCCGTACACAGCATTGTTCCGGACTTTCCGCTAAAGTCAATTTCTTGGCAAACTACATCTACTGAAATAAAAATAAAAATAAAATTACAACGGAAAGAGCAAGTAAGTAAAGGGGCCTATTTGTCATAAACATTTTGTTTGTCAGAGAATATAGGCCAAATGTAACTTTCACTCAAACTAACTTTACTCATAATATATATGAAAAGTTTTGTTAGATTATTTTATAGGCAAGTACATTTTTAAATACAGAACTATCTCAACACCTTCTGATAATTTAAGCATTATTAATTTGTCAAAACAGAAGTACCTTTGCAAACAGGTTGTACGGAGGACCAAATTCCCCCGTTGTTACATGTTAAAGTAGCCTCGTTCCCCGGAGAGCTCCCAACGCCGCATGTAAGTCTATAAAAGAGATCGTTAAGTTTCAAGTGAAAGTAGTTGATGCAATATAAAATGATTTATTTCCGGTTCCTTGCCAACGATAGATTATACCAATAACCAATGCTCCTATGTTTTATCATTTTATTATTTTGTATCTTCAAATTTTGTTATAATGAAAATATTCGTGTAGAAATATATAACTTACGTGCATGTAGATTCAAGTTTATATCCTTCAGTACATTCAATTGATTGGAAGGGATTTGTGACATCAAGTTTAGGACAATCAGCTAAATTTTTGGAATATTTAGCAATGTAAATTTGTGGTTAGTTAGAGCAGATTAAATCTAGAATTTCGCAATTTTTTCTGTTTTTTTTGTGTGAGCTTCTTAAGTATAAATATTGTTTTTTCTTCTCCGTTGGGGGAAATAAGAAATGGCAAGCATAAACCTAATAATTGTATTTAAGAAAACACTTACGCTGACATGTTGGTAGTGCACCACTCCATGTCAAATCTCCTTGGCAGATTATGTTTGTAGAACCGAACAGTGAATATCCAGGATCACAGGATAGTCTAAAATTCAAAACATATATTATCTAATATCTACCGCTGAAACTATAGTTAAAACATACTACTTTTGTTGAAAATTATTTAGTAAGCCGAACAATATTCCAAGTATAAGAGTATATTGAAATGATAATTCTTAATGATATGATCAAATTAATAAAGACTTCAACTTCTACTTCAACATAGAGGCTGACTGAAACCAACCATTAATGAATAACATCTGCGCTAATTTACTTACGTGCATATCGAGTTGTACATGTTGCCCGTTGAGCATTCTAATTTACCATTTTGTTGACTGAATTCAAGATCAGGGCAGCTAAGATCTGTAGCGTAAAATATATAAATATTAAATCAAAAAAATTTATGTCTTACATTCAGTTTAATATAGAATTTTCCTCACTGCAACGGCGTAAAGTTTTGCATCTGATTACCATTAACCCCATATTATCTTTTGAAACAAAATTGCATATTACACCGTCTACTGTAAAGTAATGTAGTGTTAACGTATTATTTATATTACTACGTTATGTAGTGTACTTTATTTATTTGATAATATCAGAACTGAACTAAAATAGCTATGTTAAAATTTAGTTTTAAAGCTTACCATTTGCAAGTGTAATAGTATACGTACCTCCAGTTTCACATAAAACTCCAGCTTCTTTATTCCATGTATGCATTCCATTTGATAAATCATATGGATCTGAATGTGCTAAGTTAACCGCTACACCTCTGTAAGGCTTTGGTTCGTCTTGAGACCATTTAACAAATTTTGCTCGAGAGCCATCGTAATTGGTCACTACACCAGTCTGTGAATAAGGTTTCACAGTTACAACCAGGGAAATATCAACACAAAGTAGGGAAAGAAAGATAATAATAAGTATAGTGATAAACGAAATACTTACGTTTTTATCATATCGCATTCCAAGTGCAAAGTGTTCGGTGGTGGACATAGAACACAAGTACTTCAGGACCTCGAGAAAATGTGTTGAGCTGTAAATGTTAGCTGGAATTGCATTCTCGAACAGACATTTTTGGGAAGCCTCGTCTGTCGTCACAGTGCCAAATATTATCCAGTAGCATCTTCCTTCAAAAATCAAGCGATTTTTCTCGTCCTGACATTTGTGGGTCATACCGGCTGTTGAAATATAAGGATACTGATCAATAAAGGAGATCAACGTGAAAATGCGTTCTGAGACGTAGGAAAGTTTTTTTTCTAATTTGCATATTTTAGATTTGAGATCTATAACATGGAATATGTTCTCCGTACGAAGTATACACGCTCACAATTAAATATAGTGTAACTTAAACAAAAGGATCTTACCAACAATAGCAGACAATGAGTTAAACACTAGAAATGCGGCAAATACAGGTTTTAGAGCCATCATCTTGTTCGTTAACTATCTCCAATTGACTTATCACCTTCGAAGGTATATACAGGAATGAGAAAAGGAGAACATGCAGGCTTAAATAGGAAAGAAGCGTTAGTCTTGGGGGCATAGTATTACGATTTTTAAAGAGAAATAATTTAATAGGTTTTAATGCGTTAATGAATGCGTTATAAAAGCTGGAAAACACGTAAGTGAATGAGAATAAAATATCTATTAGATTCATGACAATTTTAATAGTGAAATTTTAATGCCCATCAAATTCGACAACCTTTCAAAACATTAGTTCATCTCTGCTAAAATCTCAATTAGCTGTAATAAATAAATGCGTTTACGTTAATTAAACGTACTCAGAACCGGTTATTTAGAGATACTGCCAGACTTTACAAGTAGAAAATGCCTTTTTGTCTTCAAACGCAGAAAAAAAGAGAAGCATTTTTTGACGGAGAGATGGAGATTTGTTCCCAAGTGGATCTTCGAACGCAACAAGCTAAATTTAATATACCAGACAATACAGAACGAAGTTGTTATTTAGTGATGAAACAGAATATGTTAAGAATTATGACGACAAATGTGTGAAATATTTGCAAAATTGTTGCTTGATTATTCTCGACCTTAATGGTATTCATTCAACTAAACCAATGCATGTGACTTTTGAATTACTTCACCCCAATACCCAGGGCTGGGTTAAGCATTAAGCAAAATAAGCACGTGTTTAGGGCACCAAGGAAAAGGTGACACCAAAAAAATTTTCATAAACAAATTTTCAATGGTTCAGCATTTAATGAAATGATTAGAGTTGGTCAAACGATTCAAACCTCACTATTGGCCCGGTTAAAATAAATTTTGCTTGTTTCTTTTTCTCAAGTAGCATCTTAAATCCCTCTATGAATGTTTGTCGGCATGAAAACTATTCTCAAAAACATCATGTAAACTAATCATAACTTGGCCTTCAATTAGTAATGAATACTGCAACTTACTTATTCAAATAGGGCACCAAAATCTTCAGAGCTTAGGGCCTGTAAAAGGCATGATCCCCTCCATCCAATACCTATCCAATCCGATACACAGGGAATGAGCATATGTATACATTGGATACTATAAACTTCGTCTGACAGTTTAAATATTTTACCACAAGGAGTCACACATTTAATTTGCCATGCTTTAGCCCTAACCTAGAGTAAATGCCTCTTCTGTATAATTGTAACTACATACGACTTAAAATGAAAGCACCGTACATTAAGATAGTTTAATCATTTGTATTTATTGGTGTATTTAGTCTAAAAAATTTCATTTTCAAGTTTAAAATATATAAACTTTTGACCTGAGTCATTTACAATCGTCACCAGTTAACTATTAAGTACTGGTAGTTAATCTTTATTTATAGATCGCGATGATTTTATAAGATATATAAATTCAAGGAACAGTTTTATAGTTTGTACAGCGTACTGACAATCATATCTGATATAAATCAAATTATAGATTTGCCAGATGCTAAAACCTTTTGCCGGTGTTTGGTTATTTATTGGCTATTTCTTCAATATTCGGTCAAACCTCAGATAGACGGCGGTGTTTAGAAACTGCAACCTCCTTCTGCTTTCGAGATTACTAAAATAGTTTGCTCACTGAAGATTGATCCCATCCCATCGTGCTGTTTCATAATGAACACAAAATTAACTCACGCTATGAATCCAAACCGCGGCTTCGGAAAAAGACCCCCGACTGGCTGAAGCGTTAGTTTCAATATGTATGAGTACTGGTAGAGGACAGGATTCAATTTCATATGCTTGTTTTATTACAGATCAGGTTTGTTAGATCACATGTCTTTTATATAAAAATAAAAACTTTGAAAACGTGCGGTTCAAATTTGTATACTAATTAGAGGTTATAATTGATATATTTTTAAGCCATAAGTAAAGACATAATAAAATAAAAAAGTAGTTGTTTATAATTATATCACCTAAATTCACCAAAATAAAAGATCGGATATGCGTACCAAACGTTTCTCTTTCCTTTTCGCGGATTTCTCAAAATTAAAACATACGCGAGATCACGTGACTCATTAATTATGCGAATTTACAATTTTATTTTTTTTTAAAACCAGGGTTGTTACCCAACAAAACAGAAATGAATTTTTAACAAAGGGTCTTTAAGTATTTTAATGGCGGTCCGAAAACCCGATTTTCCTGAGAGTACATTTTTTTGCTATCGTATCGTAGGTTTAAAGAGCAAACAGATGGAGTTATGCTATCAACTATTAAAAGTATTTTAACGGGCAATTTTTCTTTTTAAATTTAACATTACAGTGTATTATTTTTACCGTATGTATCTAAAACCTAATTTGCTAAATAGATAGAAAATACTCACATGATATGCAATTTCATTATATCGATTTAATCTTTTCGAACTATTGTACTCGCCAAAGGTCAATAGTTGCTAGAGCAATAGCCTATTCGACCAGCACAGAAATTTGTTATTTTATAATTCAAATGCTTAAAATTAAGTCCACTGGACTTTTCAGATAGCGTCAGTATGGGTACAGCCTAAGCTAGGTATCGGAGTTGACGAAAAGACTACGTCTATTCTGACTCAGTGACACGTGGGGCGCAATATACGCAAAATAGCAAAATTTAGGGTGAGAAAAAATAAAATAAAATAAAAGTAATAGCCTTATAAAAACTTTTTTCATCTTTAAGTACCTACGTTGAAATTGATTGGTCTATTCTATCTACTGGTCTACTCTATTGGAAGAGAAGAAATACTAGAAGAAAATTTTTTTAAAAAACAATAACAACAAAAACAAATTTGCAAAACGCATTTCGCATCCAAAAATGTCAAAATCGCCGGTTGCAAGGATCGCGGACAAAGTTGTTTTTAAAGCATAGGTTATATTCAATCTAACTAAGTAGTTAAAATAAAACATTTTCTCGCTATTTTATGTATTTCAATTTTGTAAAGACCTTCTCTTTTCTGCTTCCTACGTTCTTTTTTTTGCCTGACTCGTTATTTTCTTTCTTTTGTGCTGTTTTTGTTATTCGAGCATGTTTTTGAGCGCCAAGACAAAATTGTGGTATTTCAATATTAAGTTTGTACGTTTTATAACAATCCTTAGTTTTGCACATATTATAATTTTTCAATCAAGTTGGAAGTGGGTAATGAATAATACATAAATATCTTCATATTAAATGATTATGAGGTTATGATATACGTTGTCTGTAGCTCCCCAAACCCAACGCCTAAAATACAGTCGATTAATTCTCTGCAAGAGAGTCAATTTAAATCTCTATCGCTATTGCTTTGGCATCTTTAAAATTGACTCTCCCAGTTATCATTAGTGCAATATTCTCTTATTAACAATCTTTGTTTTAGTTTATTGAAATTTCAACACGAAATACAAAACACAGTATACCTACTACTTAAAACGTACATCAACCATTGGCAAAATATGATTTTAATGCAAATTGTATGCAAACAACTACCGCTGGGGTGACAGTAAAATATGAGGTCATTTGGGACAACATATACATAGTGAAAAGGTTGAAAACTAAATCACATTGTTTTGGCCACGACAATGTAATATCTTAAGTTATTTGGTCCTGGGATGGTACGAAACTACAAGTCCGTACTTGCATCTTATCTAGAAATGTTTTGTTAGAAAGCCATGTGTATATTTTGAGATTGAAATATATCATGATTGAGTGATGTTAATTGTCTTTAACGGGGTGTTTTACAATTTGAGGAAAGCTTGTTTATTTCATTGAAGGGAATACAGATATTTGGCCCCTCAAAAAACTCAAATTGTAACACCTGAGCAAAACATGTTTTTGGATCGGGGATCACTTAGATTTTGAATTTCTTCTCACACGTGATCAACAGATAAAAGAGTTCAGTAAATCACACAACAAGACAGTCGTCCTAAATGCACTAGTTAGTATTCAAGCAACCATCTTTGTTCACTTTTCCGCATTGTTATTTGTTTGCAAAAGTTGTTCTTTCCACCATTCGATGTCCAGTTCGGGACCGCTTCCTCCTAGAAACGGTGGCAAATTTTCGGGATCGATCATTTCATGAAGCTTTTCATGACTGTTCCCATGGAGTTGCAGCTGGAAGGAAAAATTATATTTGAAATTGTAAAACATTGGTATTTTAATCACACATAAAAATCAAACGAAATTGCGTTTGTATAAGTTGTTTTCATCATACCTTCGAAGACATCAGTAACCAAGATTTATTGATACAAAATAATCATTTATTGTTTTGGTTGCTGTAAAGGCTTACCAATAAAAGTGGGATAAGCAGAAATGAGAATTCTAATTCGCACTTTTGCGACGGATTATTAAGGACAATAACGACTTATAGTATTTCCAAAAATTTTGGCGGATGTACTTAATTATTGTTCTGTTCTCTAAATTATTGTTCTCTAAATTCATCCCAGCAGTTCGTCTGTGTGGCAGCTTATAAATCAGAAGTTCAGAATTCACCTATTATGGAAATATTAAAATGAATAAGAAACGCTTACCCGGTTTCTTAATTTCTCTTTGATAAATGGTCGAACACAGGCATAAATAAGGTCATATGCCAAGGATTCATTGAAGACGTTAAGACTTTTTATTCGTATAGGCATACCGTCCTAAAAACGTATATTTATATATATATATTCAAAATTAATTTTTCCAAATTTCCAAAACTAACTTGCATATGACTGGAATTGGTGAATATCAATTTTTCTACTATAAAACAATTATGTACTTAAGGCAAGGTTTTACGTTAGAAAGTAATAAACCTAAACCCTAAAAAAATGACAAAATTGACAATGCTCGAAATTATGATGAGATTGTTAAACATCGTTTTCGATTAACGCACTCTTTTTTAGATGAGCAGTAGAATTGCTCTTGCGTTAACTGATATGCTCAAAATAATCTACATTAAAAATAAAATTAAAACTAATTACAAATAAATAAAAGTTTTTGATCTGCGGCAAATCTGTGTCACTCCCAATTCTAATCTCAATGCTAACATGATCAAATTGCATATACATATTTGAAGTAATTCTAAAACGTTTGCGTTCTTTTTATAGTATGGGGTAATTATATAATTTATATATATATATAGTTTAATTTAAATGACTTACTTGCATTAAATTCATGAATTGCATTCCCACAGTGGTCATTTGTAGGGAGAGCCCGATACCAAAATCTTTCAATTCTTCAATGACTGTAACTCCATATATCTGTAAACGTGATCAAGTGAAAAACGTTTAATTTTCAACTTTACATGGTATTCAATAGTTGTGCAAATTTTTTAGTGAAAATGTTTGAAACCCCGAATAAAATCTTATGAATGCTTATTATATGTTACCTGCATTTCTTCGTTTTCTAAAAGTTTTTCTGTCGACAATATTGTAGCTGCCATGAATTGTAAAATTCCGTCTTTTTTACCGAAGTTAAAACCTGTAATCAATGCATAAATACGAATTTCGATTACGTTTTTCGTGTTTACAAGGATCGCTTTATAAATTTACAGCGATCACATATTTGAACGTCATTAGAAGAGTACATCTGCACCCGAATAATTGGATATTGATCTACTTATCAATATATTGTTCAGGTGTAGTGAAGCACGCTTCTGGAATTGATGCAACAGCATACGTTCAACACCATGTCGGTTGAAACCCACCTCACTAACCCAGAAGTAAAGCTTCAATCAATCTTAATTTGCGAATGATTGACCATAGATAAAACTTACTGTCTGTCATCCAATATATACTCAAAATTGTTTATCTATGTTTTATACCTGGTCGTCCAATGTTGACAAAAGTTCCATCTTTTGCTCTTTCTTTCAATGGAACAACGGAACCAACACTCAAAAATTCATCGATTTTCTCTGGGTTGTCAACCTGGTAAAAATAAAATGTAAATTGATTACTTTTTATATACATTATACCAATTACATTTCAAACATATTATAATCAGTTCAATATAAATATAACACAATTTTTAATTTTTACCAAATTAAAAACACTTTTCCAAGTTTTTCGATGTCTGTGGTAATTTTCAAGTGACTTGAGAGCCTTGTCCTCATTAAATTTCCGATGACGTAAAAATCTAAATGAAACAATTTACGTAGTCATTGATTTACTGTGTAATATTGACGTTGATATTTTGTGAAGATCAATAATACCTAATATCAGGCCTGAATCTAAATTATGACGAGTAATTCATCCAGTAATTCATACGTTTAGCTCATGTCCAAAACTGACGTAGCTTCTTGTTGTGTAAATTTCGTCGTTTTTATTTAGGACGCCATTGTAATTAATTTTACTTATTGATCGGTTACATTTCTTCGTATTTTTGATTAATAAGTATTGTGATCTGTGATCAGAGATTATTCTAAGAATGTAGTATTGTAAGTAAATCTACATCAACAAATATAAAGCAACTTACCTTAAGAGAAAAGAATCATCCGTTCTTATCAATTCAAAGTCTTTTATTTCTTCTTGAAATCTTGTTCGTAATTTATCAATTGCTGCTAATCTGACTTCGTTATCTTCAGGCTCATTTAATTCCTCAACAGCTTTCTTCAGAGCCGCGGATGAGAGCTGACACTGATATCGTTCAGAAATCATTTTGTAGTTGCCACGCAGTAGATATATTATACGCTGAAAATATACAGGATCATCATATCACGGTATATTTACATAAAGTAAATACCCTGAAACTATCTGTCTGCTAACTGCCATAATATTTCTTCAAATTCAATATCTGCTTACAAAACCACCACGACGACTTGGAAGTTATCACTGGCATACTATTTCTGTATACCATGCAACAAAGCTTGCAAAACAACATATCGACTGCGGAAATACGTAGCTGAATGACTAATTCGCTCGTGCAACACACATCTACGGTACCTACTGATGTCATAGAAAAATATTGGTCTCGTCTTCTGTGTTTAGAATACAAGGATTAGAGGAAATTGTGTTAGGTATGTATGTCAACCTCCAATAACACTTCATAAAGACAAAGGGTGCACTGGAAGGTGTTAATTCGTCTCCGAGTGGTAATTGACGTTCCTACTTCCCGCACGTATTAAGTGCAAATAAACAAATCAATAACAAACAAGCACTAACCCGACTATTACTTAACATAAACACACGTCACTGTGTGGAATTCGTGAATTGAAATAGCATTTTGCAGATGAAGGTTCAATCAAACATGGACTGCCATAAGATATGAGCCACACATACTTGCTCTATCACGTCAAAAATCTGATAAATCAATTTGAAGTTTATAGCAGTCAAAGAAAACAGTTACTCGCCGAAAGAATTTGGGTCATTGGAAATACAAACAAACAAAACATATCGGTCGCAACCATTCCCTGATGCTTCAGCGTCGACTGATAAAAATTTTGACTTTCACAAATGATTGATTATAGTATAATTCAATATTTTCAGTCAGATACACCGAAATCAATACTTAAATTACATAATATTTTGTTGATAAAATAATGTTTTCCCACAAAAACATTCTCGATCCTCAATGCGTTTAAAAGTAATTTAAAGTAGAATTTATTTATTGGAAAACTCATGAGAATGAAAATGTACACAAGTTTTATAGTTGGTAAGCAAACAATAACTCCTCCATCTAAACATAACAAATAAAGTCAATATTCGTTTACTTTTAGATTTTTGCGTTCACATGTTTACAACAAGCGAACCGTCAATCAAAAATATATTATAGTGTTTTACCCAAATATTGACGTCGGAGGCCACCAAAACTTATGGTGTATAGTTGTTTCAATTTTGAACGGATATGATAACTTTATTACACCGAGTAATAATACACTTGAAGCTAGTAACTTCTAAATAACTGGGCATCTTCATCATGTTAGTATTGTTGCAGTCCTTCTAAAAGTGACTCACATGCCTAGGAACTAAGACGAGATGGGGCCTATCTATACGAAGTACAATGAGTTGTACTACTCAAAAATTGAATTTCTCTGTTTAATTTTACTCACTGCCTGTTCTCAACGGATAGCATAGTGAAATGAGTTCACAATCAATAGCGTAATACTTTTTATCCAAATGGGACGGACGAGCGTGACAACTGAACCCAATTAGCCTATCCCGCTGCGATCGAACCACGCGGAGTTGTTTGGTCGCGGCATATTTTCCTAATTAAGTATCGATTGTATCAAAGCTTTCTTTCAAATGGAATACTAGCGAAAAAAAAAACTCACCAAATGAGATACTGAGTATATAAAAAAGGGTGGGTAAAAATTTAACCCGCGCATGGTGATATCGTTGTCAATTTCCCGGTTAGTATAGCATGTGTACATAATGTAGTTCAAGTCAGAGAAGGATTTCCAATTGAAGTTTGAAAGGTGAGTAAAACAGACAAAAAGGATGATTAAGCAAGTTTTCTATATATAAAATAACTCGACTAAACTGTTTCTGAGCGAATTATTGATTGTGCGCGTGAGAGATATACACACACACAGAGAGTCGAAAACAGTGGAGTTTGTATGTTTTTGTTTTATGAGTGAGCAAACACGTGACTCTTTTATATTTTAAATGTTATACCTTAATTTTATATTCTCACTTAAAACTCAAATTCTTTGTTTGTTTCCCTCGACATTTCAATCATGTTTAATCCTTGTTATAATCTTCATTGCATTGCCCTAGTGCTGATTATGATTCAAAAATAAATACTCTATACCAGCGGTTCCCAAACTATGGGTCGCGACCAACTGGTAGGTCGCAAAAGGAATCTTAGTGGGTCGTAAAAAGATGAAGAAAGTTTTGATTAATTTTACTAGTTATTAGGATCGGTGGCGACTTGAATACGTAAATCTTCAAAAAACAAAATAAATTAAATTGAATTTAAATTATAATCTGTGAAAGTTTCCTTTTTACGATCTTCTCAAAGGGATAAAAATTGGCTATATACAAAGGATGACTATGTGGCTTTTTTACGCATAGCAGTTTTGTACAGCACTTCTTACCGTGTTTCCCCAAAATTTAGACATGGTTTAGATTTATTTTCTTTGAAGAATAACACCATGGTTTTTATTGGAAGAGGTCTTTTGTGCTCATTTATCAAAAATAAAATTACATTGTAAAAAATCACGAGATTTTTCAAAAACATTATATAAAACCGACATCCAATGTTTTTATTTGTATTTCCTATACAAAAATTGTGACATCACACAATCTTGAATAGTAATGTGATCTTCACCTTACCTCAGGTCATTGAACCTTTCCTCTCCCACACATTTTAAATTTATTTTAAGGGTAGGGTTTAATTAAAATCATTTTGAAAACTCAAATTAGGTCTTATTTTCAGGCCAGGTCTTATTTTCGAGGAAATACGGTAGTTTTGCAATGATTAGCCATTGCTGTGTTCTGTGTTATGACATAAAAAGTTAAATGGGTCGCCATAAGCTGTGGTAATAAATAGTGGGTCCCAACTCTAAAAAGTTTGTGAACCACTGCTCTATACACATTACTATGCCTCTAATTATATTAACCGCGTCTCGCCAAGAGTGACAAACAGAACAAACTCTGTACTTCTGTTGTTGCCTGGAAAACGATACTATCTTATGCCTGTACCTTCCCTTAACGCAAATAATATTAATTGCAAAGGAAAATGTATTTATGCCTATCTAAATCGTACGATTGACGTAAAGCTTGTAAAAGATTATGCCTCGCTGATTAACAAATAAATACGCTCAGACTGTGAAGCAAACTTAATATAAATGTCTGTTACCATCATTATTAGTGTATTTAAGTTAATCCTTCGTCCGGTACTTTACATTGGAGCGTTTTCGCCTGCGGGGCATACTAGGCCCCAGTTTTGAATTACGTAAGTCTGTTTATGGTAAAATTATCAACTGTAACCAACGGATTTAACACCAGACCAAAGATGGACGACGATATCGTGATATATTATCGATAATGGGTGATTGATCTACTACTTTTCTCCTCAGTTAATGACGCCTGGAAATATACGGTTCATGCATGACTGTCAACAGATTACTAATTGATAAACAGATTCTTTCATGGTCAAGTTCGAGACTCTGATTATGCCATTAATTGGGACTATAATTAAATAATTAATCTTTCACATGTGGCAATTAGTGGGGTTTAAAAATTGAACATTGATTATCGCATTATGTTAAAAATACAAATCACCGATTTAATGGCTCAAGCTCAAAACTATACGATTAAAAATAATTGAAAATTACAGAAAAATTGCCTATGACCTGAGTTGATATAATAAAACTGTATCAAAAAGGTTGCCTATTATCAACAGGGAAAGGACTCGGAATTATCTATTATTTTATTTCGCGATAATTCAACACTAATGTTACACTAATCTGGAATTTAAATTTACAAAATGGACGAAGTTAAACTTTTGTGATAGCATCCAGTTTCATTGTTTTTGTACAATTTAGTATTCCAAGGAAGAGGGTAATATAACTTCTTTAGCAAATTGGTATACACCTACGAAAGTCATCGTCAAGGACTCACTGTGCGCTTCTGTTAACCTTGGCAAATGCGAATGCGCATTTATGCCGCATTGAGGAAAATAACTTCGGATTCTCGGTTTAAAATTTCGACTCCAACTCGAACTACGGAAAACGAGAAAATCTGCGCATGCAAGCCTTCAATATACTGTTGAAAACGCTTAGTGAAGCTGTTTTTCGCCTCTTGACTTCTACGCCATATAGCTTGGTTTATGTGGTATTTTTTACAATCGTTAGGTGACGGCAAATTTCGTTTTCTGTATCATTTTCCCTTCCTCGTTTATTCTTAAGTTTAAACTGGTTCCACTTTCTTGAAATATGTATTTCACACAGGAAGTACTAAAAAATTGTACTAATTTATTCTCAATTATTTACCTTATATTTGCGTTATTTCGTATTTCCCTCATTAAATTTTAAAGAAATATAATTGTCTTTTAGCGTAACTTTCTCTCAACGTTGTGCTATTTGCTTTGCGCTATTTAAAATCTTTGTTGGAAATATTCTTAATTCTGAATCGCTCGGAGTTCAATATATCACCCAGTAATAAGTTGCCAAATGTTCATATATTGTAAACGTTGTGCAATAAAATTATACAATTTATTGAATATATCACTTATGAATAAGTTGAATAATCCAATAGTAAATTTTTGTTTCAGAGCGAATTTGTTTTCAAAGAAAAACTGGTTCACGTGAGGTGGTATTGAGACCAAGTCACCGAAAACAGATGCAGAACAGAAACGACTGTAAAACCACATTAACCATTATATTGATTGCAATCAACAATGGGCCGATTGGTCTTTTGGTCGTAGAATTCAGGAGGACATCCAGGGCACCGGACTCGACAATGAGCTGTGGGATACTTTGGACAAGAAGCAACAAGGCATCCTCTGCTACAAAGACCAACCGCGTTTATTCCAGGCTGACAAGTTGCTAAATATAAAATATAATACAGTTATGAAACAGATTTGAAAAAATATATTATAAATAGAAATGAACAAATTGCACAATAGCACAAAAATATTGAAATCTTTTCAATCATTTGAGCATTATTTCAAGAACGAAACGTTACCAAATGCATTCATCTTTTAACACTCTATTGTGGTTTAATTTAATAATGTTGCATGGGTACGCAAAGTCAACTTAAACATTTGCCGAATTAGGAGACAATACAATAATAGTTTTATCCTAAAGTTGACGTTGGGTTGGTTATATTATAAGAGTAAAAATATATTAACTATTAAAAATTTTATGTAAAGTTTTCTGATTACCGCTGAATACATCTGTAATTTTATGCAAAAAATACAATTGTAACAACTGCGTGGGCGGAAAAGCATACTTCGTCATTTGAAGTCAAGTCAAAACAGATAAGTTATATATAATGGAGGATATTTGTATATACTGGTTCCAATAACTTTAAGTTGAGACGAAGACAAAATAAATACCTTTTTCTCTGCACTGTACTCTTCGTCCAAATCGATCGAAAAACTGTAAATAGCATGTTGGTCCGCAACCGTACACACGACACTGAGCTTGTGGGAAGTTTGCACATCCAACTCCGTTACACATATATCCAGCACAATTTGGGTTTGGTGGAGTGTGAGGTGGACAACCACCTGAGCAGTTACAATATGACAA